ATGATTGTTTTCTTTGACTCTCTTGTTTCTGCAGACTGTCTCGTGTGGACACTCTGGGAACTGCAGCTTTTAGTCTTCTCTCTTTTTACCCCCAACTTTCATTCCGACTGGATCTGTTGGTGAGGCGAATTTCATGGTGGATAACGGACAGCAGTAATCACGAGAACTCACAAGAATCCGCAGATTCACGTTCAATCACACGATAACGAGTTGTCTCTCTAAAGACAGACACATAGACATATAAGCAGTAGATTGTGTCCTTCCAGAGGAGGAAATCTACTTCTAGACTTCTAGAATCAGCATCTCCTCATCCATGGTGACACCAGGGTGAAATGACGTCTAAAAACCTTTCACTTGTTCGTCTCCGCCCGTTTGCATGGTGTGAAATACGATCCTCCTGAAACACGGAGTGTTTTATTTTGAAAAGAAGCCGGATGTTTTATTTTGTGTCTGTGCCCGACTTCCTTTCCAGCACGGGTTAATCTGTGCTGAATTTATCCGCCATGCTCCGGCGTCTGGAAAAAATAGAACTCTTGTGATCAGCTGAGGAGTCCGGCGATCCGCAGAGGAACGGAAAGAAGTCGGTGTAAATTGACACGTTAACTTGAATGGTTACGATCAGCTACGATCGGAGGATACGACCTTTTAGGAGACGATCAGGATGAAGGTGGAGATCGGGGGTAAACCTGGAGATATTGTTTAAAACAGAGGATGCACCATCTATGATTTACAGTTCTTTGTTGAAAGGACAACTAAGTCCAGTTGTCCTTTCCAAAAGAGGGTTAGATTTTGATTTGAAAATGATCAGCTACAATCGGAGGATATGACCTTTTTGTAGACGTTCTGGATACGATAGAAATTAGGGTTTGGGGTTCTTTCTCTAAATCCAGCAGATGACTGTCTGACATGAGTCTGGTCCTCCTCGAGGTTTCTGCCTGTCTCAGGAAGTTCTCCCTCTCCTCTCTCCTGTTAGGTGTCTCACTCATGTGGTTCTGGGTCTGGTCTTACAGGAGGGGGCTCACTCTGATCCCGTCTTTGTCAATATAGTCTAGACCAGCTTCACCTGCTTGTTGCCACAGTTGGAGAAGGTCTGAACTTCCTACAAAACCATGACGACCTCTAAATCCAAATATTCTCTGCAGCTCTGAGCGTGGAGACGGGACAGCCGCCATAATGAGCGGATATTTTAGAAGTTGGCCGGTGAGGTCTGTATGGACAGACGGAGTTAAATGAGGAGTATCAATGGAGGAAGTGTCCTGCTGCAGGTCCAGGTGAGGTAGAACAGGTCCACTTCAGTTCCTTTCCACAGTGAAAACAGCGAGGAGCCGGAGAGAGAGCTGGAGGGTACAGTGAGTGCAGCTACATCCTCAGACTGTTTCCCTCAAAACATCCGCTCCATGAATCACACATCTTATTTACTCAGCGCCCCCTCCTCCTCCTCCTCCTTCTCCTCCTCCTCCTCCTCCTCCGCCCGTACCTCCATCCCACCCCCCCACCCCTGTCTCCTCCCCTAGCTGTCTCCTCTCACACGCCCAGAGAGAGGAGGGCTCTTTTAAGCTCTTCGGTTACCGCCGAGGTTCACTCATAAACCGCTGAGACTCAAAGAGCCCTCTGACTTCAGGACGGGAAAATAAAACAACTTCACACACGGATAAATACGCTTCTGTGGTTCTCGGTTATTTTTAGAGCATTTCTCTCCGTCTTTAAGTGCGTTACAAATATCAGTTTGACACGGAGAAACACTCCGCTCAGTTCACTGTCATCCTGCAGCAGCGATGTCCTCAAAGTTACTCAATAAAACTGATTCTTACTGTGAAAACACTCAACAGCTCTGCTAAAGTGGAGGGAGACACAGTCGACCTGTTAGTCACTGAGTTTCAACTAAAAAAACAAACATTATACGACATTCAGAACCTGAAAATATTCAACTCCAGCAAAATAAAGAGTGATGGTAAAAGCCTGTTGGTGGAGTTTGTGTATTAAAGAGGAATCATGAGCATCATGGTAACGGTTTATATCACAGTTTGTTTTTTCTCCTGTAAATTCAATTAACGTCTTAAAAATAACCAAACTGTCTCATTTGTTCATTTTCCTTTTATTGTTAAACTCAGATTTGTAAAGAAAACGTCAGACCAGTCTGGGGATTTTTGATCATATGTCGTACCTTTGGTGAAAGACTCTTTAGTCAGAGAGGAGCTGCTGCAGTTTGAGTTTTCGGTGCAGCAGGTGCGTCACGCGTCTTTAGTCTCTCATCATAGAGTTTGGCGTGTTTCATCTTTAGGTGGAGGGAGAGGTTGTTGGTGTTTCCTCCTCCACCAACGACAGCCACGTTCCTCCTCCTTTTCCTCGTGTTGGGTGGGTCGGTCTGCCTCCGTTTGTTCGGTACTGCTGCTAATCTCTGCGTCCGCCATGACCACCACCAGTGAAGCTGTTTCTTCTTCATTAAAACTATGTCGAGCAGTCAGCTGGACACGCTGGTGGTTACAGGGAGTAGGGCTCGACTGATTTATCAGCGAGCCGATTAAATTTGAAAAATTAGTTGAAAACGCTTTTCTGGTCCGAGTTTGATCAGTCGGTCTTCCTGTCAGCGTGAAGAGCAGTAGCCTACAGTAAATCTACAGTATATAGTATACTGTAGATTTACTGTATATATATATAGATTTTCTTTAACTTTAACTAATCGGCCAATTAATCTGTAATCAGATTTTTTCCACCCTAATAATCGGCATCAGCCCCAAAAAATCCATATTGATCGGCCCTAATAGGGAGCGCACCCAAACCTGACCAATCAAACAGAGCGAACAAACTCCACACGACACACTGGTGAATATACGGAAACGCACTCAAACAGACGCGCTCCAGCTTTACTGTTGGCGAGCGCAGACAACGACACACTGACTCAGAGAGACGCAGCAGACATCTGCTCTCTCTCTCTCTCTGGTATAATCGGTACAGCAACATTTCTACTGGAAGACACTTTTATACCATCATACCGCCCAACACTGATCAGGACTGATCGTTAATTTTTATTCATGACTCTGCAGGAGGATGAGTATCAGGCTGAGGGAGGAACAGCGAGCTGCAGGAACAGCCTCCAGAGCGAAGCTTTTCACTACAAGGTGAGATTTCATGGATTAAAATCATTTCACCGGCATGTACGGGACAAAAATCAGGAAAAACTGCTCAGACAGAGGGGGCGCCAAAAACAACAGCAAGCAGAAGTCACCAACTGGAGCTTTAAGGAGAAATAAAACTGTCCGTCTGTTCATCGAGTCGACTAAAAGGACCTTCATCAGAGTGTGTGAGAGGACTGACTTTAACCCATGAGAGGAGGTTTGTATGATCTCTGAATGATGTTAGTCTAATTTTATATCAATCTAAAAATTCATTTATCACTTCAGTCCGACAGAAACAGAACTTTTATTAATCCTGTCACTCTAACACACCTGGATAATGTCGGACACACCTGTGAGGTTATAAACTCAACATGAAACTTCAAACCATCTCCGATTATTCACACAAACTTTGTCCTGATTAACGTTTTAGTCGTAAGTTTTAACAAACTAAAACGTCTCCTTGATTATTTCACATCAACAAGTCCTCGCCGTCACCGTCGTCACTGAAGGCTGGCCTAAAAATATCACTTCCTCTGGGTAAATCCTCCTCACCTCACACACATACCAGAGCGCACGCTGCAATTAAAGCACATTTAATTTTAGTCTCATCTGGCATGTTAGCCGTACAAAGGTAGCAGTGTTAGCTGGAGGCCAGAGAGAGAGAGAGAGAGAGAGGGAACACACGGAGGTATTTATAGGGAAGAAAGTGGAGAGAGGGGACGGAGGGACGGAGGGATGGAGGGAGGGAGGAGTCTGGATCTGAGAGGAAGGAGAGTGATGACGACGGAGGAGGAGGAGGAGGAGGAGGAGGAGGAGGAGAGGTGAAAGGAAGGGAAAATGAAGAAGTTGGAATCATTATTCTAACGAGAGGATAAAAGTGTAAAAAGAGACGGAGGTTCAGAAAAACAGGAAACAGTTCAAAAGGAAGAAAAAGTCAGAAATAAAATTTAAAAAGTAAATAAAGAGTTTAGGTCCAAAGATTAAAGTCCGACAGTGACAGAGTTCATTAAACTACGAGTCTGTGACTGAACACATTTATCTTCATCATCATCATCATCAGAAACAGACCATAACACAGTCCAGACTGATTCATGACCCCCTAAAACCAAAGACCCAGATCAGAGGAGTCCAGACCCACCAAAACTCAGATCAGGATTTCATTTGTCCGTGACTTTCAAACTAAATCAGGACAAAGTGGTTCGCTGTCAGACCGGCATTAAAAACACACCGACTGAGACCGCAGTCCTCATCAGATCTGCGGCTCCACGTCGTCCTCCAGACTCACGCCCCAATATCTCATGTCTGTCTTCAACTGTCCTGTGTAGCACAGAGTCGACTGAAAGAGTTTACTCTCTACATTGGAAGTTTTAAGAAAGAACTTAAAACCTTTTTAGACCGGCTGTGAGCTGATGTTGACGTCTGCCCCTTTATTGTGTTTCTCTGTTTTCTATTGCATTCTATCCTTGTTGTAAAGCACTTTGTGATTTTATCTACGAAAAGTTAAATAAAAATTAAATTTACTTACTTATTTCCTTAAAGAAAAAACTGAAAAATCAGTTTAAAAAGCCAAAGAGGGAAAAAGCAAATCGGCGCTCGAGCTGAGGTCCAACGACAGAGTTTTAGAAAAAGAAAGTCAAAGATTTAGACTTTTATTTTGAAGTTTTAACTGTTTTTATTTTAGAGTTAAAATCATTCATTAAACTTATTAATCAGTCGATGATCAGCTGTCTCTGCAGAGAGGTGGACTCTGTCAGACTGACATGTTTTTGGGTTTTTCCACATTTATTGATCGTAGTGACCAACTGTCTGCAGAGACCATCTTTGTGGGTTCCAGACCTTTTTTAAAACCATCAGTTATATCTATTATGTTCCTGTAGAAATGCATACTCAGGAAAGTCTTTGTTTCATTTTGTCACAAATCGATAATTGCTAATGTCTCCGATTATTGATCACTCTGGATTTGGCTCCTTGGATCAGAACTCGAACCTCGTTCTTCAGGTGACGGTTGAGCTGAGGGACACCTGAGAGTGAAGTTTATCAAAGTTATAAATGAGGATTAAAAATCGTCGTCGTCTTATCCCTTTAAGAGGTCAAACGTCACGTCTTTTAAAAAAACTCGATGTTTTTATTTTTGTCCGACGTTCTCGCTCAAACACACGATCACAAGTATTTTAATAGACGGGCCTCCTCCTCTTCAAACACTCTGTACCTTTCTCCCTCTCTCTGTTCATTGTTCCCGGTTCAGGTGCTGTGCAGCGGGTTAATGGTTAACTCGGGCGCAGAGCGAGGGGAGGAGGCGGCGGCCATGAAGGAACGGTGACATTTCACCGCCATTATTCATCCCTGCTTTGTTCCCGCAGCAGCGAGGAGTGTTTGCTCTGGGATGGAGTGCAGGGCGGAGGGATGCTGAGATGGAGGGATGAATGGGGCAGGGTGTGGAGGAGGAGGAGGGTGATGGGGGGTCTGAGAGGTGAAGAAGTCACAGGGTTAAAGTGTGAGGAGGGGATAAGAGAGACAAAGACCTCTGTGTTCCTCCTTCACTATCTCTCCTTTAATCCTCATCTTCATCTTCTCTTGTCTTCTTCTTCTTCTTCTTCTCTGTCTTTTGTTTTTGAAGTTTTCTTCATGTTCGCTCTCTAACACACACACACACACACACACACACTCACACTCACACACACAGACTCACAGCTCTCTCCAGCTGTTTACATGGTGTGTTTGCACAATATGGTGTCTCAGAGGAGGAGGAGGAGGAGGAGCAGGGATGTTGAGCTCAGTCACGGATGTTCTCTCTCTAAACTTGCAGATCACCTCATCAGCTGTTCTCGTTACTGTTTCATGATCGTCAACCTGAGGAGGATCTTTTCTTATTATTTTCTTTCACTAATTCTTCTACAAACTCGATAAAGACGGTTCAGAGGAATAACTTTGTGTTTGTTCTTTTATTTCTGTAGAAAAACCTCTTTTTCTCCCTCCAGCGCTCTTTTACACGGCGCTCAAAAACAGCAGAGGTCTTCATCCTGATACACAACCAAACATCACTTCCTGTTTCAATCACAAACTCATCCAAGTTAACGGACAAACTTATAAAAGTACAAATTTAAAGGACAGATGAACAAATCTAACCCTCTAAAAAATGACTAAAACAGAAAACAAAGTTTCTTTAAGCCCGAAGTTACGAAGCGACCACGCCGATGATGATGATGGCGGTTAACCCCAGCAGCACGTGTCGGGTAAATAAAGCAGGAGTGTGGGCGGGGCTGTCAGGGGATTAGCATTAGCAACACAGAGTTTGGTGGAGGCTCGTCTCTGAGACGGGTCAGTATCACTGACTCATGTCAGCTGTGTGTACTCTGGCCTGCTCTGTTTGCAGCATCCATGTGAGCCTTTAACTCCGGCACGTCCAGAGGTGGAGATATTAACGCTCCATTCACCACGACTCCAACCAAAGATCGTGTTTCCTGAGACGATGCAGAGGAAACAATTTCCTCGGACAACGTTAAGACAGATGTTTATTTCTGTGGTCGGGGTTAAAATGTGGAACTCGCTACAGAAAACAGTTTAAAACAAATAAAGTATAAAATATGAAGCTGATGAGTCGTGTTTTTTGATATCCATACAGTCTGACGAGGATGTAAAGTTACAGGAAAATAACCTAAAGTGAACAGACCGTCTTATCTTATTGTTAATTTCTGTTTTTAGTGAGCGGATGGTGAAATAAGCTTCGTCTTCTACCTGCTCCCTTCTGGTCATGTTCTGAGCTTCATTTGATAAATACCTTTTAAAAAATGGTCATGAGCCGAACGAATAAAAACTAAAACGAAACAAAAACGACAACGTCATTGTGCGAAACAGCAGCTATGACCAAAATAGGACTGAAGTCTAACACCCGTCAGCTGGGCTGAAAAGTCCCAAACCGTGTCCACGGGTTCATCTGGACTGATCTGGGTCCAGCTGTCTGGTTGAACCCCTAAATCTGAGTTAAGTGGAATTATCTTCTGATTGAACCCTGAGCCGCCGTTCAGACAGTCAGTCGGACTATCGTACCTGTAAATCCATTTTCTCTGTTGGAGGCTCGATCAAACAGGAACCGGACAACATGTCTGCACCTCGAGCTTTGAGAGGGTGGGTGAACAGCATGGGTGTGTTGCTAGGAAACAGGAAATAGGAAAACAAAACACCAATAAGGAAATAAAACGTTGACTGACGGAGAAAAACACAAACGTTCCGAACAAACGGGACAGAGCTGAAAAAGTGACGGTACCCTAACCTGTTACCCGTTACCCCCCCTTAGTAAAAGATTAATCAGCTGTTTTCAGACGACCCAACAGAACCGGGGTGAACGGGGGATTCAGAACCTCCAGCAGCAGAGACTGGACCGGCCCGGTTTAAGGTTTAATGTAGAAACATGGAGACAGATTAAAAAACTGACACACACACACACACACACACACACACACACACACACACACACACACACACACACACACACACACACACACACACACACACACAGTTGTACACACCAGGCTTATCTGCTTGCGAGTTATTGTATGTATTGTGTCGTCCATTTGTATGTGTGTGTTTCTGCATACAGTGGGGTATATTCCTAGTTAGATCATTCACACACACATGCACACTCACACACACACACACACACACACACACACACACACACACACACACACACACACACACACACACAGAACAATGGCTGGCTTTGACAGAGGCGGGCTGTCAGAGGAGATGGGCTCCATCTATTGTCTGCTCTGTTTACTCACAGACTCACCTGGCACTGAGCTAATAAGGCCGACTCTATCTGTCAGTGCAGGGAACCGGGGTCTCAGCCCACACACACACACACACACACACACACACTTACACAATAACACACACACATATATAACTATAAACACCGCCGGATACACACTTACAAAACAGTTACATGTAATTCTGCACAAAGTTAATACAGATATGAACAAATGAAGGTTTGAAGAAGATGGTGAGAGGATTACTCTGACTGTAAACTGTGTGTGTGTGTGTGTGTGTGCGTGTGTGTGTGTCCAGTCACACCTGGGTGTCCCGGGTGGGTCTAAGTTAAGGGGAGGGTTTATGGAGGTGAGGGGGGGGTGCTCTTTCAGGTTTTTACCACTGTGCAAACACACACACACACACACACACACACACACACACACACACACACACAGTTAGTGGTTTGATGGGATCAGTTGGAAGCCTTAGAGTGACCCTGCCCCAACCCCACCCTTGTTTGATCGACAAGGCTGAGAGACGAGAGAGTGTGTGAGTGTGTGTGTGTGTGTGTGAGTGTGAGTGTGTCTGTGTGTGTGAGTGTGTGTGTGTCTGTGTGTGTGAGAGAGCATACTTCATGTCCTCATTTATTATGGACGTTCCTAAATCAGCTGTTTCCCTGTTTTGTGGCCCTCAGGTCGTTGTTTTTCTGCAGACTCTGATCTCAGACGTTCGTTTCTGTTTCTCCTCAGAAAAGTTAAAATTTTTCCGTACAGCAGGTTTTTAGGAGCACCGATCCTAACGCTCTTATTTTCTCCTAAATTGAGACTTTTTTTTCACCCTGTTGGTTTAAATGGATCACTGATAGCGGGCTGTACTCGTGTGTTTGACGGTGGACGGGTTCAGACCGGTGTCAGTCTCTCTCTGGTTCACTTTTCTGTCTCAAGGCCTTAAAGCCGCAGAAACAGGACCGACCTCGGCTGATAAAGCTTTTTTTTGTTGTTGTGTTCGGCTCAGACTTGGCCGCCTGCCAGCTGATAACAACACGGGGCATACCTGCCGCATTAATGATTGTTCGAGCCTGCCTCCTGCGCCTCCTGGCTCTTTATTGTAACATCAGGTTTTATCGTTTAGAAACGGAGCAGAAACTTCAGCTTATCAGGGAAAGGCATGAAGTCTGCGTACGGCAGTATCAGCTCAGACGCCGTACGAACGAGGATCATGTGGAGCGTTTAAAGATGGAGGAGGACCTGACCGAGTGAGTCAGGCGAGTCCTCATTAACCTGGAACAGTTCAGTGGACAGACAGTAATGGAGGGAGGGTCTTTATCCACAGAGGCATCTGTCACAGCGGGCTGCACACCACTGCTCCCCTAACTACCTGTAAGTGCTGCTGCTGCTGCCGCCACCGCCGTCATGTGACAGGATGCATCATCCCGAGGAGACTTCAGAGAGCTCTGACCAAAGTGACTGAAAGTGTTGATAAATAGTACAGCAGACATGGTTTCAGATATACTCATTTAAAGTTTGGGCCGTCTGAATGTCAAATAGTGCTGCTTTCGTCAATGAAAATTATGACGAAATATCGTCGTCAATGAACCTTTACCACGTGACGAAAACGAGACGAGACGAAGCGTAAATGTTGGTCTTGTGACGATAACTATAACTAAATATATAATGGAATATTGTTGACGAATAAAAACGAGACTAAATGTGGTTCACAAAATAAAAACTGATAAAATGTCTCTTCATTTTCATTGACTAAAACAAGACCAGATTAAATTGTTCAGTCGTGTTGTTATTGTTCCCGTTTCCTCGGCGACGTCACTTCCTCAGTCCCCTAACTCGCCGTATTTTTAGATGCGTTGGGCACAGACGTTTTCGGGTGATTTTGGAGTCATGGCTGTGTTGTCGTGGAGAAACAGAAGAAATGATACATGTATACACTTCAATTACAGACAAGTGGAAAACAAAACAGGATGTGTCGTGGAAAAAGAAAAAGGGAGAAATGCGACTGTAAAATGTATGTGTGTATGTAGCTTGTGTCTTTTGTGTGTAGTGTGTGAGCGTGTGTCTAGCCTAGTGTGTGTGTGTAGTGTGTTGCTTCATATAAAGCTGAGGACAGACTGTGCCGGCAGAACCTACATGGACCAGGATGCATAAAAGCAGCATCAGCCTCACCCTGTCCTACTGACTCCATTAATTACAGCTGAAAGAACAAGTCAGCCAAAACCCTGCAAACATCGTTCAGGAGTCACCACGAACACGAATCAAGCAGGTTGAAATCAGGTTAAAAAAGACTTTGTTGGAGAGTGAGCCAAAAGTAGCGGACTACCCCTTTATTTTGATCCTGTCATCCACTGCAGCTCTAAAAACAAGTTTACTCAGAGATACTGAGACCTACATACAGAGACAACAGTCAGACAGATGGATCGGTCCAGTGCTGCTGCAGGGTCAGTGTGGAGAAAAGCGGAACTACAGCTCCTCATGTGAAGCTCTATGAATAAAGAGGAGAGGAAGCAGATGACAGTAAAGACGTATTCACATAGGTGATGATGATGATGATGATGATCATACAGAGTCGATCAGTGTTTCCTTATCCTGCTCTGTTATGAACGTTTTTCAGGTATGAGCGGTTTGGAGTGAGTGCAGCGTCAGAGACCGAGCGCTGGGTCGGGCAGTGACCTGGGGGTTGTCTGGGCTGGATAAAAGGAAGTCCTGGTTAATGAGTAACCGTGGCGATGTGGCCTGGCGCTACAGGTGGGGTGGGGTGGGTGGGGGTTGGCCAGGAGTCATTCTGATAAGAGGCAGGGTGAGTTTTTGAGGGGGTGGGGGCGACGAAATACACAGACAGACTGGAGCGCTGTTTTTTTTACAGTCGCACAAATCAGCATTACAGAGAATTAACAGGTGGGCAACAGCAGCGAGTCAGCATCGAGTCAGCCTCAGGGATTTCCTCTTTATATTCATGTGTCAGTATTAATGCTGATTATTGTGCAACTGTCCACTGAGATGATCAATTAACAGACAAATACAGCGATCTGTGTCGTTGAACCGAAATGGAACAGTGAGAGAAAACTCCAACAAACACTTACAAACAACGACAAACACCAACACAACACCAACAAACACCAACAAACAATGACAAACACCAACACAACACCAACAAACACCAACAAAAACCAGAAAACACCAAAACAACACCAACACAACACCAACAAACACCAAAAAAACAACGACAAACACCAACACAACACCAACACAACACTGACAAACATCAACAAACAACAAAAAACACCAAAAAACAACAACAAACACCAACAAACACCAACAAACACAACACAACACCAATACAACACCAACAAACACCAACAAACACCAACAAAAACCAGAAAACACCAACACAACACCAACAAACACCAACACAACACCAACACAACACCAACAAACACCAACGCAACACCAACAAACACCAACAAACACAAACAAACACCAACAAACACCAACACAACACTGACAAACATCAACAAACACAAACAAAAACCAGAAAACACCAACAAAACACTGACAAATATCAACAAACACCAAAAAACACCAAAAAACAGCAACAAACACCAACACAACACCAACAAACACCAATAAAAAACAACAAAAAACAGAAAACACCAACACAACACCAACAAACACCAACACAACACCAACAAACAACGATAAACACCAACACAACATAAACACACACCAACACAACACCAAAAAACACCAACAACACAACACTAACAGCACCAACACACACCAACAAACAACGACAAACACCGACAAACACCAACAAACTTCAACAAACATAAACACAACACCGAAAAACACCAACAACACAACACTAACAGCACCAACACACACCAACAAACACCGAAAAACACCAACAAACACCAACAAACAAACACAAGCTAGTCCTATGTCTGTGACCCTATATGTCCTGTTGATGAAGTTAGGTGCTGTTCTGAGCATTATTTGTGGCTATAGAGTGGCGTTTTGGTTGGGGGCGTGTCTCTCTGTATTTCTATCCTGCGGTCGTTACTAAAGTTGGTATAACTAGAGAAGTAAGCGGTCGACAACATTCATCTCTGGAGGGGGGGTCTAACTCGGTGTTACAGTGTGTTTGACCCTAAATTAATTTTAAGGTGGAATATCCCTTTAAAGTCTGAATGATAAAGTGAGTTCAGCTCAGCAGCAGTTCTGTTTGTAGTTTTAGTACAAAGTCTGACACCAGGAGCTGCAGTAAGAGCCAGACTGTTTCAGCCGCTGGTTTATTGATCTCAAAGAGGGAAATTCCTTCTCCAGCTAAAATACCGTAAGTGATGTAACACAGGGACCAATCAGAGCGCAGATCTCTGCGGCTGAAATCAAGGTTCACTGTGGCGCAGCATCGGCGTAGAGAGGTTTGGAGCAGGAATGTGAAGGCGGTTCAGAGACGTTTAGACAGCGCTGATAAGACCCCCTGATACTGACCTAAAAGGGTTACCATGACAACCAACACCACCTTTAACCCCAGCACTTAAGCTTCACTTCCTCATTCTGGACAGCGAGATGAAAGAGAGACTCACTTTAGATTTTCATCAGGAGTCTATCCAAACAGGTAAAGAGTCAGGACAGGTACACCTGAGCCGCCTCAGCACACCCCACTCCGACCGGTTTCTACTGGACGTCATCACGCCGCCATAAAAGCAGCATCTTCCCTCAGCTCCCCGCCCTACACGGATCCTGGATGCGTGACTAAACCTTGGCGAGTCTGTGCGGTTTTCATCCTTCAGCGGCTTCAGTTTGATGAGTTAGATCGATGATAACGACACTAATCCTCATCTCATCAGACCAAACTGTCATCTGAAACCCTCAGTGTCCAAATCCGCTCCGTCTTAAACAGCTTTACTCCTGCGCTCTGTTTTCCTTCTGTCTTAGCGGGACAAAGGCGTGTTTGAACCACAACAATGAGGAGGAAATCCTCCGCTTTCATGGTCGGGGTGTAAAGTTTGGGGTCCGAGCTTTAAGAGTTAAACTAATGAGGAGGATACAAAGATTCACCTCCTCCTCTTCCCACACAGACCTGGTTCGACCGGACTGGGTAATCAGTTACCTGCTCTATCTGACCTGCCATACTCACAGAGCCTGCTCACACACACACACACACACACACACACACACACACACACACACACACAAAGCCCCCAAAGTCCACTTGAAAAGTCAGCCCACGTCCACACCAGAGTGGGTAAAAGCTTTCAGCGCTCAGATTCATTTCACTTAGACTCAGACTGGATCTGAGAAAGTGATTAAGAAAAACTGGAGAGAAGGAGGAGAAAGGAGAGGAGAGCAGGGAGAGGAGCAGGAGGAGGTTGGTGTTTATACCTCTGTTAGCTCCTCCTTATTTACTCGTCCATCTGCTGCCCTATTTAACCCTCAGTTCCTGTTAATTTTAAGCTCCATCCAGCCGACTTTGTCCCCAAAACCCACATGCAGATAAATGTTAAAAAAATAATCCTTTTTTAACATTTTTTTGACTCATATCTCTTAAACAACTTCAGCCCTGACCATTAAAAAAAATAATCGATAAAAAAAAATGTTACACCCTTTTTATGCCTGTTTTTGTGCACCATGTCACTGCTATTTTTAATGGTAAAAACCACAAAATCTCCATATTTCCCAAATAAAATGACCTGGATGAAAACCTTTTTTTCCTTCCACACATATCCCACTCTTAGACATCCATATCTAGTGTCCTGTAAAGTTTCCTTCATTTCTGATGATGTTTAGTGGATGAATCTTCAAACTCTCTCTTAGTCCATGAATGAAGACTTTGGGGGTTAAAATGATGTGCGGCTCAGTCTGTTGTCTCACTGTGGGAAAGTCAGATTTATCGACTGACTGCAGAAAAAAGGGTTTAATATGTTGTTATGGAGCCGTAAACACACGCTCAAAAAAACTGTTTTTAATGGAAGTCTATTGGCCGATTTGTGGACAAAGGATGGTGGGCGGAGCTAAAATGCAGCGACAGAGAAAAACAAGTGACACGTTTTTGTTTGTTTTTTTAATATAAAGAAAATATCGATGACAAAAATGACAAAAATGTCCTCAACATGGAGGTTGTAGGAACTGAAGGTTAACTGAACAACATACTGGCGCTGCAGCGTCCTCCACGTCTGTGTGGACGTATTTCATCACAACAACATTAGAGTGTCTGACAGAACTCAGGACTCAGGATCCAGGACTCAGGACTCAGGACTCAGGACCCAGGACTCAGGACTCAGGACTCAGGACCCAGGACCCGAGTTCATCACAACACATCCTCTACAGTTTAGCAGACTCACATCAGTCTTTGACCCCGTGAAGAGGATCTGGGCCATCTATCAGCCTTCACCTGAACACTCTGTTCTCTTTTCTCACTATTGTCACCCACAGACCTCCCCCACACTCCCCCACTGCTGGTCACCAAGTCCAGCTCTCACACACACACAGAAGGGGGGGGGGGCTGGTTTACTGTCAAAATCAATACCTGATAGTTTTGTTTTCCCCAAATTTGTTCTTTAAGGAGGAGTGAGGATCCCGTCGTCATGAAAATCACCCAGATCTTTGTCCAACTGATTCAGCTCCCTAAATGTCGTCTTCATTGAAAAGTTGGACATATGTGTGTCAGAGTTCAGAGGTTAAATTTATGAACTTTTCCTGACAGCCGAGCGGAGGAACGTCGGAGCTTCATAAAAACTTTTCACACTGAGTGAGAAAGTTTAACAACTCCGACCTGAAGGAATGTTTTGTTGTGGCTCACAGCACCTCCAGAGATAGGTGTGGTCCAGGTACTGTGACTGTGTGTGTGTGTGTGTGTGTGTGTGTGTGTGTGTGTGTGTGTGTGTGTGTGTGTGTGTGAGAGGTCACAGTTAGGGGATGACAGTTTGGAAAGCAAGGGCAGGTATTTCAGCGTTTACAGCTTTAGGATGAGCCTGCTGATTTCAGTATCTGATCAATGATCTCTCAGGAACAGTTACCTTCTATTGAGCCTGATAAGAAGTCAACAGTCAGTCAGTAAGTCTCCATCAGTCAGTCAGTCAGTCAGTCAGTCAGTTGGGTGTTGACTGGTTTGCCACAGCCTAAGAAGGCGACGTTCCACTTCCTCCTCTACATCCTTTAACTGCACAGACAACTGGCTCTGCTAAGATCCTGGAAGAGCTGTGTGTGTGTGTGTGTGTGTGTGTGTGTGTGTGTGTGACACAGAGAGAGAGAGAGAGAGAGAGAGTTAAAGGGACACTGAGAGGTAGAAAGAGAGGGAACAAAAGATCAATAGTGAGTAATGAAGCTGAGGACAGAGTGGGAGGACGTGAGTCAGTTCAGAACACCGGGTGCAAACCTGTGCACGTGTGTGTGTGTGTGTGTGCGTGTGTGTGTGTTGTAAATAAACTCTTCTACAGCATGTTCCTAAAGTTGACCTGATCCTTACAGAGGACCTGTGACTGACAATGGACTGATTAATTCACATTTTGACATAACTGAGTTTAAAATATTGATTTGATCAATAAAGTTCTTCTGATCATTATCGGCATAAGCACTTAGATGACTGATATCACCATCCTCATGTTGACATGATCGCTGATCGGTCCCATCACTTAGTAAATCTAAAACAGCGGTAACAGACCTGTTTATCAATATAACCTCATATCTGAGTCTCCATCTTAAACGCGCGTCTGGTTTATATAAACATAAATATGTTAAATTTTAATGTGTGTAAAATAATTAATACATACATAACTTTCTTCTTTTATTTAACCAAATGTTGATTTATTTCGATATCACATTGTTGTTGTTGTTGTATTGAACTGAGACAAATATTTCTCCATCTACAGCTATTTCATTAAAGCTCCTGTGATAAACTTCCTGTCTGTGATGATTGTGGCGCCCCCTGTGGACAAAGTAGTAACCCTTATATCATTGTAAAAGAGACGCCCCCCTACTGCAGTATGGACATTATCAGTCTTGTGGTAAACGGCCTCATAGAGACGCATTAACGTTTATTTTCGTCTGTCACAAAAAACTCTAAATATCCAGAAATCTTGTTTTTAATCGGTTTGTATTTAAAGCTCCTGTGAGGAGTTTTTGGACGTTCATGAAATCGATAGAAATTTAAATCTGTAACTTTTAATGATATCCATAAAAGACCATCGGCTATAAGAATGAAGATTTTTAACTCAGTTTCCACATAAAATATAGTTGAATGTCAAAAACCAGAAAGATGAGATCAGCAAAGACTGCTGTGTCCACAGGGGGGCACCAAAACAGACACAGGAGCTTTAATTATTGTATTTTGTCCAATGTTTAAAATAAATATATATGTATATAAATAAGTATATGTGTGTGTTGGCTGCTCTCTCATACTCTGAATCCTCATTAATCACTTTAAAACTATAATCCGTCGACCGTCGCTGCTGCCATTTTAAAAACGGGTCAATTACTGAAAGTCGATGACACAGAGGATTAAAAATATTATAATATTTATCAGAGTACAGGACAGTTTTCTGGGATAGAGGATGTAGGAAGTCAAATCACTCAGCTGAAGTTAAACTATGAAAATTAAACTGATTTATTTAGGGCAGAAAACGTCTGATTTTCAAAATCAGAGACGTGAAAATAAAGAAATGCAGTAAAGATTTTCAAACACCAACATGTGAATAAGATCTCTAACCCTCTCTGCACTCGGCTCGTCGGGCTGTTGGCGGTCAGGTCTGATGATGTCAGAGTTTTAACAACCCAAACAGCCATAAACACAAAGTCAGACTCTTCAACCTTTTCACCGAGCAAAACTAAAGGAAATAAAACAGCTGAGGAGTTTTAGTCCAGTCTCACACATTTCCAGAGAGGTGAACTCAAGTCTCCCATGAGATTATTTGTTTAGATCCGGTTTTATTTGCTTAATCTTTGACGGTGAAGTTAGCTGGAAGGCACATGTTATTCTTAAGGAGCAGATTTCTGCCTGTTTGGATCCCGACACAAGTCACACCGGAGTGAGGAGAAGACAGAAACAGAGACACAGCAGACGCTCTGAGAAACTCTGAGATGGTATAAAGTAGAGGAGGTTGTAAATCAGTCACCCAGAATGCAAAGGGGTAAAGCCATTTGTTTAAAGTGAAGCTTCTTTAAGCAGAACTACACGGCATTAAAAAGGGAAGTGTTGACGGGCTCAGTTAAGCGCAGGTATCTGTTGATGACTCACTGAGTTCAGCCGTGACGCAAGATCACAGGGACACAAACACGCCTTCCTTCAGCAGGACCTCCAACAGGAAAATTAAAGCTTCAGTCGTTTAATCTGTTAACTGACGACTCCGGCCGATTCAAGAGAAAACGGACAAATAACCCGGCTATAGATGAGACAGAGTGTTTTTAAAGCACACGTTGATACGAGTGAAAAATGACTCACTTCAGATTTTTAATCGTCTCATCAGTGATGAGTCAAACTAAACTGTTGGGAAAAAATAACATTAGTTCTCAGAAACAAAGCCGTGTCAAGAACACCTCTGTCTTCCTCAAATGCTGAAGATTTCCTGACTTATTCAAATGAAAAACAAAAGTCATGCAGGTTTTTTTCTCTCTCACAGGTGAGTGTGAATTTAAGCATCACTAACAGAGAGGACAGGACGGATCTGTACTGTGGAGGTGAACTACGTCAGATTTTTATAACCTCCTCCATAACTCAGCCTCTGTTGCTGTAAAAAAATAAAACTGTCTGGGATATTCAGGGTCTGTCTCCATGGTTACACACACCTATACACATGTCGCACACCTCAGAGTGCAAATAAACACACTTTAATCTATCCTAATTATCAGTAAAACTGTGCAAACATACATACAGAATAAAACGAGCTCCACTGTGTCTGTGATCACACATGTTCACGTGTGGAAATGTTGGAATTGTTTCAGTCTGACTCTCGTTTCACTTCAAACAAAAGGAGATACGAACATCCACCACACCTTCGTTAAAGGAGACTCTGCGATTTTTAAAGGTCTCCTCTATCACTCTGCACTGAACAAAAACACCTGAACTGTTTAAAGCCTCTCTGCTGAGTCTGAGTTTAACCATCCAACCTTTAGAGGTCTGTCCCTGCACTGTGGCGCCCCCTGTTGACAAACACTTGTTACAACTATGAGCGAGTGAACTGAAGCAAAGACATGAGCAGCACTGATCATAATTAATCCGTCTGATATGACAGCTTTGGTCTCTGTTGAGCTTCATAATAATAGAGAAACAAACAGACTTTGTTATGTTTATAATCCGTCATATTTCCATCAGTGTGGCTCTACTCTGTCTCCTAAAATATGAGCAGTGCTTTACTGTGACAGGCTGAGTTAGTTTAGGGGCGCCGCGTTCACTCTGTCACTACTCTGCAACAAAAAATTCACACTCATCCTCTCTGTCGTCGTGCTTCACCCTCATATTCATTCATTCATGAACTTTTCCTGACACAGGATGAAGATTACCTCTTCCTAACACTGATACAGTTTAAAGTCTTACACATGTCCGTCTGAAATTAAACTCAATAAACTGTTTAACATGAGAGAATTATGCCACCGACGCTCAGCTTCACCTGCATCGTGTTATTTTTCAGTTTCTTTGTGTTGAGTTTGTCAAATGAAGCGCCACACTCACTTTAATACGATCTGATCACTTTGTAATATTTTCATACATGTCTAAGATCTCCCTTATTTACACTCAAAGTTTAGTCTGACAGTTTTAATTGTTTCACGAGTGAATAAACTGATATGTTTTAGAAAAAGAAAAGCTGAAAGTCTCCACTCCTTCTCATGTGTTTAGAGTTTCTCACCTTCTTTCTTGCAGTTGTGCAAACATCTCCAGGGTATTTTTCCATCTCACTTCACATGTCATCTGGTGATGAGGGAGCAAGGCCATAAAGAAGCTGGAGAAAAAAAGGTTTTGTACATTAGACACAGTTAAATTTAGGCTAACCAACTATCCATCCAATCCGCTTTATATAGCAAATTTAAAAAAACATTCAAGTTTAGTGCTGCACAATAAAATTAAAAGAACAAACACTGCAGAAAACATCAGGAGGAAATCAGAATAAAAAATGAGTTTTACTTATAAAACTATAGAACTATAGATTTAAGTTTACACTTTAAAGGTCATGACACTTTATATTTAAATGAAAGAAACTCTCTTAACTACCAATTTAATTCACCTCAGCCCTATTTATGTGGAGCCTTTAATTCATACAAACATGCAGCCCAAAGTTTTTCACAAAAGGACAGATAGAAAACGAATTTAAGTTATTAAAGGAAACAGTAATATTAGAATACAATACATGAATAAAAAAGATAATAAAGTAATAGTCTTGGATGTAGCCTACAGTCGTGGATGTTTGATTGTAAGTTGTGATAGTTTAACTCAGTTTGAGGTTTGGTGTATTAACTTAAAGTGTAAATATGTTTATAGACCAAACTAAGACACAGAAACGAAGAGTTTACAGAGTATGAAATAAAACAAGAGGTCAATCTAAATCTCTTATAGAAAAATACTTTTTTTTTTAACAAGTTGATTCAGTCTTTACTCTGTTTTACCTGCGGAAAGGTGAGTAACTTCAACCCAGGTCTGAGAAAAATAAGGTCGTGGACGGTCTTTCCTCCTCGACCCCACTCTGAACAAACCGCCCGAACATTTTAAAAACACATTAAATAATTTATATTTTCTTAAACTCGTTAATTTTGAAGCCTGAACGAGTTTATTTGTTTATTTTCACACGATACGGTTGAGTCAGATTCGCGCCTCTCCATCTTCATCGCAGGTCAAATTAAGACCTCCTTTTCACTGCCGCGCGCCACGAGCACCTCCGTGTGGTCAAAATCAGGTAATGCAGTACTGTAACTCTCCTCTGCTACGTCACAAGGATTGCTCTCCTCTAATTGGTTGCCCAACTTTGATCACATGACCGCCTCTGCTCTCACTGTCCTGCTTGTTATTTTGTGAAAAAGCCTCTCTGTTGTTTTTAATCATGAAGACTGAGCCTCCATGTTGGTTTGATCAGGAGTGAAGGTGTTGACTGTGATCCTCGTGGACCTGTGGGGTCAGGTAGGTGGTCGGTTTTTTTTCGGGGTCGAGAGATTGTGGGTTGACTTTGTTGTTTTGCTCAGTCAGCGGCTTTCCCAGCAAACGTACACAGAGCTGATTACGTCTGAATTAAAACACTTAATGAGAGTGAAACGGTTATACAGAAGGTAGTTAGTCACATTCCCGCCTTTTCTGATCGCTGTTCTGCACCAGGTTTGTATTTTTAGCCTTTAGCTAACTCAGTTTGTTCGAACACAGTAAGTTTGTCTCCTTTGACTGACCCGGATCCTCCAGATAAAACCAGGTCTCTGGGTCTCTGTGAGATCTTGTTCTTCTGGGTCTCTGTGAGATCTTGTCCCTCTGCTCAGATAACAGACCGTCTTTGTCCTCTGTCCTCACAGAGCTTCATTTAGTGTTGTGTGGTTCGCGAACGATTAGTCCAAAAGAACCGAATCTTTTAAGTGACCTTCACTGAACCGAATCACTTTCCTGAGTGATTCGTTTGTTCCTCACTTCAGTTGAGCTGAAGAGAGAAACAGCGACTTAATCCCAAACTGCCCCCTAACCCTCGCCCTTCACTGCTGAGTGACACTCGTAATGAAGTTACACTCACAGCTGTGAAGTGCGTCTTAATTGAAATGGGAGGGTATAAACAACACTGGCAGGTATGGGACGCCCTCTTTAACGAAAAGATTCATTGCCATAGCAACACAAAGATGCGTCCTGTGCAAAGCAGCGTTTATTTTCTTAGTAAACAGACATCATGTTCAGCTCTGAGCCGCACCGTCTGCCTCGTTTCTTCATCTTCCCAGTATCATCGTAAATCCAGGAACCATCACAGAGACAGGAGCTAAATTACACTTCAGATTGTTAGTGATTCCACTCGTCTTTAAACCCCTTTACTATTTGACATGTGTCGGCACAATCAAATCAAACAGAGTAAGATTTCCGACTTCTGTTTGGTCTTTCCAAACCACGTCTTTTGTGAATTTTTTTGTCGGGGGGGAAGCAGTCCGTTCAGGAGAAAGGCGTGTAGCTTTTGATAAACTGACGCCTCCATTCTGATGCGGGCTCACTGATGCTGCTGAGGCTGCTGAACAAGTGTCAAAGCTGTTGCAAAGATGGCTAGTAGAGGAAATGTTCAGTGAACGAATCACTCACTGAGTCCAATTTACTGAGAAGACCTGATAAATAACATATTATAGGACAGTACACTTCAAACATCATGAGTTTTGCCAAAGCGACACAGACAAACACTCGTCTGTCCCAGAAGCTCCAATCTGAACTGAGTCCTGAACCGTTCAGCTGTGTATCAGTCCAGGAGGTCGGAGTCGCAGGCTTTTTCCACTAAGGGCTACATGAGTCAGTGATTTGGTAAACGAATCTTTTGAACGAATCTTTTTTGTGAACTGATTCTAGTGATTCAGTACATCTAGAAGAACTGTGGTGCCCATCACTAGCTTTATTCTCAGACACTCTTACATGTGTTTATCCGCTCTAAAATCACGTTAAGAGTATTTTCTTCATGAAGAGCTCAGTAAATGTTTTGATAATTCAGATTTTAAATAGTTTTTCCTTCTTCAGTTTCAGATTAACCAGCACAGTTTGGCTCCAGTTTCACACAGCAGTGGTCGACAGATATCAGTTTCTCAACGGCTGTTAGTCTGTTTTTATGATGATATTGATGCTAATAAATGAGATCTAAAAACTGTGACTTTAATCAAATGTTTTATCAAATAAATGTAGATGGGAAAAAAAGTATAGTTTGATTTCTGTCCAGCTCTTTGAAGTTTGTAAGAAATGATAAAACATACAAGCTGAATGTCAGTATTATAATTAACCTGCATTATTCTTATATTAGAACAGAGTTTATACCGAACAATATCTGATGCCAATTATGAAAAAATCTCTTTTATCAGCCAACCGGTCAGTTTGTCTATCTTTATCGGTACATTATGAGTCAAACACGCTGCAGCAGGTGTTTTTTCTGGATACACAAAGCTGCAAACAAACTTCACAGCGTGTTTATAAACCTGCGAGAACAGCTGTTTTTCTTCAGTCCTGTTGGAAACTCGTTTCATTCGACCGTCTGTTGGTACTTCGGCAGCTTTAATGGGTCACATGTTGATGTGGAGAGACACACAGACTCTTGTGACTGAGATCTCTGATCTGTCACAGTCAGCACTAAAGAGTCTGTACTTCCTCTCTCTGAGAAATCCAATCTCAAAAATCACGAGACCTCTGGATCCAGTAAACAGGGTTTTTTTTGTTGTCGTCTCTGTTTTTCGCGGCACACCTGTCTGCAGCCGGACGCAGCTGAAGCTGTGTGTGTCTTTGTAAAAGCTGGACAGGTGATTCTCTGTCTGTGCTGATAAAAACATCTAGCAGCTTCTCTTTGTTTGGCCTGTAAAGGTGAGTGTGTGTTTTTGAGTGTGTGTGTGTGTGGAGGAGAGACAATGCAGTTCGAGACTGTTGTCATTTCTATAAAGCAACTTTTCAAACTTTGTTTACTGGCGGTCAGTTCGGTGAACGGATTCAGTGTTTTCGTTCTTTTTGTCCCTTCTCGCAGCTGTTTTTATTCAGTTTATAAATTACTAGTAAATATATGACGGTTGAAGTGAAACAGTGACACACAACAGTAAACGTGTTGAATCTGTTTACATGTCAAAGTTATTTTCCTGCTTTGGTTTCAGTTTGTTCTCTGAATTTTCAAACTCAGAACGTTAAAGACGTGACGTACCGTGATGAGTTTTTGTCCTCCTCTTTGTTTACAGATCCTCAAATCATCATCTGATCCGAGCTGCCTCGACTAAAATCTGTTAATTCTGATGTTCAAAATGAAGACGGACATCCCTTACAACCAGGTACGGAGCGTTTATCAGCGATCACCGTTCACTTCCTCACTTTGTATTTCTGATCCTAATTTGGACGTTTTAGGCACTAGAAAAAACTTTTCTGCTCATATTTATCAAAGTTTTGAGGTGCAGATTTAAAACAAACAGATTAAATATAAAGAAATGTTGGTGGAGCTCACATCAACATTTAGATACAGACTTTAGAACACACAGAACCAGAGGAGGGAACAGACGAGTTTGTAAAAACAGTGATAGAGTTGAAGTGAAGAGGACTGAGTCTCCAGACTGTGAGGGAGTTTCTCCGACTTCAGAGAGTTCAGCTCGTGACTCAGATCAGATCAGAGGAGCTTCCTCATATTCTGGGTTATAATTCCAGAGTGACTCAAGTTTCACCGTCATAGCTCTGCCTCACATCCTTATTTTGAAGATTTGATAAACACTTTCACTTTAAAAAACTCCCACGAGTTCATAACCGATCACTGAAGAGCTGCGAAAACAGCCGGACTAAAACCAGAGAAGGTTTTACTCACTGCTACGTTTGGACTCTCTTCTTACTTTGCTGTGACGTCAAATGTCATTGAGGTCAAGATTTGGACAAAATCACCTAATCAGCACTGATCCTGCAGGAGCCTCTATTTTTATTTATTTCTACTTTATTTTTCCGATTTAAAAATCACAACACAGCAGTAAAAAGTTCATGCAGATACACGTCCTCATCGTCTCCGTGTTTTTGTTGTTTTGTGTGTGTAGTTGGTGGATGCAGAGAGGAGGAGACAAGAATCACACCGGAAAGCCGAGCTGGTTTGTTACACACACACACACACACACAGAAAATCAAACCAAGTCATCAGAGGAGAAAGACTCCATCACAGTCCTCACGTCTGAAAATCAAACTCTGGTTCACTTCCTGTTGATCAGCAGCCGGACTGTCTCTCTCCCTTTAGTACTCCAGGTGTGTGATCGCTCTCGCCACTGTGGCCACGGTGCTGCTGGCCGTCATGGCTCTCTACAACCTCCTCACACCGCGAGTTTCCTCAGAACATCCCGCCCTGAGCCCGTCCCTGAGCAGCAGCCTCCAACTGCCCCAGAGAGAGTCCTGCTTGGACCCCTGCAAGTAGGAGAACCTCTCCACCCGTCTCCTTCCTCCTCCGCTTTCTAACTAGTAAAAACGGACAGATGTTTTTTTCCCTGATGCTCCTCACAGATCGCTCTCTTTCTCCTCTTCAGCATCGTTCTGGTGGAGAGCATCCCTGAAGGTCTGGAGTTTAATTCCAGCACCGTACACCCCTCCATCTTCCAGGCCTGGGTAAACCTGATGTCTGAGGCTCGCAGCAGCGTGGACATCGCCTCCTTCTATTGGACGCTCACCAACAAAGACACCGGCACTCATGAGCCAACAGCCTATCAGGTGGGCTGGAGCTGTGAGCGGCTCACGGTTTAACCCCAAAATAAAGCTTTAATAAAATAATCCGACATGAACGTGTGAATCCCTGTCCTGCTGTGTCACAGGGGGAGACGGTTCTGAAGAAACTCGCCGAGCTTTCGGGGAAAGTTTCTGTTCGAATCGCCGTGAACTCACCGCAGGAGAGCCAACCACAGGACGACCTCCGACTGCTCAACGACTCGGGTGAGGACGCGGGACGAGTTTTCAGGAGGTCTCAGCGTAAATGTTCTAACTTAATACGAATCATCAAAAATACTCGATGTGTGTTTGTGTTTCAGGAGCTCATATCAGAACCGTCAACATGAGGAAACTCACCTCAGGGGTCCTCCACACTAAGTTCTGGGTCGTAGACAAGAAACACATTTACATCGGCAGCGCCAACATGGACTGGAGGTCTCTCACTCAGGTACGCAATCACACAGGTCCACGTTCACACAGGTCCATGTTCACACAGGTCCATGTTCACACAGGTCCACGTTCACACAGGTCCATGTTCACACAGGTCCACGTTCACACATGTCTACATTCACACAGGTCCACGTTCACACAGGTCCACGTTCACACAGGTCCATGTTCACACAGGTCCATGTTCACACAGGTCCACGTTCACACAGGTCTACGTTCACACAGGTCCACGTTCACACAGGTCCACGTTCACACAGGTCTAAGTTCACACAGGTCCACGTTCACACAGGTCCACGTTCACACAGGTCCACGTTCACACAGGTCCATGTTCACACAGGTCTAAGTTCACACAGGTCCACGTTCACACAGGTCTACGTTCACACAGGTCCACGTTCACACAGGTCCATGTTCACACAGGTCCACGTTCACACAGGTCCACGTTCACACAGGTCTACATTCACACAGGTCCACGTTCACACAGGTCTACATTCACACAGGTCTACATTCACACAGGTCCACGTTCACACAGGTCCATGTTCACACAGGTCTACATTCACACAGGTCTACATTCACACAGGTCCACGTTCACACAGGTCCACGTTCACACAGGTCCATGTTCACACAGGTCTACATTCACACAGGTCCACGTTCACACAGGTCCATGTTCACACAGGTCTACATTCACACAGGTCTACATTCACACAGGTCCACGTTCACACAGGTCCACGTTCACACAGGTCTACATTCACACAGGTCCACGTTCACACAGGTCCACGTTCACACAGGTAAACGTTCAGCCCCCAGTGGAAAAGAATCAGTTTTTATATTGAAACTCAGAATCTAGATTCCCGAGGAGAGGAAGAAGTTAAGATCTTCTGACTCAGAGTTTCTCGGGCGTCTGATCCCAGCAGGTTTGATTTCCTTCCCCTTTTTTAGAGGAAGTTCTCCGGCTGGCACAAACTCCCTGTCACACGCCATGGCGCTTTAATGACGTTTGTTTGTGCCGAGAAATCTTCCTTCCTCTGACTCAGAGAAGTTATTTGGTTAACCAAAGATACTGACAAAGACAAAGAAGGTCAGAGAAGATGTAGATCTAAAATCTGTTGGTCCGCAGGTGAAGGAACTCGGCGCCGTGGTCTACAACTGCAGCTGCCTGGCTGCAGACCTGGGGAAGATCTTTGAAGCCTATTGGTTCCTGGGAGAAAGTCAGTCAATCCCGTCACCTTGGCCCACCAGCTTCTCCACCCTCTACAACAAAGACACGCCCCTCCAGCTGCCACTCAACGACACGCCGTCCAACGTCTACCTATCGGTGAGAAACGTCCAGAAGGGGGAGGATGAGGTTCTGAACATGAGCTCCATGAGACCGAATCATGAGAGCGGCTCTGTCGGCTCGTGAACGTCAAAGAAACTTCATTTTCTGTCAGTTTGGTCTGAAACATCTCTAAAACATCTTCTCTCTCTCTCAGAGCTCTCCTCCGTCTTTCTGTGCCAGCGGCAGGACCCCAGACCTCCAGTCCATCCTGAGTGTGATGGAAGACGCCCAGAGCTTCATCTACATCGCTGTCATGAACTACCTGCCCACCATGGAGTTCTCTCATCCTAAAAGGTAGAAACGATCACAGACTCGTGTTCATAGTTCAGAGTTAGAGGAACATGTGCCGTCGTGATCTCCGAGTATTTCTGCGCCACTTTGGTTCACAACTGACTGAAACATCTCAACAACAACAGGAAGTTCAGCACAGAGATCCGAACTTCCCATTGTCTTCAGGACTTTCCAAACATGGGGATGTTTCTCCAGCACCTTTAAATGTGCAGAATTAGGTCAACAGTTTGATCTTCAGTTTTGTTATCGGGTCAGATCTGCTCGTTTGGTCTCTTTTGTTTCTTATCCTGAAAACTCAAACGGTGCTTCATCCTGTCAGAGGATCATCAGTTACACATGGTCATAAATCAGTGACCGATTGAACGACCACTGAAGACCAAACACGGATTAAAAAGAGAAATGTTCATATGAGTTCTATTCTGCCTGTGGCGCCCTCTGCAGGTACTGGGCAGACATTGACACTGAGCTGAGAAAGGCGGCCTATGAGAGGCGAGTGAAAGTCCGGCTCCTGATCAGCTGCTGGGCCAGCACTCAGCCCATCATGTTCCCCTTCCTCAGATCCCTTGCCTCGGTTTACGACCCCAAGAGCAAACTGGACGTCCAGGTGGTACGTGAACCTTCAGTCCGTCTGTCTGATTAAAAAGACGTTTTAAATGAAGTCTGAAACGGATCACCTGTAGACCTCTTGTCTCCTCATATCCAGAGGCTGTTTGTGGTCCCTGCCAGTCCGGAGCAGAAGGAGATTCCTTTTGCCAGAGTGAACCACAACAAGTACATGGTGACCGACAAGATCGCTTACATTGGTAAGACATCGGCATCTTACGACGGAGTATTAGGGCCACAAGAAATGATTTTATTACGACTTTATTCTCTTAAGTAATTACAGTCTTTTTGTTTTCTTACTGGCCCTAATATTCTGTCGTAGCATCTTTTAATAAATCCAATAATTGAGTTTGGTCTCTGTAAATGTGTCAGCAGAAAAGAACCGATCATGAGTTTGGCGCTCTGTCCTCAGGTACGTCGAACTGGTCAGGTGACTACTTTGTGAGCACAGCTGGTTCTGCCTTGGTGGTGAATCAAACTGGATCCGAGTCCACGGAGCCGACCGTCCAGTCCCAGCTGAAGGCCGTGTTTGAGAGAGACTGGAGCTCCGACTACAGCACGCCTCTCACCCAGACCGCTAACCTCAGAGACTTGTGTTGATCGTCACAGTGTGAATCTGACGCTTCTGTGCAGCGCACGTTTCAGAGCGTCCTCTCAGGGGAGCAGGTCTTTATGGGTCTACTCTGTCGGGGTTCTTCTCTCTCTTTCTCAGACCTGCTGTTTTTATCATCTCTGCCTCTTCTTCACTCCGAGAACATGTGTCCCACCAAACACCAGAGACCGGGCTGTAAGGTCAGATCGGGCTCCAGGCAGCAGAAGGACATCACACTAAAGTTCAACTGGAGTCGATTTGATTTTGCAGTTTGGGTCCTGTGGTGTGAGCAGCAGAAGGGGGCGCTGTGCTGAGGCTCTCCTATCATCTGTTTATTGGTCAGTGTTGAGTTTAAAGATCAATCTAAAGCATCTCTTCATTACAAGACTTCAGCTAAGAGGGATTTGTTCGTTTTTTCTCAGGGAGGAACGTTAGAGTTTAGTTTTTATATCATTTTAATTTGCTGGAATCATGAAAACTCTGACGGGCGTGTCGGAGTCGTTTCTGTCTTTGGTTTTTAAAGTAATAGATGTGATTTTAAAGTCTGCAGTGGATCAGAGGTTTGCAGAAGCTCTAAAGGAAAATGAGCTCATTTAATTTCCACCGTGTGGAGTGATTCAAAGTACCAATTAGTGAGGAGACAGTTGTTATGGTAACTCTCCAAAGAAGCGTGTTTTATAGCCGAGTGTGCGAATGAAAGCTTTGGAGCTGCTGGTGTTCATGTCTGTACTTCTCTCCTGTTTATAAAGAACTGACTCCAAATAAAAGTCTTTAAATTCAAACCTGGTCCAGACTCTTTTAAAGGTCTTCAGTGATCCTGAGAGATCCAGCTCAGGACTGCAGACAAGGATCTCCAAATCCTCCTCTCTTTGTTGAAAACCCTCAAAGCTCTTCTCACCTGAACGTGTGATCGGCTCTGACTTCAGTTTGATATCTGATGTTTGAGGAGAGCAGCTTTTCAGCAGACCGACCTGAGAGTAAAGAGGACATTAAATATTTTATTCACATGTTCTTTTTGTCTGTTAATACGGTTTTTAAAACCTGCTGAGTCTGTAAAGAGTTCTGCATCAGAAAGACCAAAAACTTTATTTCAGAGGTTTTGAACTCCTGAAGCTCCCCACGCTGCTGTTCCTCTGGTTCCTGTTCCTCAGGTCTGTTTGCTCACCACTCTCAGTGAAACAGGATGAAGGTCTTGATGCTCAACTGTTTTCACCTAAACAAACATGCTTCAGGCGTCGACCACAGCTCCAGGTGGAAAAGTTCAGGTTTGTTGGTGCAGACAGAGGAGACCGTCTCTCAGGAGGACTACTACCAGGACCTCTCCTTTCTTAACCTGCTGTTGTTTCTCTTTTTCTCATTAATACTTTAAATCAGAACTATGAGAGTGTCGGTGCGGCTGGACCTTCCTCTGGCCTCCTGCTGTGATGTTGCGCTGCTCTCTCTGCCTTCACTCAGTCCTATAATCGTCCGTTTGCGCACAGCGCGGAGGAGGAGGAGGAGGAGGAGGAGGAGCGTTCAGGACACAGGGACCGGTCAGAAGGGCGGACATGGCGGCACACACACTCAGTACAGCTGTACTATGAGTCAGCTCTGATAAAAGTTTGATTCTTCTTGAAAACACGGAGGAGGGCTCTTCCTCTCTGCGCGTGGACGCGGTCTGTCCGGTGCGTAAAAGTGGAACTCTAAAGTTTTTTCCGGCAGAACTCCAGACCGGGTCGGCTGTTTCAGAGTCATGAAGGTATGTCGAGAGAAGAAAGAGTTAATCTGACTTCTAATCTGACCCAGTTTATGTCCTCTCCTCACAACAGTGTTGGTTCAAAACCAGGTTCGCCTCCCTCACATCTCCGGGCATCGTGGATAAATAAACGCACCAACAAGAGGAGGACCCGGACTGATCCTCTCAGCTCTTCAGACTATTATTAGACCTACAGTTATTCTGAGGGGCTTTATGAGAGTCAGTGTTTCACAGAGATGTCAGTCTCATCATGTCTAATCATTAATATGGTTTTATTAAGAGTCTGCAGGATTATGGAGGAGTGGTCGGTCCTCTCTCAGTCCAGCTCCTCTGTTCTCTGGATGTCTCTCTGCTGATGTCCTCGGACTCTCTAGACTGTTAACGTTCCTCTTCCTGTTTGCTCTCAGTCTCATGTCACATTTTATCTCTAAAGAACCAAAAAATACAAGTTTATTTCAGATCTCAAACTTCTGTGTCAGTCTTTACGGGAAAATCCTCTGATGTCTGTGCGCACAGAGCGGCCTGATTCACTCCCACCGGACAGGAGTGGAGCCGAAGCTGGGGTCTTTATACCGCTGCTGATTGGATGAGTTGCAGGTGTGTGTACGCAATTAGCCAGGTGCCTGTTAGCTGAGGCCACGCCCCCTTAAAAAACAGACAGACAGGAGGGAGGAAGCAGAGAGATCAGATACAAGAGTTAAAGCTTGAGTTGTTCTTTACTCTGGTCCTGTGGGGGGTGTGAGCTGCAGTAGCAGATTTCTGACACTTGTGGGCAGTGTTGCTGCAGGTTTGAACTTTAACTCTCACTCAGGAGAAAAGAAACAAAATCCAACATTAGGAAAGGTTGACAATGTGACCAAGGTTCAAATAACAAAAATAAAATCAAATGAAAAAGTGAGGCCAAAATCAGACTAAGACCTTTATGTTGACAGAATCTCCTCATGAGAACCAGTGCAGTAAAGATGGAGCCTGAGAGGACGGAAACAGAGGAACCAGGAGACAACAGGGACTCGAGGAGGGACGGATGAGTTTGGACATGTAAACATGTGAACTCGTGTTCAGAGTCAGGGTCAGAGTCTGTTTACTGGTGTGTCTAAATGAGCGAATCAAACACACCCAGTCTCTGCTGACTGCAGACCGGGCGGAGACGTGCAGTTTGATGAAAACACACCAACTGACTCGAAAGCTGTGAGGAGACTCGACATGAACGTAGAGAGGCTGAGATCAGACTCATGATGTACACCTCATTACCTCATTACCTCATTATCAGTGTTTCTCAGTGTCTGACTCTCTCATGGTAAGAGATGTTTAAGCAGACCAGAGTTACTGTTGTTTTCTGTTCACCAACAAAACAGCTAAATACAGACACACACACACACACACTCTCTCTCTCTCACACACACACACACACACACACATAAGTTATCTGAGGTATCTCCAACATGTCACTTCTCGGCGTGTAAACTATTCAGTGTCGTCAGGAGCCGAGGAACGCAGCCGAGCCCAACCCAGGAGGTTATTTCTGTCTCCCTTCAAACATTCACACCCCCCCCACCCCCACCATTACAACAGCAGAGAGAGTGTGTGTGTGTGTGTGTGTGTGTGTGTGTGTGTGTGTGTGTGTCAGAGAGAGATGGAAAATACAACCCTGAAATTGTTAAATAAATGAAGACTGTCTATTAACATTAAAGTCAAAATGTCTCCTTAAAAAAAAAAAACTGTTTGGTTCCTGCTAGTTTGTCTGTTCTGGGCTACTGTAGAAAAACCTCCTCCAGAGTCTCCGGTATTTACTTTGTTTTCTTGCTTGTGTCGGCAGTCGTGGCCAAAGGAGGATTCCGACAATTTTCCGAACTTTCTGGTTGGTTTCTACTGTCCGATATTGTAGCACGCTAACTTTGTTTGGGCTCCTGAACGACACGGGGGAGCAGCGTCTGCCTCACAACCAATCAGGTTAGAGGAGGTGGAGAACATCTTTGTTAACAGTCAGAAAGAGCGGACCGCTCAAAAATGTTCAAATGTTGACGACACAGACATAAGAGAACACAGAGATATCATGATATTCCCAAATGTCATCAATTACTAATAACTATTGACTGATATTCAAAGATTTTTTGTAAATACACCACAAAAACAGATGCGTCTTTAACAGATTCCTGTCTACTTCACCTTTAACAGGCTCGTCTATACTCAGTAGATTCTAAGAGATAATCTTGTCCCGATCTGACAAGTCCAGATAAAATGAGTCTGGATCAGGATCTGAACTTCATCTGAACTGCTGGTGTGTATCTGTGCACGTGTGTGTGTGTGTGTGTGAGCTCGCTGCACTTTAATTACCATGCTGTCCTCTCAGTAGACGGACATGGTGACGAGGGTGCGGACAGTGAAATGTGGAGCTCCGTCCCCTGACTCGGCCTGTTGGGTTACCGGTCTGATCTACGGAGCTCCACACAGTCAGATCCGGGTGGATGTTCTGGTTCTGGATGGTGTTGCTGATGGATGACTCCTGCCTGTTTTAATCCAGAACTGTGATGATAAATATGGCGAGCAGCCTTCGTTTCCTTCTGCTGAAGCCTCATTATAGTTCAGAGAAAACTGACCCCGTTTGTGAAACAGGTTAATTAGACAGCGAGCGAGTTTTTAATTAAAGGTCAAGAGCTTCTCAAAGTTCACTGTAAGTCCTCAGCTCTACAGATACAAGACGTTTATGAAGAGTCCTCTACAGTGAGAGAAACTTATGAACAGATGACCATAACTAACCTTCATAAAGTCTCTCTGAGCCCTTATGTCTGTTTCTCTCTCTCTCTCCACCAGGACTGATCATCAAACAGCAGAGCAGCATAAGAGCCAAAGCATCTAAACTGCACTGGATTTGATGTTTATTATCTTCATACTGTCTGTTCTAAGGTGACTGTCTTTGAGTACTGTAATAAAGGAAAGTTGATCAAATGATCAGTCTTGTTTTGGTTGGTTTGAAGTATAGACTGCTGCACATATGTGTGTGTTCTTGCTGATATGGTAACATGTCATAACAGATCCATATGAGGCCGTTCAAACCTTTTAAGTATCTTACAGGGATATTCCGGTGTAAATTTGATTTAGGGTCAAACACACCGTAACGCCGAGTTAGACCCCCCCTCCAGAGATGAATGTTGTCGACCGCTTGCTTCTCTAGTTATACCAACTTTAGTAATGACCGCTGTAGTGAGACATCAGGCCAGTCCATGACAGACTACAGCGGGGTGTCGCAGCTCAAGGAAGAACATTAATGATCATTTCTTCATGGAAGTACAATCAGACCGAGACGCTGAGACAGAAGAACTACCGCGTCTGTAAAATAATTAATATGGTGATTATTACTTTAAGGAAATGAAAAAGAAATGATCTTAAATGTTCTTCCTTGAGCTGCGGCACCCCGCTGTAGTCTGTAATGGACTGGCCTGAGGTCTCTCTACAAACAAGCGTCTGCTGGAAGAGAGTAGGTGAGTTGTGTTTAGTCTCTTTACTAAAGAAATGAGTCAAAGTTAAAAAGATGTTTGGTGTCTAGTCCTATGTTAGGTGCTGTTCTGAGCATTATTTGTGCCTATAGAGTGGCGTTTTGGTTGAGGTTTGTTTATGGCTCCTTAGACCGCTCTGTATTTCTATCCTGCGGTCGTTACTAAAGTTGGTATAACTAGAGAAGCAAGCGGTCGACAACATTCATCTCTGGAGGGGGGTCTAACTCGGTGTTACGGTGTGTTTGACCCTAAGTTAATTTTACGCCGGAATATCCCTTTAATGTCCAGTTTAGTCTTACTTGAAAGCGGCCCTAAATCAGCTGTGAGAAAGCAGCAAACTCCAGTCATCATTCACTAACAGGTTTTTCTGTGTTTCTACTCTCCCTCTGGTGGTGTTTCTCACAGCAGCAGTTGTGTCTCCAGTAAAGTGACGATTCATGTCTCAAAACAAATGATTCATTATTCATCAGTCTGAACGGTGGGAAAGTTGAGCTGTGATGCTGTCGACATTTTAATCTGGAGGTCTGAGCCGTGAGTGGGTGAAGGAGACCTGAGAGATCCTCTGAGTCATTTTCTGTCAAACCCACAGGATTCTCAGGGCTTTGGTTCTGTGTGTGTGTGTGTGTGTGTGTGTGTGTGTGTGTGTGTGTGTGTGTGTTTGTGTGTGTGTGTACGCTGGCTTCATCCTTGATGACTCAGCTCTCGACTACTCTGCACTTTGTAGGGATTAAATGCAGCGTGTGGCAGACAAACATCGTTCTAATGAGTAGAGAAAACTACATTTATCAGCGGGGGGGCCTGATTAAACTCACACCTTCCTTCTGAGAGGCTCTGTGGGCAGAAACTCTCACATTTACAAATAATGGGGGTCAGCCATTTTATTTTTTATATCAAAATAACACTCTTCATGACGCTGCAGAGCAAAAACTGAGGATAAAGTTGGTGCTTTAAAGTGTGGGAGGACGCAGAGTCACCATTATCACCATCACCGACTTCATCATCTTCATCACCACTACCATCATCCTCATCACCATCATCATTATCATTACCATCACCAACATTACCATCATCCTCATCACCATCACCATCATCATCCTCATCACCACTACCATTATCATCATCACCACCCTTATTATAACCAACGTTACCATTTGATTTTTGACATTTATTATGCTTTTGAACATTCTCATCAATTTTTTTATTATCATTATCGGCTTAACTCAAATCAATTCTCATCACCCCTGTCAATATGCTTATAATCATCATGTCTATGCTCACATTATCATTTTCATCATTATCATCTTCGTCATTCTCATCTTCTTTATCAAACCTGTTATCAATCATAATCCGAATTATCATCACCATTACATCATCATCGCCACCATCACCATCATTATAACTTACCTCATTGTAATCATCATCGTGACAAGCCTCATTGACCTCATAGACACCATAACTGTCATGATAATTATCATCAACAACCTCATCATCAATATTGTAATTCTGTCATCATTACCAGCATCACTTTCATGACCACCATCGTCATCATCATCCTTACTGTTCTGTCATACAGTGACCAGCTACTGTTGTATTTTATAATAATAACAATAATAATAATTATTATTATAATCTGTTATATTAAGATGACTGAAGTCCTTCTTTCAAACTGAATCAAAGTTTTGTCTGGTCCTGGAAACGTTGATGTTCAGTAGGATCTGGTGGACCTGAAGCTGAGCGGCACAGACAACATTCAGTCACCAACAGGCAGAGGTGCCCTGTTCTGGGTGTGCTGGCTGTGGTTGTGTCTGACTGGTATCCAGTGTCCAGCCCCTCTAAGCCCAGTAACAAGGCCACACCGGGCCACCACTAAAGCCTCCAGCAGCACAAACAATGGAGCGGGGCTTTACAGGGGGCTGCTGCAAACTGCTGACTGTCCACTCGTGCTAATACACCCCTATTCTGTGCTGTCTGCTGCTGTCGCCTCTCCTCACACACACACACGTGCACACACACTGGTTTTCTGCGGAGAGAGTTCAGGATCCATATGTTGATACACACTCACACTCTGATGAAGCAGTCTCTCTTTCTCTCTCTTCTATCTTTCTCTCTTTCTGTTTATCCTCCATCCCTCCATCCCTCCATCTCTCCCCGTCCTGGGGCCTCCACCCTCTCCCTCTTTCCTGTTTCTTTCTGTTTGTGATCCACACTGACGGTGAAGCTCGGTCTGCTGTGGGCCCAAACGGTTGAAGTGAGCCCGGATCTCCTCGGACGCCCGCCTGCCTCCTGCAGCTCTGCCGCCCGGCTCTCCCAGCCCTCCCCCTGGCCCGTGTGAGGGCTGCTTCATTGCCGCGTTTCCTGCATCGGCCTCCTGCTGTGGACCATGTGTGAGTGTCTGCGGGGAATATTCAGAGTCACCTGGACGCCTTCCTCCAATGCAGGTCAGAATAAACATCTGCAACACGCCTCTGTGTGCAGAAACTCCTCGAGGTGCAGCAGCGTGTTGAAAAAAACCTTTTCAGGATCATTTTGAAGATTCTCATCACTTGATCTTTGAGTTTGTAGAGGAAAAAAGTTCCTCTCTTACTTACACAGAAAGATGATCTTTGAGTGGTTGAGCTTTGGACCTTCTGGAGACCTGAGTGAGATTAGAGATTTTGATTCAGGTCAGCTGATGTTCAAACTGGGAACACTGGAAGACGTGTTTGTTCAAAGTTCAGTCACGAAAATCTAAGAAAAGCTCTGTCAAATAAAACCACCTGGGATGGGTCAGGACTCAGACCCCCTGGTCCTGGACTAGATCAGTCCTCTGCTCTTTTTGTGGGTTGTTGTTTGCCTTCTTTTTCTTTGATGGTTTGTCTTTGGCATATTGTCTTTTTAGAAAATGTCGGTCTCATAGATTGAACTGTTTTACTGTTGATCATATACTACCTAAATTTTGGTCACAGTCAAGATGAATCACAAACTAACTGAAAACAAAGAAAAAGTGTTTTTAACTGATTCTGTGTAAAACCTGCAGCGAGGAGGACACAGGTGACGATGAATCAGAGAGCTAAAAAGACTCACTGGCTTCGGCTTGTTTCCTGATATTAAGACAGACCCTTTCAAATATCCTTCTGGTGGCTTTTATGAAACTTTAATTCAGCACTTACACAGTGTGTTCACAGCCCAATTCAGGGTTTATTGATTCCTCATCTCAGGATCCTGGATTTACTCTGACTGTGAGCGGAGTCTGCTCCCTCCCTGCTGAGATGTTAAACCACAGACTGACCTGACCAGCCCATCACTACATCAGTACTGACGCTGAAATGACCTGTGTTAAAGCTGTTGCATCATTACTCAGTGAAGTCTTCATCAGCTGGTTAAACTGAGTGTTTATTAGCAGCTTCCTTGTTAGCAGGACTCATGACTGCAGCTGTCTTTGCACCTTTTCTTTGAGATTCCTGAATATTTGTGTAGAAATGAGTTTGTTCAGTGTTTAAGACAGCCACTTTACAGCGTGGAGACACATCAGGGAGTCGTTTTAGTCAAAGCTTCTCCATTTTTAAAAAATGAACACAGTGATAAACATTTGTCTGATGGCAAAAGATGAGGGAACTTGAATTTGCAGATGTTAAATGACAGGAAGAGGACAAACAAATGTTCCCAAAGGGGGAAAGCAGAAAAAGATCTGGATCCTCTTTGGTGTAGGAAGAACTTTTGAGTATCTGTATTTGTGCTCTTTGCTCTTTAGTGACACCTGTGGTCAGTTTTTAAAATTGCAGCTGTGTTTTTGGACAAATGGAGTAGAGATCAAATCGGCATCTTTTCTTATCATTGAACGTTTTTTTATTTGTTCAGTCACAGACCCGACCAGAGACACCTGAAGTCTATTAAACACTTTTTACAAATGAAAGACACAATGACTGTTACTGGTGAAAAACTACTCCAAGTGACTGAAGCCTAAAAATGTGAGAAAACGTTAATCTTAAGACAAGACTGACTGAGATCACTGACCCACGGTGTTGATATATCTTTAAAATTGAACCGTAAATAGACTTACCCAAAAACAATCCACATCCTTTCTCAGGTTGGCATGTAGGTCACAGCTCAGTCAGAGGTCGGGGTGATGCAAAGACACAAACAGGAAGTGAGTTCCTGGGTAGGTTTGATTCTCCTTTGTGTGTTTTTCTGTGCACGTGTGCAGCCTCTCCTCATTTGCAGAAAATATGTTGTGAAAGAAACGCAAGAAAAAACCTAAAGATGTTTTCTGCAGGAAGAGGCGGAGTTGTTTTCAGTTTTTAGGCCTTTTGTTGTTCTTTTGTTATTTTTTAATAAACAAATAGTTACAAGAGGCCTGATAATAATAGCTTCCATCATTCAAAGTCCCCCCACGCTGTGATTGGTCAGCAGTGAGGAAGTGAAAGCAGTCAGGGTTCAAACTTGATTATTTTCATTCATTCTTTTAGACTTTATGTATCTGTGAGAAACACTCATATACACTAAGACAGTTCACACAGCGTCTACACAGAGAGGAAGATTAATTAAAGGTCAAATCATCAAATAGGAAGGAGGAGGAGTTTCTGTAACTTGTTCCAGGAGTCAGGAGGGAGCTGAGGAACTAAGAAAAACAATTTTTCCAAGTTCAGATCAAACTGGAGGTTAAAGAGGTCAAAGTTATTGAGGATCAAGAGGCTAACAAACCGAGGGACGATGAAGATCGATGAGGGAACGATGAGAACGATGAGGGGTGGAGGTCATGTTCTAGTCAAAGCTCTAAATATGAAGCTGTAAAGCTCATAGCCCCTCAGACCGCTCAAACTCACATTTCACATTCTGCTCCAGATTTGATTGATTTGATTTGATTTTTTGATGCTGTGGAGGATTTCAGATACAGCAGACAGACCTCAGAAGCTCCGTTTGATGGCAGCATATCATTATAATAGAGTCTGGAACTACCAGATGACTGATGAGTGTAACTGCATGTGAAGCACCATCATATATAATTTGTGATGGACAGTTTTCAGCCAATCAGAATGGAGGATTTTCTGTCACATCTGTGGATGTAAATTGGGGTTAATAACCTCTGGAGAGGAGAACCTCACTCTGTGTGACTACACACACACACACACGCACGCGCGCTCGCTCGCTCCAGTTTCCTGGCTTGTGTAAGCGCTGACGAGGACATAGCTGGGGTCTGATAGGACGTCGTGCCCAAAGCCAACCGAGTCCCCGTCCCCCCCACAGCCATCAACACCCCCAGGCCCTCCCTCACCCCTCCACTCCTCTTTTCGCTCGCCCGTGCCTCGCCCCTCTCTCATGTAGACGCTCCTCTGCTGTCAGATCAGACCCCTGTGCCCCTCTAGGAGGACCCTTGATTTTAACTCTGCTCTGACATTTCTAAGAACCTGTAATCCTTCACTGAACCACCTCCAGAGATGATGAGCCACAGCAGTTACATCATGTCAGATCCCTCCCCTCCCCTCCGTCTGGCCCGGCTCTTGTTTCGGGGTCTGGGTCCTCCCTCATATCTAAATCCCGTCTTTGTGCGGGAGCTGTAGAGTAACAATGACGGTGTTAGCTGACACAGTGTTAGCTGCTCGATCAGCGCTGACCGCACCTCCTCTGAGCCGCCCCACCTCTCCCTCTCTGCACTGCTCACCGGCATCACACACATCCAGGACTCGCCCGGCTGTGGGCTGGGTGGGTACAGATAGGGGATCCCTGGGGGTGTCAGGTGGGAGGGGCAGTGGTTGGCACAGCTGAAGTGGGTTTTTAATCTCTTGGCTTTGGATGAAGGGCTTCGCAGATGTTTTTTGGCTAATCAGACTCCTGCACAGACTGTTGGTTTAAATCAAGCTAAAAAGTTTAAGGACTGTACCAGCTGAGCTCAGGACGCCAAAAACACACCTGATGAGATAAAATGAAGTGCAGCCAGTGTAGAAGTCCTACCAGGGTACAGATTAAACCTACATTAATGTAACTGCCTGTGTTTCTACGAACAACTGTTTTTACAGGATTGGAAAAATGAATCATGATGGTGTGATCTGTGATCTTCTGCATCGTCATTATTTGACTGAAAAGTTAGAGTGTAGAAACGGTCGATCTAGAGCAGCCAGATTCTACACTAAAAAGCTCCCTCGCTCACCCCTCCCATCAGTGAGGGAAAAGATAGATGCTAAGTCTGATCCTCTATTGGTCAGGTTTTGACCATCGAAAACATCTATTAATACAGATGATATGGAAAAGTGACAAACCAGAATTTTAATTAGATTGAGGTTGAATTTGATTATTAAATTTAAAGCTCCTGTAAGAAACTTTAGGTTTGTGTCCGTTTTGGCGCCCCCTGTGGACAAATCTGTCTTCTCTTATCTTGTTGCATGACATAGTACCTATTTTTACCTGCATTGTAAACTAGTAAAATCTGCAGGTTTCTCTGTTACATAGAATCATGTTTGGAGTTTTCTTCGTTACAAAATTAAACTGTCTTTTACTCAGCTGCACTTTATTTCACCTCAGCGAGCGTGAACTTATGTCAGTCTTACTTTGTCCACATGAGCGCCAATCTGAGTGACTGAAAAATGTGACTGAGAGAAACGAGTAATCATCACAAAACGTTTTAGGAAAGACTTCAAACTGATGCAGGACGGCTAAAACGAGACACATGAGACCAGAGAGACGTAAAGATACTCCATCTGAAACTGTGAGGGAAAACGCAGCAAAAAACGAGGCAAAACAACCATCAAGTAAAACTTTCATGAAGAGAAAGAAGAAAAAACTTCAACAGAGACAAAGAAACCGAGAGCAGCTTCTCACTGAGGATGCAGTCCTCTACAAGACCAACAAACAAGAGGATTTCAGAGCTGAAGCCACATAAATGGGATCCTGAATTTGCAGCGTCTGGGTCTGCAAACACCTGCTCCTCAACTCAGAAACAAAGAAGAAACATAGGCGGCAAGTTTTTAAAAAACCAACTGAAAAACAGGCAAAAAAAAAAAAAATCAAACACAAAAGTTTAAGAGAAGAAAACATTTTGACAAAATGTAAAAGTATCATCACAAAGAGGTCTGAAATGACCTTAAAGAAACACAAAACACCTGCAGAGGAACGACAAAAGAGACAGTAAATACTTTCCAATACGACTAAGATTATAATCACAAAATATGCAACTCAACTCCAAAGAGGTACAAAAACTTAGAAAATAGCAAAACAAGGAGAAAATAAATGACTAAGGACTGAAGATGACCGGGAGAAACCTCAGGACGACCACGTGCAACAAACAACAAACACTTGTGAAATAATGACAACAGAGAGATGGAGCACGACATGAAGGTCGGGCCGTCAATGAATACGAACAAATGTTTGAATAATTCCAATATTCATGATTTTTAGAGGAAATCATTCTGGCAGCCTCACATCAAGGACTCAGAAAACAGCTACAAAGAGGTTTAAAAACACCCACAAAACCTGAAACACTAAACCAAAGCACACAAAACACTGCAAGGACACGATCAGGAGGGCCAAACAACCGTCACCACAGCCCACATGATGCCCGCCCGCCCGGCCAGCCTGTCGTTCTGTTGTTTGGTGCGTTTGTTTCTGGACGTCCTGCTCCTGCACTGGTCGGGTTGGGTTCAGAGCTTGATGTGTGTCTATTCGGGGTCTGTTGTCTCATAATCGGCCCCCGGGGTCTTTGGCTGTCCTGCAGGTCGTCTCAGATTCACCACAGCTCTGCAGCCAGCTGGTTTCCTACAAATCATCTGCAAATACAGGAAAGGAAACAAACCGAGACAAATGTGCAGACACTAACACACAGGCATGCTGAGATACAGACAGGAACACACACACACACACACACACACACACACACACACACACCTCAGCCCACAACAGCAGCTGCTCCCCTCAAAGGGAGCGTCACACTTTCTCTAAATTCAGATCCAAGGCCCGCTGCTCCTATTTTCAGACTTCCAGGATAAAAATAACTTCCCGACAACTTCAGTTGTTGGAGAGTTCATCCAGACATTTCAAAGTGTGGTGATTTTATTAGAGCCTGTTTTCAGGTTTATTTTGGCCCCTGGGACTGAAGTACGATCACTCAGCCGGGACATTGAGATCCGAACCACAAACAGACCCTTTACTGGAGGGAAATCTCAGGGGTCTAAAGTAACACAACATCCAGGAGCTAGTTTTATATCCAGGGTGCCAACAGGGCGCATCACATTCCTGGAAACTGTCCCATTGGTCAACTTGCTTATTAAGTGATCAGAAGCTAACGGCAGATCAATCACTTAATGCAAACTCAGCACATCCAGCTGGACGGAGGATGAAGAAGAGCATTATCTAAAGTGGAAAAACTGACCCTAGCACCTTTATGTTACAGGCTGGGGTCCTGCTTTTAAAATCATCCATCATCTATCGAATCCTGCTGATGAAGACACGTCTGTTTGGACCAGAATCACTGTGTCATTTAAAATCCCTCCTATGTATACACACTGAAAACTGTCCAGATTCACCGCAGCAGAGAGCGTGTGTGCAGGATCTCAGATCATGAAAAGTTAATGTATGGTTCGTTTGGAGGCTGCAAAAGGTCTCCATTTAATCAGCAAAGACATATTTATGAGTGTGAGATAGGAACAAGTGAATATAGAAACAGACAGGTTTAACAGATGAGGCGAAGTTTGTTGGTGGACATATTTTCAGGCATCTGATTGACGGAGAGAGAAAAAGTCGGTACTCTCCGCAGACAGACAGAGTCTCTACTATGTCTCAAACTTTGTTATCTTCCTCTCCTCCCCTCTCCTCGGCAGCCCCACCTCTCACCGCCCTAATATGGGGGCATTTCTCTGCCCTCTGGCCAATCAGACAGCTGTATGCGTCCCTCCTAGAGATGCCATGGGCCCGGTCCAGGCCTGAGGTTTCAGTGAGGGGAGCAACAGGCTGGCTGGTGACAAGGGGCAAAGGTTTCAGACAGAGAGAAAGGGAAAACATCCAAAACATCGAACAAGAAGAGTCAAAACAACAGAAGAAAGACAGGAAGTGAACGTGAGAGAGAGTCAGGAGGAGGACAGAAGAGAGCGGCTGAGAGTGAAGTGGAGGTTTGTCACCTTGGAACAGCTGGAGGAGAAACACTGAGGCTGAGAGGACAGGTAGGCTGGATGAATGTGGTTTCAGAAGGTCTGCTGATACCAGGCAGGTGTCCACTCACAGAGTTGGTTAAAGGGGTCAGATAGCAGCACCAAGAGGTTCTTCAGGTCTTCATGTTGCTTGTGTCTTCATCAGAGAACATGTTTGATTTCCAGAATTATTGCTTCAGTGTTTGGCAGCTCCAAGCAACTGATATCTGTGCAGAACAGTTTGTGTCTCAGTCTGCAGGCTGCTGACTGTGGAGAGCATAACAATAGCATGCTGTTGGAGAGCAGGACACTTTTAGTAAGACAGCTGCCGCTTGTGTTTATTCCAACATGCCAGTTGTTGGTTACACACACTGGAGTATTCACAGAGGTTTATGGTAACATTTGCAGTGTGACATGTCACTATGACACCCAGTTTATGAGAGTGTTTTGTAATGAGAGCTGGGTCAAATAACACAGGGACATTTCCATAGCATTTATCTTAACCTGGGCGGGGCCTCCTGCACTGGACAAGACAAAAATAATGCAAAAAATATATATTCCTTTAATAAGACACCTTCAGACTGCTTTAATGATCACTGTCTGGATTATAAGGATGTAAAAAAGGCCAAAAGAAGCAGAGCTGTCAGAGCTGCAGGACGCACTCATTTCTAATAGCGCCTGTCTCAGTGTAACACTCCAGTGACAGCTGCAGTGTGATGGTCACAGGATCAGTTTGCCCCGCAATTCCAGCTTCAGCAGCTTGGTATGTGTGCCGGCCCAAAGTGGGTTCAGAGATTTCTGCAGCCAAAACACACCCGGGTCACCAATGCACGTTACATAACACCAGCAACCAAGAACTGTTCAAGAGCCAACGGTGACGGATAAAACTGTCTGATAACTCTGAGGTTATCTTCATAGGGTCCTCCTTCAAATCTGTTGTCAGCTTTATCACACATGTAAACATACTTTCTGATTTGTCTCCTCGAGGGTGAGATCTTCACCACTTTAGCCGGGCTGGTTGGACTGATGTCTCCTGTTGATGATTAGCTATTGTCTCTGAGTGATCCCTGACTAGGCTCCTGATACTTCGGAGTCCAAATTCAACTTTAAATTGGGCTGCTGATCAGTAAAGCTGTGCTGTTTGTCAAAAATGCTGCCATGATGAAAACCAGTAGAGGAGTCTTTCAATTTTTGCTTCAAAAAGAGAGAATCTGAGGAGTTTGTTTTGACACAGAAACCTTGAGCAGAACGAATCTTGTTGGACTGATATCTGCTGAGACTGCGCTGGGCTTAGAGAGATGGACAGAGGCGGTTTTGATGCTTGTGGTTGAAGCAGCTGGAGAGCAGGCAGGTCCATAGCAGCAGTGACCCAGAGGAACCTAGAACATGATGGAGGTCAATGTGCCAGAACCTGGCAGTCCACACCATCTCACAGCAGAACTAAGAGCTGGCCCAGACCTGAACCTGAACCAGCTCTAACTATAAGCTTCATCAAAAAAAAGGTAGAGAGGGTGTCTGCGCCCCACACCTGGATTGGTAGACTACCCAGACCACTTGCAGAGACTTGAGGTACAATGAGCAGGCCTGCTGTTCTAGAGGAGTAATAGGGAACTACGAGCTCTTGAAGATGTTGTCTGACCATGAGGACCTCTGTGGGTCAGAATCGTCTTGCCGTCTCAGTGAAAGCAGTAGACCAGCGTACTCTTCCTCAGACTTCTTAATCCTGTGGAAGAGCGGGTTAGCTTGAAGAGTCATTTCTATCGAATAAACTCTCGTGACTGACTGAAAAATAAAAGCCTCTTTCATTTTCTGTCTTCATGTTACAGACTTGATCGTATGTTATTGCTAAAACAAGGAGTACCCTGTCCTGTACTGTTTGCATTATCTGAGGAGGAGGACACACTCGGACATGTTTGTCCTCACAGTAGTTCAGGTTGTTTATCTCTCAGCTGGATCATTTCAGATGGAGAACAGTCACAAACTCTGATCTTGTTCATTCAGACCATCAGGGACCACAGGTCTGATGCTGCAGATTCAGCCTCAGAGGGTCAGTCTCTTGTGCAATCACAGTGACTGTCAGTTATTTCAGGGAGATGTGCGGCAAAAACAGCAGCAGGTGTAATTTATATCCATGAGAGTAAATGACGCAGGAGGTGAAATGAAGGATGATGAAGGCAGTTTCCTGGCGACAGAGTTTGGGTGGTGGTGGTTGTGGTTGTGGGTGGGGTTAATTTTAGACCAGGAAGTGGGGTCAGGAGTGGATCTGGCAGTTCAGCAGGAGACCTCATGAGGAAACTCTGCTTGACGTACACACTTGGGTGAACTTCCTCCACGTTCAGACGGAGCTGAGAGGAGATTTGAGGAAGGAAGGCTGGTGGTAAACAGACGTCTGAGCCGAGGAGGACTTCATGTTGAATCTTTGAGATGCTGATCTGATTCAAAACCAAGAAATACACCAAGAGACAGTGTGAGGCCAACCTTTAAACCAGCAGATTTCTCATTCCCATTTCTCACACATGATAAGTGTATCTGTCAAATGTATCTCTGTTTCCTGTTTACACGGAGGCATTTCCTGTTCAGGAGCTAACGCCTGTGGGTGTGTCTTGTTTTGTCCATCTGATGTCTCCGCTGATCAGGAGACACGCTGAGATTATCTGTCTGATCTTTAGGGTTTGGACAGTCTCTCATCGGGTGGAAGTTTAGTCCAAAGGAGCTCACAACAGAAAGACGTTCGGGTCAGACGGTCACAGGAATGAAGCTGGATGGTGTTGTAGATCCACATCTCCTGCTTTGTCCATGAAGTTTTTATTACTGTAGGTCATTCATATTTCTTCATTTTCTTTAAAATCATTCCATAAGAGGCGACTGGAGGCTAAGAGCGACAGAAACTGCTGTTTGCTAAAGTTTACTGTCACTGCTGTCCAGAATAGAAAGTCTTCCTGTCCTCTGGTCTTGTGATTGTCCTAAATTTAGATCCAATAAGTTTTGTGTTATGTCCTCGAGCTCTGCCACCAATTGTGAAAAAGTGTTTAGGTATTTCCTCCATGTGCTCTCTCTTATGTAAGTACGTGAGGAGAAAACCTATTTTTGTCGATATCTGGCCTCTGCTGATAAAACCTGGGCTCACAAATAAATCACACGCACACATCCTCAGCTGTCGCTCATGTGCTGAATCACTGCTGCAACGTCTTACGTCAAGAAATGTTATCAGCTCTCCGAAGGACAGATAGCAGGTTGTTTTCTTTGGGCGGATACCTGATGCTCGAGTCCTGCCATTACTGAGCCAACTATAACATCATTAACTCGTCCATCTCTGAAAGGCTCCAAGCCTCCGAGCGGGATCAGAGCTGCAGGTTTTCTGTTTCATGAAGGTGCTGCAGGAAGTCAAAGCAGGACAACAAAAACTGCACCTGAAAAGCTCTGACTGATCCAAACAACCTTCTGATTGGTTTAAGTTGTCCTCAGAAGTTCTTGCAGTTGTTCATGTTATGATGAAGCAGTGTGTTGATGAAAAATTGGACGAAGAGTGTGACCAACACAAACTTACTTTGGTTTCTCCCAAAAGTGATGTCTGACTCTGACTCAGGTAGACTGGCTGTCCCTAACTTTGACTCTCTGTGTTTCGGTGCTGAGCAGGTTCTTACTTTAGATTTCTTCTTGTCTAGAAAGTGTTTCCTCTCGGAGACAAAAACGGACACAAGAGCAGAGAGAGTGAACTGAAACACTTGAAATCTCATTCAGCTCAACCATCAGGTAAAATCCACTGAGGAGAGCTGAAGGTCATAACCCTGAATAGGTTTATTACTGCAGCTGATTGTCACATGAAGGTGTTTTCTCACATCATACTGTAATTATAATTCAAGCATTTCAGCTTTGCACACCTCTGAATGCAAACTCGACCCTGTGCTGGAGTGTCTCTGCAGGACTGAACAAAGACATTTGAAGATTTCTCTGGGTTGGCGTGGCTTCGACACTCAGCAGTACGTGTCGTGTCTACGGTTGCTGCATCGCCAGTTTCCTGTCCCAGCATGATCAACTTCTGCAGACTACAACTATTGCGAAGGAGATGAGAGACAGTGGAGACAAGGGGCAGAGGTTGGAGATGGCAGTAATGCTAAAAACGTCTGCAGCCAAGCTGACCAGTCTCAGGGCTTAGGGTCCGTACTGTTTTTTTTTTTTAACATAACCACTTCAAATTGTTGGTAATCTCAGGGGGAATAAAAACCAGATTAGCTGGAGGTCTGGAGGTTTTATCACTTCCTTTAACACTCTCTACAGCTTTGTGTTCAGACTCAACAGATGTAGTTTTCTGCAGGAACCGTTTGTCGGATGTTGGACGGGTCATCGGCGTGAATACAGAGTTACTGCAGCCCGGTGTGGGAATATAAATGAGCTTAATTCCTCCTCCCAGAATGATGAAACTTAAAACTCGCACAGAAAGTGAAGAGGCGTGACTCATGTTGTTATGACTGAACTGTTTTCACCAAATGTGCTGAAGTTGAAAGTTGCTGTCAGGCGGTGTTAGAGTTTCATTTTCTACTTTAAGCCCTCTCCAACAAACCCGCCTGCATTTTTCACTCCAGACGTCTTAATCCGGCTGCAGTTAGACAAACTGACAGAGAGAGCCTCTTTAGGTTTGCTCTCTGATCTTCAAACGCACAGCTCATCCTGAGAGCAGCCAGACAGCAAAAAAAACGGCATGTTAGAATAACTGTCTGCCTCTTACCCACGACATTAGGGAGAATTTCAAGTTTCTGTACTAGCTGGAAAAACAATCACCAACTGTAATTTAAAGATGGAAGCTGCAAAAACAAATACCATCTTTAAGGTCCTTATCACTCGTTTTTGTCCGATCGAGAGCGTGACACTACGACATACTGCCGTATTTTCACAGACGCCAAGCAAGATACTGAAACAGTTGCACTCTGCGCTGACAGATAGTTGACTTTGCTTTTACACCCACAGCCCTCTAAGAAGCAAACCAAGACCCCTGTTTTTATGCAGACCAGTCCACTTTAGGGTCCACATCTGATCTTACCTGAGCTTTCACACTAATCCAGTTTGATCTCCTTTGAGGAAGTCACCATCAGTCCAACACTGCATTGGAGGGAAATAGTAGAAATACAGAGCAGCACTAACCTGTGAGTGCGAGGATTAAGTCCCACTGTTACATAACCTGCTGATTATAATACTGCATTTACATCAAACAGGTGACAGCCTTCAGCAGGTGTTATAAAGTCAAAGTGAACGAGTCAGTCTGAGGTAATCCAAGACTCACTTTTATCTCAAACTGCAGAATAAACATCGAAGGATTTATCATTTACAGTAAGAGTAAATGAGGTACAGTTAAGTGAGGTCTTGACCCGGGTCCCTCCTCTTCACCTCTTTGTACCTGTCTTTGGAGAAGGCTGGGGGTCCGTGCGGAGGGGAGCAGTTATTAGGCATGTTGAGGCATGCAGATGTGTGAGCGTGAGCTATAAAAAGAAAGGACTGCATGGCATTTCAAATCTTCACCACCTCCTCCTCCTCCTCCTCTCATTCCTCCACCCCATCCAGGGAGTGCCACCTTCGCCACCTGCTGCAGTCCATCACCCAGAGAGCTGCAGTTTAAAGCTGCAGTCAAGAGCAAACCTATACAAGTCTATCTAGAGAGCAAAATCATGTTTCTCAGCTAAACTTACTTTCATTTTACTCTATGGTTAATAAATTAGGCGTCAGAGGAATTTGAAAAACATCTCGTAGACTGAAAACGTACTTTCATAACTAACCTGATAACCTCTGTGGGGATCCAAAAATGTACATCTTGCACATTACAGACCCAGCTGTGTGTGCTGTATATTAATGAGCACAGCAGAAACATCTCATTAGTGTTCTGACTGTCAGCATCGGGCCTTTGGTGCAGCAGTGAAGCGATTGCACCTGTTGTTGCTGCTGATACAATGTCAGTCACTCAGCACAGAAATAATAGCAGCAAGGCCGAGACCTCAACACGACAAGCTGGACAACTCAGTTTGACTAGTATGTGGCTGAAAGGGGATAGCAGGATTATCTGTGTGTGTGATGTGCACAATTCAGCGTTAGAGGAAAAACTCGTACATGCATTTTTACCTTTGGTTATGTCAGTCTGGACGGTCCTTATTTATCGTACACTGGAATCCTTGAAAACTCTCAGTCCAGCACCTCTCAGCCACTGCCTGAAACATTTCCTCTGGCTGTTTTTCTGCAGACATTAAGTTAAGCTGTGGGTGTTACTTTTTACACGCCACATTAAAGCCCATCAGTGAAGCTGCGCGCTCAAAAAAGTGCTAAAAAGCAGAAAAAGATGTGAAGGAAAACTTAGACAAAGCACCTGAGAGGGTGTAACCCTGACGGAGCTGCTGAGTGGGCGTGTGCTTCAACAAGTCTTGAACAACACGGTAGAACCTGGCTTCAGGTCCAGGCCAAGTCTCATGAAGCTTACAAACACGCCTTTCAGAAAGGCGGGAAAAAACTTTCAAGACGACAACAACATCCGACAAGATGGTGCTTTAGTGGTTCAGTGTGGACCTCCATCTTTAAAACACTGTACAGGACTTGACAGTGCAACCGTTTCACTCACATTTGTGAAAAAAAATAGATGTGTGTGAATTGTAAAATATATTTAGGGGCACATGTGCGCATAAAAAAATCAGCCAAAGCAACAAATGTTTTTTCCAGTTAATATATCGCGGTGAAGTTAGTTTTAGGTTGGATATATTTTCCTGTAAATACGGCGGTGAAGTTAGTTTCAGGTTGGATATATTTTCCTGTAAATACAGCAGTGAAGTTAGTTTTAGGTTGGATATCTGACGGACATTCTCTGAGGATCTACCGGTGTCTTCTCACTCTCCATAACCGGGAATAACAACAGCAGCGCGGTTAAATCTACTCGACACCCTCACTGTCAACGTCGGTGTTGAATAAGGGACCGTCAATAAATTACCAGTTGATGTTCTCAGAAAAGGCTGTTTTCCTTCAATAGCTTCACTGTCATGTGACCAAAAGACCTAAAATTGATTTCTAATAATAGTACTAAGGTCGGACAATAAGACATTATTTGATTAATTTTCATTGTGCCCCTGAAGTTATTTGTGTACTCCTTACTTTTTCAACTTCGGAGCATGTCCTCCTTGTGAAAAACAGTAAGTGTCAAGCCCCGCTGTATGTATTAAAAGATGGTTTAACATAACAGGTGTCCTCTGAGTAAGAGTAAGATCATTTTACATACACTATTATGAGACCAAGTGTCGTATAATAAAATGAAATTAAAGTCTCAGTACGGGGCTCACATTATTCCAATAGCTGATAAACCTCATTATGTCTGCAGGAGCAGAGAATCAGTGATGGACGAGGAGTTCATGATGGATTTCATGTCTCTGCTCTTCTCATCGGTGTTATCACGTTTTATGCTGAGAGTTCATCTTCCTCAAACTCGTCTTCTTGCGTTAAAGCTCCTCTCCGCTCCGGTGTGACTGATACACTGACGGCTCAGCTGCACTGAATGTCTGTTATGCGTTCCTGTGACCTCCAAGATACCAGATATCTCCATCCCACCCAAACAGGCACGACATCCACGCAGACACTCTACACCTATACACACACACACACACTCATGGGCTTTCTCTCTTGTACAGACACAAATACACACTCACATAGCTGAGGCGAGGCAGTTAAAAAAGCGATCACATGAAGGAAGGACTGTAAGGAATGAGATTGCTGGGGGCCACAGATACAAGAGGGCCAAGGGGCTCCTGAACCAGCACAGATAATCGGCTGATGGTGAACTGAGCAGGACCTGAGCTTTAACCATTCAGAGAGCATGTGCAAGAGGAAGGAAGCCTTTAATAGACTTGGTCACCGCAGTAAAACAGCCTCAGTTTGGTTTAAAAGAAAAGGTCATGACCTCTGACGGCCTCCGGAGTTCAGTGGTTTCTGTGTCTTTGCCTCATGCAGAGGACTCAGTTTAGGAGCGGTGGAGCCGCCTACAAAATAAGAAATGCCACAGACCTCCAGTTCCTCTCCTGATAGTTGACAGTCCTCTGTTTCCAGATTGTTGTTTGGATCGCAAGTCATTTCAAGTCCTCATTTACAACCACAACGTGGCCCAGGGTTAGAAAGTCCCGCTCATGTCACCTGTCTGTGTAAGATCACTGTGGCCGGACCAGTTCATGTGGGTCACTGGAGAGTTTTAAAGCACTGCAGACGATATGTTTTCAGTTCCTGCAGGTTTCTTTCTGGTTTCGTCCCTTGTGTGAAAACAGTCGGCAAACTCCCGTGTAAGTGGACATGAAACTGTCAAGAAAGCATGTGAACCCTGATTAGTAGTCCTTGTTCATTATACCTCTCCTGACCTTTCATTTGGTCACCCTGAGGCCTCAACGAGAAAACTTGGAGTGTAACTACAGCACATACTCAAACCTCACCTGCACAGGTCTGAAACGAACACCTGATGCCACTTTCTCTGAGGAATGCAGCTCATTCACTGTCAGCCTGCAGTTAGGCGGCCCTTCATGAGCAATAAAACATCTTTAATTTCTGTTTCTGGCTCATAAATGTTCATATCTAATATTTCACAGCACATGTAATTATGACCCCACAGCTAAATGTCTGCTCCAGATTTGTGGTCTGTTCTAGAGCGATAAACATCTGGGTTTCATAGTTTTGAAACAGGTTTTGTACTCTGACAGTAAAGACAAAGAAAATGGAGGCACGACTATGAAAAAAACTGAACAGTGTTCACCTTGGAAAGAAAATTTCCCTGTGCCTCAGTTTTTGTTCACTGTGAAACAAACAGGTATTATACAGATCTTTCAGTTCCACTGAACACTGGTTGGACTTTTTTCATTCACATGACATTTAAAATAATTTCTCTGGTCTAAGTATCAGATCAACATCCTAACTTTATTTTGGTGCAAAGTTTCATACAGAAAAAAGGAAATACAAAATTTGATGCATTTTATTGTATTCAAATAAATCAGTACTCAGTTATTTTTTTCTAAATGAAGTAAACTGTTTTTGTTCTTTTCAGACTCTGACAGAGACCAAGAGGACAGCCATGTTTTCAGCCAGACCAGAGATTCAGCCGTGAGTGAGCACACACCTCCCTGTCCTCATGGAGAGTCATTAAACATGAACACACACACAGACCAGACTGGACCAGACCAAACCAAACCAAACCAGATTAGATCAGACCAGGTCAAACCAAACCAGGCCAATGCAAATCAGACCAGACCAGACCAAAGCAGGGCCCATTTGAGTATGTGCATGCATCTCACCTTTTGTGCACACAGCAGCCATCTGTTTCTGGGCTGAAATAACACACCCAGGGTGACCTAACAAGCAGGGGCGTGTCTAGACCTTCTTGATCGGGTTGCCCAAACCTCACTGCTGGGGTGGCCCTGAGTATGTGAGCACACACACCAATAAACAGCATTAATTATTGGAACTGTATCATAACAACAGACCCTTGGTTCAGAGTTTCTACCTCATGTCTCTGAAAGAGTAAAAATCCAAATAAGAGGACGTTTGATTTTTTTCTGCAATGATTTTTGGAGCGTTGACGGGTAGAGTCGACTTCAACCTTGTAGCTGAACCACTCTGATGGTGCAAGACGAGTCAAGAGGAGTGTGTTTGGTGGAGGAGTAGAGCACTTTATCCTTTTGTGCGTTTCTGAGAGACTCTGTGAGCAGTGAGTGTAAAGTCAGCTCACGTGCACTCAGTGATGAAATCAATAGAAGGACTCATTACAGGCCTTTTCCCTTTTTACTTGTAACATCCAGTTTATTGATGTGAAGAAACTTTCCTGCTAATGAAGCTCAAATTGCTTCTTGAATAAATCATGTACCCTGATTTAATTTGCTTTTGGATTTCTCTTCAGAAGAAAACTCACACCAGAGCTTATTTTAAGAAGTTAGCTGACAGGAAAAGTGGACGCAGTCAGTGTTAGAGGTCACAGCAGCCTGCCGGTCACAGCAACAAGTCAAGTGTTAATGCAGGATGTTTTTTACAAACTACGTGAGAGTTTATGGAGTTCACACAGCAAAAGGAAGGAGATGTGGGAGGCTGGCACTCGACATATTTCCTCCAGAAAAGAGGCAAGAGGTAGAAGAGCTATAATCCAGTTCAGCATGATCCAATCTGTCACAATCACATGAATAAAACACATACAAATAAAACACATTAAAAAATAAAGAAGTGCAAGCCATCTGAACGTGGAGATAAAAACTGTGCTGTCTTTTTCTCTGCCTCTTGGCTCAGACTGAAGTCCTGGAGTAGGACACTGTTCTGGATGTCAGATTTTGTCAGATTACACACCAACATTCTCTAGTTTAGTGGATTAGTTGCAGTAACACATGATCTGAAAACAAAAAAAACTCGCCTGCTTCTTTTGTCAATCCTGCAGAAGCAGACTGAGCCCCAATGTCACACATATATAAAGCTGAAACTGCAGCCTGGGTTGTCTTCAGTGCATGAGTCCCCCAGGTCTGGAAATGTCAGCAGGTGCTAAAATGAACCGATTCAAATCCAGGTCTGCATGTTCATGTTTCTCAAAGATGGATCTCAGCACAAAGCTGTCATGGCGGCCCAAATAATCGAATTAGTCCGGTTAAAAGTCTGACTGAAACTGCAGCTTCACAAGTGTAAGTACTGACTCAACACGTCCTCTGATGTGTGTGCAGGTGAAAGACAAGAGGCGGTCTCCCCCCTCCAACAGATCTCCCTCCACCCAACAACGCAACCTCCACCACAGCGGCTCCACAGAGGAACAGGAGAGCCCCGAGAGAGTGGTGAGACAGAGACACACACACACACACACTGGACTGGTCTTTCTCTGGACAGCACAGGTGTAACACTGACCCTGGGACCCTGACAGGAACATAACATGATGATATTTTCAGAACCCACATTGGTCTTTAAATGTACTAAAAACAAACACAGTGTCGTGGCTGACCTCCTGACCCAGCAGCCGTCAGGCTCATACAAACTGGACCACAATGGTCCAGCCCGTTCTGCTGAGGTCATTGTCCGCCACAAAAACAACCTTTCATTTCTCCCAGCTCAGCACACATGCCAGACGTGGCTTTTTCACAGCGACACAACAAAAAGCATGTGAATGTGGCAGCAGATCTGAAACCAGCTGCAGGTGTCAGGGACTGAGCGGCGTAAACACTCTGTACCACATTCCTGAGCTCTAATTTAGCAAGTTAGCACTTCATGAGTTTGTGAAACAAACTGCTGCTGCTGCTCGTCAGGACACAGTGAGTCACAGGGATGTAAGAGTAGCTAACTGACGTATATTAGCTTCCATTTGGTGTTAAAATCAGATGAACAGAAAAAAAGAGAGGCTGCATGGTACAGCTGGCCTGTAAAGAAGTTAGTGTCAAACCCTGACATATATAGATAGATACAATTTTAAGGGGAAAACAGATCAGGGCCTATGCCCACTAACAGCGCTTTGGGGGGGTTGAGACAGCTGCAAGTTACACAGCCCTGCAATCCTTTACCACCAGCCAGCAGTGAACATTTATGGTTTTATGTGAATTCATGGAGATAAAGACCAAACAAATCCAAATAAAATCTATTCACCTGGACAGCAGCATTCAGATATAAACCTTCTGATTCACTTGCATGTCTACACTCATTCACACTGTGAATAATCACCCACTGTTTCCTCTGTCTTATCTGCAGGTGCAGAGAGAGAAGCTCCATGCAGAGTTGAAGCAGGTGTTGAGTCAGAAACGAAGTCACCTGAGAGAGTCAGCCTGCCAACTGGCCCAACCAGAGATGGACTCAGAGCCCACAGAAGAACAAACTGTGAGTGCTGAATTTGTTTTACTGTACGGTCAGAAAATGACCATCCTAACGATCAGGGACACGCAGCGGTCCATAAAAGCAGCAACGATGACTGATGGCACTCTTCACTTTTTCACTCATGACTGGTCTAAAAGCGATTTCCAACAGCTGAGTCACTGAGACACTTTCTGTAATCCACAGATAGAGTGACCTTTCCATCGTAACAATTCAATGAATAAAGTGCTTTCAGGAGTAAAACTGGAAGTGAGAAAACTGCAGAAAAATCTCCACTCACTCCAGCAGTAAGGTTTTTTCCACAGACTGGAGGACTTTGAGACCATTTCTGATCTAAAGAGTAAATAAAGGGTCTCAGTTGATGAGGTCCAAAATTCCGCTAATACAACATTAAAACTGGTTGACTTTAATAGTAATGATGATAAGTAGGTTTATAATATATGGACCAAAACATCTATTTTGAATGTAGTTACTGTATATTAAGAAATAATTACCTCTGCTTCAAGAATCAGGTCACAGTAAGTCTAGAGTGATCTTCATTCAGTTTCATCACTCTGACCTTGAAAGACAGAGAAATAACTACAAAAACACTTTTCAGCCTGAATTTGTCCTTTACCATGACTCAGAGCTGGAGATGCATATGTGAAATGTTAAAGCTACTCTGGGGAGTTTTTGTGACAGCTTAGCAACTTTAGCTGAACTGTTATCAGTTTAACACAAACAATGCAAAGCCTTCACAAAATGGAAATGACAGGATTTTTGTCTTGAGCCACATTTTGTGCTTACAGGATTTAAGTTTCATGTTTGTGTTTGTTGAAGGTCGTGGAGGAGGCTTCCAAGTCAGTTGAAATTGTGGTGGAGACCGAGGCGGAGGCTGGGGCCAGCGGCTACAGCGTGACAGGCGGAGGACAGCGAGGGATCTTTGTAAAAGATGTCCTCAAAGACTCACCGGCTGCTAAACATCTGAGTCTACAGGAAGGTACCTGTGGCCTCATCTGAACCATTTAGGAAGTAAACATGCGCCTCAAAATGAGTATAACTAGCAAAAATTAAAACCATTTACACCACAAACTTCATATCTGTGTTAGATTGTTGGATATTCAAAACATCTCAAGCCAACATGAACAATTTAAATGGTATTACAAGAGAAGGAAAGTGACCTGAGCATATAAATGCACACATTACTGCAGTTCCCCTGTGGCCACTAGGGGGCAGCACACTGATATAATCAGGGATTCAGTCCTTTCAAGCAGGGCAGTTTGTTCATCCTTATTTAGGTGTTGAAAAAGTCACCTAGTATTGCCAAACCGATACGTACATGCAAATAAGCATGAAACTTACTGTTTTGTTTTATTTTATTTTAATGGGAGATATCACTGGTTTAAACTGATTTGGATACAGCAAGTCAGAGAAAAACTGAAAGCATGACTTAGCAGGAGGCAGCTATGCTAAGTTCATAATTTCATTATCAAATTCAGCTCTCAGTGTTAAATTATCTGTAGTCATTTGGCTGCACAGGATTTAAGAGGCAGCACTTGATTTACAGATGAAGTCTTTATTTTAAAACCATTTTTAGACAGTTATGATATTCAAAGAGTTTGGGTGGTGTTGAACTTTGTCCAGGCTGGAAAGGGACCAGAAGCATTTCTAGTGCAAATATCAACTGTCGGGGATTGCAACACTTTGGTAACTTATTTTTCTGTATGCTGGGAGGAAGTTTCAGTGACAGGATGAAATCCCAGCAGTACTGCTGTGTCAGTCAGTTGTACTATCTCTGTGTTCTTACTTTGAATATGTGTCACAGCAGCTACAAGGTCCATGTTTAACATTGCACTTCACTATTTGCAGATGGCAGTGCCTTCATTTACATCTTCCACAGTGCAGGACAATTGAGTTGGTTCAAGAACCACATGAACTTTTTTTTCTCAAGAGGCTAATACATATGTACAGGACAGCATCAGCAGATAGATGAGATGTACTGCTCTGTCCACAGGGGATGCTAAAGTTAGCCCAAAATAAAAGTTACTCAAAGGAGATGTAGAAATAACTAACTTTGGTTCTAACACTGTATACATTAATTCATACGCTCTCCGTGTGAAGGTGACCAGCTGCTGAGTGCCAAAGTCTACTTTGACAATGTGAGGTATGAAGACGCTCTGAAGATCCTGCAGTGTGCGGAGCCTTATAAGGTCAGCTTCCAACTGAAGAGAACCATCCCAGGAGCAGAGGTCGGTGTGCGGCCTCGAGTTCCCAGCATTGAGGTCAAAGGTCCTAAAGCAAAGATGTCCAAAATGGTAATCAGTGTAAATATTCAGTATTTGTCTGTTGGGTGCAATGTTTTAACCAGCTTCTGTTGTTTTAATTCCTTTTTTTACTCTCTCTCTCTCTGTCATAATCAAGTTAAAGTCCAAAGACATCAAATTTGTCTTATTTCAAGTAAAATTCTGCTAAATCTTTAACAGACATAATTTCATGTTTTGCACACATTTGGATTTAGTCCTTCCAAATGCTTTTAGCTACTCTTCATGTCACTCATGAGTACTTTTCTGTAATTTAGAGTGTGAAAGGCACAAAACCATTCAAGACAAAGAAGAAGAGAGGTGGACGTTTTGGCCTGAAGAGGCTGAAGGAGAAGCGTAAAGAGGAGCTGGTGGTCGAGGGAACACCCCCCAGGCTGGAGATGGGTGATGTGGACGTCGAGTTTTCTCTTCCCAAATTCAAACAGAGTAGGAGTGTGAAGGTTGAAGCAGGAGGAACTGGAGGAGCTACAGCTCTGGGGAAAACAAAGAGGAAAATCAGGTTGGCTTTGCTTTAAAATGGTTAGTCAACCCTTGTACAAACTAAGAGCAAGTTACGATGGTTGATAAAGAGGATTATGATGGTTTTACTCAAGCACTATGCACTGTTGCTAAGTGTATCTTTGCTATTTTATGAGACGCTTTACCTCCTCTCTGATGCCTTTCTTTAACTGGTCCTCTCAGGTTTCCTGGCATGAAAACTAAGGGTTATGCTGGTGCAGAGGCAGGAGGAAAAGTGGAAACAGGAAAATTTGAGGGACAGGTGAACATCTCTCAACCAGAGATCTCTGGAGCTAAAGTGAAAACAAAGGGAAAAGGACACAAGTTTGGAATCACCTTTCCAAAGAGCAAACACACAAAGTCCGGCTCAGCCTTGGCTGGTTCCGCTGAGGTGACACCCCCCAGTGTGAACATTCAGCCACCATCAGTGGAGTTCAGTATGTCTGGCAATAAAGAAGACATTAACATGCCTGATGTTGAGTTTACACGGCCTTCTGGAAAAGCAGAGGTGTCTTTGCCTGATGTGAAGGGGCGCACAGAAATCAAGGCTCCTAAAATTGACATCAAAGGAGGAGTTGATACTGAAGCAGCTGGGGGGAAAGTTGATGTAGACATAAGCAAAGGAGATGCAAAGCTAAGGATGCCAAAGTTGAAACTACCTAAAGTTAGACTCTCCCGTCATTCAGATGAGATAGACGGTGACATCAAGATAAAAACCAAAGAGGTGAAACTTCCTCAAACTGACATAACACCCCCAAAAGTTGAGATCAGGGCAGGTGCGATCAGTCTCCCTGAAGCAAAAATAACCAAACCAAAGATGAAAGCTGATCTCTCAGGAAAAGCTGCATCAGTTCAGGTGCCATCTGTTGATTTTTCTTTACCAAAAGTGAAGGGAAAGTCCGACATTGAAGTCTCACTTCCACAGTGTGAAGGTGCTGGAAAGACTGAAATCAAAATGCCAGCCATTGATGTGTCTGTTCCTGATGTTGATTTGAAATTGGATACCAAGCAAAGAATTCCTGATGAGGTGGAGGGCACATTTAAAGCGCCCAATATCTCCATGCCAAAGTTTGACATCTCTCTGCCAAAAATGGGATCATCCCGTGTGGATATTGAAGGTCCAGAAGTTGGAGGAAAATTCAGTCTGCCCTCTGTTGACATCGCTCTCCCAAAAGTGACAACAGACGGTGGGGATGTGGCTATGGACCATTATGTTGGTGGAGATGGGAAGTTTAAAATGCCTGATTTTGACGTATCTTTCCCAAAAATCAAGACACCAGGAGGAGAAGTAGAAGTAAAGGGGCAAGAGATGGAAGGAGGCTTCAAGTTACCCAATGTGGAGCTAACCCTTCCCAAAAGCAAAACAGGAACAACTGATTCTGAAGTTGAAGGCACCTTTAAGTTACCATCATTTGATATATCCCTTCCAAAAATTAAAACAGGTGAGCTGGAAGCAGACATTGTTTGGCCTGAAGGGAAAGGTGGTAAATTTGAAATCCCTACACCTGGCATTTCTCTGCCCAAAGGCAAAGTAGAAGGGGACAGTGGAGGGGAAGGGAGGGGAGGAAAACTCAAAATGCCTTCCTTTGATATCTCTCTACCAAAGATGAAACTACCAGAGAGTCATGTAAGCATTGAGGAACCCAAGATTGAGGGTGGCGGTAAGATCCAGATGCCCTCTACTGACATATCAATACCAAAAGGAAAGATGGAGGGTGACATTGCATTAGAGGGTCATCATTTGAAAGGGGGGAAGTTCAAAATGCCCTCATTTGATGTCAAACTTCCTAAAACGGAATTATCTGGGGCTGAGGTTGGCTCTTCTGAAATCACAGGAGGAGATATTGAGGTGCCATCAGTGGATATTTCTCTACCAAAAGTTAAATCCAAAGGTGGTGATTTGAAGGGAGGCCAAGTTAACATGCCATCTGTGGACATCTCACTTCCTAAAATGAAGCTACCTGAAGGAGATGTGAAGCTAGATTTCCCTGAACTTCCAACTGTGGATTTTTCACTACCCAAGGAAAATGTGGAGGGTGAATGCAGTGGTGGTAGTAGTGCAAAGTTCAGGTTGCCAAACTTTGATATCTCATTACCAAAGATGAAAACCAAGGAGGGAGATGTTGATATTGATGTACCTGAAGTCAAAGGAGGAGCAAACGTCAGCATGCCATCACTGGATCTGTCTCTGCCAGCTGTTAAATCACCAGGAGAGTTACAGATGCCATCTTTAGATGTGTCACTACCAAAAATCAAATCACCTGAGGGTGATATCAACATTGAGGTTCCAACTACAGCTGATGTCTCCATTCCGAGAGGTAAAGCAGAGCTAAAGGTTGATATTGAAAACCCCACTGGCAAAGGAGGCAAGATAAAGATTCCCACATTTGATGTATCCAAACCAAAGATGAAGATGCCTAAAGGAAATATAGGCCTTGAGGGACCCTCTGTGGATATCTCTCTTCCCAAAGGGAAAGTTGAGGGTGACCTACAAACTAAAGGTAAAGGGGGACATTTTCATATGCCCTCTGTCGATGTTTCCCTCCCTAAAATAAAATCAAAACAAGGAGACATTAATATAATGGGGCCAGAAATCAAGGGTGGGGATATTAAAATGCCAACTATTGACATCTCACCTCCTCGAGGGACATTAAAAAGTGATATTACTATTGAAGGGGAAGGACAAGGAGGCAGATTACCTTCAGTAGACATCACCCTCCCCACAGTAAAGCTACCTGAGGGAGATGTAAATTTTCAAGGGCCAAAAGTTAAAGGTGGAAATTTTAAAATGCCAAAAATTGACCTCTCTCTTCCTAAAGGAAAAGCAATAGGAGACATTGACATTGATATTCGCCCTGGAAAAGACGGAAACATTGAAATGCCATCCTACGATATCAGCCTCTCCAAAGGACAAGTCGAGGGTGACATTGATGTTGAAGGTCCCGAAGGGGCAGCAGGTAAATTCAAAATGCCTAAATTTGACATCTCTCTTCCAAAGATGAACTTGCCTGAGGGTGATGTAAAAGTTAAAGGATCAGAGATCAAAGGAAAAATGGAGATGCCAACTGTTAATGTTTCACTTCCAAAAGGAAAAATTGAAGGCGATGTTGATATTGATGGACTTGGAGGCAAGCTCAGCATGCCTTCACTTGATATCACACTTCCTAACATAGGAGCAAAAGGAGTTGATGTTGATATTGAAGGAACTGAAGTTCCAGGCCACAAGTTCAATATGCCATCATTCGATGTTTCAGCACCTAAAATAAAAAGTCCTGTGGTAGACGTCAGCCTTGTGGGTCCGGAAGTTAAAGGAAAAAAGATTGAAATGCCAGACATTGATATTTCACTCCCAAAAGGAAAAGGAAAAATTGATATTGAAGGGCATTCTGGTAAAGGAGGAAAGTTCCATATGCCTTCACTTGACTTCTCTCTGCCAAGAAGAAAAGCTAAGGCACCAGAGGTTCCAGATGTTGACCTTTCACTCCCTAAAGGGACAGCTGATGCTGACCTTAGCATTGAAGGTCTAAAGGTTGAAGGCAAAGCACCTAAACTCGACATTTCTGTTCCAAAGGTGGACCTGCCTGAGGGAAATGTTGAGATTCCTAAATTTGATATTTCAGTGCCAAAAGAAAAGATAGAGGGTAATGTTGACATTAAAGGACATCATGGCAAGGGGGGGAAGTTTCATCTGCCTTCAGTGGATCTGTCTCTTCCTAAAATTAAAGCAAAGGGAACAGATGTAAATTTAAAAGGACCTGAACTAAAAGGTGGCATGTCACTCCCAAAGGTTAAATCTCCAACAATGCATATCAGCCTAGAGGGTCCAGATTTAAAGGGGAAAAATTTAACCTCCCCATCTGTTGACATTTCCCTTCCAGAGGGAAAACTTGAGGGAAACCTGGATGTGGAAGGCCCTGAAGTAAAAGGAGGCAAATTCAAAATGCCCAAATTTGATGTTTCATTGCCAAAAGTCAGTTTACCAGAGACTGATGTTCACTTGAAAGGACCTGACATTAAGGGGAGAAAGATTGAGATGCCAGACCTTGATATCTCACTCCCAAAAGGAAAGACAGGAGGAGGAATTGAAATTGAGGGACATGCTGGTAAAGGAGGAAAGTTCAATATGCCATCACTTGACATTTCTCCTCCTAAAATTAAAGGCAAAGGACCAGAGATAGATATTGAAGGCCCTAATATTAAAGGTGCACAGATAGGCATGCCTTCACTTGATGTATCGCTCCCCAAATTAAAATCTCCTGATGTAGATGTCAGCTTGGAGGGTCCTGATGTTAAAGGTGGAAAAATCACCATGCCGAGTATGGACATCTCACTTCCTAAAGGAAAAGTTGAGGGGGACCTGGACATAGAAGGACCTGAACTCAAAGGCGGGAAATTCAAAATGCCCAAATTTGACATGTCATTACCAAAGGTCAATCTGCCCAAGGTTGATGCCAATTTGGAAGGACCTGATATGAAAGGAAAAATTGGACTGCCAACAATTGACATTTCTCTCCCAAAAGGAAAGGCAGATGTGGACATAGACATTGAGGGGCCAAGTGGTAGAGGAGGCAAGCTTCACATGCCCTCACTTGATATCTCACTTCCTAAGATCAAAGGAAAGGGACTAGATGTGGATGTGCCGACACCGGAAATCGCCACTGGCATTAATGTCCCTGAGATCAAGTCACCAGAGGTGGATATCAGCCTCAAGGGACCTGGTGTTACAGGGGGGAAGTTTAAAGTGCCACCCGTTGACATTTCTCTTCCCAAAGGTAAACTTGAGGGTGGCCTAGATGTCGAAGGCCCTGAGTTAAAAGGAGGCAAATTTAAAATGCCCAAATTTAATGTGTCACTTCCAAAAATGAACTTGCCAGAAGGAAATGTGGAGGTGCCTTCCCTTGACATATCACTTCCAAAGGGAAAAGTTGAGGGAGATCTAGATATAGAGGGACCTCAAGGGAAAGGTGGCAAGTTTCACCTGCCCTCAGTAGATCTCTCACTTCCTAAGATTAAAACAAAGGGGGTAGATGTCAATATTGCAGGACCGGAAATCAGAGGTGATGTTTCCCTTCCAGAGGGAAAACTTGAGGGAAACCTGGATGTGGAAGGCCCTGAGGTAAAAGGAGGCAAATTCAAAATGCCCAAATTTGATGTTTCATTGCCAAAAGTCAGTTTACCAGAGACTGATGTTCACTTGAAAGGACCTGACATTAAGGGGAGAAAGATTGAGATGCCAGACCTTGATATCTCACTCCCAAAAGGAAAGACAGGAGGAGGAATTGAAATTGAAGGACATGCTGGTAAAGGAGGAAAGTTCAATATGCCATCACTTGACATTTCTCTTCCTAAAATTAAAGGCAAAGGACCAGAGATAGATATTGAAGGCCCTAATATTAAAGGTGCACAGATAGGCATGCCTTCACTTGATGTATCGCTCCCCAAATTAAAATCTCCTGATGTAGATGTCAGCTTGGAGGGTCCTGATGTTAAAGGTGGAAAAATCACCATGCCGAGTATGGACATCTCACTTCCTAAAGGAAAAGTTGAGGGGGACCTGGACATAGAAGGACCTGAACTCAAAGGCGGGAAATTCAAAATGCCCAAATTTGACATGTCATTACCAAAGGTCAATCTGCCCAAGGTTGATGCCAATTTGGAAGGACCTGATATGAAAGGAAAAATTGGACTGCCAACAATTGACATTTCTCTCCCAAAAGGAAAGGCAGATGTGGACATAGACATTGAGGGGCCAAGTGGTAAAGGAGGCAAGCTTCACATGCCCTCACTTGATATCTCACTTCCTAAGATCAAAGGAAAGGGACTAGATGTGGATGTGCCGACACCGGAAATCGCCACTGGCATTAATGTCCCTGAGATCAAGTCACCAGAGGTGGATATCAGCCTCAAGGGACCTGGTGTTACAGGGGGAAGTTTAAAGTGCCACCCGTTGACATTTCTCTTCCCAAAGGTAAACTTGAGGGTGGCCTAGATGTCGAAGGCCCTGAGTTAAAAGGAGGCAAATTTAAAATGCCCAAATTTAATGTGTCACTTCCAAAAATGAACTTGCCAGAAGGAAATGTGGAGGTGCCTTCCCTTGACATATCACTTCCAAAGGGAAAAGTTGAGGGAGATCTAGATATAGAGGGACCTCAAGGGAAAGGTGGCAAGTTTCACCTGCCCTCAGTAGATCTCTCACTTCCTAAGATTAAAACAAAGGGGGTAGATGTCAATATTGCAGGACCGGAAATCAGAGGTGATGTTTCCCTTCCAGAGGGAAAACTTGAGGGAAACCTGGATGTGGAAGGCCCTGAGGTAAAAGGAGGCAAATTCAAAATGCCCAAATTTGATGTTTCATTGCCAAAAGTCAGTTTACCAGAGACTGATGTTCACTTGAAAGGACCTGACATTAAGGGGAGAAAGATTGAGATGCCAGACCTTGATATCTCACTCCCAAAAGGAAAGACAGGAGGAGGAATTGAAATTGAAGGACATGCTGGTAAAGGAGGAAAGTTCAATATGCCATCACTTGACATTTCTCTTCCTAAAATTAAAGGCAAAGGACCAGAGATAGATATTGAAGGCCCTAATATTAAAGGTGCACAGATAGGCATGCCTTCACTTGATGTATCGCTCCCCAAATTAAAATCTCCTGATGTAGATGTCAGCTTGGAGGGTCCTGATGTTAAAGGTGGAAAAATCACCATGCCGAGTATGGACATCTCACTTCCTAAAGGAAAAGTTGAGGGGGACCTGGACATAGAAGGACCTGAACTCAAAGGCGGGAAATTCAAAATGCCCAAATTTGACATGTCATTACCAAAGGTCAATCTGCCTAAAGTTGATGCCAATTTGGAAGGACCTGATATGAAAGGAAAAATTGGACTGCCAACAATTGACATTTCTCTCCCAAAAGGAAAGGCAGATGTGGACATAGACATTGAGGGGCCAAGTGGTAAAGGAGGCAAGCTTCACATGCCCTCACTTGATATCTCACTTCCTAAGATCAAAGGAAAGGGACTAGATGTGGATGTGCCGACACCGGAAATCGCCACTGGCATTAATGTCCCTGAGATCAAGTCACCAGAGGTGGATATCAGCCTCAAGGGACCTGGTGTTACAGGGGGGAAGTTTAAAGTGCCACCCGTTGACATTTCTCTTCCCAAAGGTAAACTTGAGGGTGGCCTAGATGTCGAAGGCCCTGAGTTAAAAGGAGGCAAATTTAAAATGCCCAAATTTAATGTGTCACTTCCAAAAATGAACTTGCCAGAAGGAAATGTGGAGGTGCCTTCCCTTGACATATCACTTCCAAAGGGAAAAGTTGAGGGAGATCTAGATATAGAGGGACCTCAAGGGAAAGGTGGCAAGTTTCACCTGCCCTCAGTAGATCTCTCACTTCCTAAGATTAAAACAAAGGGGGTAGATGTCAATATTGCAGGACCGGAAATCAGAGGTGATGTTTCCCTTCCAGAGGGAAAACTTGAGGGAAACCTGGATGTGGAAGGCCCTGAGGTAAAAGGAGGCAAATTCAAAATGCCCAAATTTGATGTTTCATTGCCAAAAGTCAGTTTACCAGAGACTGATGTTCACTTGAAAGGACCTGACATTAAGGGGAGAAAGATTGAGATGCCAGACCTTGATATCTCACTCCCAAAAGGAAAGACAGGAGGAGGAATTGAAATTGAAGGACATGCTGGTAAAGGAGGAAAGTTCAATATGCCATCACTTGACATTTCTCTTCCTAAAATTAAAGGCAAAGGACCAGAGATAGATATTGAAGGCCCTAATATTAAAGGTGCACAGATAGGCATGCCTTCACTTGATGTATCGCTCCCCAAATTAAAATCTCCTGATGTAGATGTCAGCTTGGAGGGTCCTGATGTTAAAGGTGGAAAAATCACCATGCCGAGTATGGACATCTCACTTCCTAAAGGAAAAGTTGAGGGGGACCTGGACATAGAAGGACCTGAACTCAAAGGCGGGAAATTCAGAATGCCCAAATTTGACATGTCATTACCAAAGGTCAATCTGCCTAAAGTTGATGCCAATTTGGAAGGACCTGATATGAAAGGAAAAATTGGACTGCCAACAATTGACATTTCTCTCCCAAAGGCAGATGTGGACATAGACATTGAGGGGCCAAGTGGTAAAGGAGGCAAGCTTCACATGCCCTCACTTGATATCTCACTTCCTAAGATCAAAGGAAAGGGACTAGATGTGGATGTGCCAACACCGGAAGTTGACATTTCTGTTCCCAAAGGAAAAATTGAGGGGGACATAAACCTTGAAGGACCTGAACTTAAAGGTGGGAAATTCAAAATGCCCAAATTCGATGTTTCACCTTCAAAGCTTAACCTTCCTGAAGCTAAATTTAAAGTTGAAGGACATGATATCAAAGATGGAAAGATGCCAACTGTTGACATAACAGTTCCAGTTGGAAAAATTGAGGAAGATGTCAATATTAAAGCCCCATCAGGAAAGATAAAAGAGCCAAAAGTTGACCTGTCTGGCAAGAAGGGTGGTGGACTCCACATGCCAACACTTGACATAGATCTACCCAAATTTGATCTTGACCTTAGCCTCCCCTCTGGTCTAAAAGACAAAAGTCTCAAACTGGACACCCATGGTCCTGAAGGATCAGGAAATGTACAAGTGTCTGGACTCAAAGGAGATATTCACCCAGCAAAGTTTAAAGCTAAGGGTGCAGATATTGATACAGAAGGTATGGAAGGGCCAGGTGCATCTCTAAAACTTCCCACTGTCAAACTTCCAGCAGTTGACATTTCAGCTCCAAAGGTGGATTTAGACTTTGGCCTCAACAAACCTAAAGGTGATGACGTAGAAGTAGAGTTACTGAAAGCAGAAGGAGGCAGACCATCTTCCGGGGGAAGTTTTGATTTACCTGATGTCTCCCTTAAGGGCCCTAGTTTTACACTTCCAAGGTTTGGTGGAAGTTCCAAGAGTGCTGGTTTAGAGATATCAGGGAAGGGTCCTAAGGGAGATATTTCTCTCAGCCCACCACATGTGGAAGGGGAGATTAGGGCACCCTCTGTAGAATTTGATAGGGAGGGAAAAGTCAAGATAAAGAAACACAAAATCAAAATGCCTTCTTTTGGGCTGTCTAAGAAAGATGCAGATGCATCTGTGTCTTGTCCTGATGTCGATGTTAAAACGAAAAAGGGGAAAATTGATATCCCTAAACCTGAAATTAATATTGAGAGCCAAGGGGAAAAATCAAAATACAAAATGAAATTTCCCAAGTTTAAATTTTCATCACCTAAAGGTCAACTGCCAGAAAAAGATTCAAATAAGCCTAGTGGTCACTTTGATGCCAAAGCCAAAGTTAAGATGCCCTCTGTAGAGTTGTCCCTTCCAGAGGCTAAAACACCAGATACTGAAGTTCTTCTTCCCAAAACAGAAGTTGATGTGTCAGAGGCTGATATTAAAGGCTATGAGGGGAACCTCAAAATTCCTAAAATGCCAACAATTGACCTCTCCGTTCCCAAAATTGATCTGGATGTGTCCCTGCCAAAAGTGGGGCATGATGCCGAGGGACGAAAATTGAAGATGCCCGATACAAAGATGCCAGCTATTGACTTATCCCTTCCAAAAGGAAAAACAGGTGACAATGAGGGAGGTCACATTGGAGTCAGTGCAGAGGCAGGGAAATTCAAAATGCCTCACATAACAATGCCATCAATAGATGTGTCCCTACCCCAAGGCAGATCTGGAGATCTTTATGTCCCAGACATTGAAACAGGTGGTGATGGGGGAGGTAAATTTAACGCACCTTTTATGAAAATGCCTAATATTGACATATCTTTACCAAAATCCCAAACTGGGAAAATTGATTCTCCTGATGTGGATGTAAAGGGAGAGGGGGGATTATTCCGAAAGCCTGGTATCAAAATGCCAAACATTGAACTGTCTCTGCCAAAAGGAAAGGCTGGTCATTTTGAAGGGCAAGATGTTGCGATTGAAGGGGAAGGGAAGATGAAGATGCCACATGTCAAAATGCCACATGTTGATATTAATATGCCAAAAATGAAATTAACAGAGGGTGATACACCTGATGTTCAAGCAAAGGTTGAAGGAGGAGGAGCAAAATTAAAAATGCCCCATTTTAATATGCCTTCAGTTGATATTTCAGTGCCAAGAGTAAAGACTGAAGGTCCAGAAATTGACATTGAAGGAGGTACAGGAGGAAAGCTCAAGATGCCTCAGATGAAAATGCCAGATTTTGATGTCTCTTTGCCAAAAGGAAAGATTGAAGGTCCAGACGTGGAACTCAAAGGGGAGGGTGGAAAATTCAAAATGCCACATATCAACATGCCCTCAGTTGATATTTCACTACCCAGAGCAAAATATGAAGGTCCAGATGTTGAATTCAGGGGAGATAGAGATAGTGCACTCAAAATGCCTGGTCCAAAAATGCCAGATGTTGATATATCTCTCCCTAAAGGAAAAACTGAAGGTCCAGAGGTTGAAGTGGAAGGAGGTACCGGAGGAAAGTTCAAAATGCCTGGTTTGAGAATGCCCAACATTGACGTCTCCCTACCCAAAGGAAAGATTGAAGGTCAAGATATTAGAATAAGGGAAGGCGCTGGAGGAAAACTCAAAATGCCTGATATTGATGTATCTGTGCCCAAAGGACATGTTGAAGGTCCAGAAGTGGAGCTCAAAGGGGAAGGTGGAAAATTGAAAATGCCACATATCAGCATGCCTTCTGTTGATTTTTCACTACCAAAAGGAAAGATTGTGGGTCCAGAAGTTGAAGCAGAGGGAGGTGCAGGAGGGAAGTTTAAGTTGCCTCAAATGAAAATGCCAGATGTTGATGTATCTCTGCCAAAGGGAAAAATTAAAGGCCCAGAAGGTGAAACTGAGGGAGGATCTGGAGGAAAGTTAAAAATGCCTCATATAAAAATGCCAGATGTTGACTTCTCTTTGCCAAAAGGAAAGATTGAGGGTACAGATGTCAAACTGAAAGGAGAAGGGGGAAACTTCAAGATGCCACATATCAGCATGCCTTCTGTTGATGTTTCACTACCAAGAGCAAAAGTTGAAGGTCCGGATGTTGAATTTAGGGAAGATGGAGGAGGAAAATTCAAAATCCCAAGTGTAAAGATGCCAGATGTTGACATCTCTCTACCCAAAGGAAGATCGGGCAGAATTGGAGGAGCAGAGTTAGAGCTTGAGCAAGGTGGAGGCAAAATGAAGTTGCCACATATGGCAATGCCCTCAGTTGACATTTCACTGCTACATGAACAGACTGAAGGCCCCAAAGTTGATGTTAAAGGTGGTGGGGGAAAGTTCAAGATGCCAAAGGTTAATTTATCTCTTCCTAAAGGTGAAGCTTCAGTCCAAGGGCCAGAGGTAGAGGGAGATGAGGGACGGTTCAAAATGCCAAATGTGGACATAATCCTTCCTCAAGGGACAGCAAATATTGACACACCAGAGCTGAAAGCTGAGGCAGAAGGAGGAACCATCAAGCTGCCTCATATTAAGATGCCAAAGGTTGATATTTCACTTCCTAAAGGTAAAGGTAAAGATACTGAAGCACCTGGGATAGAGATGGAGGTCACAGGAAGAAAAATCAAAGGTCCCGATATTAAACTTCCAAAAGGAGGTATCACAGTGCCAAAAGACAAATCAGGTGATGTTGAGATAAGTCTACCAACCTTTGAGGCAGGGGGGAAAGCCAAAGTGCCATCATCAGATCTGGACATTGATCTGACACTTTCTAAACCAAATCAAGACTTAAGTGTTGAAGGAGAGAACAAAGGTCTTAAACTCAAGATGCCAACATTAGATATCAAAGGTCCAACAGGAGATATTGAGCTTGATATAGGACTGCAAAGGGGAGAGGGCAAGAAGGACAAGAAAAAAGTTGAACTACCTGACTTGGATCTGGACACTGCAGGAACTGGCAGCAAAGATAAGGGCGCTAAAGTTAAAGGGACAAAATTCAAGATCGGCATGCCAAAAAAGAAAACTGGCAGAGAAGTCACAGCAGAATCAAAAACGTGCAAAAATTGTGGTGAAGAGGAGTTTGGCGGAAAAGTCAAACATATATGTAAAGTTGAAGGAAGACTTGGGTACCAAATGGAAACCCACAATGGACATAAAGAAGGCAAAGATCATATTACTATATCAGTACCAGGGGTTACATCGCCAAACATACAAGTCTCAGCAACAGGGGTAGAGGGTGGCCAGTCATCGACAACAGCAGAAATCAAAGCCCCCAGGATCCCAGACATAGATTTTGATATAGTTACATCGCAGGAGGAAGATGACAAAACAGAAACAGGCAAGAAAATCAAAATCCCTAAGTTTGGTGTGCCATTACCCTCCATCTCCCCCGAGGACAGGCGGAATATCTATGGACAAGAAATACAATATGAGGGCCCTAAAATGCCCAAAGTAAAGAAAGCTGTTTTTGTCTTAGTTAATCCTCCTCAAGCCGATGAGCCAGCTGCGTGTACCAGCCACCTAGAGGAGGAGATGACAATTGAGGCCGACACGAGGGATGTTAAAGTTAAAATGCCCAAGATTAAAATGAAGCCAAGCTTCGGGAAGCCCAAAGATAAATCAGTGACTGTGTGTACAGAGAGAGAGAGGGAGGAAGAGGAGAAGGCAAAAGGAACAAAAGTAAAAATGCATCAAGAGTCATTATCACTTGAAAAAACAGGGCAGTTTAGTGTCACAGGTTCAAGTTCAAGTCACAATGGTAGCAAAGTTGCAGGTTCTCACCAGTGCTTCAAGGATGATAAAGGGACATTCAGTGGCAAATTCAAGCTCCCAAAGGTGGAGCTCACCTCTCCATATGGAAAAATGACTGCAGGAGAGAAGGACACACAAACAACAAGTGCAGAACCAGGAAAGGATTTCTCAACAGTAGAAGTGACGGGAACAAAAGGTCCTACGCTAAAAACGGGCGAGATGAGCTTTGCTGGTTTTAGTGAGGAGCCCTCCAAGGATGTGGTGTCATCTCTTGCCAGAACCGATATGCTGGACAGAGACAGCTCAGAGTCTCCATCTAGTTTGACCATGGAGTTCAGCTCAGTGAAGGTCCAGGCTTGGAGTGAGGGTGAAAGCAAAAGCAGGGACCCTGAAGATAGAGAGTCATCCCCCTGGTTCAAGGTTCCCAAGTTCACCCTTAAGCCACACTCCACAGGTAAGCATTACGAAGGCTTGATAACCTAATGTCTGAATGGTGTAAAAATATATATTAACAAGCAACCACTACTGTTTAAACACTTAAAAGTCAGTGAAATACTTTATAGTTAACTAGCTGTGGTTTGCAACACTTAGCCTGAGTTACATCTTTTGGGGCTCTAAAGACGCTCCATCAAGACTGTGAGTATCAGTGTGGCTTGGGTTACCTCTGCTTGAGCTAAAAGAACAGATGAACGATTAACTTCAGATCACAATATTTATATGCAGACAATAAGTTGTATCTGACAGTGCAGCTCTGTTTTTTGGAGCTCCTTGCCCTTCCATGTGTACGAGTTGGATGCCAAAACCTGATGCAGAGAGAGTACCCATCCTCCTCAGTTCATTTGCATTCATGAAAAACCAGGGCAGCGAGAGCAGCAGCAAAGACTCCCATATTAGAGCTCACAGTAGACCAGGCACTAGGGATGACAATACATACGACACTAACTTGAAATGAGGAGCAGATGTGGAGGCAGGTTGTAAGAGGAAAGCGGGGAGAGTAGCAGACTGTAACAGTTTGACTTAAAATCCTATTTTGGCATTTGCCAGAGCTTCATTTCTGCTCATGTTAGCCTGTTGTGTCCTCTTTGTTTCCCTTATTTCACTGATTAATGTATTATCTCTGTTTTGTCTCTGCTACATAAGACTAAGCTTCTTTTCCCTCTTCCTTTCTTCATCTATCCCCTTCTCCTTTCCTTGTATTTTTTCCTCCACTTTTTGCTTCCCTTCTCCTCCTCTTTCTTCTCCAGGCTTCCTCCAGATAACTCCAGAGGGTTCTCCTCAAGCCCAGCGGAGGGGTGAGGTGGCAGGTGAGGTTGATGTCTCAGGGTCTTTCTGCCTCCACACCTCAGGGCTCGACTTCACCACCCAGGAAACATCTGAAGAACACCAGGTCTCCTCTACAGATGAGGGAACTCTCACCATGGTGACTAAGACCACCAGAATCACCCGGCAGTTGGTCACCTCCGAAACGCGAACAGGTGAATCATCGACAGCTAAAACGCCACCTCAGGCACTGGACTTTGACTACTGAGGATGCTGTAACCATAGATGTCTGTAGTTTTGTTGTTTTGAAGTCGGGCCTGCAACATGAAAACCTTGTCTAAAACGACAAGATCAGGAACTTCAATTCATACTTAAAGGAAAAATTGTTATGAAAAGAAAATTACATTTTATTACTCTGCATTTTCTTTGTTATCACAGCAACAGAGTAATATATGCATATTTTTTCTTTTATTCAAATGTGTTTATATTTTGTCACTGTTTTTGAGTTTTGTTAGTTTAGTCCTGATTATTTATCAGTTTTTGGTTTTTTAGATTTCTCTCTCCATGTAAACATGTCTGTTTGTTTTATTATTTATTGTTGTTTGTGGGTTTAAAATATACTGTAATGAGTCATTTACAAGCATCAGCATCGTGGATTTTACCACGACCTTATCATTAATTCAAAATCATTTAAACCACTGCAGTTCAGGCCAGAGTAATATCCATGTAAATACCACTTTGTCCGGCTTTTTAAAGCAGTTTCCCTCAGTTTGAATTGTAACTATTTTAATTTACATGAGAGTCAGCAGTACAGATCTTTTCTTAGAACTGGTTATTGTGTTTGTCTTAAAAGAAAAGAGTGAGCTTTTTGAGATTTGAGGCTTTTCTCATTTTCTGCCATAGTTTTATATCTTGAGCATTTAGATGGTGCTGTTACCCAGAGACCGCTACATCAAGCGGGACACTGTGGACTTTTTTCTGCTGTGGGAATCAAACTCGTGACTTTTTTTGTCACAGGTTGCTCTCCAAAATTTCGGTCACCCTGCTGCTAATGTTTTTTTATATTTCTGTTTTTACTGTACACTGCCAGGACATTTAGTGGTGCACCATCTCTGAATACTGAAAATGCAAAGTCTCATCAGCTCTTCTAAGGAGGCTTGTCACTGTCACACTGGCTACCACGTGCAGAGCCTCGATCTCATCCCAAAGCATCTCCTGATAAAATATATTCTCTAAGAACAAAGCAGGGGAGACGTGATTCAAATCTTTCATGGTCTGACTTTCTCCTGTGTATTATATTAGTATTTTTAGAGATATTACAGAGTTATAATAAAATGATCAATGTCAGATTCATGAAAATATTTTTACATGCCTTTACACTTTGATTTTTCTCAAAGATCAGTTCACGTGTTACATTTTTAAATGGTTTGAAACAGAATGAGAATGATTATCTATCTGCAATTATAAGTGCAAATACAACCATTTGAGAGACTGCTGTCATTTCTGTAGTAAATAAAAACCAACTTTTTAAAAACCAAAGATTTTTACATTACTCACCTGCATTCACGTACAAGAAAACACTTTCATAGATGTTTTTTGAGCTCGACCCATTTTTAGAGTTTGAGTAAAGAAAGGCTGTTAAAACTCTGGGACGAGGGTGAGGACTTGTCGAGTTGTATTAAAGTAAAACAGAGTGGAAACTTGATATAAAAGAGATTTTTACTTTTCTGGTTAAATCAGATTTTTAAAGTTCTTTTAGATCTAACAGTTTTTAGTGCCAAGTGTTTCTTTTTTGTCAGGTACGCTGGAGAGGATGTTTGTCAAAATATTTCATCAATAAAATAGTCTTGACACAAACATTTAAAGTGGAATATTCATGATGTCTCTGCTTCAGCAGCACTTACACATTAAATCGATTGACTTTTTGGTAATTCATGAGGTGTTCATAAATTCAAAAGTCCCCAGAATAATTGATCAGTTATTAAATATCCAACAGTCTGTGAAGAGCCAGAGTGAGCTGGAGTCTTTGGAAAATCACAGAAGGAAAGATGCTTTAAATAAGTACTAAAAGAGCTTTGAGATAAAAAATCAGGCACAATAACTTCAAAATATTTATCATTCAATAAAAATTTCACAAAAGAAGAATTTACTTAACCATTAGCTTGAGGTGTTTCTTTTTTACAGGCCATGTTTCCCTGTAATCTTCAGTCCTGTCTTGTGAAAAAAATATATATGAAAGTTAAACTCAAGCAGCCAGATTTAACTTTGGTCATCATTTAACCAAATTAATTAAATTTTTACATTTTTAAAAACATTTTTTCCCCTCATAATTTTCACATTATATGACAGAAAACATTTAGTGTCACCTAATTCATCCATCTAACTTTTTTACCTCTTTCATAACTTAATGAATCAAACACTTAACACATTAATTTTTGACTCCATAAACGATTATTATTATTTTTTAAGATGAATAACATTTTTTGTTCTTTATTTTTGCACAACAGGGCCTCCATACATTTTATCCAGGAGCATACAAGCCACTATCCTCCTAGTTAGTCAGACATGTTTTTTATTTTAAATTCAAATCTAAGGGGAGAGTTTTAACTAAAATGAAACCCTTATCCTTTAATATGAAGGGGACAGCCTTAATTTAAAGTTCTATGTTTTATCAGAAACCTGCAGGAATAAAGGCGCCCCCCGGTGGTGTTATGAAAACCATGCAGGAAAGAAACACAACACTGTTGTGCTTATTTTCCTGTTCCGAGCAAACTTAATATGTCAGCTATAAAAGATGAAAATGCTTAATTGTGCACAAGCTGGTTAGAAGAGTAGATGCAGAGCAGCGGGCTGATTATTCCTACCTCATCACAGAGGAAACACTGCATCACTCCAACTGTATGTCCTCTCCTGATTAAACACAGAGCTGCAGACACCAGCTGTGAAGGGCAAAGAAAATGTGTTTTTAGAGGCAAAGAATCTCACCTTTGAATTTAGTCTAAATCAGTCAGTGAGAAAAACAAGAAACATTTCCTGTTGAGGGTCAGATACACAAAAGCACAAACACAGAAAAACACACGGATCAATCCGAGCTGAAAAATTCTGGAGAGGAGGGACTTTAGAGGAGAAAGTGATAAACTATGTATACCAGCGCATGACGTCTTCCTATTGTGTGTGTGTGTTTGTGTGTGTGTGCGTTTCCAATCCACTTGTCTTCTGCTGTGATGATGCTGTGCAACGTAGGCTAGGGGTGAGTGTATGTGAGGGAAGATTACTGCTGTATCAAGAGCACACAGTGCCACAGAGACGAGGGAGGAGGAGGAAGAAGGAGTGAGACAATGCAGCATCAGCAGCTACACCTCAACAGATTGAAGGTAACGTATCAGCAGAGCAGATGGAGAATATCACACCTGAGGAGTTAATGAAGATGGAGCAGACTTTTGTTGAGAAAACATGGGATTAGACACTCCTCATGCTTAAAAAAGCAGAAATCTACGCAGGGATGCCTCATTTCATCCTCCCATGCTCTTCGAATCTGAACCATGTCTATAAACTTAGTCAGCCTCATGACCAAGAACATGAGCAAGGTTCATGATGCAGATGGTGAATAGCAGCTGATCTGCAGGCGGTCCAAGGAGCTCCTGAGAGTTACTGTGAACGGTGTTACACCAGCTGGAGCTTCACACTCTTGTAGTGAGTGGTTAATGATAAAGCTCTATTGAACATTTAAAGTAGTTTAATGAACAAATCAAGATGGATCCAAAAGGGCTAAAAACCTCAATAATTTTAGGGAGGAACAGCTTTTTGAGATTAGAGAGGAGATTGCTCTGTTTGATCGTTCAGAGTTTCTTCACCCTCAGCCCTTTTTATTTTTAAGGCTGTAAAAACAATCTCTCCCACATTCTCAGAAACAGCTTTCCTCGTTTAATTGGTGAAATGCTGAGATGAATTTTTTTGCCGGTTTCTAAACTGAAAACAAAAACGGAATGTGCACCAGTTCATTTTGATCTGTGTGCGCTGAAATAGCAAAGCTTAGCGAAATCATTTAAATGGTCTATGAATGTTCATCCCTAACCCTAACCCAACCAACTCTAATTTGTTACAGAATTGTCGTGGCAAAGACCCTTATACATGATGACACCTTAAGCATGGGAGCTAAACTGGAGGGAGTCTAATAAAATATTAACCTTGCAATGTGTTTACTTTTACATAGAGCATATGACTGCCTAGGGTGCAGAGAGGCCTGGTTTACTTATTTTATAGCTATAATGTTGTTTTGGGCTTTAATGCTCCCATGCATGTACCTTTAAAAGGGATATTCACACGTAAAATTAAGTTAGGGTCAAACTCACCGCAACACAGAGTTAGACATCCATCGAGAGATAAATGTTGCAGACCGCTTGCTTCTCTAGTTATACCAACTTGTACCAAATGCTCTCTGCGGTCTGCAACATTTATCTCTTGACTGGGTGTCTAACTCTGTGTTGCGGTAAGTTTGACCCTAACTTAATTTTGCGCCGGAATATCCCTTGAACACATTATGACCATAACACCACATTCAAATAAATATTGAGACTGCAAATACAAATTGCAACAGGAAGAAATGTTTATTACACAAAAAGAAACACAGAAAATCACCCTTTACTTTGATCTGGTGACCCTTTGAGTCTATAAAATAAGACAAAAATGAAATTACCCAGGGTTTTGTGATTCAGTTATGGTACCATATCATTGGCACGCATGTTGGAACTCATATAAATATAAATGTAAATGTTCTTTATTTATTCAGCCCTTTACAACAACCCTTATGGTGAACCAAATTGCTTTACAATACATAGATAATAAAAATGTATAAATAAAAACAATAAAAGCAATTAAAAAAGAATAAAATACGATAAACTAAAATAAAATGCCACTACGCTACTGAGTATTAAAAGGCTGCATAAATAAGTACGTTTTCAATCGAGATTTAAAAAGGCCCAGGTCGGAGATAAGTCTCATTTCGGTGGGGAGCTTCTTCCAGAGCCTGGGACCAACAACTGAAAGGTCTCGGTCACCCCAGTGTTTGTGTTTTGAGCTGGACACCTCCAGCAGAAGTTGATTTGACGACCTCAGAGCTCTACCAGGCTCCATAACTGTTTAAAGCTCAGTTAAATAGATGGGGGCAAGGCCGTTAAGAGCTTTAAAAACAAACAAAAGTTTAAAATCAATCCTTAAAGAGACAGGAAGACAATGAAGGGAGCTGAGGACAGGACTGATGTGTCTGTTAGTGTTGGTTAAAAGACGTTGAAGTTGACTAAGAGATGATTGGGAGATGCCAACATAAAGTGCATTACAATTGTCTAATCTTGAACTGATTAGAGCATGGATGGCTCTCTCAGGGTCGTGTATCCTTGTGAAAGTGTTTCACAGTACTCACGGATAGCAACAGTTTCCTCAAACCCTCGGTTCAGAGGAGTAAGGTGAGCAGAAACGGAGAAACTTGTCCTGGAGACACTTGGGCAACGGCAGGTTCTCTGGCGACAGCGTGAATCCTGAGCAGCAGTCGGCAGGCATGTAGGTACGTAGATATACTAAGCAGAAATTCAACACACTAATAAACTCTCTGTTCACTCTCATTCATTTTCATAATGTCACCAGTTCAAATAACACCCATACTCACTCAGGAAACTCGGTGCTAAATATTCCTCCCTCACACATAAGCGGTCTTCTTCTCCCAGCTAGCGGTAACGAGGCTAACTCTAGTTCTACACACAACGAAAATGGCGTCGCGGATATTCAGTACAATTCCCGCTGAAACAACTCTGAACTAGGTTCTCTCACACATTTGGTACCGGTAACACACAAACACACCCTCCAGTTTAAGGTTTCAATTACAACAGTAACTTTAAACGGTTTAAAATGGCTTACAGCTACTGATCCTTGGAGTTGTCGCTCTTCTTTTTCGTCTTTCTCCCCGTTACCAGCACTTTCCCTCTCTTTTTTTAGTCCCGCCCCCTGCAGAATCCGGTAGGTAGTTGACGCTCATCTCTGACAGGCACGGATTGGCTAATAACAGATTGATACCTGGTTACTCAAATGAACAAAAGAAACGTCATGAGACATTCACAGAGCATAAAGAACATGGGACATTTTAGTACCTTCCCCTAATAAAGTGCCACCATAGCCTGACTGGGCCATCCTGTTGCGTGAATCACTCGCCGTTCGTTGGGAAGGAACGGCAAGTGGTTCACGCAACAGAATGGCCCAGCCAGGCTAGTGCCATCCTACTCCAGTATACCATTCTGGTTCGCTCTATTGTAGCTGACGGGAGGTGAGTAATCTCCATGATCAAAAATACTCTTAACTCGGTGAAATCTTGACAGATTTACAAATGGTTTAGTTTATTACAGACCTTAATAACGTGGCTATGAGTTGGGATCCTTGGATGTATTGAAACGGCAGATTACTTTATGAAATAAAAGACTTGATAATGAAAAACAGTTGTTTTATGGCTATTTGCGCACAAGGGCTAACTTTGAGTCACTTTGCACGAGTTGTCAAGAGTGAGACTACAATCGAGATTTTAATTTCTTGTGTGACAGCCTGAATATGTTTCTACCATGATGTCCATTGTCTCCTTTGCTCAGATGCTCTCTGGGTGTGGTGCCCCCAGGTTGTCATGTGACAGTGTAATATTGCACTGATTCTGGATGATCCCTAACCAACCACACAGGCTGCAAATGGCTCCAAATATTCTGAGAAAGGCTCATTGTGACCCACCGAGTAGGGGATGTCTGCAGAGCCAGAGAGCCAAGCAGATCCACAACCGCTCTTTGCGCCCCTGCTGGACAGAGTAGGTCATTGCATGACATATCCACAACCCTCTTTTTAACCGCTGTTCCACATCTCTTTTTGTGCCCAGAAATTTAATTTAATAAACAAATTAATAAATATGAGACAGCAGTCACATATTATTATCTAATCAAAATAAAAAAGTATTTTAAACTTGTGAGGAAAGTGTTCAGTTCTTGGGACTCGGCCCACTTCCTTTCAAGGATTTTAAATTTATTTTAAAATAAAGAAGTGCCCACAGTCACATATTTAGATATTTATCTAGATTTTATTAATTTTGCAATTTTTTACTTATTATCATGTTTTTATGTATTGTCTGCCTACCTATAATATTTCAGGTTTATTATACCAAAATATCAACTGATATTATCCCAGTATTATAGGGATTGGCCTCGCTTTTACACTCTTCATTCCTTGGCGATGATTTTGACCCCCTGAATGCAGAGCCAGATGAATGTGTTATTTTGTGTGTTTTTCTTGTATATTTTTACATACAATTTCATGCCTACGGGTCAAATAGTACATTTCCGACAAGCATTACCTTGACCGAGATTCGATGTGCATTTCAGACTATCATGGAAAATGGAAAATTTCATAAACGGAGCCTGTAACATTGACATTTATTTCAAATTCAAGACAACAGTTTTATTAATGACTAAAAATTGTGTGATTCATGTTTGATACTTGATCATGACATCGCTCCATTCGAGCCAATAACTTTCGAGAAGAAGGGGCGGTCTTGGTTTCAGGTTGTAGGTCATGCAATTACCTACTCTGTCTAGCAGGGGTGCAAAGAGGGTTATGGATCTGCTTGGCTCTCCGGCTCTGCAAACATGTACTATTGGACCCACCTGCAGCTCTGATTGGAGGTACTGTCAGATGGTAGAGAAGGTCATTCAATCTTAATTTCAAATATAAGTTAATTTTTTACAGCCAAAGAAATGTCAAAGAGCTTCAGTCAGTGCTCATATATGCAGGATCTCTGAGAGGCCCACACAGAGCTCACTGACCTCTATGAGAAAATCTCACACCAACTGTGGCACCAAGTACCCCGCATACACTTCCGCTTCCCTCTCCTCCCCTGCCTGCGTGGCACGATCCACCCCTCCTACCAGTGAGTGGGCTGCAAGTCAAATTAGCTCTCCGTCATCCTGCTCGCCGAGCGCACCCGAGGCTACTGCGGTACGATGCGGCGACGCACGATGCCGAGCCGCGGTGGGTGAAGTGATGCGCAATGGCCGAACGAGAGGGGAGAGGGACGAAGGAGGAGAAACAAAAGGATCCTGTGTGGTCTTCAGCTCTCATTTAGATGATGAGGGGACGGGGCTGGATGCGTGTTTGAGGGATTTGTAGCGCTGTAGGTCCAGTGGTGCAGGCCGAGCAGGAGGATGTGGTGGCGCTGATCCCGCTGAAGGATGCTCCAGAGCCCGAGGAGGGAAGAAAAGGCTCTCCTGCAAAAAAAAAATAAAACAAGCAAACAGAGAGAGACATCAGGGAGAGGACTCTAAAGGAAAACCTGGACCCGAGACAAACCGGGTAAGACACGATGAAACCTCTCTCAGGACATGTTGGCTGGGTAAACTGGGTTTACTGGTCCAGTTGCTGGGTTTGACGTGTCATCTTCATTTTAGTGCTCCACACTCTGCTCGTATGTGTAGGCTCAGTGAGATATATACGACCAGAACCAGAACCAGGACCAGCTCACTTCTGGTGAATCATGAGCTGTGTAGGCGCCAGGAGTGGATTTATGGATTTATGACCACCTGTGTTTGAGTTTTCAGATCATTCTGTTTGGCTGTGAGAGACGTGGTGGAAGGAGTGTATGTATTTTATATCAAACATAAGGCCTGTGTGTGTGTGTGTGTGTGTGTAGGAGGAGCCACTTCAGATTCAAATGTTTGACCTTTGGCGGACTCACACCTCCACAAACAGGAGAGCTGTAATCCAGTGAGTCAAAGCAGAGTGAAGCACCATCACTCCTCAGAGTAACAGGAAATTAAACCGTGCGATCAGCCGTACACCTTCACACCAACAGAAGGATCCACAGTAAAGGACCGCTGAGGCTTCACCTGTTTTCTCTGTTTTTAACTCGAGAAACCTTCTCCAAATGTTCATCATCCTGTTTTGTCCCGCTCTCCTGCAGGTTGTTCTGTGACGGCTAAGTCAGTCCTGGCGCTGACAGGGAGGGCGTGAAGCTGTGAAGTCGGCGTCACTGAGCAAACTTCTCATTATCCTCTCTATCAGCAGCTCTGACAGCTGGACGTCCGGCCGGGGCGTTTGTTTTCTCCGTCAGACTTTGAAAACTGGAGGAGCGATAAAAGGAAACAGAAGCACAAATCAGGAAAACAACAGATTCTGTTTGTGTCTGAAAACAGAGCGGACTGTTAGGACGTGAAAGAAGCTCCAGCTCCTTCTCTCTCTGAGGATATTTTCTGTTTCAGCAGTGAGAAACTCTCTTCTGCTCTGTTTTTTCACAATGCTCAACGGTGTAATTCTCCCAAACTTCAGTCTTTTCACATTCGAGTTGTTCCTCTCACAGTCGAGCTCCAACTCTTGATGGTGCAGCTCTCACCTGCCAGGCTGCTGCTGCTGCTGCGTTTTAATAAAGCATAAGTGAGAGGACACCAATCAAACATAAATGAGGCCAACAACAGGCACTATGCTCCAGCAGAACAACAACAACAACTACCCCTGCCTCAACATGTCAGGCTCCACCCGGGACATGCTCCAGAAGTGCTCCAAAGCCTCCCTGCCCTTCCCCGGCAGGATGGAGCTGGGCCTGGGAGACCTACCGCTGATCCGTGAGCTCAGGGCCTGGGCCCTGTGCTCCAAGAACCGCAGGAAGGCTGGAGGCCTTCTGGGAGGAGGTCAAGCCCCCATAGTTGCAGGGCGGGCAGGAGCGACTCACTGCTACCGGCCTGCTGATGTATGCCTGAGCGGGGAGTGGGGCCGCATGGGATACGGGCTCCCTTTGGGTCTGGACGGAGGGCAGGCCGGGATCGGCGCTTTGGTAACCGTGGCGTCTCTGAAGACCTCAGAGGGCGGCGGGAAGACTCAGACTCAGTGCCTCTTCCTCAGGACTGAAAAAGGGAGCTGTTTGTACTCCACTGCTAAACCCGGCTCCAGCGCCGCCTCCAGCGTGGTCGGAGGATGGCTGCGAGGGAAGGCGAGGAGCAGAGACACACCAGCCGGAAGGAGGGACAATGGGCAAACTCCACCGGCACAGACCGGAGCGAACCGGGTGAGAGTGCGGTCAGGCCGGAGGTGGAGGAAGTCGTGTAATGCAGCCGGCCGTGAGAAAGCAGGCGTGAGCAGAGAGCTGCAGGGGAGAAATCCTGCAGGAGAAATCATTCTGGAAGAAAGGCAGGAAGACGGGGACAAAGGAGGCCTGGACCTGAAACAGACCCCCAGCCCAGAGCAGGACGACAGGAGAGCCTGCAGGAGTCACCATGAGTCTCCCAAAACCTGCTCTCAGTGCGGACAGAGAAGCCAGGATGGAGACGAGGGAGGGGAAAGTCCAAGAGGAGGACTCCCAAACCGTCTGAACGCTGAGACCAAGGGAATGAGGAAGAGGAGGCAGAAGAATGAAGAGGAGGAGGAGGAGGAGACTAACCCTGACCCAGAATCCAAACTCGACAACCCAGGACCCCTCAGTGTCTGTGAGGCTGAAGAGATTCGAGAGGCTGAGAGGAAAGAGGAGGAAACAGACTCTGAGGACCTGAAAGGACAAACGACAGACACTGACGAGTTTTCATTAAGACTTACCAGAGACCAGGATGAGACAAACACAGGTGAGACACTCTGTGGGGACAAAGACATTCATGTCAACGGATCTGTGGACAAACCTGAAGATCTGAAGGCTGAGTCGAGGCCTGAAGACCTGAAAGAGAGGGAGAGGAGCAGCAGGGAGGTTTCTGTCTCCACCTGTCCTCCTCAGCCCTCCTCTCCTGTAGAGGGCAGCACCACCAATGCTGAGCACAAGGCCTGTGTTTGGTGGGAGAAGGAGAAGAAAGAAGAAGATCACATTGAGGAAACTCCACAAGGAGAAGCAGGTCCTGGGATCACGGTTCAAGAGGCTCTGCAGGTTTTCAGATTCGACCGACAGGAGGAGAGCTGTGCTGTGGAGGAGGACAGAAAACCTCCACCTTTCTCTGAGGATGGAGCAAACAAAGAGGAGTCAGAGAAGGAGGAGAAGGACAAGGAGAAGAGAGCAGAGGAGGTGTGGAGGAATGAGGGAGACCTGGATCAGGTTTATGAAGAGGATGATGAGAGACGAGAGGATGAAGAAGGAGAAGGAGGGAGAGAGTGTGCGCCTAAAGACAACATGAGGTTAGAGGAGTCTGCAGACGGGAGGAGGTGGAGGGAGAACGAAGGTGGAGACACCTGCAGACAAACAAACATCACCCGTGTCGAAGCTGACGGAGAGAGCCGCTCTAACGTCATTAATGCTCCCTGTGCTGATCCCTCCACCTCCATTACACTCCTCCTGGCTAATCCTGCCCCCTCTCTGCCCCCCTTGGGATCCATGGCAACCGGCCTGCCCTGTCTGGAGGCGGAGAAGGAGGAGGAGGAGGAGGAGGAGGAGAGCGAAGAGGTCAAAGTGACGGTGGAAGACGGGGAAGGAGGCCAGGACGGAAAGAGAGAGCTGGAGGAGGTGAGGGGCTCCACCGTGGCCACTGAGGAGGACAGGAAAGAGGAGGAGGAGGAGGAGGAGGAGGAAGATGAGTTTGGAGTTTTCATGCAGGCGGAGGGAGAGCCGGCCTGGAGCGAGGGACCCAGCATGTCTGCCTCAGTGCCTTGTGGGAGCAGAGGGAGTGTTGGTGAGTGTCCGGATTTTTCTGTGTCAACTGGCTTCCCCTCCTTTTCTCTCTCTCTCTCTCTCTCTCAGTATCTCTCTCTCTCTCTCTCTCTCTCTCTCTCTCTCTCTCTCTCTCTCTCTCTCTCTCTCTCTCTCTCTCTCTCTCTCTCTCTCTCTCTGTCTCTCAGATTAGGAGCAGAGTTGGATAAATGTTCAGATTTAGAGAGGTAGAAATCTCAGCTGGTGTCTGTTGTTGTGGAAATAACTCTCTCAGAGTATTAGAGCGTTTTTAACCTTTAGTACTGCCTCAGGAATGCTCTCTCACTCACTCATTTAAAGGGCCACGCCGCAGATTTTCACAGCTCAGGTCCATTCAGTTCAGAGGTCTGAATGTTGTCAGATTAGCGGGCCGTGTTTTGATGTTTTCACTCTTATTTTATGTGCATTTATGATCTTAGATTGTTGAAGACTCTATGTGATGGACTTTGTTTAGATAGAAACCTGCAGGAGCTCCTAAGAACACCTTTGTTTCCGCTCATGTTTGTAATGTTTGACACACGAGGACACGAACAAGAGCAGCTCAGTCGTCTGCTACAGTGTGGAAGTTAAAATAATCTGCAGATATCTGAGAAATGAAGATTTAGTTTGTTTAATCTTCATGAAGACAAACTTCAGAAAACACTACAGATTCAATTCAAAAGGTCGGCTTTGCGTCTGTAGTTCTCCCAGCTGAGGCTCATGGGTACTGTAGTCTGGAAGCTGAAGAAGAAGACAATGGCTGTCAGGCACAAACGTTTAGTTTTGATTAGGAGTGTAACAGTGTAACGGTACAGAGAAATCAGCTCAGTTTTGAGGTCAGGGTTAGGTTCACTTTTGAGGCACATGAAGGATCTCTTGTCCTTTTTTAATAATAATAATAATAATAATAATAATGATATCTTTATTTATAGATCACTTTTAAAACTTCCCTTTTACTTTGTCTGAAGTTCAGCTGCTTTTGTTTGTTCATCGAGGGCTGAGTGAGAGGTCATTAATAAACTTACAAACACTGAGCTTTAAAGGAAAAACCCCAAAATATGAAATATGAAAACGTAACGTCAGCGAGCAGCTGAATGAATAAAACAATAATCTGACGGTGTGAATCAGCTCATCTGTATTCGACACACTCAGGACACACACATGCAGCTGACGGACGTACACCTCAGGGTCCTTTAGGATAATCACTTCAGCCCGGTGAGCGCGGAGGGCGAGCCGAGGTTTAATCACTACTCTGTCCTCAATTCATTTACCTGAATAGATTTATTTAACTAATTCTGAATATTACTGAAGAAGTTGAAGGTTGTGTCCAGACTGACAGAAACCTCTCAGTGTGTTTGTAGTGAGTTCAATCATCCTTCTGTGAGAATATATATGAGCACCTTTAACATGAACACAGCAGTTATCTCAGGTTCACCATTCATCGTGTTCATCAGGATGTAACTGTGAATTTAAATTAGTTTAAACTACGGCCTGACTGATTTATCGGCGAGCCAATTAAATCGCCCAATTTAAGCAAATTTGAGACTAATCGGAAATCGGCCAAAACTCGCAGATTTTTGCCGATATTTCAGAAATGAAATGCGGAGAATAAGATTCGGTTTCACTTCAGCCATTTGAAAAGTTCCACAACTTATCCTGTAGATGGCGCAGCGACCTCATGACTGTCTTCATCCACTAACTACCTCACAGCACAGCAGAGTGACGGATCTGAAGCAGCAGCTCAGGGACGCACGGAGGAGAGTGGTCCGCCTCAACGGGAAATAAACCAGTTTGTGAAAAACACAATCAGTCAACCGATAGTATCAGCGATACTTTATATCTACAGTATCTGAGTCTGCAGCTGCAGATTCAGGTTTACATTTTTGAAGACATTGCTCAGTGGGAACAGCGTATTCGGTGTGTCCTTTTCAGTGTGTGATATTGTCGTTGTTGTTGTGTTCACTTTAACAATTTTACTGTGTCGGACCAAAACCTGAGAGTTGCATCAGCATGAGGATCCAAGAGACGACTAACAGGGACATAATCAACATATTTAAAAATAAGAAACTATCCCTTTAATGACGGTGAAACTGAACTTTAAAACAGCCTGGAAATGAATTCATTAGGTTTCCTGTTTTGTGATGGAGGCGGAGTCTAGCACCTCTGAGTCTGACCTGACCTGAATTCCTCTCCGATCTCTCGGTCTCACTACTCCGGATTAATCATTTAGAGTTTAGCTGAGGAGGAGGAGGAGGAGGAGGAGGAGGAGGAGGAGGAGGAGGAGGAGGAGGCACATGAGGCCCAGGACTCTGAGCTCGTGTTGGCCTCAGGTTTAAGTGTGGGGGGGTGAAAGAGAGGGTCACACAAACACCAACAAACACGACACAAACGTTCAGCATGAGTGATGAAGAGTAACTGTGAGGAGGGTTTTCTCTGAGCGAGCCGAAGCTGTGAGAAGAAGTCAGAGAACAAGGAGTGAGAAGATGAAGGTTCGACTCTGACAGTAACACAAAGACATAAAACATCGCTGCACACACAACAACAACACAACACACACAACAACACACACAACAACAACACAACACCACAGGAACACAACAGCAGACTGTACTGGAGTTTTAACTGTGTGTGTGTGTGTGTGTGCGTGTGTGTGTGTGTGTTTGACAGCAGCACTCGGAAACCACGCCGTCTCTCCAGAGTCGACTCACTGGACATCAGGCTGGACGGACAGCTCCTTCTGCCAATCAGACGACACCTGGGCGGCCTTTCCTCAGGATGCCTCAGATGACGGCGGAGACGCGGCGGTGGGACAGTGGTGGCCGAGGAGCGCCGTGGAGCAGAGCAAAGACCGACTCTTGGCCAATCAGAATCTGGTAAAGTTGGATGAATTCGTCAGAAATAATAACCTGTCAGTCATGTTATCGTAGCAGACGGACGTTTACACAGAGATGATGAGTCGGCATTTCTCTTCCCGCCACACGTGCCGGTCTTTGGTTTTGAACTCTTCTGAGGTCCATTAAACAGAGTCAGGTCCAGGAGCGGAGGGTTCAGGTTCTTTATCTCACCGTCTGTTGTTTTTTTAACGTGTTTAAGATGTTTTTTATAAAATATTTTTATGAAACATTAAAAAACTCAAACTCTCCGATTCAAAGTGGTACCATGACCCTGTTTTCAGTTTTTCTGCACCGTTACCATGGAAACACATCCTGACACCGCCCGAGGGATTAGTTGACGATGTTTTTGGGACTAAAATGAGTGTTTTTTTGTGGCTCACACCGGACGGGTTCAGGTCTGTTTTCTCGGGAAGGAGCCGACTCTGCAGGACGACGAGTCTCAGAGGAACTCGCTGCTGCGGTGAAGAGATGAAAAACGAGGAGACAGAGTGTTTCAGAGACGCTGTAGTGCCTCCTTTAACTTTACATGGACTGAGGGGACCGACTGGACTGATCCATGCTGTCCTGTGGGGGGGGGGGGCAGGTCGACGACTTTGACTTCATGCAGGAAAAATCCACTTTGACGTGATTCTGTATCTGACTCGTCCTTTTGTCTGTTTTTAGGCATCAGTCTTCGCCCAGGCCTTCCCCTCGCCGCCTGCTTTGTCCTCAAGTGACCTCGATACTGTTCCCACCCTGACCCAGATCCTCAGGGGGGGCAGAGCAGACCAGGGCCAGGGGTAAGTCGACCACCTCAGCTGAATCCCTCTGATCTGATGCAGTTTGATGTTGTTGAAGGTCGTGTCGACTTCCTCCTGTGATTTAATTATGAGAGTTTTAATCAGAGAAGTCTGACTCAGGTGTAACCAGGTGGACTCAGTCTGACAGTCTGTGAACACAACAATAGAGCAGACGCAGTTTCAGGACAGATGACCTGCACCAGCCTGAACAACCTCTATTAAGAGAAGAAGAAGAAGAAGAAGAACTTAGTTTATCCCCGAGGAGAATCCGATCACAGAAACAGGCTGCGAAAGTTTCAATGATGCAAAGTCAAAAACTCATGAAAAAGTCCCAAAATGCTGTGAATAAACTGACGTCAGTGAAGCACTGTCATGTGGCGCCCCCTTCAGGCCTGCAGCACTTTAGTCAAAATAACGGGCTGTTTTTTTTTGTCTTTTTCTACTTTTGTGTCATTTCGGTATTTTCACTCAATTTGGGCTTTTTGCAGCATGTTTTGTTTGTTTGCGGTGTGTTGCCATGGTTACATTTGTTTATATTATGGGACCCTCAGGCAGCCCAGGTTTAGTTCTGACCCCCCAGCCCTAAATCCAGTACAATCCCCCCACCAACTCCATCCACCATCCTGTCCTCTAAATAAAGTCTATAAATAAATAGATTTATTTCTAATAGAAATTGTGTAAACAGTAGATATCTTTTAGAGATATATTATGTGAGACAACAGACAGTTGAATTTCCCCTCAGGGATCAATAAAGTTCTTCTTATCTTAAATATTTGAAATCTCAACAGTAACTTCAGGAGGAAGCTCAGCAAAAATCACATTACATAACACGTGTGTGAATCGTTATTCTCTTACTTTAATAAACATGTATTTAAAAAATGGCAAATATGATTTAAGGGAAAGTATTTCACCTGTGTGACATTTGAAGAGTTTTTTTTTAAGCATCTCAGAGAACCAGGAGTTAAAAACTTTGAACCAAACCCTCAAACACAGTCGTGTCGGTAAATTAAACGTGCTATAGAGGTGGTTGTGTGCAGGTGAGATGTGTTTTGAAGAATTGTGGCGTGTGAGGAACTGCCGCCACCAAGTGGTTCATGTGTAGAACTGCAGTTTGTGTGTTTGCAGTGTTTGGCTCAGTGTGTGTGTGTGTGTGTGTGTGTTTGTTGAAGTTTCATAAAAGTGGAAATAAAGAGTTAACTGGAAGAATCTGCTCGAGTCTCTTAGAAAAGTCCCTGTTAACGTGGATTTTTCACAGTGGGTGTTTATCTGATGAGCGCTCTAACATCGGTTACTAATAGCAACCATGAAGTTGGTTCAGATCAAGTGAAGAAAACGTCGTTTTTCACACAGATTCTGTTCAGTTTCTCACATTTAAAAGAAGATAATGGTTTAAAACAAAGATCCGTGTCCCTGTCCGTCCGTCTGTCTGATCTCTCTTTGTCGTGTCTGTCCGTCTCCCTCTGACCCTCCAGGCTGTTGGACAGCTTCCACGACTTGAACAAAATGATTTGCCAGAGAAACAAGAGAGCCAACGGTGCGTCTCGTGACCTGCTGCTGAAGACTCTGCACCTGGTGCAGCCGCAGACTGTGAGTACAGAGCGACACAGACTTCTGTCTCCGTCTGTTTGAGAGTTTAGGAAACTGTTAATGAGAACTGAGAGTCCGGTTACACTTCAGGCTCTGCTCACACAGACACATGAGCTCAGAGGACGCCACGGACACTTTCAATTTGTGAAGCTTCAGTGTTGCTAAATTGAATTTGTCCTCGCAGCCTCAGCAGCATAGAAAATGAACTGATAGTGTCGGTTGACTGGCGGTGGCCTATAGGAGTGAAGCTTCATTCAAATCAGGTTATCGCTGCTGCTGCAACATGCAAAACACACTCCGACTCCACGGTGGCATATCCACCAACAGACTCATCTCAAGATTCGAGACATGAAGGAAAAAACAACCCGACAGCTGCAGAGGATGTAAATGTGTGGTTTTTTACTCCCTCTGAGTCTGTGCTGCAGGGCGACACACAGGAAATAACAGTTCTTACTGTACGCTCTCGTCTCTTCATCATCATCCTCCTCCTCGGTCTTCAGATGTTCCTTCAGGTGTTTCTCAGAGTTACACCACTTTGTCAGTGTTTGGTCCTCCTGTCCCATCACTATATACTTACAGATATAAGTTTATACTTTCTCTGCTGCTGAAACCCTGATCCATGCTTTCATAACATCCAGACCAGATTACTGCAACAGCATCCTGTACGGCTCATCATCCAAAGTCCTCAATAAACCCCAAAACATTCAGAACTCTGCTCACCCGCACCAACTCCAGAGAACACACCCCCCCCGTCCTCCAAAAACCGCACTGACTCCCTAATCCAAAATCCTCCTGCTCACCCATGAATCACTCAACAACCTGACCCCCACCCACCTCACAGACCTCCACCTCTACACCCCCTCCTGTGTCCTCCGATCCTCAGAGGGAAATCTTCTTACCAGACCCCCTCGAGAGTGAAAACACTTTTCTGGTCCGAGTTTGATCAGTCGGTCCTCCTGTCAGCATGAAGAGCAGTAGCCTACAGTATATATCGACAGTATATTTATATATTTACAAATTTTCATAAAATCTGATTTTTCCCCCTAATAATCAGTTTCAACATCGGCCCCAAAAAATCCATATGGGTCAGGTCCTACTTCTTATATTGTGTCTTTTTTACATTGTTCGTCTTTTTACTCAAAATTTTCTGTATTTTAAATCGTGTTTTTTTTTTTGTAAAGCGTCTTTGAACACCTGTGTGTTATATATAAAAAGTAAAATGTGTTATTATTATTATTATTATTATTATTAGTTATGTTCTCTTGAAATGATTTACAAATCCTCCGTCCACTTCAGTCAAAGCTAATTGATCATTAGTATTTTATGATTATTATTGATTGTTTGGTGGAGTGGGTGTGTCTGTGTCTGTGCAGCGTCATGTATGCACATGGAGGGTGGAGGAGTAAGAGGGAGGAGCCGGGTGGAGACAGACTCTGACGTCTGTCAGCTGATGTGGTCTGAGCGTGACTCATGGCCTGCCTGAACTAACACCGCCCTCAGTTCTTATTCTCGTCTTTGTTTGATAAACAAACGTCAGTCTTCAGAGTCGTTTGTTTATAATCACATCATCATAAACTCAGATCGGCGCCGTTAAAATGTCTGACGCTGTTCTTTGTCTCTCAGCTCTTAATCCGTCCGTCACTGTTAGCAGACATTAGCAGATATTAGCAGATGTTAGCAGATGTTAGCAGATATTAGCAGATATTAGCAGATATTAGCAGATGTTAGCAGACATTAGCAGACGTTAGCAGATATTAGCAGATATTAGCAGACGTTAGCAGACATTAGCAGATGTTAGCAGACGTTAGCAGATGTTAGCAGACGTTAGCAGACGTTAGCAGATATTAGCAGACGTTAGCAGATGTTAGCAGACATTAGCAGACGTTAGCAGATATTAGCAGATATTAGCAGATGTTAGCAGACGTTAGCAGATATTAGCAGATATTAGCAGATGTTAGCAGACATTAGCAGACGTTAGCAGACATTAGCAGACGTTAGCAGATATTAGCAGACGTTAGCAGACGTTAGCAGATATTAGGAGATATTAGCAGATGTTAGCAGATGTTAGCAGACGTTAGCAGATATTAGCAGACGTTAGCAGATGTTAGCAGACGTTAGCAGATGTTAGCAGATGTTAGCAGACGTTAGCAGACGTAAGCAGACGTTAGCAGATATTAGCAGATATTAGCAGATGTTAGCAGATATTAGCAGACATTAGCAGATGTTAGCAGATGTTAGCAGACGGTAGCAGATATTAGCAGACGTTAGCAGATGTTAGCAGATGTTAGCAGACGTTAGCAGACGTTAGCAGACGTTAGCAGATATTAGCAGATGTTAGCAGATATTAGCAGACGTTAGCAGATGTTAGCAGATGTTAGCAGACGTTAGCAGACGTTAGCAGACGTTAGCAGATATTAGCAGATATTAGCAGATGTTAGCAGATATTAGCAGACGTTAGCAGATGTTAGCAGACGTTAGCAGACGTTAGCAGATATTAGCAGATATTAGCAGATATTAGCAGACGTTCACAGATATTAGCAGATGTTAGCAGATGTTAGCAGATGTTCACAGACGTCTAACTGAACTTCTGTTTTTCCCTACAGGAGGTCAGACCTGCTCCTCGGACAGCCAATCGTAGACTCTCCCCTGGCCTCCCTTCAGCCAATCAGCACGCTCAGAATGCTGCGGCCAAGCGACGCCTATCGTACGACTACAACAGAAACATCATGGAGTGACTGACACCTGCAGATCTGCAGGAGAAGGACACACCGCAGGATTCACACCATGTGATCGATCTGCTCCAAATAACTGGACGACCTTTGGCTCTTTGCACTTCCTGGTTGTTTAAGGCGGTGACGAGGCGTTTGACCTGGATGAACCCGGATTAAAAATGACTCTCAGACGTCGTCTCCTCCAGCTGCTGTGGGTGTGACCTGCTGGAGTGTTTTTTCCATCGCCCTGTTTCACCGTGTTCATCTCCACGACCTCCATTTCACGATCCTTCTCAAACACGAAGACAGCAGACGCTCAGAGACGCTCAGAGACGCTTTGATGACCTGAATGAAGGTTATTTTCCTGTAACTGCATTGACCCTGATAATCTGAAAAAGTCCTGATTACTCAAAGAGAAACGTTCCTGCACATGTTCCAGAAACTGTCTCCTGTTCGGGTTGAGATCAGATGATGGTCGACGTTCCTCAGACTGATCTGCTCTGATGTTGGAAATGACCGCTGGTGTAAACTCTGCTCATTTCCTCCCATTTCCACCCCTTAAAATCTATTTTTCAGAACATCTATAGAGATCGATTTTCGCTCGTTGGTTTAACTCAGACAGTGAGACCGTCTCTTCACAGCAGCGGAAGATTTGTCGACTCCACGACGTGTTCACGTTGTGTAGAAACGGGAGCGAAGCCGAGAAACGCTCCAGCTGTTATTTTAGTCTCTGAATTAAACATAATCCCGTCCGGGCCGACATCTTTGAAACCATCTAGGGCTTTGAAAACAGACGTTCAAGTTTACACTGTGAAATCCGGTTTCAAGCTCTTCTCTTCAACTCTGAAGCTTTAAGAAAAAAAGACGTTTTAACTCAAACTCCTGAAAAAACGACGTAGTGATTCTGAGATAAAACCCCCGCTCTGCTGTCCTGCGTTTACACCGTGTCTTCTCGACCCACTGACACATCAGATCCTTCTTCACTCTCGTTGTAAACATCTCCTCAGAAGCTGTGTGTGTGTGTGTGTGAGTGTTAACACGCCTCAGTGTCAGACCCACTCATGCGAATCTTCCTGCTGCTGAAGTTCGATGGTAGACGGGACAGAAAGTCTTTTCTTTTTGTGTGTTTACATTCTGCAGAGTGATGCATGTGCTCTCATCGTGTTTTTGCTCCATCAAGCCAACGACGGGATCGACTCTTCAAATTTGGGTGTCCCAGAGAAACAAATTTGTCTTCCAGTTCGTGCCAACAGGGACACCAGAGAAAGTGCCGATGTTTACAAGCTCACACATTCAGGAGGAAACAGACTCGTCGTGTTTCTCCGACACGCTGACGTGGACTCTCGAAGGAAATGTTGGCATGTGACGTTAGTTTCAAATCCTTCTTTTTGTGGAGTCCACTTCATAAAGAAGTGATATTTTTATGAAAACACCGCTCACGTATTTTCATGTCAATGATGCACTGTACATTTTAAATCTGATTCCTTTGACATCCATCACCTACAGGTCATTTTGCTTTCGGCTGTATCCTCCACCTGTCACCTGTGATGATCTTCAGAAACAATCATGTGTTTGTGTGTCGGCCATTTGTGCGAACTTGGAGTCCCTGAAAAGAAAAGGTGAATATTTTCTGATCTGTGGAGGGAGGACTGTCGCCTTGTTACCTGATGTAATAAAAGATACCGTGTGATGGATGAACCGGGTCGTTTCGTGGTGTTCAGACTCGCTTCATTTGGAGAACACGTCTGATCCGTCAGGTGGTGTCGGGGCGATGGAGCAACACGGTCAGATATTAGAAAACGCCTCCAGGAAGAATCGAATAATAATGTCCAAACAAATCTAAATTCAGTCTGTTATAAAAGGATCGAACGGGTTTGAGACAGAGCGGTTTTTGTTGGAGGTTCAGTTCAGTCCAGTCCTTTGGAAACCTCCCAGTCACAAGCTTTAGCTCTCAGGCAAACCACCACCACCATCTTTAATACTCCCAGAGAGACAAACACCAACCGTGACCTCTCCAGCTGGGACATGTTTGCAAAACAAAATGTTGTGTAACTGAAGTTTACATGATTTTATCCAGGAGGTGAATAATAAATATCAGTTTGATCTGAATTTACAGGATTAAACCGACATAATCAAATATATGCACAGTAATAATAATACATGAGGCTGATTTAAATACAGTAAACCAGCTCAGATTTATCATAAAAGACGAGTCGGTTCTTCTCTGAGAGTTTCAGGTCCTCAGAGCTGAAGAAGAAACCTCCTGTTTCAGTGAGACTAACGCTGACGTCTCTGTGGATCAGAGAGAGTTAAACTCTATCTGCTGAGTCAGAGCAGCGTGATAACAGCTCTGAGCTACATGGAGGAAAAAACACAAAAACACAGGCCTTTGGGCAGCAGAGCGCTCTGACCTTCGCCTTTTACAGAAACACACAAACAGGAGACGGAGCGAACGGCCGAGGACGCCGCTGCTCTGACAGAGGCGGAGCTGAGGGCTCCAGGTGTTTATTCACCACGAGTTAAAGGACTAATTCAACATTTTAGAGACGCTCTATTATTTTTTAGTGAGCGGAAAAGGTCAAGGGTCAGGATTATGGACTCTAAAAATCTCAGCATGACATCAAGATTTTATTAGAGCTCCTGACCCCCACCTGTAGACCCTCCAGCATTGGACCTCTGAGGAACCACATGGATGTGGTCTCCTGGTTTTTGTTTGATACTACGGAGGAGATCAGATCAGGACCTTTCTGTAGAGGGTTTGGATCAGACTGAACTGTTCCTCCTCAGCCTCATATTTATCATTCTGACATTAAACTGGTTCAGACTTTCCTGTCTTCATTATGGTTGATCAGATTTTTACTACAGCTCAACATCCAGGAAGAAAAGAGGCAGAAACCTCGATCAGTAAAACACATTTTTACGGCCCGAAGATGAACAGGAAGGACACGGACGCTCTGCAAACTTGGTCTCTGCACATTCATCAGTCTGTGATCCGGTTTATTTGAGCCGAACAAAGATACAGACTGGAGTTTTTCCTCTTTTTAGAGTCTGGAAAAATGAGAGCTGAACTGAAGTACAGAATATATTCTTTATTTTCATGATAAGATGATTTTACATCAAACAAGCAGCAAAACAAAAGTGACAAAGAAGGAAGCAGACGGGGTCGTTACAGGCTGAAAATGCAGTAACTCACAAAAATGTTTGTTTCCAAAATGTAAATCCACAGCTGGGCCGTGGGGACACGAGGTGAGGCACGTCACTGCCTTTGGCTCAACTTACCCCGGTCTCCCCTATCATGAATAATATGGAGTTAGATGAAGCAGTAAAGCAGCTGAGGAGCAAATGAGGCTTTCTGTTGTTCGAAGGAGGTGAATCTAACATTTCCAGAGGCTCTCCAGGTGACTAAAACCACTTCAGGATCCACCTCCAGGATCCTGGTCTGACCACACCCTCTGCTGCTACAGTGGGAGGAGGACGAGCAGACGAGGAGGGGTTCAAGTTCACTTAGGACAGCCCCCTGAAAAGTTCCCAAACAGTCAGTCAGTCAGAGAGAGGAAAAGAGAAGTGAGAGAGAGAGGAGAGCCCAGCTGCACACTCATGTTGGTCCTGGAGTGAAACCCTCAGAGATGTTTTCTTCTGCAGGCAGATCATGGCTGCTGCTCACAGGCTTCATCCTCTTCTATATCATCTACCTGCTGTTCGGAGCCCTGGTTTTCTCCAGCATCGAGCGGCCTGTGGAGGACAAGCTGCGACATGACATGGAGACCCTGAAGCAGGAGTTCCTGAACCAGAGCTGCGTCAACGCCGCGTCCCTGGAGCGCTTCCTGCTCAAAGTCCTGACGGCCAACAAGTACGGCGTCTCCGTCCTCAGGAACTCCTCCGTCCAGGCTTCCAGCTGGGACCTGGCATCCTCCATGTTCTTCGCCAACACCCTGGTCACCACAGTCGGTGAGTCCGAACCACAGACAAAGACTTTTTAGGCGAGAAGAGAGACAGAGAGAGAAAGAGAGTGTGATACGCTTTTACGCACAAACTTGTCATTTCAGTGAAATAGGAAACAGACAAACATCACAGACGAAGGGAAAGCTTCACTATGGAGACTTTAAGGGGTCCAGAAACCCAGACGGTCTGGTCCTGTCGGTTCGGTTCTGGCCTTATTTTGCCACGTGTCTCAAACATTTCTCAGCCGTTCGTCCAGAATCTGGAGCTGCTGATCCAGAAACCAACAACGTGTGTTAGAAACTGTTCAGAAGCAGGATTAAAGGGTTTATTCTGAAACTCAACAGGATCAAAATCTTTAAAAATGTTCATAAAGTTCCTTTTTAACTCTCAGATAAACTCTCTAAACAAACTTTCTCTGATTTTCATCACATGTTCCTCTGAATGAAGGTGGAGAAGGTCCAGATCTGCTCAGATGGTCCAGATTCTGATTAAAGTGTTTTTTTTTAATAATTGTATTTTATTTTTAGAATTTACATCATTTTTATTCAAATAAGGTAGAAAATGATCAAACATGAGGAAAAAACAAAAAGAAGGATAAACAAAGAAAAACAACAACAGTGTGTCACTCCTTAAAGAAATCTGTGTCCTTATATAAAGTATTTTATTATTATCTCAGTCTGGGACCCCCTAAACCACCGTCCCCCTCAGTTATAGTTTCACCTTTAAGGGGTCTCCGTGTGTCCATAAAGATTTCATCATTCTCTTTAATTCTTCGTTTATCCATCAGAAAAACTCTAAACGTCTCTTTGTACCTCTGAGTGACAGCAGGAGGTCTGTCGCTCGTTTACATTTTCAGTCCATAAATAAGAGTTTATTCAGTCATTTAGATCTTTAACATGAATATGGTGTTTTTTTTAATCAGCCTTCAGTGTTGGACGCTGAGAGGAACGGTGTAAAGATCTTCTTCATGATGATAACTGTTCTGTTTATGATGCTGAGTCTGAGACTGTTAAACTTCTTCTTATTTATGAGCGTCTCTGTCCCAACGAGACGAAATCAAACTTTTCCTTCAGGCTCATGAAGTTTCTGGAGTTTCCTAAAGCCTGAGAAAATGACCCTGGAGATGTGGGGGAGCTTTGGCAGCTTTGGGAAATGCCTTTTGTTGGTGGAGGAGCTGAGTTTGGATTTATAATGTTCAGAGAAAATATCCACAAAGATCCTCCAGGCTCTGAACGTGTTTTTATAACGTCTGTTTCATTAGCAGCAGAGTGTCAGACTGAGGGGGATAGGGGGGCCTTTGAACCAGGACTTTGAGGAGACCCCTGTGTCTGTGCCCCTGGGTGGTAGAGAGGTGGTCCACCATTGAAAAGACTGAGGGGTCAACCTTCAGGTCCAGTCCTGGTAACAAGTTTCTGAAGAGTCTCCTAACAGAGACGATGAAATCTTTTCACACAAAACAGCCGCTGTCACACACGTGTGTGTGTGTGTGTGTGTGTGTGTGTGTGTGTGTGTGTGTGTGTGTGTGTGTGTGTGTGTGTGTGTGTGTGAGAATGTTGGTATGTTGTGTTAAGGTGCTTTCAGAGGTCAGAAGACTGGTAATGACGTCTGAAATTGAAGTGGATGTAAATCTGCTGGTTCTCTGACTCTGAGTTTAACCCTTTAAATCCTGTTTCTGTAAATCTGTAAACATGTCAGATCAGCGTCTGACAGGAAACAGTTCCTCTCTGTTGGAGCTCTGTCTGTATTTAGTCTTCACTAAATTAATGTCAGATTAAAGTATTTTTACACTGTCTTTAAAATTGAAGGATTCGTGTTTTTTTACGGTTTATATTTTTATCAAACCTCTTTTATTTTGATGAAATTTTTCTCTGATTGTCTGAGTTTTTAGCCCAGCAGTCAATAGTTTAAGTGTCTGAACTCTCATCACTCAGTTCGTTTACAGTCTCAGTTTAATCAGAATAGACTCATAACTCGTCTTTTTCTCTGAATCAGACTTCTCTCCTCGTCCTCGTTTACATGCAGCTGAGAAAATCGAATTATTGACGTGAACGTGTCCTCCTCCCCAACACTAGAGGGCGATATGGGTCTTTTCAGCTGCGCTGTTTCCGACCCCATACAACCGTCAACAACAACAGCAGGTCGGTGTCAGACGTCAGAAGTGTCTACAACTGCTGCTGGGCATTTTGGAGAAACAAGAAGATGGAGCATCGTACAGCGTTGTTTTTGTCCGACATGATGGACGCGCTACTTTTTCTAAAGAGGAGACCAACGCTACTCCTCTACTCTGGGGTTTTTGTTACGGGGTTACGGGGGCGTGGCATTGTCCGATCATACTCCAACTACGCTGGTTACATGGTAGAGAAAATCGAATTCCAATCTCATTATCAGGGTGTTTTAATCAGAGTTCTTAAACTCTGATTATAGTCGGACTAAAGTGTTTACATGACCTTCAGTTGTCCGGTCTTTATCGGAATAAGGCGATAATTCGGTTTTCTCGAGTGTCATGGAAACGAACTGAGTGGTGCAGTCTCTCTCTCTCTCTCTCTCTCTCTCTCTCTCTGTTGTTCCTCATTGGTCTGAGCTGATGGAGGGGCGTGGCCTCACCCATACTCTGCTGTTAACGAGGAGAGGGGGGTGGTGGTCTTCGTAAAGGTCTCGGGCGAGCCGAATCCAGATCTGCTGACTTGACAGATGCAGGTTTCAGTAAAGTCTCCTTTTGTACCACAGTGGGTGACGGGGCTGATGGGAAATGTAGTCTCCATCCTGGAAACATGAAAACTCCCTACTGTACCTTTAATTTAGCTGAGCTGCTCAGTTTTAATGAGGGCGTTTATTAAAAATGATGATTTTATAACTTTAAACTCGTTTTTACTGTCAGTGTTTCTGTTTTATTGAAAGAGAAGCTCTTCAGCATTCAGTCAGTCGAGTCCTTAAACTGTATTTTATTTTAGTTTTCTGGACTTTTACTGGAAAAAGTCTCAGTATGTAAATGAAGTTTGTGACTCAGATTAAAAAAGTTTACACTGCTGCAGCAGATTTTAATTAAGAAGCTTTTAATCCAAGTCTGAGATCAATCTGAGAGAGAAATTAGAGAAAGTCCACAGGAGTCACACTCTGACAGACAGACGCTCACATGGGCACCGCGGAAATGCAGATTCATGCATGAAGCAGAACCGAAGTGACCCTAAAGCTCAGGAGAAGTGAGTTTCACAACTCTGTGAGTGTTTCCTTAAATGACACCTCAGATTAACGTCTAATCTGGAGGTAAAAGCAGAAGATGGAGAACAATTTGAGTTCCTAATGACCGTGGTCAAACTTCTGTGGAAGTCTTTAAAAGAGGAACAATGAAACTGATCATGTTGGAGACGTTCACAGGAGCCGCTCCGTCCTAATGATGCTGAACGTCCTCCTTGTTCCTCCTGTGTTTGACTGACTAAAGATCTGCTCACAAACTTTACTCCCAGAGGTCCGAACCTTTCATTCGGATCTGCTCGCTTCATGTTTTCAGTGTTTTGGAGACACAAAAGGAATATTTTCTCCACTGAGCCGAACAGATCAGCAGAAAATCCCTTCACTACGCGTGTCCAGAAAAACTCAAACTGCTGCCCGGAGTTTGTGTGTCTAATCTGAGCGGCCAGATTAGATTTCTCCAAATTAGCTTCAGGCTCCAAACGTTGATTAACCCTTCCGGGTCCCTGTGGCCGAATTCGGCCATTTGACGAAAAAACAAGAGACTTATTTGGATATATTTTTTTTTTTACTGCAGCAAATGTGATGAATTTTTTTTTCTAAGCTTAATTTGAAATTCTACTCGAAAACATGAATTCAACATTTTCACCAGGTCAATAATAAAGCCAGGACAAATTTTCACCCTCCAGAGTCCCTCGTGGCCGAAAAAAGCCACTTTTTTTGTCGGCTGTAAAATCATATTGGATTAATATTTTTTTCTGATTTTTTTTCACACATCTCTTATTTTACTTCTGCCCTGTTCGAAACTAGCAAATGTTTCATTGAAAACATTTTTTTTTAACCCTTTAAGTGCCAATTTAAGACAAAAAGTCACAAATATAGCAAAAATTTAAGGAAAATGACCCATTTTTTTTATAAAACATGATCAGAAACTGGTTATCTCTTGCAGGGTATCAAAGTCATGAATATGTCAGAGATTAGTAATATCATTGGCTTTGATGCATTTTAAGTTTTTCTGTAGCATCAGATTTAATGAAAAACTGCGTTTGGCGCCTCCCAGTGGCCAAAACTACTTTGTCTGCTGTAAAATCATATTGGATTGATATTTTTTTCTGATTTTTTTTCATACATCTCTTATTTTACTTCTGCCCTGTTCAAAACTAGCAAATGTTTCATTGAAAATAAAATTTTAACCCTTTACGGGCCAATTTAAGACATAAAGTCACTTAAAAAGCAAAAAAAAATGGAAGGAAAAATTTAAGGAAAATGACCAATTTTTTTTATAAAACATGATCAGAAACTGGTAATCTCTTGCAGGGTATTTAAGTCTTGAATATGTCAAAGATTAGTAATATAATTGACTTCAATGCATTTTAAGTTTTTCTTTAGCATCAGATTTAATAAAAAACTGCCTTTGGCGCCTCCCAGTGGCCAAAACTACTTTTTCTGCTGTAAAATCATATTGGATTAATATTTTTTTCAGATTTTTTTTCATACATTTCTTATTTTACTTCTGCCCTGTTCAAAACTAGCAAATGTTTCATTGAAAATAAAAATTTTAACCCTTTAAGGGCCAATTTTAGTCATAAAGTCACTTAAAAAGCAAAAAAAATGGAAGGAAAATGAAGGAAAATGACCAATTTTTTTAATAAAACATAATCAGAAACTGGTAATCTCTTGCAGGGTATTTAAGTCTTGAATATGTCAGAGATTAGTAATATAATTGACTTAGATGCCTTTTAGGTTTTTCTGTAGCATCAGATTTAATGAAAAACTGCGTTTGGCGCCCCTCAGTGGCCAAAACTACTTTGTCTGCTGTAAAATCATATTGGATTAATATTTTTTTCAGATTTTTTTTCATACATTTCTTATTTTACTTCTGCCCTGTTCAAAACTAGCAAATGTTTCTTTGAAAATAAAATTTTTCACCCTTTAAGGGCCCATTTAAGACAAAAAGTCTCTTATGAAGCAAATAAGGTCATTTTCCTTCCATTTTCCTTCCATTTTTTTGCTTCATAAGAGACTTTTTGTCTTAAATTGGCCCTTAAAGGATGAAAAAATTTTTTTCAAAGAAACATTTGCTAGTTTTGAACAGGGTAGAAGTAAAATAAGAAATGTATGAAAAGAAATCTGAAAAAAATATTAATCCAATATGATTTTACAGCAGACAAAGTAGTTTTGGCCACTGAGGGGCGTCAAACGCAGTTTTTCATTAAATCTGATGCTACAGAAAAACCTAAAAGGCATCTAAGTCAATTATATTACTAATCTCTGACATATTCAAGACTTAAATACCCTGCAAGAGATTACCAGTTTCTGATTATGTTTTATTAAAAAAATTGGTCATTTTCCTTCATTTTCCTTCCATTTTTTTTGCTTTTTAAGTGACTTTATGACTAAAATTGGCCCTTAAAGGGTTAAAATTTTTATTTTCAATGAAACATTTGCTAGTTTTGAACAGGGCAGAAGTAAAATAAGAAATGTATGAAAAAAAATCTGAAAAAAATATTAATCCAATATGATTTTACAGCAGACAAAGTAGTTTTGGCCACTGGGAGGCGCCAAAGGCAGTTTTTTATTAAATCTGATGCTAAAGAAAAACTTAAAATGCATTGAAGTCAATTATATTACTAATCTTTGACATATTCAAGACTTAAATACCCTGCAAGAGATTACCAGTTTCTGATCATGTTTTATAAAAAAAATTGGTCATTTTCCTTAAATTTTTCCTTCCATTTTTTTTTGCTTTTTAAGTGACTTTATGTCTTAAATTGGCCCGTAAAGGGTTAAAATTTTATTTTCAATGAAACATTTGCTAGTTTTGAACAGGGCAGAAGTAAAATAAGAGATGTATGAAAAAAAATCAGAAAAAAATATCAATCCAATATGATTTTACAGCAGACAAAGTAGTTTTGGCCACTGGGAGGCGCCAAACGCAGTTTTTCATTAAATCTGATGCTACAGAAAAACTTAAAATGCATCAAAGCCAATGATATTTCTAATCTCTGACATATTCATGACTTTAATACCCTGCAAGAGATAACCAGTTTCTGATCATGTTTTATAAAAAAATTGGTCATTTTCCTTAAATTTTTGCTATATTTGTGACTTTTTGTCTTAAATTGGCACTTAAAGGGTTAAAAAAAATTGTTTTCAATGAAACATTTGCTAGTTTCGAACAGGGCAGAAGTAAAATAAGAGATGTGTGAAAAAAAATCAGAAAAAAATATTAATCCAATATGATTTTACAGCCGACAAAAAAAGTGGCTTTTTTCGGCCACGAGGGACTTTAGAGGGAAGTCAATCTAAAGAGCCCGGAAGGGTTAAGGCTGTGAGTGGAGCTCGAACAGAGAACGTGTTCAGGAAATGGAAATGAAACGCTTATTTCTCTGGAGTGTAAAAGACTTTTTAATGAGCGAGAGCCGAACACAATGAGTCCACTTCATCTGAGCAGCAGCACACAGTGTCGTTGTTATTATTATTATTATTATTATTACATGATGGAGTCCCTCACAGTGACTCTATTGTGTGAACAGCTGACCTCTGTGTTTTCTGTGTTTTCTGTTGAAACCCTGAATCTTAAAGATATAAATACTCCACCGTCGGAGAGTCCCTGCAGACAAAGTGACGTCACGTTTGTGGTGTTCGGGTCCGAGCGCTCTTTTCTAAACTATCATCTCACTGAACAAAAGCAGGTCTGTCCAGCCGCTGAGCGATAACGCCGTCAGGTTGACGGTCGTTCAGCTCCTGTCCACAGAAATAACATTTCACTTTTCTGCTTCTATGTGTGTCAAACTCTTCAAACATGTGACCCGAGAGTTTCATCCAGTAACCTGCAGTAACGCCGATCCCAACAAAGACAGCTTTGTTCTTCCCTCCTCAGAGCAGTTTCTACTTAAACACGACTCTGTGTGTCAGCGGGCTTTTAGAATATAACCCACCTCCTGAAGTGAGTCTGTTTTTTCAAGTCAGATTATAAAAAGAGGTGTAGATGTATTCTGTGGTCAGTGGTGGTCTGTGATCTTCTGACATGTTTACTGTGAGAAACTGTTTTTTTGTAGTCAGCTCAGAGAAACTTCAGAGGACTCTAATAAAGTCAGCTGTTCCAGATCTTTTCCCGCTTAAATCAGAATAAATGTTGTTTTTGTTCAAACACTGATGCAGGTCTGGGTTAGTGTGATAGTTTGTCTAATCCCGGTTCATTTGGAGAAAGTCTCTGTCGTCAGTTTGTGAAGTTTAGTCGGTTTCCTCCTTCTTGTCGTCGTATTTTAAACCACAGCAGCTGTTTTTAGTTCTTCCTGAGAGGTAATCATGTGCTGCTGTTGGCTCCTGACTGACAGCCGCAGCAGCTCAACCTTTTATTAATCGCATTAAAAGAGTTGATGTAAGAAGCTGCTGCAGCGGTTTCTGTGTGTGAGAGAATAAAACTTATTTCTGTGTTTTCAGACCAAAGACCGTTTTCTCGTTTTTCCTCCAGGCTCTGGACACTAAATTAGACACAGTGACGCAGCTCTACAACAGTCCTTTTTATCATTATTATTATTATTATGTGTGATCCACATTTCTGATCATTTTTAAAGAAACTTCTTTGTGTTTCATTCAGAGTTTCAGGTTTTTTTAAAAGCTGATTCTGACGACAGCGAGTCTGAGTTCAGTTTAACTTCTGCGGCTCCAAACTCTGAATCTGAAATCCTCTGAAGAACTTCTGTGACTGTTTAACGGGACAGTCCTGACTCAGTGTAGGTGTGCAGGTTAAACTCTCAACACTTCAGGATTAGGACGACACTCAGAGTAACCCTGGTTTGGAGCAGCCCTGATGTCGGCGGATTTTCTTCTTCCAGGTCCAGAACATGCAGCCGGACTTCATCATTTTTCTTTTTTCCGACTCAGTGATGACGACTCTGTAGTGTGGCAACAGTGGAGGAGGTTCCAGAAAAGCTGTGCATTTTGAAAAAGGAAAGAGGGACGTTAAAGTTTGAGACACAGAGAGTCTGAAATCAGAGTTTGTGAAAAAGTAAATTTATCAGTGAGTCGTGTGACGTTTGAGAGGGACAGTGAGGACGTCCTCTCTCCAAACACAGACAGGGACCCTGAAGCAGCTTTAAAGGACGATGACAGCTGAACGGTTTAAGAGTTAAAACCTGAAATATTCAGACACAGCTGACTCTCTCTCTCTTTCTCTTCGATGTCAGACTTGATTATCTGATCTTCTCTTCCTCTTGTGACCCCTCTGTCTGTCTGTCTGTCTGTCTGTCTTTCTGTCTTTCTTTCTTTCTTTCTTTCTGTCTGTCTCTTCTGTCTCTCCCAGGTTATGGTCACAACACCCCTCTGTCTGACACCGGGAAAGCCTTCTCCATCATCTACGCCCTGATCGGAGTCCCCTTCACCATGCTGGTGCTGACCGCCTGCGTGCAGAGGCTGATGTACCCTCTGGTCTTCGCCCCCGTCAGCCTCCTGCAGCGCTCAGGCATGGAGGCCCGGTCCGCCACCATCCTCCACTTCATACTGCTGCTGGTTCTGGTGGTGCTGCTTTTCTTCGTGGCGCCGGCGGCTGTGTTCAGCGCCGTGGAGATGACCTGGTCGTTCCTGGACGGCATCTACTTCTGTTTCATCTCCCTCTGCACCATCGGACTGGGGGACTTTGTCCCGGGGACACATCCGACCCAGAAGTCCAGGCCGCTGTACCAGGTCGCTGTCATGGGTGAGTTCTGAGGGTTTGAAAAAAACTTTCATAGTTTCATCGTCTTTAAGAAACAAACATCTTGAAGTCTGTGGAGTGGTTCCTGTCTGCGGTCCTCTGACGGGTCGAGTCTGTCTGCCGTGAGCTTCTAAACGCCGCTCTGTCTTCCTGTGTTTTTGTTTGTGTGATTATTTCCTCTTTCTGACTTCACGGTGTCAGACGAACTCCTCTGAGTGTTTCCACAGTCTCGTGGTCACAGCGCCCGGCTCACGTACTTCTCCTCTGTGACGTGGATTGATGGTGTTTGATAAGAAGGTGGTGTCTCCTCCTGATGACGATCATGTCGGTCTGTGTTTACTGAGAGCTGTCAGCTGTGACGGAGTTGTTTTTGTCTTAAATTACCGACAAACTGTGAAATCTCACCCACTGGAGTCATTTAGCACAGACCTGTTACAGATCAGAGACGGGTCTCCTCACAGAAACCCTCCTCCCTGTCTCGGTGCTCTCGTAGTTTTAGGTCTGTATATGATTCTTCATGAGTAAATAGTTGTAGGTTAAAAAAACAAACACTGTTGAACTGTTTGTGTTGAGTCAGTCGAGTGCAGAGTCCTCTGTTTATGGAGGTCTGAGTGTAAGATCCAGGTCTGAGTGTAAGATCCAGGTCTGAGTTAGGGCTTCACACAGATCCAGTAAATCTGCAGGAAACATTGATAACTCTTCTTCAGCTTCTCTGATGTTCGCCTGTGTGTGGGAAACACCCACGGTGAGTTTTTGAGTGACTGTGAAAGTAAAGAGAACTTCTGTGTTCATGTGGAAACGCTTCAGAGCAGCTTTGAGTGAAATCATTTAAATTTTAGAAACAAAGCAAACGGCCGGGAGGAAGAGTGATTAAACCGGAACAAACCGGTTTTTACATCATCGGAATATAATCAGTGAAAACAGAAAGTCTCTGACCTCCTCAGAACCAGATTTCATCTCATCATCACAAACACTTTCAGTTTCTTCGCTCTAAAGCCTCAAACAGATCATCAAAGTCTGTTTAATGTTTCTTAACTGTTGTGTGAAAACTGAGTACGGTGGCCCAGAGCCGCTACTGCTGCAAATAAAAAAAGAACACAATGTAAGATAATGACACAAAAAATGTGGCGATGGAAAAAGGAAAAACAAAAAAAGTTACTGTGAAAATAAAAGGATCCAAATAAAAAAAGCCACAAGAGAAATGAGCTGTCGGGGACCGTTAATGATGATGCACCGGTGTTTTACGATCTAGGTACAGAAGACGACGGCGAGAAGACGAGCAAAGAAGATCGTGGAAAGGTTATTGTTTAATTTCACTTTGTAAACTTTTTAATGTGTCGTGGTTAGACGGTGTAGCGCCTGAGTCTCTACGACTCTACACCGACATCCTCCAGTTTAACTTCATATCCACTCAGGCGCTACACGGTCTAACCACGACACATTAAAAAGTTTAATTAATCAATAACCTTTTCCCTCACTTCTTTGCTCGTCTTCTCGCCATCGTCTTCTGCATAGACATAACATACGTAGACGCCTCAAAGCCTGACGCTGCCAACTGGAGCTCACATATCAGCGCGGCCGCCATCTTGGATTTGTGAAATATAATCCTACATAATCTGGTTTCAATACGGCGTTGGTTTTTTCAACCATAGAGTGCAAAAATACGGGAACAGTTGCTCGTTCTCCACATGTATGATGTCTAAGGTCTTCTGTGTCTAGATCGTAAAACACCGGTGCATCATCATTATCGGTCCCCGACAGCTCATTTCTCTTGTGGCTTTTTTTTATTTACATCTTTTTATTTTCGCAGTAAGTAACTTTTTTTTTCGGCATCAACACTTTTTTTGTGTCGTTAACTTCCGTTGTGTTTCTTTTTTTATTTGCAGCGGGCTTCAGTTTCCTTTTTTCGCTTTGGTAACTTTTGTTGTGACTTGTTTTTTCTTTGCAGCAGTGGCTGTTCTCAGCCACCGTAACTGAGAGTGTAACCACACACTCATACTCACACACTGACACACTCACACACTGCAGTTGTGTTGAAATGACGGCTAACAGGAGTCACATGACTCTGAGTGTGGTCGGGTTTGTCCTGTGAGGGTCACACTGGGCTGCTACATGCCTGCAGAGCTGGAGAGAAGGACAGATGAGGAATCGGGGGTCCTGCTGCACAGACTCAGAGATGACTCCGCTCTTCGTTTCTCTTCTGCAGAAACTCTTTAAAAAAGAAAACCTGCAGGTTCACCGCTGAGTCCTGGAAACTCCGTTCTAGTGTGAGGACCTGAATCCAGCACAGAGACTGGAGGAGGTTTGGTTCACGTTGTGATAAATCCAGATCAGCTCTGTTAACCAGCCGCCCTGGAAAATGCTGACTCATTCTGACTTTGGGTCAACCTACGAGAGTCAAAGAGGCGGAGTTTAAGGCGGACCTTTACCTTTCCCTTCCTCACCTGTTGTCAGCTCTCATTGTAACTTCAGTCCAGAAAACTCCCGACTTTAAAAACCGTCTCTGCCTGTTCAGAGAAACGAGTCAGAAGACCAGAACCTTTTAAAAACTCCCACAGGTGACGGTGGATCATGACTCGGCCTCAGAGGACGGCAGATCTGGTTTCAGTCTCCTCTGCAGGATGAGTGTTTGCAGCTCTGGGAGCATCTGACCTTCTCAGCCGTGTGTGCCGTCTCATTTCTCACCTCTGATGTGAGAAGTTCCACCTCTCACTGAGTCAGAGGATGACCTTTCAGCTCCTCAGACGTGAAACACGGAGAACAGACGTGTTAATGTGAAAACCTGATGATGAGTATCTGCACAGAGTCATCTCAGAGGAGATCTTTGTCTGTGAATCGTCTCGTTAAAACTGGAGGAAGTGAACCAGTAACCTGAGCGTGAACATGACGGGGCGTTAAACTGGATTTTAGAGTAGATGGTTCCTCAAAGAGAATCATGAGCTTCAAAGTTTCACCCGTTAGAAATCTTCTCATGTTATTTTTAGCGTCATCGTCGTGGTTGTAATCGTCACCTCAGCCTCACAGACTTCTTCTTTTCTATTTTGAGAGTTTCTTTGCTTCATCAGAGACACGGTTTGCCGTCATTTTGGAAACAGTTTCTTGAACGTGTTTTTTTTATCGGTTACTCAGTGAGTCATGATGTTTATTCACCTCATTTCCTCCCTGCAGTAAAGCTGCAAACAGACGTGTGCGGCGTGCTCCTCCGGCTCCTCTGTGTCTGTCTGTCTGTTGAGAGAGAGAGAGAGAGAGAGAGAGAGAGAGAGAGAGAGAAAAGATGAAGCAGCAGACAAAATAATGTTCAGAGTAGAGCTGGGCGATATGGGAAAAAGTTTATCAGGATATTTGTTTTCATATCAGCTGATATGGATCAATATCAGGATATAAAAATCTAACAGAGTTTATTGGTCTCATGTCTTTTCCAACACAATCATCTCCTGCATCTGTGAGGTCTTTGTGTCTCTTTGGCGTTTTGTCGTAAGGCGTCGCTCTAGAGAAAGCCGACTGAATGGTCGTCTGTTTCAGGCGCCATGGGCTCCTCGCTCCTCTCGGGGTTTGTAACCTTTGGCGTTGCGCGTGCTCTGCGGCGTGGCGCTGCTTCAGGTGGTGAAAAAGATTTGAGGTATTCCCCGACTTTGTGAGAACATGTACTCGACATAATTTACAGTCCACATTACTCTGCTTCATGTCCGACCTCCAAAAACCAAAATACCTCCACACCACCGACGTTTTCCTAACGCCAGTGTTGTGGTTGACATTGATGTGGTCATCTGTTGAGCCTTCATGGTCATTTCTGTCGGGGGTAGCACTCATTTTCTTTGTTTCTCACCAACAGTGCTGTCGGCTTCACCTGTTAAAGTGCTATGGTTGGGTGGAGCTGCTGTCTGCTACGACGCTGCAGTTGGTTGATACTTGGTTCTGATTCAGAACATGATTGGTTCAGACCCGGAGAAACGCCCCTTTTCATTGGCTGTTCGTATAGTCGACCAAAACATGTCAGAAACACGCAATGACCGTGTTTTATATTGATATTGAGGGAAATTGATTTTCGATGTTTATCGTCCAGCCCTAGTTCAGGGTCAGAGTCAAAACAACGTCTTGAAAACTGAATCAGAGGATCGTCAGCTTTAGAGCAGAGTGGAAACCCCCATAATGTGTTCATAATGATGTGTGTTTTCACCCGGTCTTGACTCGGTTCCCAGTGTGTGTTTGTTCCTGATTGAATAGAGACGTTACCGTCACATGACGGCGGTCAGAGTCACTTTCAGAGTCGCTCTCTTGTTTTGGGTCTTTGTCTGAAACTGAATCAGAGTCTAAAAGTAGACGAGCTCTTGTTTTCTTCCCTCTGCTCGTGTCTCGACATGTTTTTACGACAAGTCTCTGTGAATTGACCCTAAAATCCAAACTTGACTTCCTGTTTTTCTTTAAAAAGTGAACACTGAGTCGGACTTGGAGGATTTTCTGGTCAGCAGGAACCAAACGGACACGATGGGAGCGGCAGCGTGTGCTCCTCGGTGTCCTCAGCTAATCCCTGGAGTTCAGTTTGGAGGGAGTTCACACGGAGCAGCCGGGTTGTTGTTTTTCCTCGTCCCACAGGCTTTCTTATATAACGGTGATGATGAGGATGATGGTGATGTAGGTCGAGCTGAGTCAGATTAACCCAAACGGGCCCTGCGGGTCCTGAGGAGGATTAGTGACCGACTGAAGGACTGAAGTGTGTTTCTCACAGCGTGGCGAAGAGACGGTGTTTCAAACGGTTCCTGTTGTGGACTCAGAGACTGTAAAATAAAATCAGGACAAACTTTGAGATGTTTTTATTCTAATCTGTCATAATCCAGCACTGAAACATAAAAACTTCTCTGAATATATGACCTGAAAAACGAAGACTGTGGTTTGAAGTGGAGGGAGAGATTTCTGAGGGATGCTGCTCTCCTGGCCTTCATGGTTCTCCACTCCTGTTTGTTTTTCCTGCTGATGGAGTGAAGTGAAGAAAAGTGAAGAAAACAAAAGTTTAAGGACGAGATTTTTCAGGTAGAGGAAGCAGATTTTATAAAAAACATCAGCTGTGGTCGTTTTTCTCCAACAGAAATGTGTGTCAATACTTTTCTATGATGATGAAGATGATGATGATGATCTTCACTTTGAGGTCACGCAGGGCAGCGGCTCCAAACTTGTTCAAACTTGTTCAAACCTTTTAATCGACTCAATGCCTAAAAATGCGGCGCTTCAGTCCTGCTGCAGAGTAAATATTTCGGTCTGTAGTTTTGGAGTTTGGACGGTCAAAGTCTGTTTTTTTCTCTTTTAAAGCAGGAAAGATCAGAAGTTTGGACCTCTGGAGTAAAGAGGAGTAATGAGGGAGGATATATATGGGATTAAACGTAATGTAGGTTTCTCCTGCATCAGGAGACTGTGCACCTCCACACTGAGGGTCCCGCTCCGGGTCTGAGGCCTCTGTAATCCTGCAGTGTTGGCCTACTTGTATAAAGTCCCGGACCTGAACTCTGGTTCTGTTAAGTGCAGACATGTGACGGACGACAAACAGACGAGTCAGAGCAGAAATCACAGACGCTGACAGGATCACCTTTGACACCATCTCCTGTCCGCCTGTTTTTGAGCGAGATGAAAACGCCGACGTAGTTTCAGACTGAAACTTTAACATTTCCAGACCTCCACCTCCACCTCCACCAGCTTCTCTCCCTGTTTTGATCAAACACCATCAGACCTGCTTTTATTTTCCATCCCTCTTTATGTTTCCGACTCTTCAGGGTCAGTCTGCAGCTCACTGTTTCTTGTTGCTCTGATGAAGTGATGACCCCTCTCTCTCTCTCTCTCTCTCCTCTCTCTAGTCTACCTCTTTGTGGGTCTCATGATGATGTACCTCCTGCTGCGCACTTTCCATAAAATGGCCGACCTGCACGGCCTGACCACCCTGCTGCAGCTGCCGCGCTGCGAGGAGTCGGACATGGATGATGAAACACAGCCTATCGTGGAGAACGGACACGCCAACCAGAGCAGCCCTCATGTTCGGGGGAAAGAGAGCAGTAAGACCCTGGACTCGGGATCACAGCCGTCCTACAACACCATCAACAAAGGCTGACCTGAAGGAGAGGAAACACCTCGACCTCTGATGACCTCCGCTCAGACTGGAGACCTGAATCTGAATTCTCTGTTTCTTCACTTGGTCCTCTGACAGAGGAGAGAGTGAAGTGAGGAAACCAGATGAGTTGAGATTCAGTCTTTGTACGAGGACCACCGTTCCTGATTCACTCTCTGCCCACCTGAAAGCACCATCCTGACCCGGCTCAGACCCCGGATCCACAGCAGGCTGTTTTCAGACCACTGTGGTCTTTGTCTCAGCTTTCTGGGCCACAGGTTTGGGTTGTGAGTTCAGGACTAAAAAAACCACAGTGTGTTACTGATCTGAAACTGTGTGTACCTGCCAAACTCAGCAGCAGGTGTACCTGGAACCTGACCCGTCCTCCCTCCACCTTTCACCAAACTCAGTGGTTCATGAACATCACGGCCCCAGACTCTTTACCTTCCAGTCTGATTTGTGGCCCGGCTCGGCCTTCAGTTTCTTCTGTATCACTGAAAAGATTTTTTACAATCACGCACAATCAGGGCTGCAGTGAAATCAAACTGATCCAGTTTTTCCTCAAAGAGAACGTCGGCCTAGTCGGGGCTTAAATCTGGACCGGTTTAGTATTAACTTAGACTTCCTGTGTGAAAGTAGTGAGTTATCGGAGTCTGAATCAGCCTCAGTGAAAACACTGTTTCTGTTCGCCTCAGGACAGAGGCTGTTTACCTTTATGGTGCCTCCCCCTGGTGGCTGTATGGAAGAACAGCAGGATGGTATTTCTCCCCCTGAAACACAAATGAAAGATGAGAGCAGAGGGACTGAAGGAAAGATGATAACCAAATAATCCACCAGATTGAGGAGCTGATCCGGACTTTAATGACAGGTAACAGCTGTTTCACCGTCGATGTTACCTGGTAATTTATAACCTGATGATACTGTAAAAAAAACAAACCTATTATGCTGTTCTTGTGGTTTTGTATGTTGTTTAGTTCTCTCTGTTTGACATGTATTCATATAGAATTATTCATTAAATAAGTTTTGCTCTGTGGTTTGTCTCTCAGGTTTTTGAAAGAATGTCCTCCTCCTCGCCTCCATCTTTAAAATTTGTAGTTTTGCAGCTTCATCAGGAGAATCAGTCACTGAATATTTTGGGTGTTTTTAACACGAGATGAAGTGAAGGTAAATAATCGCTCCAGTGGTTGACTGACAGCAGATGAAGTGACCGAAAATTAAACCACTTTACGCACATAAACCCGAGTCCAAAACAGTCAAACACTAAAATAATCATAAAATATCATATAAATATATTCATTAAATATAAAACTAAAGCCTGAAAATAGTGCAAAGAAAACAACCGTTTAAACAAATATTTCTGCTCATTGTCAATTTGACGCCAGTAACACATTTCCAGAGAGGACTCTGGTGGAAATCACTGCAGATAAAAAACCGTTTGTTACTAAATCCACAGATTTGGTTTAAAACTTGAGACGGACTGAGACCAGACGGTCCGGTGGTCTGTCAATCCAAACTTGGGACCACCAGACCTGACTCTAAACGCTCCAGAAACCGATCTCCTCTGTTCCTAAATGTTCATCGATGTTGGAAAAGGCGATCATGGATAGTTCTCTGTCCACTTTGTAAATGTGACACTGGCATCAATCAATTGATTAAAAATCATGAGATTCTGTTTTTGATCAACATTTAAGAATGTGCCGTTGTTGTTTTCAGGTTTCATCCAATCTGTTAGTTTTGTTGCTGAAATAACGGGACAAAGAAACACAGAAACTTTATTTTTATATTTTATTATAAATCAGTTTAAGTGAACAGACAGTCACCTTTTTTTTTTTTAAGAGAAAAGTCCAAAATAAAAAATAACAATTTTAAAACCTAACTTAATACAAAGTTAATACAATACATAAATACATCATCATTGAACTGTGAAGAATGGAAAAGCACCTTTAAACAGTTCGGGACTGAAGCCCGGCTGTTTAGCAGACCTTTGCATAGAGAGCAACTTCGATCCACAAACAATAAAACAAACAAAAGTCTGACCAACAAGTCTTCCTCCTCCTCCTCATCATCATCATCACATGTGCTTCTTCAAACAATTCATCAGGTAGAAGATTTCACTGTTGAATATCAAACACGCCTCCACGTTCTTCTTCTGAGCGATACGTGACGTCACCTCTGCGCACTAAACTCAGAAGAAAACTCAGAGCGCGTGTTGACGTGAAAAATGCAGATTATTTAAAAAGTGCTTTCAATCTGAAGTTAACACGTGAACTCTCACGCCTCTAACACGATGTGTGAATAGTGTTCACAAGTTGGAAGTCAGAAGCATCCAGCCTTAGTGGAGCTAAAACCACAAAGCTGATCCAAACCGAGGGCAGACCGATCCCGTCACTGTGACAGAGACTGCTGCAGGAGGTCTGGATGGTTTCTGTGACTCAAACAGATGAAATATTCACTAAATGCTTTTGAACATCGACTCTGCAGGTAGTCCTCTAACCTGACGGACTGTTACAGAGTTTCTGAACACTTACTGAACTGGACATGCTTCATCAGGTGAGTCATTGTAAAGGTGGTTTTCTCCCTTTGCTTAATGATAATATAAAAATGTTCAGTTATGATAAAATAAAGGACATAAAAAAGAAATATTCTCTTTCCAAAATGTAAGACCTGAAATCTCTTGTAACTGAAACTTAAACCTAACGACCTGCTGTAATAAATGTGGATCAGTACTTGATTGAGGGTTCGGGTTTTTCCTTTGTGCTGCTCTGGAAATCCTGACCTGATCTGATCTGGAGTTTCTTCTCACTTTAAAACCTGATCATAAAAACGAGGTTAAAGGATTTCTTCACAGAAGATGAGACCTAAAATAGTAGTGTTCCAAACATCAGCCAGGTCACAGTCTCCATTAAACTTCAAATATTTAGACTCAAAAAGAGGAATTTAACCATTTCTCCCCTAAAAGCTAATCAGATGTATCACAGCTGCCTGTAACAGTCGATCTGTTCAGCGTGAACTCAAAATTACATGAAGCTGTGATGCATTTGATATTTTAAAGGTAACTCTGCAGCAGTCCTCTCTCTGCTGCTGCAGCTCTTATCAAGCACCTCCTCCAGATGAGTCACACAGGAAACTGTAGTAAATTCCTTTTTCATGCTCTGACTCAAGGCTGAGTCACCGAGAGGGGAACTTACAGACATGTTCGGCCTCCTGTTTTTACCATTTTTGACCGCCAATTTTGCCAGAGTACAAAAACCTTCATGTAGACAAAAAAAGTCACGTACACTTCAGCTCATGAAAACCTCTGAACATACCAAACAGAGACGTTAACCATTTCTAAGTTTCAGCAGCACTTCATAGACCGTATTCTGTGAGCAGGGTGTAAAAAATAACTAACTGAGGGTCCAACAACAACGACCTGTGCTGCCTCGTCCTTTGAGAATTCACTTTCTGTCCGGACGAAGGTGAGGATATCAGGACTCCACCAGAATCTCCATGAGGTGCTCCAGCTCAAATCCTTCTTTGACATGATTTTGAGCAGAGAAGGGCGGAGAAAGAGGAGGTGAAGAAGAGGATGAGGAAGGGCTGAAGGAGGAGAACGAAGGCAGGCACTTGAAGTTCTGGTTCAGAGAGAAAGGGAAAGGCTGTGAGGCGGAGACAGACGACAAAGGTGGGAGATAGCGCAGAAGCTCATCGCTGGCGACACTTGCACCTCCACGGAGCCCGAGCACACACATATCCTTCTCCAGCAGGGACGTGTCTATGTCCTGAAATAGATCCTCGACAGTCAGGTCAGTGAGGTAGCTAGACCCTGCTCTACACTCTCCCTGTTGATCCCCACACTCTCCGACTCCTCGCCTCATCCCCGCCACACCACCCTCAAAGGGTGCCGACAGGTTCTCCAAAGACCTGAGGGGTGTCCGTGGACCTGCATCCATGGTAGAGTCTAGTGCGGTGAGGATCGAGGAGATGGAAGCTGAAAGGGAGAAATCCGAGTCCATGGACATCGATCCCCAGTCTTCATCTTCATCTTTCACAGGTAGGTGGACGTTTGTGGCACAATTTGACATGTTACTAAGAGGAACCAGAGGGACGCTGGAGAGAGCTAAGAGGCTGCTTGGGGAGCTGTAATGTGATTGAGACACCTCCCAGTCTACAGAGGGCGCTCTAGACGCCTCCAGACTGACCTGCCGCAGCGTGTTTGCTATGAGAACAGACCTCCGCAGGCTGGGTTCAGGTAGCTCCTGACTTCGCTGATACTTGTTCAGGGAAACTGAGAACACAAACTGGCGCTGACTCTCCCAGAAGTGGCTGCTCCTGTCCTCCATGTCCTCCGGAGGGAGCTTACGCTTCTGTCCCTTCATGATCATCTTCAGTCTGTGGAGGAAGGTAAAAAGAGTTAAACTGACTCAATCTGATTTAACTGTTTTCCATGATACGTTTCTCAGTGAAGGACTGAGATACAGGAGAAGAATGAAAGTGTGAGATGATTGACACAAAAATCTCATGAAATGTCGTCACTCAGTATTAAGTGTAAATCAGATTTTAACTAAATTCTTTATTGAGGATCTATAACGACATTAATACTTTTTAAAAATTTTAATCCCTTCGTTATCTTTAATGATTTTGACTGTGAATTAGAGATCGTATTGACGTGTTTGTTTGTTTTCTGTCCTCTTTCAGCTCTCAGTGACGGAAGTTTCATGAAGTTTGGACACTGGGGACATTTTGAGGACTTGTGATCATTGTAAAACATAATTGACCATTTTCACACATAAACTAAATAACAAACAAGACCTTCCTGAAACTTTTTTACCTTTTCCTCCGATTTTCACCCGTACTCAACAAGACAAAATGGTCATCTTCAGTTACCTTCATGTCGAACTTCCACTCATCAGTCCAACATCACTTTAGAGGTCATCCCTCAGCTCCTTTAAAATATCATTAAAATCTCATCTGATCACGTCTTAAATACATCATTATTTGTTAAAAACTTATATTGTCTTTATGACTGTTTGATGATCAGTCTGCGTTCCATTTATGGCAGTTTGTATCTGTCTGACCTTTCCCTAATCATTTTATTTCCGTAACCTGTCTATGTCGGCTTCGTTTCCTCCTTACACTCTTTTTAATCTGTGACAAATAAATAAATATAAATACAAACAATTAAAAAAAGAGTCTGATCAGCTATACCATCTTATTTTTATATCATGTATATAATATTAGTGCATGGTTGTGATTACTCATCTCGTGAGTAAATTCTCTAAATGACCTGATCTTTAGATTTTCTTACATTTCTGCTCCTCTCATCCCTGACAGCTTTACTACATTATTACACAGTTTACTCAAACACTGAAAGTAAAACTCAAATAAAAACATGTCCTGAAGTAAAAATGAGCATTAAAGGCTGATTGTAAGGATCTGAAATTGAAACTAAAGTCAAACAGAAACTAACAAACCATCAAACCGTAAACTTTAAACATGTTGAAAAAGAAAAAAAGGTTTAGTTCGTGTTTTTATTCCCTCTGCGGCCTCTTCTCTGTAACTGTGGGGGTTACAGTCATTTAAGAGGGAATATTGAACAGAATTACTAAACTGGACGGGTTAAATGATCTCGATTACCTTAGACTGGTTGGAATAATCTGGTAAAGTACTAGTTTAGACGGTTTACTCTCTCTTTGGTGAAAAAGTTTGATGAAACAGACACAGACCTGTTGAATCTCCGCTCACTTTAGGAGAAATCGTCGTCGTCGATGATTCTGTCCTTTTCCCGCCTCTTCTTCGACCGAAATTACGATTAAATATTAAACAGTTCGTAAAGATAACGTGAGAATATTTAAACTTTTTCAGTCGATTTTCACTCTGCCTACATGCTCCGATGTTGTTTCTTCGCTAGCTGAACCGGCTACTCTCCCGCCTGTGATTTAAGTTTTACGCCAAAACCATCAGAGTTGGGGGCTGGGTGTGTCGAGAGGCATCATGGGTAGTGGAGTTTTTTTCACTTCCATCATATCCGCCAAAACATGAGAGCTGACTTTTTGCTAAGAATATCGATCAGTTATTAAACTATCATTAGGCACGTAATGTGTAGATCTGTAAACTCACTTTATCCCGATTAATGATCGATCGGATCAGGTCGTCGATCGGGTTATTATGTAATTTACATAGCAGTAATTCCTTAATGATTACATCACCGACAGAAGAGGGAATCCCACAGTATGACTCTGAGCATAAAGTACCACAGTGTGAGTTTGATTAAAACTAAAACAACCTCCAACTGCAGACATGATATCCAGTCTGACTGATTAACTTATCTTTTAGAGAAAGGTTATAAAGAAAAATTAAATATCTCGAAACGAAACAAGAATGTTATGGACGAAGATTACTTAACTAATTTTTTATATTTCACTGATGACCTCCAGCTGAGATATCCCACTCTGTAGAACAAAACTTAATAAATAAACGAAAGGATCGATCTTTAAACATAACAAGAATATGAGACAAAGTGAGAATTAATTACCTGACAGGAACCGAAGTCTGTAAAGGCCTTTAAAAACCTCTGTACATCACCTTAATGCCAAAAATCTACTTTTTCACTTTGAATTCCAGCATTACGAGAGTTACACATCGAGAAAAACCTGCGAGGCAACAAGTTTGAAAAAACAGATCCGACTCCTCCTCACTGTCCGGAGGGCGGAGGAACATTTAAAATACCCACCGACTTCCTGAGACCTCTTCAAAATAAAACACTAGGGGAGAGTGGGGTAAGTTGAGCCAAAGGGTAAATTGGAATTAGTCCTGATGGTATGGGGATCACTATGGGAGTCCATGTCATTGGTATCTTCATCATCTGTGAAGGCTCCATTAATGCTGAACAATATTTATAAGTTGAGGAGCATCAGGACTCTGTAGTTGGAGTCACCGCATGGACTGAATATCACTTGGGCTGTGTCCGAAATTAATCACTCACTCCCTAACCCCTAACCCCCATATGGGGTTTTACTATATAGTTGACTATGAACTAAATTACCGGAGGTTTCGGACACTACATGACATGACGCAACGCATGACAGGATTCCCGCCACCGTTGAGTGACCATCGGATGGTCACTACATTTTGCAATGCTTTATGGGAAATTTTGAGCAACCTAAATTGGGCACTGGAATTGATCACTGAGGTTTCAGACACCCCTCAAAATGGTGCTAACCCCCATGTAGTCACCTATAAAGGAGTTAGGGATCCATTTCGGACACAGTCTTGTCCGTAAACTGTCCTGAGGTCTGATGGATCAAAAAATTAACACTCTTTGGGAAAGGACAACTGGACTTACTTAGGCGAAACGTCTCAAGTAAGTCCAGTTATCCTTTCAATGAAGAATTGGAAATCATAGATGCTGCATTCTCAGTTTTAAACAATAGGTGAGAGTGGGGTAAGTTGACCATAGGAGATCACTTTTTTTTGCCATGCTGTATCATCAAGATGACAGTTCTGTTTACACTCATTCTGTTGGTTTTCAGGGATGAACAACATCCTGAAATATCTGCAGAGACACGAGTTAGAGACTAAACTAGGGTTGACTTGATGTAGTGATACGAAGTATGAAACATGGATCATCTTAACCCACTCTCCCCTATGATGTTTCATGAGATTTTGTCAGTGGGAACTCAATGACCGAAAAATGAAACCACAAACATGTAAACTGTAAATTTTGGGTGTAAAGTGAAGGAAAATAAAACTCCCTATTTTAAAAAGTTGGCCTTTCTATCAGTCCTCAAACATGGAATTCTGCTTTTATTGTGAAAATAACACGCCTGACTTCCGGTTTCATGTTGCTGTCACTTGGTGAGTTTTTTACCACAGGAGTTGCACAACAGAGGCACATGCCATTCATCTGACTTAGAGGTTGTCCTTCACATATGACAGACACATATCAGATGGTCTGCAGGACACAAGGAGTTAAAGACAAACGGTCTCTGAAGAAAAACAGAAAAATACCAGAAAACAACAGAGAATCCAAGTGTTGTAGTGCTCCAAACTTTTGATAGAGCTGCATGTTAAACTTAAAAACAACAGTCTTGCATACTGAAGTCTGATTCCTAAAATAGCCCTGCTCATTCAGGATGTCCTGTTGGACCAAATGTTATTTGACAGGCAGTATAAAGCAATACTCTGACATTAATACGGCTTTCCCTTTATTTAACCTCATTATTACCTGAATTTATTCAAAAACTGGACATCAAAAATTTGGTCCAATCAGTGTAACTTATAGATTTCAGCATCAGTGACCGTCCATCACATCTCTGGATGAGTGATCAGTGTTAAACTTCTTTCTCAATAAAAATAACAACAAAAATATGTTATTTAGAAATTTATTTAATAACTTTGCAGAGGGATTAGTTGGCATGAAAGGAGTGATTTCCGCACAACCTTTTAAAAAATATTTATTAAACAGAGCAGCAAAAAGCGGCGTCATTTGTGATCGACGATATTTAGTCTGTAAACTGAGCAGCTACAGAGAAAACATGAGCATAATTTTGAACCAGATCTTTAAATTAATCCCCTGTAGCTGATGATAAAAAATAAGTCGAAAATTTGATAATTCAAAGCAAAAGTTAGCAATGAAAATAAAAGTAAACATAAGTAAGCATTAGTGGCTGATCACAAAAACATACCAGTATTTCAAATCTGCACAAAGGTTTAATCTTCATACATCCTAAAGTTGCAGCGTAAAAGAATACTGTTTTTGGTGGAAATAAAAAATGGCCATGAGCAAAAGAGAAGAAACATGAAGCTTTCTGCTGTCTGTGGGGTGATCCTGATCAGGGCTGTTTATACTCTCCCCACAGCCCCACTGTCTTACCGTCCCACTCTGTGGTGGACAGACACCTAACAAAGAAATGTCCCAGGTCATGTGTAGAGATCGCTCTTCCTCTTAGCATGTTTTCTGCTGTCATGTAGTTCCCTGTCAGAGGAAGATCACCTGGAAGGAGTGAGACGGAAACAAAATGATATATTAAACATGAGAAAAATCAACAGTTCTTCCTCTTCATCTGTGGTCAATCTAATAAAAATCAAAATCCGTTTCTGTTTAAAGTTTTCTATCAAAACCTTACGGAGCAGTTATCACAGAATCCTCAAGTAAAATCGTGAAACTTGAACGCCATCCAAATACTTTTTTCAGAAAAGGCACTTACAGCTACTTAGCAGCAGCTATACCTTCCAGAAGCTTCCCCAACTTTGATTTAAAAGTAAGCCTCTGGTTAGTTTATCTTACTGACCCCCAATGTGAGGCGGCATCACAGCCACATAGTCGAGCCCCGACGTTTTCAGTACTGTGTACATCCTGTCATGGTCCTCTGTCACAGCAATCATACGAGGCGGGACTTTGGTGCGATCCCACAGCAGGAAGGCTGCAAAAGGTGAAGAAGAAAGGAGAACAGAGAGATGGGGAGAGATGGAAATAACTCTTATTGTTACTCTGAGAGGAAAGGTTATTTAAAAGGAGTCATGTGAATAAATGTATCTAGGCCTTAATTTTCTTAATCCTGTCTTTCCGAAGCATCACGAGTACTTTATGGTACATCTTCGAAAACAAAACAAAACTTAACGCCCTCACTCACTCTGATAGGATTCTTTCACTACAGGAAACTGTACCTGACATGCAGCCGACAACTTTACGGATCCCACGGGCTTTCATGGCGTCAGTGATGTTCTTGGTGCCATCAGACATCATGGTGGTTGGGCCTGATGAGCAGAGGTCAGATCACAGATTCATACTAAATACTGGAGTTTACAGCTGGTTTTAAGACACCTCGTCAAACTTCTGTATTGTCACTGCGTAAGATCGTTGATTGTACATTAAAATCACATCAATATACAGTCAGAGGGTCAGACTGAAGTGTGTCTGAGATGTGCTCCTCTAATAATATTCTTACAGTGTGTTGTTTAAGTTTTATTATGCTCCTAAATGAATGGCTGACATTATTATTACACCATTAAAAACTACAATCATCAGTCACTTATATAATATCATACAATCAAAGAATCCAATGCACAAAGACCACAGGAGGGTTGGTGTTTGGAGCAGAAAGATTAAACTTTAACAACTCCTGATATAAAAACTACAGCGGGTAAAACTTTTAATTTGACGATTAAAACAAAAACTTTTTTTTTTACAAGACTTGCGTTTGCTCTCTTTTTGGTGTGTGCCCTATTTCCAGTTTTGGAGCCTTACTCAGATCATTCCTGGTGCCCAGAACGATGATAACAGCATCCTGGCCCTCCATTGCCTTCTTCACATCCTCCTTATTGAGGACATCTCCCACCACCACTCTGGACGCCTTGTGGTCAGCGGGCAGCTTGGCGGGGTCCCTCACCAGCACCGTCACATTATATCCTGAGGGAGAAAACAAGGACAGGAACAGAAGGTCACACCACGATCACCCCGATAGCACCGGACACCAGTGACTGTATATGTAACTACCTGTTTGTTAAAGAGACTCAGTCTTTACTCAAGGGAGAGCTTTCTTTTAATATAAGTTTGTTAAATTTTCCAGGAACAAAACAAAAACACGTGACAAAAAACAAACATACATTTGGCTCACGCACACATTCAAGTTCAAATTTATTATCATTTGTATTAGTATTAGTGGATGGAAAGGAAGAGTTATATGTTCAGATGTTGGTTGTTAACATCTAACAGGGAGATTCTTCTGTAAAACCTTAATTCGAGTTCACACCCCTCCTGTACAGACAAGATAATCAGCAGCTTCTTCTATCAGTTCAGACCCAGCTGTGACTCAGCAAAATGTTGCTGAACTGAAACTTCCACGTGACTCAACAGTTTTATCCCTTCAGTGTAGAGGAAGGAAACAAAAGTGCTTTAAAATCAAATTAATCATATGACAAAGAGTGTTTATGCAAGATATTTGAATACGTCTGTTTTTTTCTTCTTCTGGGAAATCCTCTAACCGACATCTGAGCTAACTGGCAGTTTACCACGAATACAACTTAACAGTAAAGGTTTTAGTTCCAGATGTGGCTAATATAAAATAAAGAGTTTGGCTTCTTAAGTTGATTAAATCTGATTATTTTTCTACAAACTCTTAAAGTGTCAATTCACTGATTGATGCAACCAACCAAAATGTGAAGGACTCCAAATAAGCATCATCCCTCAAAGTCTATGATTGTGTTATTATAATTATAACATTAAACTGCTGCCAGTGTGAAATCCTCAACAGAAGAAGATGTTCATAACTTACCATGAGGATTTCATTGTGTATCAGTTCAGTATCATCAGTCTTCTGTTACTGAGCAGTAACATTGAATAAACCCAGTCTTGTATTATTAAATAATGTCATTTAACTCTGTGGTTCACTATAGCAGAAAACTCCCAGGGGCCAAGATTTAACCCTCTTTTTACACTTTAGAGTAAAGGGTCAGTGACAAATAAGGGTTTGCATCATAAGGAATTCAAAACTGTTTTAATAAATTGTTTTAAAAGTTTGCATTAGGTTTGCAAAGATGTATATTTTGTACCTCTGTTGGTTTCATATAATTTCATATCGCATTGAAACCTTTTTTCACAAAATGAAAGCTGGGTTTCCTTTGAAAATGTCTAGTGGTGTAACCACAACAGAAGGTGAAATATTTAATACTTATTTCCACCTATAGTGTATGCAAGTGTACTTATAAAAAAAGTTACTTAATCATAATATGTCAGCTGAAAATACCATTTGTTAGGATTATTTATTTTTTTAATTGGATGCATTTTTGCAACATAGAGCAGGAAAAATGCTGAAAACGGCTGGTATTTTCTAAGTAACATTTGACAAATCATGTAGAAACTGTTCAGATATATATCAGGGCATTGCTGTAGAGGAGTACACTCCATTCCCCATTCATTTTCTCAACTATTATAATTTTAATGAAAAATACTGGTTTCACCAACTGACACAAACCAGTTACTGAGTTTTTATGGTGACACCACATTGACATTTTCCCCATTATTCCCTGAATATTCTCTCAAAATGAATAAAATCAAGAAATTTTAGACAAGGTCTTTAAAAGAGAACGTACCCAAGTAATTGTTGAGTTTATTTTAGCATTTTTTAATTGAAGTAAACCATGGGAACAAAATAAAAACTTTCACGTCCTTAAATAAAGAGGTCAGGTGTTTATTTAAGGATATGATCAGTTTAGTCTGAAGGAAACACACTCCACTCCAGGTGATTGAAGGTCCAGATTAATACACTGCTCATGTAATATTAAATAAAGATCCCGTCGTTAACCGCGTGTCTTCTCCAGTCTAATTAGATCCAGAGTCACCCTTTAGTTTTCTATCTATTCCTATATTTCTGTATTCTTCTCACCTGCAGCCACAGCCTGGGGGAGTGTTGCCAGCCCGGTCATCCCCGTGGCTCCAAATATCGCCACGTTTTTAATAGAGTCCGACATTATCTGCAACAAGCGACGTCCACGGGACAGTGACAGCTCGAGTGGAGAGTCTGAGTCCGATCCAGAGGAAACTTTCGTTTAATTCTCACATTTGGTGGATTTAGAGGTGAACAGGAGACCGACGCTTCCGCAGCTCCGACTCCGCCCACATGGAGAGTTAAAGGGACAGACACACAGAGACAGACACACAGACAGACACACAGACAGGCACACAAACAGACAGACAGACACACAGACATGCAGACAGACTGGCCAGTTCATTACTATTTCAGCTGCAGTCAGATAAGACTAGGGGAGAGGCTGTTAAGATGATCCATGTTTCATACTTGGATCAGTCCATCAAGTCAGTCCTAGTTTAGTCTCTAACTCGTGTATCTGCAGATATTTCAGGATGTTGTTCATCCCTGCAAACCAACAGAATGAGTGTAAACAGAACTGTCATCTTCAGAATATAGCAGGAAAAAAAAGTGGTCTCCTATGATCAACTTACCCCTCACCTTCTCTCTCCCTAAATAACAGTCACTTCTTCACATTCATGTGTATTTAACAAGATAATTTTCTCCTTAGTTCAGAAAAAAAGTGTGGATTTCATCTTTTCTCTAAGGAATGTAATACAGTCCATAGATGTCACGGTCCCCATCTGTGGAACAGCCTACCTGCAGACCTGAGAGCGACACCTACTGTTCATATTTTTAAAAGTAAACTAAAGACAGACCTTTTTAGTCTTGCTTTTAGTTAAAATTTGTTTTAATCTTTTAATCTGCATCATGTGATTTTACCCTCTTTTAGTCCTAGATTAACTACTTTGTGTTTTATTACCTCTTTTTTAATTTACCCTCTGTTATTGTTTGATTTTAAGGCTGTTTTATTTCATTAACTTTTAATGCTTTATCACCTTTATTATATTTTATCATGGTTTAAGCATTTTAGTCTTAGGTCCAACGTTTCCTCCTTTTTTAACTCGAGACAGCGTTTCCTCAGTCATCCGTGGCAAGTTGAAGAGTCCTCACCTGTGTGTCTTTTGTGTGTGCGTCTGTGTGTGTGAGCGTGTGAGTGCTGAATGTGTTGAATGGGAGTTGGGAGGGTGGGTGATGTTTGGTATTTGTATTTTCATTTATTTTATTAATTGTTTTTAATATCCTGCTTGAATTGACAGCACTTTGTGCTACATCCTACGTATGAAAAGTGCTTTAAAAATAAAGTTTGATTGATTGATTGAAGGTAACATACATGCAAAGTTTTAAAGACAGTTGTAAGTCATCTGAGGATATGTAAATTGGTCTACCATCATGTAGTTATTTCTCACATCCACACCACAGTCTGAACCTGTCTACATATGCATATGACTGTGCTGTCCTTGCAGCAATCACTGAGGGCCTAGTGGGGTCAGGATACCCACACTCTGCCCTAAAGAACAGTCTGAAAAGTTAGGTTTTATTCCGGGGGTATTCATATGTTAGTATATTTTATACGGCCGAAGGGTTTTCGTGTAAAAATATATGTTTCCAGAATGGGGCAACAGAAAAAGTCTCCTGAGTAATGAAGGGAGGGTCAAAATAGTTCATTGATTTGCACAGGTTTGTGATATGGCAGAGCCACAGAAGAGCCTGACCTGCTTTTATGTTCCTTCTTTAAATACATCTCCTCAGGGCCTCCAACACACACTCACTTTGAGAGGTTTCAAGTGCACTTAGCTCTTCCTTCTTTTTCAGTGGTAACATTCAGTACGGCGAGGCAGTTTTATTTATAAAGCATATTTTCAATATATCCACAGCAGTGGATTCAGATATCCTTACAGTGGGGTTAAACAATGAGATATACGGTTTTAAAATAATACAAAGGTCAAATACTTTCAAAAGAGATTATTATTCCATATTTCATATCTCATTTTCTGCTCTGTTGGACACAGAACCAATGCTTTGGATCAACTTGAAGTTGTTTTGGACTTCTTTCTGCCTATAAAAGTGTAATGCAAATATTATATTCACTATATTGTGATCATTTGCCTACTTAGAGTCCAACATAAGGGGATAAAAGTCAAAGGTTAATTTTTCTTTTACCCTGTATTTGGACTGGGCTGAATGTTTTGCAGGACTTCAATGTTAGTTGACATTTTTGCTGATGAAAAACTCTATCTTAAAGTTAGTTTAAAACAGAACAATGACTGAGGTAAAACAGGATGTCTTAATCTCCTAACTCAAGAAAACTAGAAACTACATCTACAAACAGAAAACTGCTTTCAGATTAATCATAATGTAAGTTATTTAAGGGATGTAATGCGGAGTGATAGGTCGGTTTTAAAAACACCATGAAAATACTAACATTTTTAAAAAGAAGATTACTAGTTTTTGATTGGCTCAAAATTCTAAGCCCCGCCCATTTCTTTAACGGCTCGTTTCAAACTCGGGCTCGACGCTGGGCTGAAACTCCCAACTTCGACGAAAATTTGAAGAATAAATGGCAATAAATGCGGTTAGTTGGCTAAATAACTTTATAGTCACACGATGTTTCACCTTCACATCAGTATTATGACAAAGTTGAAGGTTTAGGCGAACTAAGTCTAGCCGTTTAGCGATAACGTTAGCTAATGGTTGCCCAGTGTAACTACAGGTGGACTGAAACAAGCTAGCAAACGAACTCGATATTGGCGCGACTGTTAAATGTTAAATGTAAAAATACGTCTTATTTACGCTTATGTTACCTTTGAATCACCTTTGCTCTTTCACATAATGCTAAACTCAGTGTTTTCGAACTTATACAACTTCACATTAGCTAACCGTTGGCTCTCCCTCTCTTTTCCCCTCCTTTCTCTCACCTCCACCCCTGTCTCGCTCCCTCTTATTCCTCCCCTCTCTCTCTAACTCTGCACCCCACTCACCCCTCTCTCTCTCTCCTTTCTCCCTGTCCTCTCTCCCTCCCCCTCCACTCCCCCCTCTCGAACTCTGTCCCTCTCTCTCCCTTTACTCTCACTCCTTTCTTTCTCTCCCTCCTCCCTCCTCTCTCTCCTTTCTCCCTCCCCCTTCTCTCCCCACTCTCTCTCGCTCTCTCTCTCTCTCTCTCTCCACTCGCCGCACCAATGCTGATATTTCTCCCCAGCATCACCAGCGGAGAGGAAGAGGTGGAGGAGGGGGAGGAAGGAGAGGTTGTGTCAGGTGGAAACGGGGACCTCTATGGATATCATCATCACCCTCCACCGGCTCGCACCAACCTCAGCACCGACAGCAGCTCCTGGCCGGCGGTCACCGCTGCTGCTGCAGACACGGCGCTCTTCTTATGCGCAGAGGCCCTGTATATCTGTATATCCTAATGCAAAGACTCTCCGGACTGCTTCTCTGATTTCCCAGACGAACAGCTTCCCTCTGTAATAAGGACTATTTGTGGGAAGACCCTCCTGGAATAAAAGCGGAGCCTCAGTCTCCTCCATTGATAAACCGCTCTGCTCATCGATTCAGCCGAACGACGTCTTGGTGTAAGGAGAGGACAAAACCAATCCAAGAAAACTGACAGTAAAACTGAAGGTAAGGCCGATAGAAGGATGACAGGATGACCTGTTTCTTCATAGGCTGTCGCTTTCATTTGTCATCCCCCATGTTAAAGCAGGGAGTCGAGGTGCACGGTGTTTTTTCCTTTTTTTGCAGGAACGCCGGCCTGCATTTGGGTGCAGGGTACTGCAGTGATCTGGCGGAGGGAAGCGCTGTTTCATGTCTTTTTCACCTACATGTGTTACATGATGCTTGCATGAAGAAGTGCCTAGATAAGACCTGGATTGTAATTGTTTGTTTTTTAGTATTTGAAGTGATGAATATATGAAGAAGCAGAATAGCGGCCTAGTAAACGGGCTCTGGCATGTTGTTGCAGTGTCAGTTTAGGGGTCTTTTAACGAATAACTTTAAATATCAGATCACTGCATCGGGTAGGGTGACCTTTGGGGAGATTGTGCCCCAGTGCTTAATTTTAACATTAATCCACAGTAATGGGCCTACTTTTTATTCCTGCAGCAAGTTATGCTGTTGTGTATTTTTGGTCTGGCTGTGACCTCGCATTACTTCCAAATTTCTGCCTGTGGAGGTGTCAGTTCTACCTGAATCCAGAGGGGGTTCTGCTGTTCTTAGTAAAGCATGGATAGCTCAGATTTATCCCTGTGCTTTGGTGAGATTAGGCCGACAGCATCACAGCAGTAGCTACTCTTGATGCTGGAGCGCAGTAGCTTGTCAAGTTTAATGTGGTGTGTTTGATCACAGCTGCAGAAAAAAGTGGTGTAACCTCAGTTTTTCACTGAGATGATCACTGTCGTTGAATGCAGGTGAAGTGACAGTTTGTTGGTGCAAAGTGTGTGGATGCTTGTATTGTGGTAAGTGGGTTTAAAAGGAATACAATGACATATTCATTATCTTTCAAATTTCAAAGCCATTCGGTAGTTTCATATTTATATAAAATTAGTGGTAAATGTTAAGACAGATGCCTTTTTTAACCTTACTTGACATTATTGAAGTTGGAGGTCTTCAGTGGAGTTTCTGTCAGGACCCTCTGAGGGTTGTGGTCTTTCTGTGGTGCTCAGCACTTTGCTATGCAGTGAATTTGTTGCGTTTTGTACAATTGCATCTTGTGAAGTGTCTCTAATATATCAGGATACAGACACTGATCTCAGTTAAATTTGATATTTTGGTCATGTTGAACTCTTGTCAATAGCTCCTCATATACCGTATTGTATGTTTCTACATCAGAAACAAAGTAACTGTAGTTGTACATAAAGAGCATACAATTCTAGTTGTATAAAACTGTGAACTGCATGCACACACACACACACACACACACACACACACACCTACATAGGTTTATATGTATTTTTACTAAATACAGTTATTTCACGTCATTAAGGTCAGTATAATGATAACACAAAGCGTTAGCATGTGTTTTAGTTGTATATCTCTCCAAGTGACTGCCCTGCTCATGTAAGATAGCAGGAATAGACAGTTCTTTTTGTCACCCTCCTCTCCCCCCTCTGTCTTGTCTGGATGACAGACAGTCCCTCTGGGACAATGAAGCTTTCTGCTGCTCGCTCTGTTGTTTATCAGACCACAAGGTTACTGTTTTGATTAAGGCTTGCGGTCCTGCAGACTCAGAACTGGGCGGCGGCTGCTGCTCCTGCTTGCAGATGTTGTTTCGCTGTGCTGAGGTGAAGTGAGTGGAAGTGACTCAGTGCATAGTGTGTAAAGTACGTACTGGGTGACGTCACAGTGAAGGGTCCAGTGTGTGTGTGTGTGTGTGTGGGAAAGAGAGGGAGAGAGAGAGTAAGGAGGACGTTCAATACATATAAAAACAACTAAAGTTTATAATAAATATGGATGAAGATAAATATGTTTGGTTGTCTGTGGAAAAGAAATAAGGTTCAAGATAAAGAAAGCTTAAGTTTTCCCGTTACAGCATCAAGCTATAAGACAGCTGCCTGTAATTTTCCAAAACCTGTCATAAGAGAATTTTGACTTTTACCTGGACTCTTCAGCCTTCAGCTTACTTCTTAATCTGTGTTAGCAGCTAGTGAAATCATCTTCATCTAAACTTGTACTTTTTGGTGCCCCACTCACTGTTGATGGATCAGCAAGGGTCAGACTGTAACACCGTTCTGGTAAACTTCTGCAGAGCAAAAAAATAGAGTTAGGTGAAAAGTAAGAGCAGGAACATAGAAACAACACTTCTTCACATCAGTGCTCTCCATCATACTATGTTGTGTTGCACACGCAATATCAATACTCCAAAGCTGGGGAGGTAAATGCAGAAAAACACAAACAGACACGCTGATATTTTTGTAAGGACTGAAGCCTGATTGACTCTATTACATTCATTACACATAAACGGATTTTACAGACTCGTTACAAGCCTTCATCAGCTAAAAATAAAAAATACCTTTATTTTCTCCACACTGGACTTCGTGAGTGCATGCAGATGAAAGACAGAGGCATGTTGTGGTATCTTTAAAAATGCAAAACGCTTCATATATTTAGTAGACAGCTGATCATGTGATCATCAGCAGAAATTCAGGATGAGATTAATAGTTGTCAACGATTGGATGGCATGTCAGCTGTAGAGAGGTCATGGTAAATAACTTTTAGAGATTTTGATCAGTGTTTGACGGTATTGATGAGGGAGGACCAGTGTGTATATGTGAGCGTGTGTGTGTGTAGTAAATTAGGAGTGAGTACAGTGAGGGTCTGGCCCCCATTAAGCCTCAGAGAAACAGAGACACAGAGCTTCTGCCTCTGACTGATTAACACTGGCAGCTGTCTCTCTCTCTCTCTCTCTCTCTCTCTCTCTTTATCTTTCCTGGGATATGACCTCTCGTCTCTCCTGTCCCTTGGACTTCTCTCCGTTCTATATCTCCTCTCTTACAGCAGCTTTTTCTTTTGTCTGCTGCATTTCTCTAACATTTTCTCTACAATACCGTCCTCTCTTTGTCTCGTTTCAATAAATGTCTTTTCTCTCTTTCTCTCAGGATTTCTCGAGTATCCTGCGTTTCTCTTGCTCGACGCAAACAATTAAGGCCGTCCTTGAGGCATTATTTAATCAACATGGTCAGTAGAAAAAAATATCCTCTCACAATGTGGAAGATACACAGAACCTGATGTAAAAATACTAATCCGTTAACTATGAAACCATTAACCATTATCAGTTGTAGCTACTTTATAGCTAAAGGACAGAAATGAGCAGGAAAAAAAAATACAAATATTTACTGATAATCAATACGACATCAAACTGGCATGACTATTTTTTTCTGAGCACTTGAATGTTAATGTTTCAGTGCTGCTCTGTTGTTTTCCTCATATTCTTGTAAAACACTAGTTTCTCCTCTCTGCAGTGATCATCTTTTCACTCCATTCTGAGTCAATAACCAGTTTTAATTTTGGCCTAATGTGGTCGGATCTGTAGTAAGGAATCAGTTGACTTTGTGTTTACTGATGGGACCGTATAACTACGGCCGAGTCACCAAAACCAGATCAAGGTTACTCAGAGAAGCTCTGGAAAAGTTTCTGAGAAAAGAGAGGATAATGAAATACAAAATGATCATCATTTAACTTGTTTCCCAAAAGTTGGCTGTTTGATAAAACCTTTGTTTTTCTTTATTGACTCTCCAAATACTGACTTGGTAAATCCAAAATAAGTCCCTGAAGTACCTTTTCCTGTTTACTGCTGTTATAATCCTCCGGACCAGCAGCTCTAAATCTACCAGGGTTGGTGAGTGAACAGTTTCTCTGCAGCTTCAGGCGGTAAAGTGCTTGTTTCGAGGGCGTGGCTGATGTTTGGCTTCTCATGTGCTGAAAAGATGAAAGTATTCACATCTCTGTTTGTATGGAGGCATCATCATCACGCCAAATGCTGATAGTTATAGAGGAGTGGAGGTGAGGACAGAGGACAGAGGGAGGAGTGGGGATGGAGAGGGAGAGAGGACAGTTGAAAAAGTGTGAAGGATAATAAAGGGGAGAGCGGGGAGGTGGGGCGCCGATGCTTTCATTCCTGCAACGGTGTAATGGTGATTTATTGTGGTTGCCAATAGCAACAGCATAGCTGGGGGGTGAGGGCAATAATAACACTGAGTGGTTTGGAGTAGAAAGCATAATGAGTGACAGTTTTACATGCTCACCCCCACACATACACACCAACAAAAGTGCTGACAGTGCTGGGTCATTGATTGATAAATCAATGGAAAATTAATAGGAATATTTGTGATTATCAGTTTATTATCACTACATATTATCACTACATTCAAGAAACAAAATGGACTGATTCTTTCCCCTAAAATGAACTCATGAAATTGGCTGATAGTTATTTGATTTACCCTTTAAAAGAATTTATGTTTTATTGAAGTAAGACGACAGTGAGGTGACGTCAAACAGGAGGTCTAACTAAGAGATGTAAAATAAAAGCTGAGCAGCAGGCTCACTTTTACAGCTGTGACACAGACGGGCTAAAGTCTGGTTTCTAAAAGGACAACAGCTGATAGAGGAGAGACAGAACTCAAGTAGACACACAAATACTCAAACCACCCGAGGGCGAAACAAAGATGGACGCTCTGAATATAAAGCAAATCTTTTCAGAAGCTGTCCTATAAAACACACCGAGGTTAGAGTTCAGACCGAGAAAAATCAGATACCTGTCCTGAAGATTAGAGGGTTGATGTGTCAGTCTGAAACCAGAGAGAATTAAACATTTATCTGAGAAAGTTAGCAACAGTCTGAGCTTATAAAAATGTAGATTTTAGCTGTAGTAATATTTTTGACACATGCAAAAGCTCACACACACACACACACACACACACGTTTTTTCCCACCACATGGAGAGATCAGTGAGGCTGCTGCTGTCCGCTCGTTTGATCCCAGGTGTTGACTCGTATCCTGGACTAGATCAGACACTGAAACTCTGTAACCCTGTGGAGTCAGAAAGACCTTATACAGAAAACTGAAGCTGTTTTCTATTGGAGGAGCTCAGAATGGTCCAGAAACGACCTTCTAGAAATCCATAACAGTATCTTACTGCAGAGAAGACGAGCTCGCCATCCAGTCTTCTTCTTCTGCTTCTTCTGCTTTGTTTTGTGGCGGTGGCAGCCAGTGTAAAGAAACTCCACCACCCCCTGCTGTAGATCAGCGTGAGACTACCAAATGCTTTTTTTAAACAATCACAGTATGAAAATGTTAATTTCTCATAAAGATGGTTATTGTCGTTATTATTGGTGTGTTTCCAGAGCCCTCCACTCAATGTTTCTGAACTCAATCTGAGGTCAGATTCTCCTGCTTGAGGTGACAAACCCACCTCACTTTAGTTATGGAGGAGAAAATAGATAGTCAGGACAGTGTGTGTGTGTGTGTGTGTGTGTGTGTGTGTGTGTGTGTGTACGTGTGCGTGTGCGTGCGTGTCAGACAGTGTTGAGCCCACTCTCTTGCTTGAGGCTGGCTGATTCCTCTACAGCTGAGTCTGATGATTAGATTTAGGGTGAAAACACACAGTTCAACTCACACAGACATATATACACACACACACACACAGACAAATACACACATCATCACACAAATACACATCAAAGCAGCCTGTGTGTGCGTGTGTGTGTGTGTGTGCTGTGAGTCTGATAGATAGTAAGACACCAGGTGTTTGAGGTTAGGCGAGGATCACAGCAAGGAGACCAGAGGACAGATAGACATGCACGCACACACGCACGCACACACGCACACACACACACACACACACACACACACACACACACACACACACACACACACACACACACACGCACTGTAATTACAGTTTGACAGATGTATACCTCTCTTGTTATGACTATCCTTCCTCTCTCTTTGCTTTGTAATGTGTTACAGCTCGATGGGGTTATATTGATGTTTTATAATGACTCTTATTTTTGTTTTATCTCTTTTAAATCTCTTTGACATTGTTTACTACCATAGTAGTAGTAGTAGTAGTAGTAGTAGTAGTAGTTTTAGTAGTAGTAGTAGTAGTAGTAGTCGTAGTAGTAGTAGTAGTTTTAGTAGTATAATTATTCCAATAGACAGGTGAAGAAAGAATGAAAAAAGTCCGTTGCAGTCATTCTGACTCTGTTGTTTTAGGTGAATTAAATTAGTCGTCTGTTTATCTGCACGGCGCAGTGAGAGTCGCAGCTTTACCTCTCTACATGTAATTTCAGTTTTTCAGTCTGATTTCCTGTTTATTTTTTATTTTTTCAGCTCTGGTCTTGTGCTGTCTTCTTCTCAGCTTTATCTCGGACATAAAGCACTGAAATGTTTGGCCGTTATCCTCCTCAGGGAGATCACTGAAGTGCGTTGCTGCATCTCCTCTCTGTGTCTCGCAGGGCATGATGACATTTACTCGGTATGGCTGTATTATTACCAAGTGGTTTAGGTATAGTGACAGCTGTGAGCCTGGGCAGTTTGTTGCTGTGGAGAGGAGAGAGACGGGATGGGATGAAAGGAGGAGCAGAAAGCTTGGCTCTTGGCATCCAACCCCCTCTGGTTTTATTGTTTTGGCTTGTCAGGATAATAAAAAATGTTAGTAATAGAAGTAAAAAGTCGATGTGTCCACACCACCTGCAGCACTTTCCTAAGTTGAGGAGTCTTCCTGACAGAGACGCTGATTTTAGCCTTGAAGCTTTTCCCAAACTCTTCTGAGATCCTGAACAGTCTTGAAGTTAGACTGGATGTGGGACGTTTGAGCCAGTAGGTATTTTTGCTCCGATTTGATGTAAACCTGCGTTGGTTTCAGCTGTCTGTGAAATTAACCGTTGACTGAACAGATTCAGTGTTATTGTTGTGATGTTGAATATTTCTATTTCTTACCTCTTTCTCTGGACTGTGTGATGATGTCTCGGTGAAGTTATTTTTATCCTCGAGTTTTTAGCCGTCAACTGGAGCAGCAGGAGAGATGAGAGGACTAAATAATATTACTCTGTCTCCCATCATCCTTTGAGTCATCAGAGATATTTTATTTATAACTTGTCTGTTGTGAAATACTCTGACGCCAAGGACATGGACTGCATCATTCATGAACTGAAAAAAAAACTGTTATTTATGGGTTATAGTCTTTTTTTTTTCTTTCCTTTTGTAGGTTTTTGCTCAGAGGCACATTGGTGGATTTTGAACCCTCCTAATTACACTGATAGTATTTCAATTAAGTATCCAAAGTCCTGATGAAGAACGGGTGTAGCTGCAGTCAGATGTCGGAGGGTGTGAGAGGTCATGTAGAGTTTCATTATAAAGTGTGAACTGCCTTTCATCAAACTGACATTAAAGACGGATCATTCATGGTCTCGCAGGGCGTTGGGCGCGATGGCTAATGCCTCCCCGGACCTGGACAACGCGGAAGCCCAGCGCCAGCTCAACAACAACAACCGACCAATCGGCTCCGGGTTCTGGGAAACCGAGTGTACCAGCTCCAAACTGTTCGAGTGCTCCCGCATCAAGGCCTTGGCAGGTCAGAGGTTACACTCACACACCTGTACAGACACACACATTACCAACACTCTGTCACAAAGCTGCATTTAATCCTGGCACTGAAAAAACACACTCCTGTTCTACGGCTTTACCACTGATATGAACATTTGTGGATGAAAACAAAAATATGATTCATGTCATTAAGATCTTTTTGTCCTCAGGAACAGATGTGTCTTTCTTTGTTTTTCCCTTTTGAAACTCTGTTTTCTTGTTTCTCTCAGACGAACGAGATGCGGTGCAGAAGAAGACTTTCACCAAGTGGGTCAACTCCCATCTCTCCAGAGTGTCCTGTCGGATATCTGACCTGTACAACGACCTGAGGGATGGATACATGCTCACCAGACTGTTGGAGGTTCTGAGTGGAGAGCTGCTGGTACAAACACACACACACGTACACACACTGTACAGTAATTTTGTGTATAACAATAGTGTTACTGCATGTTAATACTGTAGTAGTTCAGAAATAAAGATGCTGTGTTGTTAAATAGTTATAATTCCCTCTTTTTCCACCAGCCAAGGCCGACACGGGGTCGTATGCGGATCCACTGCCTGGAGAACGTGGATAAAGCGCTCCAGTTCCTGAAAGAACAGAGGGTTCACCTGGAAAATGTTGGCTCACATGATATTGTTGATGGAAACCACCGTCTCACCCTCGGCCTTATCTGGACCATCATCTTACGCTTCCAGGTAAAAAAAAAACACACACACGATGTTAACTCTGCTCTGGTTATCAAAGTGATTCGGCGAGTACAGCGTGTAAGTAGTTAACTCCTTTGCAAACCGGCCCTGTATTTATTTTACTGTGTGAAGCAGCTGCAGGAGAAACGTTGGGAAGGGTTAAGGTCATGTGATTCGCCAGCACGTTTCCATGACACTGAAAAAAAAGAATTATCGCCTTATTCCGATAATAAGGAACCGAACAACTAAAGTGCATGTAAACACCTCGGAGTTTGAAAACTCCGATTGGTCGGAGAACTCCAATTAAGACACCCAGATAATGCGATTGGAATCCGATTTTCTCTACCATGTAACCAGCGTAGTCGGAGTATGATCGGACAATACATGTACGCCATGCCCCGTGACAAAAACCTCAGAGTAGAGGAGTAGCGTTGGTCTCATCTTTAGAAGAAGTAGCGCGTCCATCATGTCGGACAAAAACAACGCTGTACGATGCTCCATCTTCTTGTTTCTCCAAAATGCCCAGCAGCAGTTGTAGACACTTCTGACGTCTGACACCGACCTGCTGTTGTTGTTGACGGTTGTATGGGGTCGGAAACAGCGCCGCTGAAAAGACCCACATCGCTCCCTAGTGTTGGGGAGGAGGACACATTCATGTCAATTTACGCGGACAAGGAGAGAAGTCCGATTTGGCAATATCATTGGAGTTTGTCGTTCACGAAGATAAATTTTTTCTTGTGAGGCATCCAAGTTTAAATCTGAGCTTCTGTTTAAGTGTAATGACCTCCTACGTTTCCTGTGGTATTCATTGATGCACACGGACGCTGTATACAGCGGTGGTTTCGTCTGGGGCTGATGAGCTGCCAGCGATCCTGTTTGGGGCTGGCTATCAGCCGCTGCATCATCAGCGTGCGACGGCGACAGCAGCGTTTGGTGGATGAATCCTGAATGTCACAGCAGCCGAGTGGAAGCAGTCGCCTTCCCGTCTATCTTACAACGAGGACGCCACACACACACACACACAACGCTCACGGCACTCGCTCGCTTACTTTCACTCTCTGTCAGCCTATCAGTTCATTTTTCAAAAGACACACACACACACACACACACACACACACACACACACACACACACACACTCACACACACACAGCGGGCCTTAGCATCAGTGATACAGGATCAGTTCCTGCCATGTAAGTACAGCAGAAGCCCACGGCTCCTCTTTATTACGCCTCAGTGCGACAGCAGGGCTTCAGCACAAACTGCTGCTTTAGCATTATTCAGACCTTTCTCTAACATTCATCTTTGCACGGTCGCCCGGTACTTCTCTCTGGGGACATGTTTTTGTCATGCTAGGCTGCACTACCGTCCACAGAGCACATTAAACAGCACTGCTAGCATACTTATATCCTAGCATGTCTTACTAACAGACACAGAAGATGAATACTGTGTGTGTGTGTGATGAGGCTGAGCGGACTAACTTTTTAAAACTAATTTAATTCAAATATGAAAATAATAATGTTGTTCAGTATTAAACTTTATAATTAATACAATTGACATCGAAGTTTGAACGACAGTCTGTAATCTTTTCTTAAGTTTGAAATTAAGGATGAAAATCTTATTATCAGTTCAGCTTTTAGACTGTGTTTTAGCCATTATGAGAGTGTGATTTAAGCAGTGGTAGTGTTAGTTAAGTCCTACCCAGCTACCAGGAGCCGTGAGCATGGCTTTAGTCCTGCTCGCCTCCCGTGAGCCAGCAGACGATGGCCTCTTCAATTTTGCATGTGCTGAGAATGGAGGGCAGTGCAGAACGTTGGCGTTGGGATCAGGGAGGCCTCAGACTGTTCTCCATCAGTGATGTTTGATTTCCTTGCAGACTTATCATCTAAATTAAATTATAATAAAAATCATATTCTTAAGTTATCAAAATAAAAACAGAGACAATGACGGACATTAAGGCCTCATCACACTCCTGCAGAACAAAAGGAGCAAACTGGAGTTCATCGTGATAATAATACACAGTAACAACAAGGGTTCATTTATAGTGATAAACATCGAGCTGCATAATAAATAAGGAATTTATGTTGATTTTGGGATTATCAATCCTACCCAAAAAAGAAGTCTGAGGGCATTAATGGACTGTATAGAGTATCAAGAATGATTTCCCTTCCCCTCATCTTTTCCCTCTTTCCCTCTTTCCCCCCTTTCCCCGTCCTGACAGAGAGTTTGCTTTGTCCAGTCAGCAGGTAGGGCTTCACCACTGCAGTGACTGCACACAGGCAGAAAGAGGGAGTGGGAGGAAGAGAGGAAGGAGAGGGCTGACAGTCAAAGGAAGAGATCAGTCTGATGGTCTTAAAGATCCTTACAAATATAATATCAGACTCTCATTTACAGTCATTATTACAGTCTACTCTCTGTTCTGTTGTGTTAAATTTTTCTGCTTGGTCCTAAAAGTTTTCAGTCATATTCTAAAACTAATGCAGCAGAATTATTGATGAGTTCTTTGGTTTTTCACAGTATATACTAATCAATCATTTACAGATACCCATTAGTATGTCATAAATCATGACAAATATTCATCACTCACACGTCGCCTCTGAATATTGGTGCTCTGATAAACAGTCAGCTAAGATTTACTGACCTGGAAAAACATTTAACTATAATGATATGAACTCTGACAGCAGGTTTTTGTTAAACGGGGATCATTTGATCTTTACGTTATTTCATAATTAGCTGTTGTCTGACATTAGTGCTGGTGTGTCAGTGTGATAACCTCTCAGGAAAAACTGGTAGGCTTTTATTTTGAGCATCACCTTCCACCTCCAAAAACATGGGCTGTACTGTCTTTGTGTGTGTGTGCGTGCGTGCGTGCGTGCGTGCGTGTGACTGTGAGTGCTTGCATATAATTGTGCCTTAATGACATGGCCAGCAGCTGAATCCAGGGTGTTACGTCCCCAATTACCACTGATCATGTCACTGTGATGTGATCAGCTGACTGGCTGTCACTGTCGGCGATCATCAGGCGCGGCGGTGACGTCTCTAAACTAAAGTCATAAACTCTCTTTGCTCTTTGTCCGTCGTCTCTATGAACTCTATCTCACCATGAGCGGGTTTTTATTTTATGTGAGTTCTGAGTGATTCTCATTTTTGTTTTGAAGTAAATAAAATTCATAGAAGTATTTGTTGTAGTAAGTTAATGTTTAAACAGAAGCATCTTCAGACACAGCCTCAGTTGTTTTTAATCGTCACATCAGTGGACAGAGTAAATACCTGAATAATGAAAGTACACGTGAGAGTGCGTAAACATCGATTAAAGGTTTAGGGCCTGTATCGTAACTTCTCTCCTCCTGAACTCTAGTTTTTTGTGTTCTCGTTCAGATCCAGGTGATCAAAATAGCAACGGAGGATAACAGAGAGACCCGGTCTGCCAAGGATGCCCTGCTGCTTTGGTGCCAGATGAAGACGGCGGGGTGAGCAGTCATCTCCAAAATACAGACTAATAACCATGACCGACTGTGACAGAGATGGGGACCTGAGTTTGAGACTTGGACCTCACAGTAACCCGACCTTAGATAGACTCAGTCTTGAGATTTAGAGCATGTGAACAATCTTTTTATTATATATTTATTTTTGTCACATTTTCTCAGATATTAGTCATCACATAGAGTCATTTTTCAGCCAGATGAGACAGCTATCTGCGATCAATAAATGTAAACAGTGTTAGCTCTGATTTTGAGAGAATCGCTGTAGGTTTTTTACTGTCAGCTGATTACAGTTTCAGTTGTGACTTTGAACAGTTTCCCATGTCTGGCCTGTAACAGGTAAAGTTTGTGTTTCAGTGTCGGTTACAATAACGCTCTCTACATTCCAGGTACCCTGAGGTCAACATCCAAAATTTTACCACCTGCTGGAGAGATGGCCTTGCCTTCAACGCACTCATTCACAGACACAGGTGAGTCCTTTATTTCACAGCACTATAGCAGGTGAAAGGAAAAGGGATTCAGATCCACCAACAAAGACAAAGACGTTCAGCAGCTTTGACCCACTGCTGATGTTGAGCCTCACAAACATGACACTTGATGACCTTGTCCCCAACAGACCTGACCTGATAGAGTTCCACAAACTGACCCGGTCCAATGCAACCTTCAACCTCCAGCAAGCCTTCAACGTTGCAGAGCAGCACCTGGGCCTCACGAAACTCCTGGACCCTGAAGGTGAGCGCGTTACCCACAATTTCAACCACATCCAGAACGTCTACGAAAAGGTTGTATCCTCCGATCGCAGCTGATTGTAACCGTTCAAGTTAACGTGTCAGTTTCCACCAGCTTCTTTCCGTTCCTCTGAGGATCGCCGGACTCCACAGCTGAACGCAAGAGTTGCTGGATATGATTAAGGTGGTGTAAACTCCCATGTTTTCTGTCTCTCACTGCTCTGCTGTGTAGATGTGAACACAGAAAACCCTGATGAAAAGTCCATCATCACCTATGTGGTCTCCTACTACCACTACTTTTCCAAAATGAAGGCTCTTATTGTGGAGGGCAAGAGGGTCGGCAAGGTAAACACACATCTCTTTGCCCCAAACATAGAAATATCTCGACCTGTAACATCTGTCATTCACCGTCTCTGTGTGTTTTTATTCTTCTTATCTCTGGATGTTGATATTTCCCTCTGGATCTGTTCAGAACCTTCTCCTCTCTATCTCACTCACAGGTTCTGGACAGCTGTGTAGAAGCAGAGAAGATCGTCAACCGCTATGAGGCTCTGGCCTCAGACCTGTTGGACTGGATAGAAAAGACCATCGCAGTCATCAGTAACCAGAAGTTTGCCAACTCACTGACGGGAGTGCAGCAGCAGCTCCAGGCCTTCACCACCTACTGCACCATTGAGAAGCCTATAAAGTAGGTTCTTCAGTTTTACTAAGAGACCAACACCCTCAGGTGTTAAATGAAACACAGACGGTTCAGGTGTTTGAAACATGCCAAACTTTAGTACAGTGATATAAAGACAGTTCTGCTAGTTCTGTCATCGCGTTGGTCCAAATCAGTCTGAAAACTCCACCTCAGTTCACTCTTGGCACCAGACTGAGAATTAAGACTTCACCAGGAGTCCTCAGCTCCTGTTAGACAGCCTTTACTTTGCTCTTTGAGTGTCCTTGGGCGAGACAACACAGGTGGAAGTACCTTCTGTTTGTCCTGAACAGGAGGGGAACGTGTGAGAAGAGGAGGAGGAGGAGGAGGAGGAGGAGGCCGTATTGTAAAACCACGACACTTGATAAATTTTCTGTTTCTGCTTCTCAGGTTTCAGGAGAAGGGAAATCTTGAAGTCCTTCTTTTCACAATCCAAAGCAAACTCAGAGCCAACAACCAGAAACCCTACGTGCCTCGTGACGGGAAGCTCATCTCAGATATTAACAAGGTCACACAGCCATCAGCTGTTTTCTGTTTTTTTTTAATCTTTCACCAAACAACAACACATACTCAGGAGTATTAAAATGATTATCATTTCACTTTCACGCTCCAACAGATCACCTTCAGCTCAGTCTAATTACTACAGTGAATATGTTCCATGTAGCTCTGGTTATTCTGCTTTGATTTGACTTTTCTTTAAAAATTCGTCTTCCAGGCCTGGGAGAGGCTGGAGAAAGCCGAACACGAGAGGGGCGTGGCTCTGCGCAAGGAGCTGATTCGGCAGGAGAAGCTGGAGCTGCTGGCTCAATGCTTCGACCACAAAACCACCATGAGACAAGCGTGGCTCAACGAGAACCAGAGGCTCGTATCACAGGTATGACAATGAGAATGAAGTCCTGTTCTTCTCAAAGCTCCTCTGTGGTGGTCATGTTGGAGTAGTTCGTCTTCGTCACGTTGAGCTTACAGATGTTTTCTGTTTTCCTTCTCTCTGCTGACAGGATAACTTTGGCTATGACCTTCCAGCAGTTGAAGCAGCGATGAAAAAACACGAGGCCATCGAGGCGGACATCGCATCGTATGAGGAGCGGATAGGCGTGGTGGTGGAATTGGGTGCAGAGATGGAGGCAGAAGGATACTACGACATACGGCGTATCTTGGCGCGAAAGGAGAACATCCTCGGCCAGTGGAGTCTGCTGAAGGAGCTGGTGGCTGGGAGGAGGACCAGGCTGGAGAAGAACCTGGCCCTGCAGAAGACTTTTCAGGATATGGTCTACATGATCGATTGGATGGAGGACACGCAGGTACTGGAGGCCAACCAGGAGAGACAGTTTAATACGGGCAGCAAAAGTATTTATTTAGGAGTTGGTAAATGTTCAGACTGAAGAGAGCGAAGACTGGGACGTGGTGATCCAGAGATTTTCAGATATTCTATTTTAAATACGAGCTAAACCAAAATATTTACAGAAGTGTATTCAGAGATAAACAGTGAAATGAGGGAGCACAAAAAGTACAATGAAGGTTAAAGTTCCCTGTCACCATCTTAATCATCTTCTGCTCAATCTCAGGTGCAGCTGCTGTCCAAGGACTTTGGGAAACATCTTCTGGAGGTGGATGACCTGCTGCAGAAACACAGCCTGCAGGAGGCGGACATAGCGGTGCAGGCGGAGAGGGTGGAGACGCTCAACACTGCCGCACTCAAATTCACCACCATAGAGGGTACACATCATACACTCACTTTTTGAGTTTTTGTTTTAACTGAAGGCTGTGAGAAGAAGGCTTTACCAGGTCGGTCAGATTTAACAGAGGAGCTAGAGGGTTTCTGCCTGCTCAGATGTCGTTCATGAGGAAGTATTTTAGATTCAGTCGAGTCGTGTAAACTCAGTCAGGACACTTATTATTCAGTTATTATTTGGGGATGTGTTTAATCTGTAAACCTGTTGTTTGCGTCTCCCAGGTTACCAACCGTGTGACCCACAGGTGATCTGTAACCGTGTTAACCACGTGTCCTCCTGTCTGGAGGAGCTAAAACAGTTAGCAGCTAAAAGACGGGCCGAGCTGGAAGAGTCCAGAAAACTTTGGGCTTTTTTTCAGGTAAGATCAGCCAGAGGAGGAAAATGTTGGTCAGAAAATTATAATTTTAATAAATAAGACTGAGAGTTACAGATCGATCGAGCATGTCGGTGAAGAAGCTCTCAGGATGAACTTGATGTTTTAGTGTATTAAAAAAAAGGCTCAATGACTCACATCACTGCCGATTCTTTCCTCAGACTGATATCATGTGGTTGTTTTCCCCTTTCTTTACTTTGAAAATAGGTCAGGATGATTAACGCTTTCTTGTTTGTCTTTTTGTGGTCTGTCAGGAGCTTGAGGAGTCGGAGGCCTGGATCAGGGAGAAGAGCTCGATCCTGGGAGCTCAGGGTTACGGGAAAGACCTGAGCAGCGTGCTGAGTTTACTCCAAAAACACAAGACGCTGGCAGGAGAACTGCTGGCTCACCGGTCACTTCTGCAGGTGTGTGTGTGTAATAATGATAATAATAATAATAATCTGATATGTTATATAGTTTTGAACAATCTTAATCACCATCAAAATTTTACTTGTGTTGCACCAACTGGAAAATGGATATCATGACTTAGATTTTTGAAGATTAGTCAGATTGTAATATGACTTGAATATCTTGTGAATTTGACATTTTGTGGTGGAAAGTGTTTTTGTCGTTTTTTTTAATGGAAACATGAATTTATATTAAAAATAGAGAATTTTCAATCCAAAGAAAAACCCTCGATCCTGCTCCTCTCCTCCAGAACACCATGAAGCAGGGGAAACAGATCCTGAGTGAGAAGAGTTTTGGAACGGCGGGGATCCAGGAGCACATCATGGACGTGAAGAGCGAGTGGAAGAGGCTGGAGGACCAAGCCGCACAGCATCTCGGTCACCTGCAGGAGGCGCTCAACTTTTTTCAGTTCTCCACCGAGACGGACGATCTGGTGGTGTGGCTGCAGGATGCTTACCGCCTGGTGTCCAGCGAAGACTTTGGACACGATGAGTACTCCACCCAGTCACTGCTGAAGAAACACAGAGGAGTCAGCGAGGCCATCGACAAACACCGCGTGCATGTGTTAGCTCTGCGCAAACACACTATAGCGCTGCCTCTGCGCTACCAAGAGGTGGGTCGAGGGTCCCGGTTTATCCATCACCATATTCCCTGACCCCTCTCGGTTCTCTCTGTTATTCCTCGTCTCTTTTTCTCTCACCCGCAGGACTCACAGGTGCGTATGGGAGAGGTGGAGCAGCTTTACACGGAGGTGATCGAGGTGGCGGTGCTCAGACAGCAGTGGCTCCACGACGCCCTCGCAGTGTACCGCATGTTCAGTGAGGTCAACGCCTGTGAGCTGTGGATTGATGAAAAGGAGCAGTGGCTGGACAAGATGGAGATCCCAGAGAGGCTGGAGGACGTGGAGGTTGTGGCTCACAGGTGAGGAGAAGGGAGCCAAGAGATGAACATCAGACACACACCTGTACATTTAACAAGTCGTGTCATCTCCCACAATGCCGTTTGTTTCAGGTTTGAGAGTCTGGACCAGGAGATGAACAGCCTAATGGGAAGGATCCTTGACGTTAACCAGATAGTTCAGCAGCTTCTTGATGGAGGTCATCCTTCTTCTACAGAGGTCAGGGGGTGTCAGGACCACCTGAACTCCAGGTACTGAAGCAACAAGAACCACTGACACCCGAATCCCAATAACAACCTGTCCCACTGCTGACATACACAACTACAACAACAACAACAGCAACAACAACAACTCTGAACACACACACACTCTTCTGTTTCATTTCTACTTTGACGATATCCATCAGAGCAGATCTCTAAAAATAATCCAGAGAAACTAACCGACTGTCCCTTATATGGAGCAGCCTGTGAATGTAAACACCGGTTCATCAGATCTCTGTCCTCAGAGGAGGCAGGAGTGCGTGGAAGAAGAGAGACGTTTCTGTTTGGCCGACACGGTCATTTGCGCTGATGTCTGCCCAGGTCCGCTCTTTCATATACGTCCCACTCTTACTCACTGACCACTGTGAAGTCTGGCAGCAGCAGAGTCCACGACAGCAGGGTGTCCACGAGTCTTGTGACCTTGGCACACAGTGTCAGTCTCAGGGTGACCATCTGTGCCGGCTGCCTCCGTTACCAGAGCAAAAATAAGACCAAACAAACAAAATAAGCCTCACCCTGATCTCAGGTACGAGTAATTAAGATTTAGTTTTAGGATCTTCATTTAAAAAATACTTGATGTAGTTGGACACTCACAGATTACGACGGCCTTTGACCTGTTACTGATCTGAAATCAAATGACAGTAAAAAAGATTATATTAATCTGAGGTTAAAATAAACAGATATTTAACAGTGGCTATTTTAGTTTTATAAGAACACACTTTAAATATCCAGCTTCCTAAAATGAAGAACCTGCTTCAGTTTCACTGAAGTTTTTTTTATTCATATCTGATAAAAATCTTCAAGGTTTTTGTATAGAACCGTTTTTTTTTTACATACAGAAGAATTTATTTAAGACTCATTTGCAGCGTTAACTCCTTTTCTGAATATTAAGATTCTCAGTTAATTTGTATGCAACAGCCACTTCTCACGGGCACGCACACACACACGCACACACACACACACACACACACACAACAATGAAAATATCTCCTCCATCTTTAAGGTCACTTTTGCTGCCAGTGTCACTGAGCAGATTTCAGTCTGCCTCTCAGTGACTCGACCATTACCTCATTACAGTCAAAGGGTGTGTGTGTGTGCGTGTGTTCATGTGTGTGTGTGCGTGTGATTCTTGGCTGACTGGCTGTGCATTGAGACATGCTGGAGCGGTATCAGAAGAACATATTGTGTGGCGATATGTGAAGCAGTCAGTCCGGAGCTGAAACCACGACAGAGCGAAGAGTAAACAGAACGAATCAGGAGAGGTCACGTCCAGTCTGTCCACCTCATCACTGTGTTTTTGTGTTTACGTGACTTTTTAATAGGAAGGATTATCCAAGTAGAGGTTACTCGTGTTTTCTCTCTTCATTTCTCGTTACTTCACGAATTCAAGTCTCAGAAAAATAATCAAACAGTCATAGTCACAGTCATATTATTATTCTAACCTCGTGTTTGTATCAGTCACTCAGCTGACCCTCTTCATCACCTTCAAAAACATTCAAACTTGTCGTCTGGCTTCGTCCTATCTTTGACCTTTGACCTCTGACCAGGTGGAACAGCATCGTGGAGTTGGTCGAGCAGAAGAAAGATCAGCTGGACTCCATGTTACGCCTACAGAACTACCTGCTGGAGTGCGCTGAGATCAAGTCCCAAATCCAGGACAAGAGGAAAGCCATCGACGCCACTCAATATATGGGCAGCGACCTCGGAGGAGTCCTGGCTCTGCAGAGACGACTCTCCACCATGGAGGGCGCTCTGTCTGTTCTGGAGCCCAAACTTCTACATCTGCAGGTCAAGAATCCCAAGAAAACCCATTCAGTGGTTTAGGTTCAGGTTTGGATTATCCTCGTATCTTCACTGCTGCTTAATGACAACTTTCTCTAACTGTAGGAAGAAGCAGAGCATCTGGCCACAGTCCATGGAAGTCGGGCCATGGAGGTTCTGGTTCCGTTCGATGGCATCAGTGTGGAGTGGGAGGAGCTGAAGCGCACTCTGCAGGGCTGTGAAGACTCGCTGATGGTGGCTAGTCGGCTGCAGAGCTTCATTCAGGTACACAGGACCAGTTCATACCTGGAGGAGGAGTTTAGTTTTCTCTAACTGACTCCAGCTGATCATCACACCAGCTGACTCTGCAGAGATCCAGCTCAGTGATCCTGGTCTGTAACTGAGGAACCAGTTTGATCATATTTCATACCCGTCTCAGAGCTTGACACTAATGTTGTTCACATGTTCTCCTGAGTTAAAAAAGTAAGGAGCACACAAAGAACTTCAGGGGAACAATGAAAATGGATCAAATAATGTTTGTCTTATTGATCAACCTAAATACTATTATTAGAAATAAATTTTAGGTCTTTTGGTCACATGACGTTGAAGCTATTGAAGGAAAACAGCCTTTTCTGAGAACATCAACCGGTAATTTATTGATGGTCCCTTATTCAACACCTACGTTGACAGTGAGGGTGTCGAGTAGATTTAACCGCGCTGCTGTTGTTATTCCCGGTTATGGAGAGTGAGAAGACACCGGTAGATCCTCAGAGAATGTCCGTCAGATATCCAACCTGAAACTAACTTCACCGCTGTATTTACAGGAAAATATATCCAACCTGAAACTAACTTCACCGCTGTATTTACAGGAAAATATATCCAACCTAAAACTAACTTCACCGCCGTATTTACAGGAAAATATATCCAACCTAAAACTAACTTCACCGCCGTATTTACAGGAAAATATATCCAACCTGAAACTAACTTCACCGCCGTATTTACAGGGAAATATATCCAACCTGAAACTAACTTCACCGCCGTATTTACAGGAAAATATATCCAACCTAAAACTAACTTCACCGCCGTATTTACAGGAAAAAAATTTTTGCCTCGCCTGATTTTCTACATGCGCACATGGTCCCCTAAATACATTTTACAAGTCGCACACGTCTATTTTTCGTCGCAAATGTGATTGTAACAGTCGCACTGTCGAGCCCTGTGTCATAGTTGTCCTCAAAGCTGAACTCTTCTTTCTTATTTTGCGTTAGGATACAGAATATTGGAGAGAGTTAATTAAAACAGAGATCTGAGGTATCTTAATGAGTACGTAGATAAAGGATCTCTTTCACCCATAAATAAATATACTCTACATTTGCTTGTTTTCCCTTCACTTTCACAGAGCATGAAGAAAATCTTGATCCTCTAATAGTGAGTCATGAAAAGTAAACTCATGTTTATGATGATAATGTTCTAATGAGGGGTTCTCACACCACACACCAGGACCTGGACTCGTTCCTCACCTGGCTAGTCCAGACTCAGACCTCTGCTGCCTCGGATCAGCTGCCCAATGATCTGGAGGAGGCAGAAAAACTCATCAACAAGCACGCTGCCCTGAAGGAGGAGATTGGACGGTGGGTTCTTGAAAGATCTTTAGCATGTGCTCCAAAAAGCTCTGCAGGTTCAGAGAATGAAACCAGTTGTTGCTTCTGTTCTCCACGCAGTTATGAAGAGGACTATGAGCGTCTGCAGGCCATGAACGAGCTGCTGGAGTCAGAGGAGGCTCCTCTTCCTCAGGCTGCCCTGCAGCAGTGGCTCCAGAAGCTGGATGTTGGCTGGAACAAGCTGCTGGAGATGTGGGAGAGCAGGAGAGAGGTTCTGGTCCAGGCTCACATTTTCCATCTGTTCCTGCGAGACGTCAAACAGGCCGAGTCTTTCCTCAACAACCAGGTGAGACAAATGGACCTGGTGGTCTAGTGTCGACCATTTCAGCCGGTCCCTCTGTCTGCTCATCATGAAGAACATTTGTTTTAACCTCTGTGATGTTTTTCTCTGATGTACCCTAACTCCACACCTGTCCGCTGATGTTTATCTGTCCTGTGTCTTTAAAGCAGACATGTACTCTGCTAATTTCACCTTTTTATCTCTCCAGCATTTTAATGACCGTCTCTGGAGAGGCTCAGTGTCTCCTCCTGACTGGACTGGGTGTGGTCGGTGTAGCCCTGTGAAAAAAGGGACTGACTTAGAGCGAGGGAGAGAGAAAGCGAGGATGAGAGAGTGTGTGTTTGTATGTAAGTCTGTGTGTCTTTGTGAAGAGAGTGTCTGTATTATGTGATATCAAAGTAGAGACTTTGGAGGCAGCAGACCTCACTACCTTTAGATCTACCTGACGGTTTTATGATGAGGTGTAAGAGAAAAAACTATCAGCTCCTCTGATTCATGTCTACTCTTGTTTAATGAAAACCAGTTTGATCGAATCAATCGACTTTTGTTGGGAGACTGATCGATTTGAAATATTCTTTTTTTTTGACCTTATCTAAACTTTAGGCTGTTTCATTTATAAAAGATGATGTAAAAAAACATCAGAGGACCTTATAAAATCACAGATATTCAGACTCTTAATAATAATAACGTATCAGTGAACTTTTGGATCCCCTTCTTCAATAACGACAGTCTTTGTTTCTGCAGCAGCAGGTTTGAGTCTCCATAGAAAGTCTGTGTGATGAAGTTCAAACCCACAGACTTCAGTTTTCAGTCTGCAGTCCTGTATTTACTCGCAGCATTATTACAAACACAGAGGTTTGTTTTTCTAGACTGAATGTCACAGGCAGAGATGTCCTTGACTCCTGTGTGTGAGTGTGTGTGTGTGCGCGTGCATGTATGTATGACTGTGTGTGTGTATGCGAGGCTGTGTGTTGTCTCTCTCTGTTTGATAATAGATCTTTACCAGGAACCGAGCCTCCCTAAAAGCCCGGGGGTGGGAGAGGCATTTCTTCTTGAATAAGAATCAAAGTGTCTCTCTGTACCTCTCTGTTTCCTCTGGTCTATATCTAGTTCAGTTTCTTTATTTTCACAGCTTAAAGACATTTTTATCAACACGTTTTAAACCGTCTCTCTTCATTCAGTCTTTGGTTCTTCAGTGATTTATTGAACATCAATCCACAAACATTTTTATAAGGTGGTAAATGCAAAACAGTCGCTCAGATTAACAGACTCAGTGGTTTATGATGGAGTCTGTGAAATGACAGGAACGTTTTCCATCAGATTTCTTTTAAAGTGATCACTTCAGAAAAGTTTTTTCCACTGGAGTTTGAGTCAGATTATAGGACTGATGAGTGGATTCTCTAAAAGTTGGATTTCATTTCCTTGTTGGCTAATCTGCTTTGTCTAACAAACAAGTTTCACTCACTCCTCCGGTGAATTCCACATTTCTTTAATTTCTTCTCCATCTATTTACAGTTTGTCATGTTTCTGAGTTCAGCTTGTTCTGTTTTAGTCTTTACAACTAAAGTTCTTGAACTAAAACTGTGATTTTACTTCTTCATCTCGCAGGAGTCGGCCCTCGCTCACGTGGAGCTGCCCACCACCGTGGAAACAGTGGAAGGGGCCATAAAGAAACACAAGGACTTCACCACCACCATGGAGCTGAACCTGCACAGGATCAAAGCGGTGATCGAGGCCGGAGAGAGTCTGATCAGCCAGAGTAACATCTACTCCGAGCGCATCAAGGAGCGCATCGACACGCTGGCCAACAGGTACAAAAAAAACAGAAACATGTTTGAATAGAGATTTATAGAGAGCTGTGAAGGAGTGACTCTGAAGAGCGTGGTTGGATTACTGATCCGAAGTATAAGTAAAGAAAATATCTGAGTAAAGAAGGAAGTTTTCAGATTTTAAGGTCAGTTTGTTCTTCACTCAGTAATTTTATTTTCTTCAGATGAAATTCTGCTCAGACGTCTCTCTTCTCATTTGCTCATGCTTGTTTTGGTTCTGTTCAAACCGAAACTCTCACACTTGATCCCGTTTGTACGTTGAGCTGCTTTTATAATATTCTGCAGCTGTTCAGACTCAGTGTGACGATAATAAACAGAACAATAAGAACCGAAGAGCTGAACACAGAGGCTAACCCTAACCCCGATGGAACAAAACCCAGAAAACAGAGCTCTGTGTCCTGAGACCAGAACTGACACCTGACCATGAAATCTGTGTGATAGCTGAGGACGGCGGCTCTCTGTGTGTCTCTGTGTGTGAGGTGGGGGTTGGGCTCTGCTGTGTAAGTGTATTTGTCCAACAATAGTAATGTGGAGGGGCCATATGGGCTTTAGATTTTAATTTACATAATTTAAATCATTTTTCTCTCAGGGAGACGATAAATGAGAGACATCATCATGTTCATGTTTTACACTCTGGTCGTCTCAAGATCACTTTACTATTGTTCTGTAGTCTTGTACTCTTTGTTTATTTATTATAAAAAAACATTTCTGTCAGTAAAACTTTATTCATGTCCAATTAGAACAAATTCACATCTGATCTACATTAACAGGAAAACCCTCAACACACAAAACAAGAAACAATGATTTCAAAAACAAGAATAAAAGGAGAAATGAAGAAATGAAGAAATAATGTTGAGCTGAAGGAAAGGTTATCCGCTCTCATTCTACTCCAATCCTGGTTATTACTGACCATTTACTGCCAAAACACACTGAAAAACTCTCCTATGGAAGAACTGGAAATATGACATTTATGACAAACGTGCTGCATATAACGCCACACTGAGCAGTTCTGCATTTTTACCTGACATGGACATTTCTGACTCATGAATCATTGTCTGCGTGTCGTGAGATTTCTGGGTTTTGGTCTCGAATACCTCACACCTGCTCACTTGTTCAATAATGAAAGTGAATAATAAAGGTGACAGAGGGCAGCCCTGTTTGAGGAAAGATGTTAATCCATGAACAGAAACAACAGCTTGTGGAGAAGTTTGAAGCAGTTAGATCCAGCTGATTAAAAAAATTCATGTAGTTACATGTATTCATGTATTACATCAGTCTCTAACCAACACAGTAACTGAATGTGGTGAATTTCAGACCAGACAGAGGATTTAGATTTTTTAGAAATGCTTGAACGCCCTCCAAACTATTTCTCATTTTTAAAACAGGAACTGATTGACCAGAATTGACAAGATCTCTGCCTTTCTGTGACTTTCCAGGGGAAACCAGAACAGACAGCTGGCTCAGCTGTGGCTGGACAAACTGAACGACCAGTGGGAGCTCCAGAGGTTTCTTCAGGACTGTCATGAGGTAAGAGGCTGGATGGTTCAACTTAGAAGTCTGATGTCAAAGTAAGTCAGTGCAACTCCCTCTGAAGAGAGAGTGAAGGGGGCGGTAATCTCTGAACCCCCTTTTCCTGTTAACAGAACCACCTTGTAACTTTAGCGACATCTAGTGGTGGAGCAAGTTTTAGTGCATCATAGGAGTTTAAAGGCACACATATTTAAACCTCTTCTTTGTAATTGGTCAGAAGAAACAAAAAGATTTGTGTGTGCTTTATGACTGTTTGTCAAAGTAAACCTCTATTTTTAAAAGTGCCATAAAAATAAAGTTGTTAGTATTATTATCATCTTAGTCCATGTCATAATTATGAGAACTGACATTTGAATGAGATGATGGTCAGATCTTTCTGAAGTCTAATTAGCAGAAATAATGAAACATGTCGTCGTGTGAAGACCCCCGTTTGGTTATCTTGTGTCTGTGGCTGTAACAGACGTGGTCCTCAGCGTGTTTGTTTGTGTGTAGTTGTGGGATTGCACACGGCTCACCTCTGTCCGATCCCAGAGTCGGCACTCTCACCCTGCAGAGTCACGGGGGTGGGGGGGCGCGGGGGGCATCTTTCTGGGCCAAAACCTTGTTTAGTTTCAGCAACTTTCTCTCTTTGGCACCACTGAATAATTCAGCTCCTCATCATTAATTCAGAGGAGGAAGAGTGTATCTGACCGTGTACTGTACATCAGTGTGTGTGTGTGTGTGTGTGTGTGTGTGTGTGTGTGTGTGTGTGTGTGTGTGTGTGTGTGTGTGTGTGTGTGTCATCTATACACACTATCCGTCTTCACTATGCGGTATGCCTAGTCTGTAAAAATACAGTACATGAGTCTTCCCCTGACTCTGTGTGTGTGTGTGTGTGTGTGTGTGTGTGTGTGTGTGTGTGTGTGTGTGTGTGTGTGTGTGTGTGTGTGTGTGTGTGTGTGTGTGTGTGTGTCCTGCCCACAGAGGGGGGGGGGTGACACTGCGTCAGTCTGTGAGAACCTTAGCCTGGGTGTGTTCCTCTGTTTAGTCTGCATCCTGATGTTTCCTGCGTCTCTCTGCTTCACTCTGAGCTTCAGATATCTTCGTCTCTTTTCTTCTTCTTCGCTCTCCAGGATAATAGTTATGACTCAGACTCCTGCTTTCAGCCATGTAAAGACAAATAACTGCAGATAAAACGTGTGTATGAACTTAACCGCTCCAGTGAACAGCCAGTCCTGTGTGTGTGTGTGTGTTTGTGGGGCAAAAACAGGGCTTGCCTCCTCTCTTTGGTTGTAGTGGATGAACTGCCCTCCCTAGATGGAGCTGCTCTTTAAGAAAAACTCACTTAATTAAAAACCAGCTGAAAAAACTTATCTCACAGAAAAAGCAAAAGTTACAAGAGAGCAGAGAAGAGACATTTCTGACCGTGTTTGTACTTTTATTTCTGTCTAAACTGTTGAAACACACCTGTAAACAGAGGCCGGCGACAGTTTTATGGGCTTTCATTAAGTTTGTGTTCAGGTGTAACTTATCATTCAGTAATACTCAGGCAGTCCTGTTGTTAACTTTTTGGTTTCGATGCTTGAAAAATTCAAGGATTCAAAGAGGAACTTAAAAAACAATCGTTTGTTCAGTAATTTCACCTTTCTCATCTAATCCTGTAAATCCTGGAGGAGCACTGAGCGCATTTAGAAAATTCAGAGTTTGTCCTCTTCCTTCTCATGAGGATGTCGTTGAATCTGCTGTAAAGTGTGATAGCTTTACAGATAAACTCTGATGTGATTGAGGTAAAGATAGGACTGATGTCTGTCAGCAGGGCCGGTTTTTGCTGAGTCTGATTTTCTGTGCCCTCCCTGTAAATACTTTGAGAATCTGTATTCTTCCTTCTGTCAGGAACTAAATCCTCCTCAGCACTAACGGGTTTTGAACAGAGCAGTGAACTCTGAGCCGCGCTCATACTGCAGCTCTTTACCTGGATTCACCTCCAGGTCTGTTCTGGGAAAAGAGCAGGTGTGTGCCCGAAGGCTTCAGGACTGAACACCGTGTGTCTGAAACACCAATGACAAATGAACTGTCCCTCTGTGTGTGTGTGTGTGTGTGTGTGTGTGTGTGTGTGTGTGTGTGTGTGTGTGTGTGTGTGTGTGTGTGTGTGTGTGTGTGTGTGTGTGTGTGTGTGTGTGTGTGTGTGAATTCTTCCATTTTTTATCCTTTTCTTGTAAATATGAGCAGCTGTAATTATACAGCATGTACAAAAATTCCATTTAAATTACTCATACACTCTCAGTTTTATATGTTATTATTATTATTATTATTATTATTATTATTATTATTATTATTATTATTATTATAAGTTTTGACAGGTATTACATTTTGGATGAACAGAATAATTTTAATTTCTAACACAAGCAGCAACAGTTGGGCTTGACATTTCATATATATTAATACTTTTTTGTATCCGTAGTCACTTATATAATATATCATGTAGTATTATATAACTGTGTTTTTAAAAATTCATTTTTTTTTGCTCAATAAATCAAAAAAAAAAATCCAAATGAAAAATTTCCAAAATTCAATTTTATTTTGTAATAATAGTTTATAATACACAAAGGATCATGTAGTGAAATAACATGATGATGATGATGATGATAAGGTTAAAGGTTTTAGCTCTGTTCATCCTTCCTGTCACCTTGAACAGTCTGCTTATTGAATAAATATAAATAAAGTTCTTCCTATCTTCTCTTCATCCCTCGCTCCCCTCCTCTCTGATCGGCGTCTGTCGTTCCTCTCAGTCGAAGGTCGCAGTGAAGTCTGATGATGTAAAGATGAGACCATAAAACCCTCCAGTCCTCACTCCTCTCCCTCCTTCATTCATTCATTTTCTCTCCCTCTCTGTTTCCATCTTCCCTTCATACGTCAGACCAACTCCTCTGCACCCCCCCCCCCATCCAATTCATTCATTTTCTGACCCCTCCCTTCTCCATTTACCCAACGCACACTCACAGAGTCCCTCCTTCCTCTCCCTTAACCCCTTTTCAATTCATTTACATTCTCCAGGGGGCTTCAGGCTGTGACCCCCCATTACCTCTGCAGTCGCTCAGTCATGGGACCTGCCTGTGTGTGTGTGTGTGTGTGTGTGTGTGTGTTTGCACAGGTTTTATGAGTCTGAGCGTGCTGCATACGTTGTTGTATGTGTGAAGGTTTGAAGCGTGTTTACTCATGTCAGCTGGCGTGTCCTTACCCGTCTGCACAGTGTGTGTGATAGTGTGTGATAGTGTGTGATCGCTCCAGAATGAGGTGACAGAGTGACGCACACACACACACACACACACACACACAGAGGAGGAGGAGGTGTCGGACAGACATCCAGCCCCGCTCTTTTAAAGGAACAAGGAGGTGCAGTAAATCTAGGAGGTTACAAATAAATCACTCGGGATAAATCAGCGCTGCTTCCTGTCCTTTTCTATCCTCCATCTCTCTTTTTCCACGAAGACAGCCCCTCTTGTCTCTCTCTTTTCCTCCGTCCAGATCTCCTCTGTTTCTCTCTCTCTCTCTCTGCTCTTTGCTTTACCACTGCAGCAGCAGCAGCAGCAGCGTCAGGCTAGCTGGAGACGGAGAGTGCAGCTGCAGAGAGGAGGATGGTGGAGGGGGTTGGTGTGATGAAGGATGAGACAAAAGCAGCTGTGGAGGAGTCGAGAGCGCGGCTCTTAGAGGAGACTGTTTCAGGGAAAAATGAGAAAAAAAAAAAAACTCTTCTTTTGTGTTTCAGTTTTTCCTCCCCATCACTCTCACCCTCTTACCTGCTTTCACACCATCTAAAGCCCACCTCCCCCTCCACCTCCTCCAGTTCAGCATCATTGGCCATGACTGGTGAGCCTGGAGGCTCTGCCTGCATCCCTGCCCCCCCTAAAATCCCAATCCTAGTCATGTGCTCCTCCCTCTCCTCCTCCTCCTCCTCCTCCTCCTCCTCCACTCGATTCCTCCTCCATCCGGCCAGGCTGCCCGCTAACTCTCTCTCTAACCCACTCGCTGCTCACCTGAACGGGGAGGGTGCCCGTGCGCTGGCTCGGCTGCCTGCCATTTTGTCGTTTTTGGATTTTTTTCTACCTCTACTTTTCTCTCTGTGATCCTCATTTGTGTCTTCTTTCTCGTCACTGATTCGCCCCCACCCCTCCTCTCTCTGCTGGTAGTGGTTACAGCAAATCCTCGGCAGCACAGCAAATACAGAGAGAGAGAGAGAGAGAGAGGGAGGGAGGAGCGCAGCCTCAGTGTGAAGTATCCAGACTGTCTCCTTTTTTTACCCTCCTGCTTGGCATTTTCCAGCAGTAACACCTTTTGTGTGGCTGTCCTCTGATCAACTCTACAGGAGGCGCCTCCTTATATCTCGCTCTCTTTTTCCCTTTTGGTCCTCGTTCTCCCTCTCTCTCCGTATGTCTCCGGTGAAGAGCGTCATGTATCCAGCGAGGATGCGGAAACCAGTGGCTGCCTGCTGCTGCTGCTGCTGCTGCCACGATTTCGTTGGCTGTTCCTGCTAAACGCTGCTGGTAAAGAGGGTTATTGGATTTACAGTTTAGTGAGAAGAGAGGGACGGAGGTGCAGGTGGAGAAGCTGCTGCATGCAGGTGTGAGGATGTGGACGTCAGATAGAGAGAGGAGAGGCTAATATTGACCTGGATTTGTTGGTGGTGCTGTCAGTGCAGGCGTGATCTGTTTTAACGGCGTGTGTGTGTGTGTGTGTTGTTTGTGTCACACTGACGTATATTTCCTCACTGAGGGACAGCTGTGGAGGAGCCGTGTGTGTGAGTGTTGGTGCTGTGGACGCTGATCTGCTGGTGTTTTGTGTCTACATGTGAATTCCCGCCGCCATGCTTGTTTGTACACGTGTGTCAGCCTACATGTGCCTGCTGTGCGTCATGAAATATTCATGTTCGGGGGTTTGACCTTGTACTTGCAACTGTATGTTATTCTCATGTATTCATCAACCAAGCCTGCGTCCTGTTTTTAATCAGCTTTTACACAGAAACTAATGAATAGACGTGTTAATGATAACGAGGATGATGGGGTTCAGAATATCAGCGTGCACATCAGAGGGCGGAGGATGTTTTGATGCTTCTTGGTACCTTAAAAATAGTTCATCAGTTTATTATCTATTCTGTGACTGTATACCCATTACTGACCTCTTTCTCTCTCTCTGTCTCTAATTCTCTCTCAGCTTGGGGACTGGGTGTGTGAGAAGATGCTGATGGCGAGGGACAGTAGCCGAGACGAGACCCAGAAGCTCCATAAGAAATGGCAGAAGCACCAGGCCTTCATGGCCGAGCTGGCCCAGAATAAGGAGTGGTTGGACAAAATCGAGAAGGTGAGTCCTGACATGTCTCAGAGAATCAGTGAGTCCTTTTTTTTTATTCTGAGCAGAGAGTTTACCGAGTCATTTCATGGGAACTTTCTGTCTCTGAAAGATGAGCCGTTTCTGAGTGTTATGTAGCTGTGCAGTAGAGAGGAACAGTATCTTGGGGTTCCTCTCTGGTGTTTGTTGGGAAGGTGTGTTTCTGTTTCTGTTAGTTTGATTTGGACCGGTGTTACTGCAGTTCGTACCCGTCTGTCTGTTTTTATAGTTTTTGTGAACAGTCATACATATCAAAGTGTTAGATATTAGGCCCCTCTGTGTTGTAGCATATTTGTATAACAAATACCACCAGTATTTGAGCATGCAGACTCTGAGCCAGTTTTTCCAATAAGACTTCAGTTATTAAGGAGTTCCTAAGAAAGGTGTGAAGAAAGTAGAAAAACAAACATAAAGCTGTGCTGAATATCTTTGTAGTGAGTGAGTCATCTTGATGTAAACTGTGAATGCCAGCTAGCTTACTGTGCTAACAGTCAGCAGTGTATCACTGATGAAGCATTCATTCTAACAGTTACACAGTCTTCTGTCGCCCTGTCTTTAACGTATTAGTTACATATTTGTGCAGCAGCTGAAATCATGAAACCAAATCCAGCAGGAAGGACAGGAAGTATAACAGAGAGATATTCAGTCCAGAGGAGTGTGCTGTTCCGCCTCACTGCTGCTCTGGGTCCTCAAAGTTCTGTTTCCACATCAGCCTCTTTTATAAAGCTGCACCTGACACAGGATGGAAGAGGGTCGGCTGGTGGTTCTGGGCTACATGTCCAGGTTTCTGTTGGTTCTGTTCACAACGGACTGGCTGAGATGAATCTGGACTTGTAAAATCAGCTCTGGTCAGAGGAGGTGTAGGTCAGTGTGAGGTCCCTTCAGGCCGCCTGTAACTCATCACAGATTTCCAATCCCATTTTAGTCACAGTCACACATTGTGTGTGTGTGTGTATATATGTGTGTGCGTGTGTGTGTGTGTGTGTGTGTATAGGTGATAATTAAATGACATTTGATATGTTGTGACTCCACAGATGGCTGAGGATGTCATGTTGCCATCTACGTTAACAGTTTATGATTTGTTTTTTCTCTAATTACTGCGTGTTGTTTTCTAAATGAGGCGTCCACAAGAAAACATAGATCCCTTTTATTCTGCTAAATGACAGAGGGATGAATGTGTTCACATAAAAAAACAGGACCCAATAAAAGGTTCAGTCTTTGTCCATCCAGGAGAAACTGTGGTTGAGAAGTTGAACTGAGCGTAGAAGTTTCTCAGCTCAGTCTGTCACCTCTTCTAATACATTCAACGGGCAAATGTGAAAATAGACATCCTGTTTAAAGGGCTTCACTGTGACCCAGCTCCACCTCTGTACGAAGGCTCTGATTTCACCAGTGTCAGATGTGTTGTTACTCTTTGCTGCTGCTTTTCCTGCCTTGACCTTTCAGGTGTGCAGGTGTGCTCCCCGCACCTGAAGCTTTGTCCTTCCATGTAAGCATGTGACAGGGCAGTGAGTAATGACAATAATAACCTTCAAGTGGTCTGGACTGATGTTGGGGCTAAATGATGATCCAGTATATGATGACCCATCAGTGTATTTAGACTGAGGAACAGTTGGTGTCTGCTGGAAGAGCTTAAACTGCACATGTGGATGTTGGTGTGAAAACTGGTTCACTGAGTGTGTCAGCCATGAAAACTCTGTGACATAATTTCCTAATCCTCTGCAGTCTCGTCTTCAGCAGGACAGAAGCTGAACTGAACCCCCCTGACAGGAGTAGAGTAATAGAGCTGAGGCACAGCTCTGCTTCATGTGATCCACCTACAGACTTCCTGACAGTCTTCAGTTCACAGCTGGGACTGTCCCCCTCTGTCTACAGATGAACCGAAAGTAAAAACAAAGTAATAAATAAACGGGTTTCCTGTTAAATCAGTGTAACACTGAGGCTGATGGCTGTACAGGTAGACAGCAGCTTCACCCACTGATGAAGCATATGCTGCTCATTTTGACTAATTACTGTATGCCTGTTGCTGTGAGGTTAACCAGTTCTCTCTATTATTCTATATTGGGTGATGTGAGTGCCCTTATGTGAGTCATGTGTATGTGGCCCTGTACTTGTTAGCGATAATGTGGGTATGATGACTGATGAGTAATTATAAACATATATACTGTAAAACACATAAACATAAAAGGAGGTGATGGCAGAGGAGCACAGTGAGCATGGAGCTGTTTCCATCATAGATTCAGAGGTTATGTGCTAATCTGAGGGTAGCTGATGGTGTCACAGATATACAGATGAGGTCATAGTATGAAAAAAGATAAGTTTTTCAGGAGCATTGATAACAAACACAAGTTATTTTCCATCGATGACAAGAACATAAAAACAGTCTAAAATTGTCTGTTTGTCTCTAAACGATCTGTGCATGAAATCTGCTGCTGCCTCCATGTATAAGAGAGTCCATTGTGTTTTTACGACACCCACAAGCTCAAGTAGAAGAACATGCCAAGTGCAGTTTTTTGTTTGCATCTTTGGATGCAAGTATGTCATTTAGCTGACAGGAAAACAAACAGTAACATCCCACTCAACTCTCACCACATTCAGCGCTGATGAAACAACAGATCAACCTCAAAATTCTCTATCTCATGTGTGTAATATTTTTGTTGTTTACTTTCCTATTTAGCCGTTACAATCAGTGTAGAGAACGAAGCCCACAACTTTGGAAAGCGACATGTTTCTTGTGCTGAGAAATGTGAGCAAGTAGGTAGGACCTAAAGGTGGTGACACTACATATGAATCAATAATGCACAATAAGTACATTTATAAAACCTTACAAATGCATCTATAAGGCTGCATAACAACCTGTATGTGTGTGTGTGTGTGTGTGTGTGTGTGTGTGTGTGTGTGTGTGTGTGTGTGTGTGTGTGTGTGGTTTTAAAGATCTTTTTACAAGGACGTTTTGAAAGCAGCAGCATTTGGACTTCAGTTTTTCTTTGTCAAGGAGTTATTTAAGGATCCAGTCTTGATTTAGAGGATGAGATGAAACAGATTTGATAGTGAGGGATATAAGTGTGCACACAGTGTTGTTCTCATATGTGATAAAAACATTTCTTTAGTGGTCCCAGCTTTAGTGGTCCCAGCTCAGGCTCTTCAGTGACAGACTGTAGCCCCACCAGGCCTCCTAGCTGTTGGCAGGTACATAGACAGAGTTAAGCCTCTGAAGTTGTTAGTGGCAGCAATGTTCGCCCCATAAGCCTGTTCTGGGCTGTTGCTTAGCAACCTTTCTTTTTTTTTTTTTTTTGCCATATAATTTTCATAGGATTTGGTATCATAGCAGAACTTATGAGGTTTTGTAGACTCCTCTGGCTAGTTTGTATAGATGTTGTTCTGTCTGTTTACACTGTGCTGTAGCTGAGGTCTTAAACAGAATCATAGTTGAACCTCATCTGAAATCTTTCTCCTTTAAAAAGAACATTTAACAGCTTCATTGAAGGTTGAACAGACAAAGCAGAAAACTAAGACACAGTCTTCCTGATCGAAAATTCAATCAAGTTGTTATTGGAGCGTTATTCCTGTGGTCCTATTCACTGAGGTATAAACCGTACAAACAAAGAGCATCTTCTGTCCTGGTTTTGTCTCTCTGTTTTTGTCCTCTGAGAGTCTTGAGTCTATTTATGTCATCAGGTAAGAGCTCCTCTCCACCTTGAAGGACTGTGTGAAGCACATTGCCAGATTTTGGGGTGTCTTTGTTTTTATTCCAGTGTGTGTAAGCTCATACTGGACCTTTCAGCTGAAGTGTCCCTGAGAGTTTGAGTAGCACCAAAAAAGGTTTACTCATAATCACATGGTTTTGGGATTGAGTCTGCCTGTCCCCCGCTCCTCAGTAAAACCACTGTAGCTGCTCTTAATACAATTTCTGAAGGAGTGTGTGTCCTGGAAAATGACACAAACACTATAGTTATGATAACACCTGTAGACCACTGCTTGACCTTTACCTGTAGACCACGCTTCAGCTGTGGTCCCTGCGTGGAGGAGACTCAGTGTTGTTGAGGGAGACCCCAGCTGAGGAGGCTTTTTCTGATACATTGTGATGCAGGCAGTGGTCTGTGTCAGTTTCTGCTTTGACGTCAAGAATCCAACAGCTGCTCGTTTCCTCTTCCTGTGCTTCAGGTGGTTGCCAGGCAACATTCGTCCCGTCCTTTCTCCTCTCTTTTTGCCGTCCTGCCTCTCTGTGCTCTGCTCACGTGTGAAGGTCACTCCCCCCTTCTCTTTCTACATTTCTTATTATGCTAGGAAACAGGTCAAGACTGAACAGGAAGTGATGTCAGACACCCTGGGATGGGGCATGAAAACGCTTCGGAGCGATGAAATTCAGCAGACAACAGGAGGTGTTAATGTGTTGTAGCACTGAGGGCCAAACTTAAAAAGCTGAGGTTTGCAGTGTTCTGACTGTGTAATGAGAAGTTTAATCAATAACTCTGCTGTTGGGAGGCTGCAGAAGGACCGCGCTTCCTTTCACGTAAACACGTTTGAATATATGAGTATAAAGTTTTAAAATGTGAAGCTTTCACAAAGATTGTAAAAGAGAACGACCGATGCCCGTCTGTAAAGATCTGCTTTAGACGGAAACTTGAAGAGGAAGATAACCCGACTATATACTTCTCCATAAAGAGCAGAGATTGACCACAACAGTGTCTGCTCCACCTCCAGGAGACGTGTTGGCTGTAAAGACATGCTTACTAAGTCTGAAATGTCTGTAATGTAACTCTGCAGTCGGTGTTTTAGCCCAAATAGAAGCTGCTGGCTGTTCTGGCCGATCCGCTTCAGCTGCAGCAGATTGTGTTTGTTTGTGTTTGTGTGAATGTGGGGGAGTGTGTGAGAGTGCACAGTGAAAATGGCCTCCTCACAATGCCAGCCTAAATCCTGTGGGCTTTTGATTCCTGTCCCCTTATCTTCTGAACGCTTGAACATGAATTGGCCTCATTAACTCATTAAGAATAAGAGCCTGAACCACCACTCGCTTTATTGCTCGTTAAAAAAGAAGCGTATAGTTCAGGGAGTGGCTGTTGTGTTTGGATTTTAAAAAGTTACGAATTAAGTTGAAAAATGATGAAACTCCAGATATAAACGCGTGTGTACATTTCTCTTTAGTTTGGATACACTCTGTACTTCATACGCACCTGCCTCAGCTTTACTCAGCCCTTTCTGCATCAAACCTGACCTGTAGGTTTGCGCTGGCTGTGCAGAATATGAGAGTGTGTGTGTGTGTGTGTGTGTGTGTGTGTAGGCTGTTGTGACGATCTGTGTGGTGAGAACATCAATGGAGCTGTGACGATAGCAGCACTCTCACACTGAGACAGAGATCCGATGTTATGTCATTATTTTGCTCCTGTTGTATCAGATACACAGACATGGCGGCGTGAGGGAGATGGAGAAGGGTTCGAGGCAGGTTGTGTTCTTGGATTGTAATATTCTGTCACTGATGCGTTGGCCCTCTTTCCTGGATGTTGTCCTGAAGCTGCTGTATGATGTGACTGAACGCACTTCACCTCAAAATACGATCAACGCTTTTTCAGGGTTTACTCTGACCACCTCTCAGACATTTCTCTTCCATTATTACTTTTGGTTATCAACACGAAATGGCCTAATCCTGGACTACACACTCAGTCATCGTCTATTTTCTCATCCTGGCCTCAGCGTGTCTCATGAGTCTGCACAGAAGTCTTCTCTGCCTGCACTGCAACCCTGCTGTTAAAACTCGTATCCCTCCAAGATCGTCATTATGTGCAGCCGAACGGTTCGACACGAGTCCCTCTTCTCTATTTTTAGCACAATTTTGAAAGAAAAAATAGACGCTCAGGTTGTTTGTTGTGGCGAGATTTCAAAGATTGTTTGAAGGTGAAAAATTGAAGCTGCTGTCTCTGTCAGACTCTTGGGTTTGTTTCACATCGACTAACCTCCAACTTTCTGATGAAAACTAACTCAATCCTGACTGACTCACAAAGTCCATGGCCAGTAGGAGAGTGAGGTGAGATGTTTTTTTTAGAGCTCATGAGACAACATGGGGGGGGGGCACTGTCAGTAAATGAGCAACAGCTCTCATCTCCGCCTCTAGCTGGGCACCTTCTGGAAAATATGTCATCTCCAGCTGTGTGTGTGTGTGTGTGTGTGTGTGTGTATGTGTGTGTGTGTGTGGTGCAGATCTTTCACTCTGATATCCTCTCTCCACATGAGCAGACTGCCTCATACAGTTGTCCTGATAGCTCATCGTTGTCTCTCTGAACCCGTGAACCGACATGTTTTCCTTCTTGTACATTTGAAGTCCCGGTTGACGATCTTGAAAAAATCTGAGCCATTGAGGCAGATTTGAGAAAAGCGTCCCACCCCCCACACACAAACCCCTTCCCTCTGTGCTCCACCATAACTCCGCCCCCTGAACCTGTATCACCCTCCCCACGACACACCCCCTCTGGCAGAAGATCCTACGCTAGCTTCAAATAGGATCCACCATGTCGGATTGTTAGTGACTAGCGGCGGTAAACGCCAGCTCTGCTAGCGAGCGCCATCTGCAGCTGCCTGGACAGCTACCGCGTTGACATGTCAGAGACTAATCAGAGTTATTTATGTAACATGAGCCACGAAAAAAGGAGATCAAAATGACCTGTTCAACTAAAACTCTGCTGTCTCCGCGTCTGTTTTCTCCACCGCACCAAGGATGACCCGATGGTTATTCCAGTAATTCTGTCGTCTTGTGTTTTCTTCCCTCTTTTGGCGGTGGGGTGAGCAGAAGTTTTTTTTTTTGGGGGTTTTTTTGCGTCCTTCTCCATCACAGCTCCTGTAGCTAAGCTGCTACGCTACTTTTAGCCGCTCAGAGGTGATTGGATGGAGAGGCGGAGCAGGAGATTGACCAATGGGAGCTGTTCGGGACAGATGGCTCCCATTGGTCAGTGTTTTTGCAGCCCTGTACCTGCTCGGGTGAACAGATTTTTTCAGTGCTTTTTTCTCTTCACTTTGTGGAGATCGCACAATAGGACCATGATCGCCATAGAAACGAGGTTCATAATAATAAACAATCTCTACAATCGTCAGCCATGACTTTAAGACACGACCAGATAACTGAAGGTTAGAAAATAACTCTGAGGACTAAATGAACTCACACAGCACTTGGACAGAAGAGGCCGTAAGGTCACGGTCTCTCTTTCCTGAAGTCAGCGTTTGGACTTTGAAGCACCCAAGACCAGGTGTACCTTAGGACCATCAGAGGACTCAGCTGGACTCTAGAAGAAGAAAAGGGACCAGAAGAAGAACAGTCACACAGACGTCCTTCAGTTGTATTGTAAATATTGATGCGGTGGCCTCACTGTGACAGACTCACTAACAGTTGTCCGCTGTTAAGTTCAGACCAGACAGCAGAATGAGGAGGTCCAATCCGTCAGCTAGCGCCAGTGTTCCTCATACACGCCCACTTCCTGTCCGTCTGGACCCTTCTTCCTCTTCGTCTTGACTTCCCAACTGTTTGTACTTTATTCTCGCTCATGCACACTGCGATATATAGTTCAGTATTGTTCATGTTCTGTGTTTGAATCACCCTGAAGCCGGTCATCGTTATCATCTCTGTTTTGAAGAGGATGAGTAAATTCAGAGTTTTGAGTGCAGTCAGGAGTTTTCTGGTGATAATGGTGAAAAACTGTTTTGATTAACTTCACCGTAGAGCGTCACGTCATCTGAATAACAGAGCAGTTATCTAAGGGACATGGTTTCACCTCTCATCGTTTCAGATACTGTCAGTATGAACAGTAAAATACCCTGATCGTCTCTGAACTGCAGACTGAAAAAGTGTGAGGAGTGTGGAGTAGCAGCTCCAGGCCGTGGGTGATGCATCTCGAGCCCACACAGCTCTCCCACTTACCGCAGAGGACAGAATACATCAGCAGTGAGGGAAACGCTCCAGCCCGAATGAAAGCTGACGTAACGCATTAACACTGAAATAACAGGACGATGATGAGTGGGTTCACACAGCTTTCCCTCACCTCTATATCTGTGTGCGCTAATCTTTGAAAACACACAAACAGCTGAGGGACGCCAAAGTCAGCTTGAACACAGCTTCATCTTCACATGTTACAGGCACAGTATGGAGTATTCAGTGTCACTAGTAAAGGCCATTCGGGTTTTGTTTGTAGTGAGCAGCTGTCAATCATGCAGCGTTTGGGGGACAACGAGGGAAAAGTGGTTGTTGTGTGGTTTTTTGAAAATGGTGAGAAATGGAGCTGGAGTCTGAACGCCTGATGTGGCATAAAACCCTTTTTTAAGAATTATTTAACCCTTTAAAAGACTAAGTGTGCTTTTATTAAACTGATACTCACATCGTAGATCGAGCTTCGTGTTAGCAGAGATTTACCCGGCTGTTGTTGAACAGCTGGTCCGAGGGTTTGGACTAAGATGACTTTTATCGCCTCGGTGACATCCGGCTTTCAGTCTCCAGGTGTCTGTGGTTTTTATCAAAATCTGAGTGGATGAGGATTGACGACGTTGTCCTCGGTGGAAGATGAGTCACTGCTCAGAGTTATTTGGCTGGCTGTGTGAAATGTCTTGGCAGAATCTGAAATAACCACCTGTCAAACACCAAATGCTGGACCTGCAGCGGGAAAAAGGGTCCAAACATTAAATCTGTTATCAGCCAAAAAGGGAACGACGTTCTCCATCATTTTCATGGTTTCAGTAAATCATGGTTGTTTTTGTTACTGACTTCTCTTACCTGTCTTTACACCTGGTCTGGGAGAAAGGTCATCCTGTTTCTCTCTAGGATCCAGGCTTTGTTTGAGAGAAGGACAAGACAGGTCTGTTAGCACCCCAACAGAAGGGTCCTGAAGAGTACGATGGTACTGATGATAGGGATGGGAAACAAGAACCGGTTCTTGTTAAGAACTGGTTCCAAATGGTTCAATCCATCGAGATCATTTACATTTTATCTTAACGGTTCCCTTAACAATCCTTTCTTCCGGGTGCCTTAAAAAACAGTCTTGCGAGTGCCAGTCTATGCGAACGGGAACAGAGACAAAGGAAATAACATGGCAGACAATACGAAAAGTCGGCAGAAACGAGCTAAAGCGTGTCTTAATTTTACTAAGAAAGACGACAACAGTGCAACGTTTGTTCTTCTTAAAGTGGAAGAAATATGATCTCATATTTAACGCACATATAGAGATGTACTTGGGTATATTAACTCTACAGTTAGCTGTCAAGGTAGAGAGCATTATATTTTCGGGACAGCAAATATTCTGAATCAGAGGGCTTTTGTTTTCGGCCTATCTGAATAGTCTGAATGAAATCATTAAAGGCACACACATTTGAATCCACCCGACGGTAAGGAAAACGTGGATTATTTCGCCTTGTTATGGACTTTCAACCGCGCTCCCGTCAGGGGTCCATTCTTCGACACAAAACCTGTTAAACACCGGTTCATCAGCTGCTGCAGCTCCGTCTCAGAACAGCAAGGAAGGTACATATGTAAGAGTGATTATACGTCCTCTTACCCTGACATGTCCTCTTTTGGGGGGCTGTCTGGGGAAGTTTATAAAATCCTTCAAATGTCCAGAACGTGTATCCATTCATTATAAAACAGTGCAGAGCATCAGTCCTCTCTGCAGCTCCGCCCCTCCGCTCACTTCTAAGCAAAGCCACTGACGTGACGCATGCATGCGCTGTCTCTGGGAATTTAGAATATGCAGTAGTAGTAGTAGTAGTAGTAGTAGTAGTAGTAGTAGTAGTAGTAGTAGTAGTAGTAGTAGTGTCCTCTTTTTGGGGATTCAGAATATGGTCACCCCAGAAACGCTGTACAAAGAGTTAATGGTGAAAACCTATAGCCTACTTTTTTTTAAATCGAAGAAAGGCATCAATAAGGGAATCGTTAAAGAATTGACAGCGATATCGATAAAATCTTATCAATTCCCATCCCTAACTGATGACACTGAACCAAACCAAACAGAACCGAACTGAACTGGATCACTTGGTGGACACTCAGCTGTTTGTCATCGTTTGCCTCATTTGTATCGAACCCCATCAAACACAGCAGCACTAAAGACGGTCCCACCAGTCGGACATGACTTTGTTATTGTTGGTTTTTACTGATGTGCAGGATGAGCTGTTCGCTCTTCCAATTTTAATGCATATGGAGCAGTCTGACAAAGCTTTCACTGTGGCTGCGGAAAAAAAAGGTCTTTTCTGTTTGATTAAAATGAGATAGTAATTCCACATTCTCATGTTTTTAGAATAAATAACATTTTTACAATCTCTTTACGTTAAAAATCCCTTAGATGAAGTTAAGCAAATAGATCTTTGTCTTTGTGCAGAAAAAATATCAATCTTTTGTTTCACATTGGGGAATTTTTAGCATCATATTTGATGGATCTGCCAGTATCAGAGTAGTTCTGTTTTATTCTTTATTCAGAGGATTGAGTAGAAAATGTCATTTTTATACTTATTTTCAAAGAGGAGGAACGTCGACTCTGAACTGAATATAAAATCAAATAAAAACTTAAGAAATGTTTTTAAATGTGCAGAAGTAGAACACACAATTTAGTGTCTTTCTTTGTTTACTCTCCTCTCTTACACACACACACACACACACACACACACACACACACAGGCTGCAGAGATGAATTTCATTTGTTCGGGGGATGATTTCATGGTGGGGGAGGCTGAATGGAAAAAAGGGGGGAGCAGGTGTACACAGGGAGGCCTGTGTGGGTGCAAGCATCTTCGTGTGTGTGTGTGTGTGTGTGTGTGTGTGTGTGTGTGTGTGTGTGTGTGTGTGTTTTTGGGGGGGCTTAAAGGGGAAAGAAATATGAAAAGAAGTGAGAGACGGGGGAGGGGAGAGTGTGAGGTAATTTATGAGGCATTTTAGTACGGCAAGGTTTAATCTCCTCACACAAACACACACAAAAATAAACACACACACACACACACACACACACTCTTACCCAATTCTACAGCGTCTGCACATGATAAAACCAACAAAAGAGTCAGTGAACACTGAAGGATGTGGAGGAAAAAGGCGAAGCTCTTTATTTCACATCTTTTATAGTTTTATTATATATATTATATATTTTCATATTTTTATATTATAAGGATATACATATTATTGATAGAACAGGTTTGTAATCACTGTGATCCACTGAGTTTTCTTCGTTGATCAGCTGTTAGAATAATGTAATCTTTTATCAGGGGTTAAAATGTGTTCAGTGTTATTTGAACATTTACAGTTTTCTCTTAAATAGGAGGTTCTGGTCTGTTGTGACTGTTGTGGGTTTTGTGACGGTAAATCACATCATTAACGGATTCATTCATTCATTCATTCATATTTTTGTTCTCGTGGAGGCCTCAGCTCTAAAATGATCCGGGGGAAACTCCAGCTTGTGTGGTCTGAATGTGTATGCGTTTATTTTACGGGAGTGGAGGGTCTGATTAGACTTTGGAGAGTATTTTGGTTTAAATTTGCATCCTGATGAGGAGGAAGCGTTCAATATCGAACTAATTTATGCTTTAAGATTATCAGAGTATGTTAATAAATCCCAGGTGATCTGTGGAGACACAATTCACTGATTACCATCGCAGCCTGTTTACCAAATGAGACTATTATCCAAACAGGAAATGGCGAACACGCTGAGCTCTGCTGTGTGACGTTCAGGAGCTCCCGTGCGTTTCAGTGTCAGAGCCCACGCTACACTAACACACGCATGTTTGTGTGTGTCATGTTTTAAACACGGGAGCTTCTGTCTGACTCCTCCCCCTTTGTTGCGTCTGCCCCCTTCATCCAGGAGGGCCAACAGCTGATCCAGGAAAAACCGGAGCTCAGCCCAGTGGTCCGAAAGAAGCTGGAGGAGATCCGGGAGTGCTGGCAGGATCTGGAGAGCACCACCCAAGCTAAAGCCCGTCAGCTGTTTGAGGCCAACAAGGCTGACCTGCTGGTTCAGAGCTACGAAAGCCTCGACCAGAGACTGGGCCAGCTGGAGGGTCAGCTGGTCTATGTGGACCAGGGACAGGACCTCACCACTGTCAACAAGCAGCTGAAAAAACTACAGGTGGGTCAAAGGAGACAGGAGATGGACCCGAGTGTTTCCTGTGTGATTCTTCATCTTCACATGCTAAAGTGACTCTCTGTTTACCTTCACATGTTTCCACCTCATGTCTCATCAATAATGGACTGAACATCATGTTGGAAAATGTCGAACAACAGCAATTCCCACTGTCTGCTTACAACACTCTTTATTCAGCAGTCAGACTCTGACTGTAACTCCAACATTAAAGAGATATTCCAGCATAAAATTAATTAGACCCCCCCTCCAGAGATGAATGTTGTCGACCGCTTGCTTCTCTAGTTATACCAACTTTAGTAACGACCGCAGGATAGAAATACAGAGAGACACGCCCCCAACCAAAACGCCACTCTATAGCCACAAATAATGCTCAGAACAGCACCTAACTTCATCAACAGGACATATAGGGTCACAGACATAGTACTAGACACCAAACATCTTTTTAACTTTGACTCATTTCTTTAGCAAAGAGACTAAACACAACTCACCTACTCTCTTCCAGCAGACGCTTGTTTGTAGCGATACCTCAGACCAGTCCATTACAGACTACAGCGGGGTGCCGCAGCTCAAGGAAGAACATTTATGATCATTTCTTAATCATTTCCTTGAAGTAATAATCATCATATTAATCATTTTACAGACGAGGTAGTTCTTCTGTCTTAGCGTCTCGGTCTGATTGTATTTCTATGAAGAAATTCCATGAAGTGTTTTATCCTTTCATAGGAGTGATTTTCATTTTTCCATCAGCATGTTTTTATAATGATATCATACTTTTCATTAAAAGTCTAAACCTTTAAAGAACTTTTGGTAACCAACTTTTTATTAACTTATTATTAAATCTTTTGGAAATCATTAAATAATTAAATTTATGAAGTGAGGTCCCCAGAGATGAAACCATCTGCGTATTTAACTCCTCTGTCTCCATCCATGTCTCTTGTATAAACATGTTTCCTCCTCATTGGTCCTTACCTACTTCACTTCCTGCCTCCTAACTGGCATAACCTTTCTCCCTCCATCTGTTTTGACACCTTTCCTCCTCTTCCCCTCCTTCTCTCCTCCTCCTCCTTCTTCTCATCAGAGCATGGAAACCCAGATGGAGGAGTGGTATAAGGAAGTGGGTCAGCTCCAAGTGCAGGTGGCCACCATCCCACAGCTCACGCAGGTCAAGGAGACCGTCGCTGAGCGCCAAGCTGCCGTGGAGGCCAGGATGGTGCGTCTGATCGAGCCGCTGAAGGAGAGACGGCGCATCCTGCTGGCGTCGAAGGAAGTTCACCAAGTGGGACGAGACCTGGAGGATGAGATTGTTAGTCTGATGATTTTCAGTCGAACACACACATACAGTTTTTAGAGCGACAGTTTGTGCCGGAAAAGGAGGAAAGGTTAAGTCTGTTCAGTGTAAAGTATTAGAAGAGCTGAAATGTTTGAGTCAGCTGTTTTTAAAGCCTCACAAGTCTAAAACTTTTCAGTCTTTAGATTCACTTTAGTTTATTATTTTAATTTATTTTTTCAGTCTTTAGTTTATTATCATTATTATTATTTTGATTTATTCCAGGATTTCTGTTTTTAAATTTACTAAAATGAGGAAGAATTCAGGAGCACCCACTAAAACAGTCACTCGGTCCATTGCATAAGGTGCATTTTTCTGCACCCACATGACTGTTCAGTCACAGTTACTCATTGCTGAAGGTCTTGTTGTTGTTGTTGTTGTGGTTTCAGTTGTGGGTTCAGGAGCGCCTCCCATTGGCCATATCTCAGGAGCACGGCTCGACTCTGCAGGAGGTCCAGCAGCTCATGAAGAAAAACCAGGTAAGAAAACCAGGATCTGGAGAGACTTCTGCTGCAGGCTCAGATCATGGAGCAGATGTGATTCATGATCACTCAGAGCAGGTTCAAACCTTGTTAAAAAAATCCAACATTGAATCTTAACATCGAAGATGATCGTCTCCTTTCGTTGTCCTCTCCCCCAGACTCTTCAGAGGGAGCTGCAGGGCCACAGGGGCAGGATCGAGGACGTATTGGAGAGGGCAGGGATCATCGCCTCCATACGCAGCCCCGAGGCTGACTGTGTGAGGGCAGGCCAGGACCAGCTGGCCCAGCTGTGGGCTCTGCTGTGGACTGAGACTGAGAGGAGGCAGCTGGTGCTGGATGCCATGTACCAGGCCCAACAGTACTTCTTTGACACAGCTGAGGTGGAGGCCTGGCTCAGCGAGCAGGAGCTGCACATGATGAACGAGGAGAAGGGAAAGGTGTGTGTGTGTGTGTGTGTGTGTGTGTGTGTGAGTTCGTCACTGCCTGAGAGTTGCTAAGTATTTCAGTAACAAAAATCCTTCCAGTCTGTTGCCAGTCTCAGTGTTTGTTATTGTTGTGTTCTTTTTAACTGAAAATCTTCTGTGTGTGTGTGTGTGTGTGTGTGTGTGTGTGTGTGTGTGTGTGTGTGTGTGTGTGTGTGTGTGTGTGTGTGTGTGTGTGTGTGCCTCCTTCCTCCAGGATGAACCAAGCACACTGCAGCTGCTGAAGAAACACCTGGTCCTGGAACAGACTATAGAGGACTACGCGGAGACCATCGGTCTGCTGTCACAGCAGTGTCGACAGCTGCTGGAGATGGGACATCCAGACTGGTGAGCGTGAAAACACGAAGATCTGTCATCAGAGTTTTTCTGTCCTTTACATGAGTTATGGAGCGCTGCTCGATTTTCTGCAGATCAAACTGTAGGTGTTCAGATTCACAGAGGGGTCATTCACGAGTTTGTTATTAAGGAAGATCCATGAGACTGAACCGGGTCATCTAAAGCTCTAATTAAAGGTCCAGTATGTAGAAATGTCGAAATTCTAGATCAACATGCTCCCTTGCTCACCTCTCCCATCATTGAAGTGATGAAGCTAACCTTTGAAGACAAGGAGCTTTAGTGACCATAACAGGTAGAAACACCTATTTTATCAGCTGTCCGGAGCTCCTATCTCTACAGCAGCAGCTTCTCTCATCTTCTTCATTTTCCAACTTGTGTGTTTTCAGCAGCCACCCACTGAATCCAAAAACAACAACAGGGAACAGTTGTTCTGTTCTGTGTTCCTGTAGAAATACAGCCGTGCACAATAACAGCCTCTGTGGGAGCAGACCTGCTCCTGTGGGAAAAAAAAAAGGCTCATTTTTAGTTTTTAAAAGACGGTTTCAATATTCAGGTGATTGTACACTAATAAAGACAGAGCCTTGAATACTATCCAGTTTATTTTTACTATTTTTGCTGCTGAGTTCTACGTACTGTACCTTTAAAATCAGATGGTTAAAGCTGACAGGAAGTTGACAGCTCTGAACTCAGACTGTATGACGACGCTGCCATGCAGGGGAGCTTCTCTTAAATCATGGAGCTTCAGGTAAATGAGTAGTGACACAGTCGGGTTCAGTCCCAGAAAGAAAAAGGTCACACTGGACCAGGTCCTGGTCTAAAGAATCTGGATAACCCATCTGACCTGCAAAATCAGAATCTGGTACAAAAACACGACTCCATGCATCCATCTTTGTTTGTCAACAGTCCGTACAGCAGGTGGAGGTGTGAGGTGTATGAGCTGCGCCCTGACTGGAGCTGACATCAGCCTCTTCAGGAAACACCAGATCTCCACGACGACGGCGCTCTCAGGGTTTGAGCTGCGTCTCTGACACACAGTCTTTCTCTCCTCCACAGTGAGCAGATCAGCAAGCGTCAGTCTCAGATCGATCGTCTGTACGTGTCTCTGAAGGACCTGGTGGAGGAGAGGAAGAGCCGCCTGGAGCAGCAGTACTGGCTCTACCAGCTCAACAGGGAGGTGGACGAGCTGGAGCAGTGGATCGCTCAGAGGGAGATGGTGGCCAGCTCACCTGAACTCGGTCAAGACTATGAGCATGTTACTGTAAGTGTGTTAACAGGAACATGTCACATGTACCCAGTCAGGTTAGGTCATGTTTTTATACAGTAGGAGGTTACAGAGCTCAGTAAATTATTAATATTTTAGCTGTAAACATGTTGGTAAAGAACGTTTACGAACCGACAAATGAAAGAAGACTCATCCCAATCTTTCTGCAGATTCTGCAGGAGAAGTTTACCGAGTTTGCTTCAGAGACCGGCAGTGTGGGACAAGAGCGAGTGACCGCCGTAAACCAGATGGTGGACGAGCTCATCGACTACGGCCACGCAGAAGCCGCCACCATCGCTGAGTGGAAGGACGGGGTGAACGAGGCCTGGGCAGATCTACTGGAGCTGATGGAGACCCGCGCACAGATGCTCGCCGCCTCGCACCAGCTTCACAAGTTCTTCTCAGACTGCCGAGAGGTGAGACACCTGAGGAGCACAGAGATATCGTACAGTCGTGTTAATGTGTCACTGTCTGTGAGGAATCCTTCATGTCCTCTTTCTGCAGGTTTTAGCTCAAATCGAGGACAAACATCGAAGGTTGCCAGAAGTTCGGGCTCGTCAGGGCAGCACCGCAAACACCAGCACCCTGCAGAGACTCCTACACAGCTTTGAACAAGACATACAGCTGCTGGTCACGCAAGTAAGTCAACAAGATCAGAGAGCATGTGAAATAAACTGAGCTCAATACATGAGTTCAACTCCATGTTATCGATCCAGGATTGGTTAAAAGTAACTTTGACTGGACTGATGAAAAGAAAACAGGATAATCACCAGTTCAAGTCGAACCTTCAAGTCGGCGTTTAGTTTGTCTTCATGTGGTCTCTGCGATGCACCTGGTGAACAGAAACAGCTGTTTTTTTCACCAAAGAAAGATCTCTGATAAAGCTGCTGTGATGAAGCTGATTTGCTGTAATAGCAAACTCACTTTAGGGTTATTTACTGTTTTCCTTTTTCTTTCTGTCTTGTTCAGTTTTCGTTTTCCTAAAATCTGCTCTCCCGTCTCTCCCAGGTGCGACAGCTGCAGGAGAGCGCGGCCCAGCTGAGGACGGTGTACGCCGGCGAGAAAGCTGAAGCCATCGCTTTCCGTGAGCACGAAGTGATGCAGTACTGGAAAGAGCTGCTGACATCCTGTGAGGACTGTCGGGTCCAGATTACCACCGAGACAGACAAGCTGAGGTTCTTCAGCATGGTCCGCGATCAGATCATCTGGATGGACTCGATCATCTGTCAGATCGGGACGGGAGAGAAGCCCAGGTACATCACGAAGAACAGAGACTCCAGTCTGTATCAGCTGCTCTGAAACCAAGAGGATGGGTGGGAACGTTAAAGTACTGTAACTGTAAACTGGTTTTATATCAAATACAGTTTGATATTCGGCGCTCGTTGTACAAGAGTCACATCAGGATTTTATCTCTGTTGATAAATGTCTGACTGATAGATTCAGCAGAAAGTTTCAGAGAAGTTGAGCTGCAGTTTTTTATCGTCTCATATCGAGTTTTAACAGTCTCACCAGAACGGATAACCAGATGTTAACACTGAACGGGGAGGATCTCTGTTTACTCAAATATCAGGCGTTTGGTTCTGAGGTGGTCTGAGATGGTTGAGTTGCTCAGAGTTTTACGGGTTTTTGTGTGGTCTTGGTCTCAGTGTGTGTCTGCTCGGTGCTTCTTGCAGGGACGTGTCATCAGTTGAGGTTCTGATGAATTATCACCAAAGTCTGAAGAGTGAAGTAGAGGCTCGCAGCCGGAGCACGCTGGAGTGTATCGAGATGGGGAAAACCCTGCTGGCTGCCAGAAACCCCGCAGCCGAAGAGGTGAAACCAAAATAAAATAATGATCAACTTTAATAACCAACAAACACGTCAGAGAAACAGGGAAAGGAATAGGTCACTTTCACTTTCCAAGGTTTTTGATTCAGGAGCTTAAATTCAAATTTAATGACATTAATGACAGCTGGACTGACAGAAGAGCAGGTCTGATGATGTTTTAAAAATGTGATTTCCAGATTAAAGAGAAGCTCGAAAAGGTTATTAACAAACAACGTGAGCTGTCTGAGAAGTGGGACAGACACTGGGAATACCTGCAGCAGTGTAAGTCCACACGAACACACATGAACACACACGAACATGAATCTGTCTGATGGAAGTTTCTTTGTTTTTATTGATAAGTTAATAATGATAATTTATTATTATATCAAATATTATTAATTTTGATAATTGATCATTTAATTTAATAAAAATTTTCTCTCCTCCTCAGTACTGGAGGTTCACCAGTTCGCCCAGGAAGCGGTGGTGGCCGAAGCGTGGCTGACGGCTCAGGAACCGTTCATCAGCAGCACGGAGCTGGGGGCGAGCGTGGATGAAGTGGAGCAGCTGATTCGTCGGCACGAAGCCTTTCGCAAAGCTGCCGCCACCTGGGAGGAGCGATTCAGCTCCCTGCGGCGACTTACCACGGTACCTCATCATGGATAGATAACACAGAAAGTCTTAAACTGGGATCAGACAGAGCTGTCTCTGAAAGATGAGGTCATAACAGGAAACAGCTGTTTGAGTTTGTGGTTCTTGGTGTGGTTCAGGTTTTGGTCGTCCCTCGCTCCTGCTCTCTGGTCTGAGTTAAATCTGGTTTTCTTTTTGTTCCTCAGGTAGAAAAGTTGAAAGCAGAGCAGAGCAAACTCCCCCCGACCCCCCTGTTGGGTCGTAAAGTCTTCCTGGACCCTCAAGATGCTTTACCCACGCCATCTACACTCCCCCGCCTCCCAATCTCCCCGGTAGCGAGACAGACCATCTATGAGCAGAACGAAGCCAGCTCTCCGCCCTCACCCTCACCCGCCACCCCGACTCCCTCCCCCTCGTCCGTGGCCCGTAGACTGGGGTCCACGGTCGCTAACTACACCCCTGTGATGAACGGATCCAGCTACCGCCACACCCTGGAGTCGCGACACGGGAACGTGGTTGGTGTTGCGGCGGGACTCGGCCAACCTTCACCTTCCTCGATCGCCTCGATAGCCACGGCAGCCATGTTAGTATCAGCCAATCAGGCGCGAGAGAGCACCAGTGCAGCGAAAGACCAGGCAGCGAAGGTAATGAGTCACCTCCAACCAGCACAGGCAGCAAAGGCAGTGGAGGTCAAAACATCCCCGTATCTACGGCAACCAAAAATCAAGCACCTGGACGACGCCGTGACACCGCTGCTGGTGGCGAGCCGGCTGGAGAAAGCGAGAGAGAGAGAGAGGGGGCGAGAGAGGGAGAGAGAGATCATGATGGGAGAGATCGGGACGGAGAAAGCAGAGGTGGCGGTGATGGCGGAGGTGGTGCTACAAGAGCCTGGCAGGGAGCGTCTGCACAGCGAGCCTACCAGAGGACCTCGAGGGTCCAGAACTGACCCTTTAGGGCACGCCGAGCCTCAGGTCCAGACCCACACCCACCACAGGGACCACAGGATAGAGAGGCAGCTGTCGAGCGAGCAGCTGATCCAGGCACGAAGGGATGAGCTCCCCCAGGAGGTGTGGAGGGAACATGCCGAGAGGAGGGAGAGACGGACGCTGGAGAGACAAACGTCCAGTGAGCAGGAGGGTTACGGGGGTCACGAAGGCCGGCGGAGAGAACGGGATCGACACCGACTGGAGAGACAGGAGTCCAGTGAGCATGACACCGGGAGAGAGCAGTCCGACCGACGCTCAGGAGGAGGAGGGTGAGAGTTGAGAGATATTTTCGACATGTTTGGGGGGCGGCATGTTTCAGTGCAACATCTCGATAATCAAATCTAGTTTTAGTCTGTCGTACATGCTGGGCTCTGAAGTTGGATCAGAGATCAGGACTGGTGTCTTTCTCTGATTCACAGTTCCCTCGGCCGAGAGAAGAGGTCCACGCTGGCAGAGATCGTAGAGCAGCTGCAGGAAAGAGAAGCAGCTCAGGTCTGTGGTTCAGTTTAGTCCAAAAACTGTATTTTCAGATTAATTTAAAACAAATCCACTCTCTTTGACTGAGTCCTGGTAAACCACCACATTACTTCACTGGTTTCCATCGTTTACCTTAAATCAGCTGACCTCTCAGCTGTACGGCATGGTGTATGACTGAATCCCTCATTTTTACCTGCTCTAAATAAACTCTGAGAACACTGACTGATCATCACCAAGAATAACACCTCCATCTCACTCCATCCACCCTCAGGCCCGTGGTGAGGTCCCCCGCCTGCCCAACGGGTTACCAGAAAAGTCTTCCCGTCCCGACCGGCCTAGAGCTCGGGACAGACCAAAACCTAGGCGGCGACCGCGACCCAAGGAGGCAGGAGAGACGACGCGACGGTCCAGATCTGCTCCGGCCCAGAGCAGCCCAGCAGTCCCCCAGCCACCAACCCACACCGCACACCACGAGGGCTTCCTTTTCCGCAAGCTGGACATCGAGAGCCTGAAGAAGAGCACCAATAGGTGGGTGTTCAGGGTCCTAATGAAGAGAGGATGCTGTCAAACAGGAGGAGGATGGTGCTCACTGGTGTCATGAGGATCAGACTCTAAGATCATCTTCATGTCTTTAAATAATTGGAGGTCATATGAAGAGTTGAAATTGGCAGAAAGGTCATTAGTTGGTTATTGGGGTTGAACCAAAAACAGGAACACGGTTAGTGAGCGAACACAGAAAGACAACAACAGAACTTCAGTCTAAACTGGACTTCTGAAAACCTCCAGGACTGAACCTCAATAAGAATTAAATCTTCACTCGTTCTGACGCAGTCCTTCTCCTGATGTCTGTTTCTCATGACATCACTTCCTGCGCCATCTAGAGGTTAATCGACTAAGGCCAGGGCATGACTCAAGCATGATGAGCTAACCTGCTCACACTCAGCGCTGGCACTGCGTCGGACATTTTCAACAGATGCATGACTGCGAGCGGCACAGATGACACATGGGCGGCCCCGGTGTTTTGGCGAAAGAGGCTGAAAATTAACGTATTCTAGGTGATTTATTGAAGAGTAGGCGTCCAATAAGGTTTCAGATCAAACAGATATCATTTAGGTTTTAGAGTTTAGAAGATAATCTCTCTTTGTCTTTGGTCTCAGTGTTTTTGTACGGAGGGCTGGGCGATTAAACAATAACAATTTATATCAAATATGAATTTCCCTTGATGTTGATATAAAACATGGTCAATATGCTTTTCAGTAGTCGGCCAATGAAAGCCAATGAAAAGGGGAGTGTCTCCGGGTCTGAACCAATCATGTTCTGAATTAGAACCAAGTATCAACCAACTGCAGCGTCGTAGCAGACAGCAGCTCCACCCAACCATAGCACTTTAACAGGTGAAGCCGACAGCACTGTTGGTGAGAAACAAAGAAAATGAGTGCTACCCCCGACAGAAATGACCATGAAGGCTCAACAGATGACCACATCAATGTCAACCACAACACTGGCGTTAGGAAAACGTCGGTGGTGTGGAGGTATTTTGGTTTTTGGAGGTCGGACATGAAGCAGAGTAATGTGGACTGTAAATTATGTCGAGTACATGTTAAATGTCATTTAAAAGTAACAGGGAACATTTAAGATTAAAAATTGAATTTTTTTCTATATCGTGATATCGATATCGACTGACATGAAAAAAATATATTGTGATAAACTTTTTCCCATATCGCCCAGCCCTAGTCATAAGTCTTAATTCGAGCTGTTTTAATTGGCAGAAACAGACCGTCAATCATTTACACTGTTTGAAGTGGTTAGGTAATGTTTGTTTGTTTGTTTGTTTTTGGTTCAAAAGAAATATTTTTCAGCTCAAACCGACAAAAATTCAGTGTTTTTTTTTTAAGTAATCGACCAGTCAGTCTGTCTGTAAGAGAGTTAATGATCTGTGCAGAGATCCTGTCGGTCCATCAAACTCTTCTGCTTTAATTGTGTTGCTTCTGTCAGCTGATTAAAAGTACTGCTAATTAGTATAAAGAGTACCAGAAAGTGAAACGCTGGAATGGTCCACCAGGTGGCAGTAGAGGTCGATTAGATCTTCCTGTGTTGGACTGGAGTTTATGAATATTTGATCTGTGTCATCTCTGATCATCAGAAGAACCGAGACCAGCCAGCCTCGAACATCCTAGTGCATGTCAAAGCAGAGTGCATGATGCTTACAGAGCGAGCCCACAGAAAAACGCAGAGACCTCGGTCAGCTGACTGATGATGATGATGAAAGGGTGGAGCTTCTTGAAGCTTTGGATGGCGCTTAGCCTGCATACACGCGCACACACACAGGGAACACACACACACCACTTCACCTCCACAGATGATCGCCCTGCTTCCTCCTGAGAGACGCCAGCAGCTGTCTCTCTCTCCCTGCACTGCCCTCTAGTGGCCGGGCTGACCTCGCACAGCTAAACACTCATCCCCTTCCAGCTGTGGAAGAGTCCCTCTCACCTGCCTGTGCGAGGCGATGGATGAATGTCTCGTATGTACATGCTCTGTTATGTACATGGCAAGGTAAAGCACAAACCTGAATGGCTTCAATCCGGACAAGTCTGAATCTCTACACACCCCCGAGTTCGGCTGATGTGCGCTCTCTCTCCTCGTCCTTAAAGCTCAGATGTGATCGGAGGAAAGTCTGAGGGCGACCCCTCAGGATCTTCCTTCAATTAAATCTGAGACAGAGAGGACACAGTCAGCCTGTGAGGACGAACTGAGGTTCAACTTGTCTCTGTTACATAGCTACATGAAGAGGCTCTGAGTATGTTTATGTGCACATGAATATTGGGGTATTATTCAGAACTACCAACGGTTCCTAATGTGGGTAGGGTGCATGTGAGCGGTGTGTCTGACTCTCACAGTTTCTTCTGCGGATGAACTCGTCTCTTCGTTAACTCGGTGAAATGATCGGAAAATTAGAAACATCCTGAATTTTAAAAACCATGTAAATCTACAGTCCTGGTTTTTGGTCAAAGTCCCGGTTGACGATCTGATCTTCAGTTGAAAAAAACTGACCCGTTGAGGCAGATTTGAGAAAAGCGTCCCACCCCCCCACACACAAACCCCTCCCCTCTGTGCTCCACCATAACTCCGCCCCCTGAACCTGTATCCCCTCCCCACGACACACCCCCTCTGACAGAAGATCCTACGCTAGCTTCAAATAGGATCCACCATGTCGGATTGTTAGTGGCTAGCAGCAGTAAACGCCAGCTCTGCTAGCGAGCGCCGTCTGCAGCTACCGTGTTGACATGTCAGAGACTAATCAGAGTTATTTCTGTAACATGAGCCACGATGAAAGGAGGTAAAAATGACCTGTTCAACTAAAACTCTGCTGTCTCGGCGTCTGTTTTCTCCACCGCTCCAAGGATGACCCGATGGTTATTCTCGTTAGATTCGTTGCTTGGTCACATTTCCTCTTTGACTCCACCCTTTCTTCTGTCTGCTGTTTTCTTCCCACTTTTGGCGGTGGGGCGAGCAGAACAGTTTTTTTTTGCGTCCTTCTCCATCACAGCTCCTGTAGCTAAGCTGCTACGCTACTTTTAGCCGCTCAGAGATCTGAGGGAGGGCCGGGAGGGGACGAGTCAGAACTACAGCAGAGGGGTGTGTCGAATACAGCGAGGTGATTGGATGGAGAGGCGGAGCAGGAGATTGACCAATAGGAGCTGTCCGGGACGGATGGCTCCCATTGGTCTATCACCTGATCGGATGAACAGATTTTTTCCGTTCTTTTTTCTCTTCACTTTGTAGAGATCGCACTATAGGACCATGATCACCATGGAAACGAGGTTCATAATAATTAACTGCTGCCTCTCCAACCTCTCCAATCATCATCCATGACTTTAAGTGTCGCGTGTATCAGCTTGGATCAGGGCGTGCACAGTGCCGTTGAGAGGAGTCCATTAACTCTACGAAGAATCAACATTAGGCCTTTAACTTTTATGGCCAGTAAACATTTGTGGCGTCCGTTTTAATCCACGGTGTATGGATGTGTCCGACCTTCAGAGTTTAAATGTGAAAATAAATGAAGTTGTTATTAAAAGTCTTTGTGGTAAAATCGACCATTTCTAACATCGTCTTCTGATAAAGTCGAGTGAACACGTCAAATCTGATTCGCTCTTTTTTCATTGACCTTCTTTACCGTCTCTGTAGGATCGATCTGTCCACACCTGATCACCTGCACCTGTCTTCAGTTTTTGATCCCGTTTTAGTTCACAGAGGGATTTTGAGCGCCGTCTCTGAATAATACCTGTATCTGGACCGAATGTTGTGTGCATGTAAACACGCTGACTCAGAGAAGATGCATGAACGTTGGACTTGGAGTTTGTTGTCTCCATGATGTCATTTAACCAAACTCCTCCTCTTTTCTCCTCCTCTCTCTCTGGTGCTCCTGGCTGCTCCTCGTGTCTCCTCTAAGGTAAGTCATATGTCAGACCAACACACACACACACACACACACACACACCTTCGTAGCCTCCCCCCTCCCCATCCCTCCATCCCCACCTCCTCCTCCGTTTGTGCGTGCGTCCGTCCGTCCGTCTGTGTTTGTTCAGCAGTGTGTTTCCTCCCTTCTTGGCGCCGGTCCATCCTGCCTACCCACCTGTCTGCTCTGGTCAGGTGAGTGAGGTGTTAGCCTAGCGAGAGAGACTCTGCTGCTCCCTCTGACTCCCCAAATCTCCCCCCAACCACCGCCACCCCACCTCCCCCTTACTGCTCCACTCCACCTTCCCCCTCCTTCTCCCCCACTCTCCCTCCTCTTCATACCACCCACCTCCCCCCACCACAGCAGGTCATGGGTCAACCTGTACTGCGTGCTGAACAAAGGGGAGATGGGTTTCTACAAGGACGCCAAGAACACCACCACGCCCTACAACAACGAGCCGCTGCTCAACCTCTCCCACTGCCACTGCGACGTCACCAACGGCTACAAGAAGAAGAAGAACGTCTTCACGCTCAAGTGAGGAGCTCCTCAAGTCTGAATGTTTATTTTCTACAGATTGGAACGAAAGTCTCAAACAAACGTGAATTTGATGTTAGATTAAACTGATGCAGACTGAGTTTATTTCCACAAACAGATCACATGACCCAGCCTGAGGGCGGAGTCACTCCTTTGTTGGTTCGGTTTCTTGGTTCAGCTGACAGGATAAAAACATCCTGAATGAATAAAAGCTCAACTTAAAGTTGTTGTAGTCAGGATCTGAGTTAGCTCCAGTTTTTAGGAGAAATCTTGAATTTAAACTCTACCCCTCCCAACCAGTTTTCCCCTCAGCTCCTCCTCTCTCTCTTAAGCCCCGCCCACAAACAGACGCTCCTGCTCGCTCGTATCGTTCCAATTAAATTCCGTTATAATGCAGATAAATACTTCAGATCATTACAAATGGGGCCCAGTCAAGGTGAAAGTCAAAAGCATTGGTGCTACTGTAGATGCCAACAGACTACCAGCAAACACAATGTTTGCAGGACTTCTACAACGAGGATAAAGTGACATAGTCCAGGACCCGAGGGAGGACAGTTTAGCGATGGCGCTACAACACGCTACAGCAGGTCCGTTTGACAAGAAACACTTCTGTTACAGACACTTGTCTTACTTTGTTAAAGCGGTTTACCTGTCCAGCAGAAAGGTTACAGGGTCACCAAGATCCCCAAGCGTCCCCCATCGTTTATGTTGACCCGGCTTTTTAGCTCTTATCCGGTCTACCTCCGTTTTAAGCGCCCGTTATTCCTCCAGAGTCTCCGGTATTTACTTTGTTTTCTCGCTTGTGTCGGCAGTCGTGGCCAAAGGAGGATTCAGACAATTTTCCGAACTTTCTGGTTGGTTTCTACTGTCCGATATTGTAGCACGCTAACTTTGTTTGGGCTCCTGAACGACACGGGGGAGCAGCGTCTGCCTCACAACCAATCAGGTTAGAGGAGGTGGAGAACGGCTTTGTTTACCGTCAGAAAGAGCGGACCGCTCAAAAATGTTCAAATGTTGACGACACAGACATGAGAGAACACAGAGATATCGATATATTACCAAATGTAATCAATAACTAATAACTATTGACTGATATTAAAAGGTTTTTTGTAAATACACCAAAATTAAAAGATGCTTCTTGAACAGATTCCTGACTACACCACCTTTAACAGTTTGAGGTTGTTTTTAGGGGTTAGGAGTGACTTCACCCTGAAAGTCAGAAAGTCTCAGCTTCCATACTTTTCCAATAAATATCAGTTTTTAGTCCTTTAGCTTTCCTAAACTTTTATAACTCTGAGTACAAACAGATTATTTGTTTTTAAAACTGTTGGAAGTCAAATTCGTGTTTTTCTTGTCGCAGGACTAAAGACGGCAGCGAGTTTCTGTTTCATGCAAAAGATGAGGTGAGACTTTTCTGTCCTTGTGATGGTGTCCTGGTGTAACCAAAGAAACCGCAAAAGTCTGACCTCCCCGTCTCCCCCCGCAGGAGGACCTCAAATCCTGGGTCACAAACATCACCACCAGTATAACAGAACACGAGGAGATCGCCAAATGGGGCCAGCCCCAACCAACTACCTCATCAACCGACGAGGGCACGCGTCGAGACGGCAGCAAGGCAGACAACAGGTCGGACCGAGGCGGCGAGCGCTCTGACAGGGCCGATCGCATCGAGCGAGCGGACAAAGAGAAGGAGAAAGAGAGGGAAAGAGAGAGAGAGAAGGAGAGGGAGAGAGAGAAAGAGAGGGAGAGGGGCGAACGATCAGAAAGGTCCGATCGAGGCGGGAAATCAGATGCAAAACGTTCAGAAAAGTCCAGTAAGAAAAAGTGAGCCGGACATCAAACTTGTTGGGATTAAAGTGTCTGAACTCCAGATAGAAAGGAGGCGGGGCCAAAGACTGGTGGGTAACGCCCCCTCCTTCTCTCCACCTCCAACACTGTCAACAAAGAGGTCGTGTTTGGATCGAAAGTAACACACAGGACCGAAGGACTGAACCGAGCTCACTCATTGGACGGACAGGATGGATTCTCTTCTTCTGTGTTTGGGTGAGAACACAGAGTTTACCTATGCCCCCTGGTGGCAGTTTCCGAGAACTGCAGGGGAGTTTTGTGCTGCTGAGCCCCTGGTGGCGTCACTGCAAGAGAAAGAGAGAGAGAGAGAGAGAGAGAGAGAGAGACAGGAAACGCATCATTTGAACTGAACGGCTGATAGTGCGAAACCGTAGCTCATTTGTTTCATGTTTGTTTTTTCTATGAGATGAGCTGTACCTGTATGTATCCTTGTCCGTCTGTCCTAACTACTGTATCTATCCGTCCGTCTGTCTGTGAGTCAGGACATCATCTACACACCGTCTCTATTACTCCTCAGAAACTGAAAGAGAACGAACCCAAATGTTTCTCCACGGTCCTTCAGACTCAGAGGAACATTTCAGTTCACGGTTTTCTTCACTTTCTTTCTCCGGTCCGTCTTGAGCTCTGGCCCAACAGTAACACAGGACTGAAGCTGGTTTTACTCTGACCCCAAACCACACTCAAGTTACATTTATCCACAAGCACCATGATGGACGAATGACCACAGCGTGACAGCGACAGTTTATGACTGATTTTTTATGATGAAGTAGGAGATGAGAAGAGTCAGAGTCAAAGCAATCAGGACAGAGAAGAAGAAGAAGAAGAAGAAGAAGAAGGAGTAAATGTTTAATCACTGCCCTGAAAAATAGCAAAGGGCTTCTCATTTCAAACCGGTGAATGATCATCGCTTCAGTCCTCCTAGACGTCATGTTGGGATCTGTCAGAGCAACTCTCCGTTATCTACGAAGGGTTGATTTAAGTGTGGGAGGTTTCAGGTCAGAAGATGTTTCACCTGCAGACAGGACGGTCTCAGCAGCGGTCTGTTGGTGGAAACTAAAGCGTATGGATGAGTGATCAGGAGGGGGTTAAAAACTAGACTGAGACCTTCGGGGCCTCATTCACTAAAATGATCTTCAGCTCTGACTCGGCTTGTGTGAAAAAATCTAACAGAAATTGAAGCATTCGTCAATTAAACGGCGTTTTGTCGATGTTTTATATGTGACGGGATCTGCCCCCCACCAGGATCTATTTTTCAAAACGTCATTGTCGGCTCGGTCATAAGCACAACTTCAGCGCGGCGAGATTTTTAATGAATGAGGTCCCGAGGATTCAGTCGGCGTCATCGACTCTGATTCTCATACAACTTCAGCCTGCTGTCACAACCATCCTCTGAACACAGGAAGATTAGTTATATTTAAGTGTGTGTGTGCGTGCGTGTGCGTGTGTGTGTGTGTGTGCGCGCGCTCGTGCATGTTTGTGCTGCTGCTCTCTGCTCCCAGGGTCTCCATAGCTCTCAGGTTATTTATGTTCGTATGTGCTCGCAGTGTTTCACATGTTCATATGTTTGTCCCACATATGACACCTCAGTCTTCCAGACATGTCCGATCGCCCACACACACACACACACACACACACACACACACACACACACACAGATATTGTGAAAGGTCCCTCAAATGATCAGATCAACATCCAGTGATAGCAAAACAAGAATGAAAGGAAGATATGATGAATAGTTGGACAAACTAAAACGATGAAGATCCAGATTCTCAGATCCAGATTCTCAGATCCAGGTTCTCCGATCCAGGTTCCCAGACTGACCAAACATGATGAAGAAAAGGTTCGAAGGGTCTGGCGGTTCTGAGGCGCATGTTTTGCTCGGAAAGAAATCACTCGTCACATCAAGCTTGTCTTTGCAGCTCACCGACTCGACATTCACTCATCAGTTTAAAGTCACCATGAAGCCATAGATGACGGAGGAGGAGGTCTAGATGAAGAGGCTGAGGGTCCTGGGGGTCTTCTGAAGGTATAAATGCAGCTGGACTAACTGAAGTCACTTTGATGCCCTGTTAGAAGCATCACAGTCAGGAGCGGGTCAGACAGAATTTAAAATCACGCTGAGAAGTTTTATTTCAGTTTGTAGTTTCGATTCAAGTCCGTCTAAACGTCCCAAACACACGTCCGCTTTTTGACTTACAGATAAATCTAAGAGGTGGAGATGTTGATCAGATTCATGAACTGGGGCATGATGGTCCTTGGAGTCTTTTTCACTTGTCTCGCTCAGCTGTTTGTGGTAATAAGCTCGTTAGTGCCCCCTGAGGTCAGAAGGTTAAACACACCTTTTTGTGGTGGTTTGTTTGACCTGCAGGTGCAGGAAGGGGGCGCGTGTCTGCAGAGAAGGATCAGCATGTCTGGGACTCCAATGACAAGACCCTGGTTTTTTGTTAGGGTATCACTTAGTGCTCACTGAGGACCACATTTATGGTCTCCCTCTGGGTCCCAGAAATGTGATCTTAAACCTGCAGACTCTGGTTCTGTTCACACTGCTCAGGGGGGTCACACTGAGCCAGTTTTACTAAAACTTGAGTTTAGTCTGGTGGTCCAACTCTGACCAAAAAAGACTCTAAGGATGGTGAACTTCCTGCCCCCTTCCAGAAGCGAGGGTCAGCCTCCTTGAGCTAGTTTGGGGGCTTTTACATGATCAGCTGGTGGTCACCACACTTCATTACCACTGCTACAAAAACCTGGTCTTGCCGTGACCTGTAGGATTAAAGGGATATTCCGGCATAAAATTAAGTCAGGATTAAACCCACCGTAACACTGAGTCAGACCCCCCCTCCAGAGATGAATGTTGCAGACCGCTTGCTTCTCTAGTTATACCAACTTTAGTAACGACCGCAGGATAGAAATACAGAGAGACACGCCCTCAACCAAAACGCCACTCTATAGCCACAAATAATGCTCAGAACAGCACCTAACTTCATCAACAGGACATATAGGGTCACAGACATAGTACTAGACACCAAACATCTTTTTAACTTTGACTCATTTCTTTAGCAAAGAGACTAAACACAACTCACCTACTCTCTTCCAGCAGACGCTTGTTTGTGGGGGAGCCCTGACGGTGCAACAGAGTTTCGCAGCTCAAGGAAGAACATTTATGATCATTTCTACAATACAATCAGATTGAGACGCTAAGGCAGAAGAAACTACGGCGTCTGCACAGTAAAATTATGACATCAATGAGATGATAAAGAAATGATCGTAAATGTTCTTTCATAAATGGTGTCTAGTACTATGTCTGTGACCCTATATGTCCTGTTGATGAAGTTAGGTGCTGTTCTGAGCATTATTTGTGGCTATAGAGTGGCGTTTTGGTTGAGGTTTGTTTATGGCTCCTCAGACCGCTGTGTGTTACGGTGGGTTTTTACACCGGAATATCCCTTTAAGTAGGGCTTTGAATACTTTTGCCTCTCCTGCAGATCCTGGAGCTGTAACTGCCAGCAGCTGTCAATCAAACACCAACTCATGAAAAGGGGGCGTGTCTAACATTTTCCCAAACATGTTTTCTTTCTGTGGTTATGAAAGGTAGAGGTGGTTCCCTTTGACGAACAGAGACAGACATTTTCTCCGAGCAGCCCGAGAACCTGTCGGCTCAGTTTTAGTCCAAATCTCCAAGAGTTTATTTTCCTGGTTGATCCTATTTTTGTTTCTTTAAAGTCCAAAATTATCACCATGAAAGCAATATCACATCTTCCCATGTTTTCACCGAGGGTTTTAAATTCTGTCTGACCTGTCCGTCCACTAAATGTGTATCATAAAACATGTCTTAAAAACTGTTCCTTTTTTAAATCTTGTTTTATCTCCACACACTTTATGCATCTTAACCCAGTGTGAATGCCAGATCAATGCAATCATTTACATGCATGATGGACACAACAAACAAAGTTAAAGATGAATTTTGAATGAGCAAACCTTGAGTGTGAAGGGACAGTGCTGTCCTCTGCTGTGGGATCATGAATCTGACAGCATCATGAACGGACACACTCTCCGATTTTAGACACATGCAGGGTACCGCCGGGAGGAGTCATCATAGAGGAGGTCGTCTGTTTGCAACAGATGAGCGGACTCTACATGTTTTACATCTGGACAGACTGAAGTGCATTGACGCTCTGGATGAGCTGGTTCGTACCCTGCCTGTCTGTGTGTCTGTGCTGTTCTGGTCACATCAACCTCAGTCTGTGGGCGGTGATGAAACGATGAATAAAATACCTTTTGGTTTATCATGAATCTCTTTATAGTTGGTGTTTTCTTTCCTCGCTTGACCTGGATGTGCAGTAAGTAAGTTTGCTCCTCTCTAATTTAAAAACGACAAAATGTTTGTTATGAAAAAAATCATCCTCCTGGAAACTCAGGAAGGGACAGACAGTTTGAGTGAAATCCTGCTCTGGTTCAATTTTACTGAGCTGCAGAAACGTCTCTGTTTTAGTAACCATTTCATCTGTCACTCCTATTATCTATGACACTAAAATCACTCCGCTGTGTGCAGTAATATCAGATATAATCTTTAGAGTCGTACAGGAGTCTGTCTAATGAGGAAAACGTGATAATGATGAACTAAGACTTCATACAAACTTTGATTTTTACTCAGGACTTTGGTCTGCGGGGTCGTTGAGGTCAGTGGTGTTGGTGGTCCAGCAGAGGAACTTCAGATCCAGAGAAGCTGAATCAGGTAGAAGAGGTTCACCTGGAGGACTTTTTAACCTCTTTTCCTCCTAATCCTGACCGATGGCGTGGAGCTCATGAGGGTTTAAATGAGAACAGACTGAAACTAGGAGACAGCAGCAGTTTTAATAACAGATAAAATCATTCTGTCAGTAAATGTTGAAAGATTTGCTTCTGTTTTTTTTTTGTTTTTTGTTTTTTTTTCCAGACATTAGTTTTTTCGTTTTTATTGACAGGACAGTTTAGGAGAGGGAAACGCACCAAATCATGACAGCATCAGGAATCTATATCATGACCGGAGGACTGTGGCCTCTGATGAGGGGGTGAGTGTTTCAATGATCATTACAGATTCAGTTTATTTTAGCCTGCTGATTTAAGGGCCCTGTGCACAGTGGTTATTGTCCTCATCACAGCAGTTGCTGGTCTGTTTCCTAACCTCGACCTTTCCTGTATCTAATCTGTCTGAAATCTATCAAATCTAAAATCTAACAGATTGATAAGAGTGTTGCAGTTCAGTCAGAAACACAAACTGTGATTACACAAATTATAAACATCATTTAAAACTTAGAAAATAAGAAATTTAAACCAAAGTTGGAAACTGTTAACGTTTAAAAAACATGCTAATAATACATCACAATAATAAAAATACATGACACTAAATTATATCGATATATGAAACCCAAACTTACATTAATTCATGTTATTCCTGTTTTTAAGCATCGTGCAGTCAATTCTGGAGTATTAGTAAAACTAAGAGGTTGACCTTTGGCACAATAATAATTTGATTATAGTCAAATTTACAAATGATGAATTTTTCAAGTCTCTCCTGAATTTAAAGCTCTTAAAATGACTAAGTATCACGAATATTATGGGAAATATTTACTTGTTACACAGTCTTGTGCAGCAGGTGGCGCTGTGGACCATAGTTGGTTATTCATACGCCCTACTGGTTCAGCTCGGACACATCCTCAGTGATGATGAACCCAGGGTCACGGGGTGTTTTGGGTCTTGGATCGTCATAAACCCTCACCTGGGCGACCCAGACGGAGTTGATCAGTCCCTTGCTGCGTCCGAACTGCCCGCTCGGATACTACATGCTACTGCTACGTGCTACTGCTAGATCCTACTCCTACATACTAAAAACGTTGGCCCAATTCGGACACACTAGACGAGCGGTGGGGAAAGACGACCCCCGCAGGCAGAGAGTAGGTACTGCGCCCGTGCAGACAGTGGTAACTGAAGCCCCTCATCTGTGGGCCTGGCTGTAGTACTGCAGCTGTGCAGTTTAATGATGGAATAAGTGAGCTTTACCTCCATGATGTCGCCACTTGTTCATAAAATGATTACTTGGGCAAATATGACACCATGACATGACAAAGAGATACAACCGCACTTTTTTTAGGACAGTGTGTGAAGTTACATGAAACTTACATCTGTACTGCTGCGGACCCGCCTGCTGCTGCTGCTGCTCCGACATGGTGCACGCTGCTGTGGTCAGCCAGCGTTCGCGACACTTTTAAATAGGCAGAGCAGCTGGTGGCGCTAGCATCACATGCGCTTCTACAACCTTTAACAGGACGAAGAAGAAGCCCGCGGTGCATTTTGGGTCAGTAGCATGCCCGTAGGATGCACCGAGACCAACCTACAATGTGGGCGTGTCTAGCATCTGAAGTAGTATCTGAAGTAGCATGCTACTCGCTCCGGTGGCCAATTCGGACATGCTAGATACTACTTCGACTACTACTTCGACTACTACTTGGCAATTCGGACGCAGCTCCTGACTTGTGTCCGAGCAGCGCTACACCCTGCATCAGCCCTCTTGATATTTCACACATTTTACTTTTACTCTCAGGTCTCATTTATGGTTTAATAATTGTGTTTGTTCATCCAAACTGGAGGGAATCGATTATTGATGAACACAAAGATGATATGAGAACAAAAACATGTAAAGAGACGGAAAATAATGTCTACTAATATAAAATAAGGTCAATTTACCTCCAGTCAATATTTACAATCACTTCAGAAACTGAAGATGAAAACGGATGAATTAAAAATAATCAAGTGAAAGAATAAAGCTTCAGATTTTTGTTAAAACCCCAAACCCTGTCCTCCTCCTCCTCCCTTCACCTCCATCTCTCCTCACTTCTCTTCCTCTCCCTTCAGTTTATATTCGGTCTCTAACGGTGCAAAGGAAAGAAAAAACCTTTGGGTTTAATCTGAACTTCTGACTGATCTACTCTCACACATGGGCTGTGTCTCATTTCAGAGACCGCATCGACTTAAGTGCCCTTCTGCACCGTCGAACGGTGCATTTGAAGTGTGCATGACGTCACGACGGTGCGAACGGTGTCCCGTTTGGCACGAGATGCTAAAAAATGCTAAGCGCGCTTAGCATGTTTTCAAGCGTGCATTTATCCACGCTTTCGTGCCGTCGGTATCCCAGAATCCTTTGCGTGCCGCTGCACAGCTGCGCATTTCAGGTGAGAGGCTGGACTCGCTTGGAGACGCAGCGGGTCTTCAAAGAAATTACAAGCAATCCGAAAACAGCAGACAGTCAGCTCAGGCTGTATGAGAGCATGATCTCTGAACTCACTAAAATCTGTAAACCAAACATTATAGATTTAGAGACGAACTGATCCGCTCTGCTTCAACAGTCAAAAACATTAGAAATAAGAAAGCTGACAAAACTACAGCAGAGTATCAGGACAACATTGATTTTTTTTTCTTTTAAGATTTAGAGATTAAAGTTGTAAATTTAGGAGAATAAAGTCATAAAGTAAATAAAGTCATAAAGCTGCTTTTGTGGAGGGGGAAATGACTGAAGCTGGTCATCTGCAGGGTGATCTGTGGATGTATCAGCGGGTCATTCAGAGAGATTTTGTGGTTTCTGAAGAAACAATCAAACTGATGATGATCAACATTTGTGATCCAGAGGGAGTCGAGCTCCGACGAGCACCACGTCTCTGACACCGGCCGTAGCCTACACCTGCAGAGACACCAACACCTTATTATGGCATATGGATTCATATCATAAATTAAAGCTCAATGTCATTCACAGATATTTACGGCTGCATTGACAGATATATCCTCAGCATATTCATTTCTGCCTCCACAAAAGCAGCGATTTCCTTCAAGTACACCAGTTTTTTTCCCCGTGGAAAAGACGTATTTCTCATATATTCTTTTTTTAAAGTCTTTATACTTATGACAATGTGATGCTGATGTGCCAGAGGATGAAGTATCTCCTATCCTCCTTCTCAATAGGGCCCTCATACTCCTTCATACAAAACAATCATTGGATGAATTTTGTGGGAATGATCTGTGCTTGTATGTATCTACTATTTTGTGTCTGTGCAAGGTCGCACAATTAAAACAATACATGCTGCGCTCCGCAGCTTTTTCTAATCAGTCGTGACGTAAGCCTGAGGGCGGGGACATTTGGAGACCTTCGGAGGACTTCCTGGTGGAGTTGCCAAATGTCCCCGCCCTCAGGCTCGCGTCACGACTGACTTAAAGGAAACCCGCGGAGCGCAGCATTTATTGTTTTAATTGTGCGACCTTGCACAGACACAAAATAGTAGATACATACAAGCACAATTCATCCAATGATTGTTTTGTAAGAAGGAGTATGAGGGCCATATTGAGATTTAAGACTTTAAGGACTTCGAGATTTAAGTCGTGAATTTACGAGAATAAAGTCATTAATTTATGAGAATGAAGTCATAACCTGTTATTTCAGAGAGACTTGTTAAAATTAGGGCCATGAAGCATTTGAAGGAACTGTGCTTCAGTATAGGTTTCACAAACAAGGAGATTCTTCATCCTCTGGCACATCAGCATAACATTGTCATAAGTATAAGAATTTGGATACACCTGCTGGTGCTACTTGGACACGTCATCAGTGAAGTACCCGGGGTCATAGGGTGTTTCGGGTCTTTAATCTTCATACACCCTCACCCGGGCTACCCAGCCGGGGGTGATCAGTCCCCGACTTGTGTCCAAGTGGCGTGATGTTCCACGGATCCCCCCTACGGATCCACAGCCACCGCGAGGCCCTTTCTGCGGCCTCTAGGATGTTTCTGATGGCTTTCTTCAATCGCAGTCCTTTTACTCCAAGGAGTTTGAGGGTTCTCAGAAGTGATTGGCCAGCGAAGCCTCGGCTCCCGACCTCGACTGGCTCACAGCGGGTTTTCCAGCCATTGTTCCGGCACTCTGTGCTGAGCTCTGCATACTTGGCTCTCTTGTGCTCGTGGGCCTCTTCGATCCTGTCTTCCCAGGGGACTGTTAGTTCCAGGATGACTACTTGTTTGGTGGACTCCGATGTTAGTACCACATCTGGGCGGAGAGAAGTAGTTGTGATGTTGACTGGGAACTTAAGCTGTCTTCCGAGGTCGACTTGAAGCTGCCAATCACGAGCGGTGGTAAGGAGCCCCCCTGTAGAGTTGGGATGGTGATGTTGTGCCTTCTGCCCTGCTCTAATGAATGTGATTGCCTGTTTGGGGGCTGCCTGGGTCTTGCTGTGCTGGATCGCTGTGCTGATGGTTTCTGCCAAAGCTTTTAGGACTTGGTCATGGCGCCAGCGGTACCGCCCCTCTCCTAGTGCTTTAGGGCAGCAGCTTAAGATGTGCTCCAGGGTGCCCCTCTTCTGGCACAGTTTGCACTCAGGAGTGTCTACTAGTCCCCAGGTGTGTAGGTTGGCCGGGCTTGGGAGGACGTCATACACTGACCGGATGAGAAACTTGGTGCGAGATGGTTCTGCTTTCCAGAGCTCTGCCCAGGTGATTCTGCGGGAATCAGCCTGTTCCCACCTGGTCCACGCTCCTTGTTTGGACATGCCAGCGATCTTACTGCTGCGTTCTTCCTCCACCTCTGCACGTATCTCGTCCTGGATCAGTCGGCGCTTCTCCTCTCCACAGGCCAGATCATAACGCGGCTTAGGAAAGGAACCAAGACCTGCTCGTCCCGTTGCCACAGAGCCCACCAGCACTTTGTGCCTCAGTCGCAACTCGGCTCTAGTGACGGCTTCTTGTGCCCGCCACTTCCTCCCGGTTTTCACGAGGATTCCTGCTGCTGCGACTTTGGTGTCTGCGGAGTCCCTGTACATCATCACCTCTCTGGAACGGGTGACTTTAAATTCCTCTGTTAGTCCACTAAAGGGAAGGTGCAGCTTGTTGGAATGGCCGTACAGGGCGATGCTGCTTAAGGACCGAGGGAGCCCCAGCCATCTCCTGAGAAACTGGCTGATGGACTTCTCTAGAGCCTCTACCGTTGATATGGGTACTTCGTAGACTAACAGGGGCCAGAGTATTCTTGGCAGGACTCCATGCTGGTAGATCCAGGCTTTGAATTTTCCAGGGAGGCCAGATTTGTCAACCGCTGTGAGCCAGGTGGACAGCTCACTCTTGGTTTGCTGTATGGCAGCTGAGTCCTTCAGGGAGCTGTCGAAGATCTTGCCCAGACTCTTGACCGGTTTCTCGGTCACTGATGGGATCCTGGTCTCTCCCAGGGCAAAGCGGAACTGGTCGGACACTTTACCCTTTTTCAGGACCAGGGACCTGGACTTAGCGGGCTTGAAGCTCATCCTTGCCCAGGAGATGAGCCTTTCAAGCCCCTGCAGAAGCCACCTGCACCCTGGAACAGATGTTGTTGTCACCGTTAAGTCATCCATAAAGGCTCTTATGGGGGGCTGCCGAGTCCCAGATCTTGATTTGGGCCCTCTGCATTCCACTTCGGCAGACTTAACGATCCAGTTCATGGCCAGTGAGAAGAGGGTTACCGATATGGTGCAACCGGTGATTATCCCTTTCTCGAGGCGATGCCAGGCAGATGTTACTTGGCCTGAAGAGACTCGTGAGCTAAAGTTGTCGTAATAGTCCATGATGAGTTTGCGGATTTTGTCTGGAACATGGTGTCTTCCTAGTGTGGTTTCGACAAGCTTGTGTGGGATAGATCCGTAAGCGTTGGCCAAATCAAGCCAGAGGGTTGCCAGGTCTCCTTTGCTCTCTCTTGCCTCCCGGATCAGCTGCGTCACCACACCCGTGTGTTCCATGCATCCAGGCATTCCTGGGACTCCTCCCTTCTGGACTGAGGTATCAATGTAGGTGTTCTTCAGGAGGAAGTTTGTCAGACGCTGGGACACGATCTTGAATAAGATCTTGCTCTCGACACTGAGCAGCGAGATGATACGAAACTGCTCAATTTTGCAAGAGCCCTCCTCCTTCGGGATCCAGACTCCCTCAGCATACCTCCATTGTGCAGCGACCTTTCCTCTCCGCCAGATCACCCTCAGGATCTTCCAGAGACGTTTGCGGAGCTGAGGGCACTGTTTGTAAACTTTGTAGGGAACACCGCTGGGGCCAGGAGCAGAACTGGATCTCGCAGCTCTGACAGCTTCCTCTACCTCCTTCAGGGTGGGCTCAGCACTGTTGAATTGGGTCCCTGGTTTTGGTGGTTCCACCAGTTCCCTACAAGGTCCGAGCTCGTGGTCCCTCATGGCGTCACTGAAGGTGGCGTGGAGATGATGGTCGATCTCCTCTACAGGGCAAGCGAGGTGGCCGCTTCGCTTCTGGCCCAGTAGTTTCTTGGTAAAGCCGAAGGGATTGCTGATGAAGGCGTTGCGTTTCCGAGCCCTTTCCTTCCCTTTCCTTCGGTGCCATTCTGCCCTCCTCAGCGAGATGAGTCTCTTCCTTATGATGTTTGTGAGTTCTGTCAGGGCACTTCTTTTCGTCTTCCTTGGCCGTCTTGAACTGACGTCTCAGGGATTTTAGCTCTTGTCTCAGCTGACTGATCTTGGATTCTCGCCGGTTTAGCTTTGCTGGATTATTTGCGCTGCGTTTTTCAATGATGCCAAACCGCTCTGCTCCCATGTTCATTATGATGGTACACATGGTTTGGAGCTTCTGGTCGACACTGCCCTTAGAGATGGATTCCAGGCACTGGTCGACATCCTCATCCAGCTTTGACCACTCCTTGTTGTTGGCGGCGGGCCACATTACCCTACGGTGTTCCGATTTCCTGCTTGATGGGGGGACTTGTGTTGCTTGGGGGTTCCAGGTACTGTGGGGAGATTCCGGACCTGATTCCTCCTCCGTCTCACCAGGTTCAGCAATTGGCGCAACGAGAACTGTCGCACCAGCTGCTGTTCCTGAGCGTTGCTTCACTTGGTCCCTCCTCAGACAGGCCATCCTTGCCTGGTGGATCTTCAGGCCTTTCGGGTTTTTGCAGACCTTGCCGCAGATACAGACTGCACTCGTATTTCTTTGTCCATTCGCTTGGGTCATTGCCGGTAGTTCCGTCCGATTGGGATGCTCATCCTCCCCCCCTCTCGGGCATCCCTGGGGGTATATTTCTGTAGGGTTCTTCGTAGCATGCTTGGGTGCCCCCTCTCGGGAGCTGCAGGTCGGGGGGCTAGCCCTCCCTGCCCCGGTTGCCGTCTCTCCGAGCTGTCCGCTGTCTCTCCAGCTGTCGCCACTCTGTTCGTGGGTGTCATCCAGTCTTTCCTGGAGGTCACTGGCTAAGCCAGGTGTGCTAGAATTTGGATACACCTGCTGGTGCTACTTGGACACGTCATCAGTGAAGTACCCGGGGTCATAGGGTGTTTCGGGTCTTTAATCTTCATACACCCTCACCCGGGCGACCCAGCCGGGGGTGATCAGTCCCCGACTTGTGTCCAAGTGGCGTGATGTTCCACGGATCCCCCCTACGGATCCACAGCCACCGCGAGGCCCTTTCTGCGGCCTCTAGGATGTTTCTGATGGCTTTCTTCAATCGCAGTCCTTTTACTCCAAGGAGTTTGAGGGTTCTCAGAAGTGATTGGCCAGCGAAGCCTCGGCTCCCGACCTCGACTGGCTCACAGCGGGTTTTCCAGCCATTGTTCCGGCACTCTGTGCTGAGCTCTGCATACTTGGCTCTCTTGCGTTCGTGGGCCTCTTCGATCCTGTCTTCCCAGGGGACTGTTAGTTCCAGGATGACTACTTGTTTGGTGGACTCCGATGTTAGTACCACATCTGGGCGGAGAGAAGTAGTTGTGATGTTGACTGGGAACTTAAGCTGTCTTCCGAGGTCGACTTGAAGCTGCCAATCACGAGCGGTGGTAAGGAGCCCCCCTGTAGAGTTGGGATGGTGATGTTGTGCCTTCTGCCCTGCTCTAATGAATGTGACTTTAAAAAGAATATATGAGAAATACGTCTTTTCCACGGGGGAAAAATATTGGTGTACTTGAAGGAAATCGCTGCTTTTGTGGAGGCAGAAATGAATATGCTGAGGATATATCTGTCAATGCAGCCGTAAATATCCGTGAATGACATTGAGCTTTAGTTTATGATATGAATCCATATGCCGTAATAAGGTGTTGGTGTCTCTGCAGGTGTAGGCTACGGCCGGTGTCAGAGACGTGGTGCTCGTCTGAGCTCGACTCCCTCTGGATCACAAATGTTGATTATCATCAGTTTGATTGTTTCTTCAGAAACCACAAAATCTCTCTGAATGACCCGCTGATACATCCACAGATAACCCTGCAGATGACCAGCTTCAGTCGTTTCCCCCTCCACAAAAGCAGCTTTATGACTTTATTTACTTTATGACTTTATTCTCCTAAATTTACAACTTTAATCTCTAAATCTTAAAAGAAAAAAAAACCTCAATGTTGTCCTGATACTCTGCTGTAGTTTTGTCAGCTTTCTCATTTCTAATGTTTTTGATAGTTGTAACACAGCGGATCAGTTCGTCTCTAAATCTATAATGTTTGGTTTACAGATTTTAGTGAGTTCAGAGATCATGCTCTCATACAGCCTGAGCTGACTGTCTGATGGTTTTGGATTGCTTGTATTTTCTTCGAAGACGCGCTGTGTCTCCAAGCGAGTCCAGCCTCTCACCTGAAATGCACAGCTGTGCAGCGGCACGCAAAGAATTCTGGGATACCGACGGCACGAAAGCGTGCATACATGCACGCTTGAAAACGAGGCGGGGGTAGTGTGGTTTTGAGACCGAATTTCAAGCGCGCTTAGTATTTTGTGCCAAACGGGACACCGTTCGTGCCGCGTGGTGACCTCACGTACGCGTCAGATGCGCCGTTCGATGGCTGCTGTATCTGAAATGGGACACAGGAAGGGCACAGAACGGCGCAAAACGGCGTAAAACGGCTCACAACGGCAGTGCACTCAGCTAAGCGCCGTTAAGCGCGCTTATCACGATGCGGTCTCTGAAATGAGACACAGCCATGGTATCAACTCCTGCTGCAGAAATATGTGGGAATAAATCAACTCCACCTCTTTATATTTCCACTAGGTGGCGCTGCATCATGGTAAAAACAAAGTAATCCAATCAAAGTGTAAATTTATGATCATGTTTCCATCAACAAAACAAACCTGTTCAGACTGTTTGATCCCAGAATATGAGGGAAAAGATCAAATATCCAGAGTCCAGGTCCTGAGCTGATCTCAGAGCAGGTCAAAGTGCAGCTCCCAGAGTCCTCTCCGCCCGCTGTGATTGGTCAGTCAGTCTCTCAGTCAGAGACTCACCTCACCCTCACTGCTGCTGCCTCCACCTCTCTGATCATCAGGAAACACATGATCCTCTTCTTAATCACTCTGACAGCTAAAACTCCCATCTGAGGAGAGAAAAACAGACGATCAGTGTTTCCACTCTGAGACTCACTTCATCAGCTGGACTGAAGAACATCCAGTTTACAGACCAGCAGGTCTCAGTCCTGCTCAGACCAGAAGTGATGGTGTAAAGCAGCAGGTTTCCTCACAAATAAACCAACATCATCAAAATAAAGAAATCATTCCTGTCAAATGTGTTAAAGCTGATCGAACAAACCTGCTGTGAAAATAACAAGTATAAAGAACAGCTGTCTGTTTTCAGACTTAGAGCTCAAAATCAACAAGTTAGCAGAGAAATAAAGTCTGTGTTGAATACAGAGAACTATAAACTGGACTTCAGAGCAGAAACTGAACATTTCTGTTTCATTATGTCTCATTTCTACATTTGATCTGAAATATAGAGACGAGGAGACACTTTTTTCATGACTGACACTCTTACACTCCTGGTTTGATGATTTCTGTTCTCACAGCTTCACTAAAGAAAGAATCCTCTGAGAGGGTCGAAGAGTCAGCAGGAAATACTGAATATCTGCTGTGATACTGTGTGGAGAGGAACAGGAGAGATCAGCACAGACTAACTCCAACTCTATACTGACCTCAGAGTCTCCAGTCTGTAGTCTGGACTCTTCTGAAGATCACACAGCAGCTCCACGTCTGAAACCTGCAGATTGTTTTCACTCAGGTCCAGATATCTCAGATGGGAGGGGTTGGACTTCAGAGCTGAGGCCAGAGAAGAACAGCTGATCTCTGACAAACTGCAGCCAATCAACCTAAATAAAGAGAAAATAATGAGATTTTAGAGAAAAATGATCCAGTTTGAAACCTGATGTCTTAAATCTGTAGAGTTCAGGGGAAAGGTTTGGAAAGTCTGAATCAGAGAAAAGTGACGCTCCAAAGAGCTGAACCAAAATTCAGATTTTTACACAAAGATTCAAAAACAAAATTCAAAGTAACAGAGCTGGACTTTCATCAGAGTCAGAAACTAAACTCTGAGTTTTTTCTATTCCCTGATCTTGTCCTGAACAAAAGTTTGAATGGTTCTCGTCTGACAAATCTCCCCCTGCTTCTGTTTTCTGTCTGAATGTGCTTCTCACTGTGAACTCTACAAAGAGTTTTCTTCTTGGGTTCAGGTTTTAATTCACTGGAGCTCAGCAGTGATCGAACTGGAGTCAATCAAATAATCCACTGATGCAGAAAATCTACTCTGGACTGAAGGTGTTCAGTCTGGGTCAGTATTTCAGTCCTGAGTCAGCAGTTTAGTGTCATCATCACAAACAAATCATGATCATGTTTGAATGGAGGAAAAAAGTCTCACTGTAGAGTCTCCAGTTTACAGTTTGGACTCTGCAGAAAGTCACACAGCAGCTTCACTCCTGAATCCTGCAGCTTGTTGTCACTCAGGTCCAGATATCTCAGATGGGACGGGTTGGACTTCAGAGCTGAGGCCAGAGAAGAACAGCTGATCTCTGTCAACCTGCAGCAATACAGTCTGTAAAAAGGAAAAATCATGTAACCTCTGAGGAAACTGTTCCTGATTTTAATGATTCAATGTTCTTGAGTCTCTGAAGGACATGGAAGAACTTTTTCAGAGTTGATCTTGAGGAACTTTGTAAAATCTTCTCTAAACTTTTTGAAGATCTTGAAGAATTTTTTCATTAGAGAAATTTTTAAAGAAACAGAAAACTTTAGTGAGATCCTGAGAAACTCCTGTGAGAAATCTCAAAGGTTTTTTTTTGTCCTGAATTCTTCATGAAGATGAAAATAGTCAGGAGTTTATTCAGGGGTCTGTCCGTCTGCTGTCAACAACTGACAAACTACTCTTAAATAAACCAACAGATCATTGATCAGAGAGGTTTTTATGGACCAACTGGACAAGATGATGTTCATGTTCAACAAACTGAAGTGAAAACTGCAGAAAAATCTGGATCTGGTTTTTTACATTTGAACACGACTGAGCAAAGAAGAAATTCAAGTTTTCAAGAGTTTCCAAATGAAATCTCCAGAGTTGGATTAACTTTGTTCTTCAGGTTTCAATCTGCAGCTCATCATTTCTCTGACACTTCATTCATTCATTAGTGATCACATTAACTGTGGATCAGTTCAGTATCAGCCGTTAGTCTGTGCTGCTCCTGCCCTCTACAAGCATGTGTAATATTTGTGGGACTGATTTTCTCCTGCTTCCTTTCTACATCCATCGTTCTTCTCAAAGTCAACTCTGAAATGTCGGATTTTTCTTCCTGTGTCGAAGTTTTACAACGACAAATTCAAACTGCTCGACCAAAGTTGATGGAAAAACCACAGAGAAAAATCTAAGGCAGCAGCTGTCACATCTTATTGTTAGATCAGAAGGAAATGGTGTCTGACCCCAGAGTCTCCAGTCTGCAGTTTGGACTCTCCAGTCCTGCAGAGAGAAGCTTCACTCCTGAATCCTTCAGATCGTTGACACTCAGGTTCAGATGTCTCAGATGGGAGGGGTTGGACTTCAGAGCTGAGGCCACAACTTCACAGTGAGTCTCTGAGAGTCCACAGGAATAAAGTCTGTAACAACATAAATATCAACAATATTTCATTAAAGGGTAATTTGATGTTTCTCTTCACCAAAAACAAACATGATCTTTGGTTTGACAGACGGCCTGTTTTTAACCAGACAGATACTAATATCAGGACCACAGCCATGAGAGAAGACAGGAAGTCAAAGTTTAGAAGAAAAAAAAACTGTTCAGATGTTCAAGACGAATGACTCCATGACTTATTTTAGTCGTTCTGTTCTCTAACAGTGTTGTCTTCATGTTAGTGCAGCTGGATCATTATGACTGAGTGAATTCTTGAGTTCTGGTTGGAGAAGGGGACTGAGAACCAGGTTTTTGGTCCTGGTATGTGATTGGTTAGTATCCAAAGTACCTCTTGGAGAATCAGTGCTCCTCTCAGTGTTTAATGTTGACATCCTGCTGTAATGTAAGTCTGTCCATAGACACTGACTGTTGACCAATCAGAGGACGACTCACTGAATCACAGCAGCTCCTTTTTCTCTGATTGGTTCAGATAAAATCGTTTTTTTAGCAGGTTAGAGCTGGTTTGACTCTGAACATTTGAAGATTTCTTTGTTTTCACAATCAAAGTTTTTTCTCCATGTAACATTCGCTTCAGCAGCAGAAACACGTTTATAAAACCTGATGGATCCAGAGAGACCTTTAAGAGACAGAAACAAAGACCCACTGAACCTCTGTCTTTGGACTCTGGTCATCTCTCTCTCTCTCTCTCTCTCTCTCTCCCTCTCTCTCTCTCTGTCTCTGTCTGTCTCTCTCGGCAAGTTATCGTCCGATACTTCATGATAGTTAAACGATAAAAACAAAGTTAAACCTGTGTGAGCTGTGGTCAAAGTTCGGGTTGAGGTTATTTGAACTCTAGGGGGCGTACGTTCTCATGACTCCTATAAAAAGGACAGATTGAATTTTTCTAGTTTGTGTTTCATAAAGAAAGAAACATTTGGAGTCAGAGGAAATAAAACAATTTCATCTTTGAACGTGTTTTCTTTTTCTTTACTTTTTTTAAATGAAAATATTGATACCTCACTAAATCATGAAGTGAGGTATCAATAATGAGTCATGATCATATCAACATGGAGGATCAATATGGGTACCTTTATCAATTCACCCTAATCACAGCCACACTAGTTATGGTCAAAAACAGACTTTTCTGCTCCCTAAAACAGTCCGGTTTGTTAGTCCTTTAGACCTGGTCCAGTCTCTCAGACTCAGACCTGGATCAAACCCCAGTCTGCTGCAGTGTTTGTTTAAAGGCTGTTTCAGCAGAAGGCAGCAGTCTGACCAATTTACATCAACATCTGAAACAGAGGCGTGCAGCCGAGTTACAGCCCACCAACACCTCAACATTAGAGGAATCATCTTCACTCTGCATCACCATGACAACAAAGGGACACCATGGAAAACTGATGATGATGAAGATGATGATGCAGTCACACTGCTTCTCCTTATGGTGTCCATATGAACAGTGGAAGATCACGGCTGTCTGAAAGAGAGAGAAAGAGAGAGAGAGAGAGAGAGAGAGCTGTCCAAATACCTCCTGTGTTCTCATCATTCATATGTTCTAGTCCAGCAGATCATCTCCAGTGAGTGGTGGAAAATGATGTTAGTTTTCATGGTTGTATTGATGATGAATATTGAATGATGAACATGATAGTACAGAGACAGTTCTGCCACTGTGTAGAAAATGATCCAGTTCTATTTTCACCATCAATGCTGTCAACACCCTCATTTACAACAGATTCATCATTTCCAACCTGAAAACCAGCAGGAAGAAGCTGCAGACACCTTCTTCAAACTCAAGTTCACCACAACTGACTGAGATGTTGATCTGGACTGATACCATCATCAGAAGACCTCTGTGTGTCCTCAGATATGGTCGCTGATTTGTCCTCAAAGTTCCACTTTATTCATTACAGACACGATTCAAAACAAAGAGGTCCTCCACAATCAGGACAAGTTCTCAGGGGTCCACAGGTAGACCTCATCCTGGGCTAACAGGACTTTAGACACCAGGATCATGTTTTTGCTAAAGAAACCCCCTCCCTGATATTTGAGTGGATTTCTATTTGAAGAAGAACATCATCAGTAACGTGGACATTAGAAGAACTACAGGGATCATTTACACGATTCTGAGAATAAAACCTGGACTTACTTAGCCGTTCTGCAGTTCCTCACAGCTGGGATCAGTCTCAGTCGTCCCTGGGCTGATGTGTAATACTTATTTAAGTCCAACTCATCCAGAACCTCCTCTGACATCTGCAGCATGTAGGCCAGAGCAGAGCAGTGGATCTCTGAGAGTTCCTTCACTGATCTGTTCTCTGACTTCAGGAACTCTTGGATCTCCTGATGAACTGACAGATCGTTCATCTCCATCAGACAGTGGAAGATGTTGATGCTTCTGTCAGGAGAGATATCTTCACTGTTCATCCACTTCAGGTTCTTGATGACTCTTTGGATCATTCCTGGACTGTTGTGTGTGTGACCCAGCAGACCTCCTAAGAGTCTTTGGTTTGACTCCACAGAGAGTCCATGAAGGAAGCGAACAAACAGGTCCAGGTGACCGTTTTTACTGAGAAGGGATTTCTCCATGACTCTCTTCAGGAAGACATCCAGAGATGAGAAACAGTCATCCAGGTTTTTGTTGCCTCTTAGGAAACTCTCCAGAGCTTCTGTGTTCCTCTTCTTTGTGAAACTGTGGATCATGTAGACTGCAGACAGAAACTCCTGAACGCTCAGATGAACGAAACAGTAAACAGTTTTCTGGAAGATCACACTCTCTCTTCTGAAGATCTCTGTACAAACTCCTGAGTACACCGAGGCCTCTGAGACATCCAGACCACACCGCTCCAGGTCTTCTTGGTAGAACATGATGTCTCCTTTCTCCAGATGTTCAAAGGCCAGCCTCCCCAGCTTCAGGAGGACTTCACTGTCAGCCTCAGTCAGCTCCTGAGGACTTGTCTCATGTCCTCCTTCATACTTCTGCTTCTTCCTCTGAGTCTGGACCAGCAGGAAGTGTGAGTACATGTCAGTCAGGGTCTTGGGCAGCTCTCCTCTCTGCTCTCTGCTCATCATGTCCTCCAGAACTGTAGCAGTGATCCAGCAGAAGACCGGGATCTGACACATGATGTGGAGGCTCCTGGAGGACTTGATGTGTGAGATGATTCTTCTGGACAGATCTTCATCTCTGAACCTCTTCCTGAAGTACTCGTCCTTCTGGGCGTCAGTGAAGCCTCGTACTTCTGTTACCCTGTCCACATGTGAAGGAGGGATCTGATTGGCTGCTGCAGGTCGAGAAGTTATCCAGATGAGAGCTGAGGGGAGCAGGTTCCCCTTGATGAGGTTTGTTAACAGAACGTTGAGTGAAGACTTCTGTGTGACGTCAGACAGGACCTCAGAGTCTGTGAAATCCAGAGACAGTCTGCTTTCATCCAGACCGTCAAAGATGAACAGAAGTTTACAGACAGCCAGCGTCTCTGCTGTGACCTTCTCTAGGGTTGGATGGAAAACATGGAGCAGACTCAGAAGACTGAAGCGCTCATCTCTGATCAGGTTCAGCTCCCTGAATGAAAGCAGGACCACCAGATGGAGGTCTTGGTTCTCCAAACCCTCTGCCCAGTCCAGAGTGAACTTCTGCACTGAGAAGGTTTTTCCAACACCAGCCACGCCGTTGGTCAGAACCACTCTGATGACCTTCTCCTGTTGGTCAGGTAAGGTTTGAAAGATCTCATGACACCTGATGGGTTCGTCATGGAGGGTCTTCATCTTTGAAGCTGTCTCCAGCTGTCTCACCTCATGTTGGGTGTTCACCTCTTCACTCAGTCCCTCTGTGATGTAGAGCTCAGTGAAGATCCTGTTGAGGAGGGTTTGACTACTTCCTGTTTCATCACTTCCTTCATTCACACGTTCACATCTCTCCTTCAGACTGATCTTATGTTCATCTAAAACCTCCTGCAGACCACCATCTTCTGAAAGAGAAGAAAAATAAAATGAACCAAACTTCTCAACACTGAAACGTCTTTGTGAAAATCAGTCAGCTGAGTTTTCATCCACACAGACTTTAGAGGACAGATGTTCAGACTTACTTCCATCAGAGCTGAGATATCTGGACAGCTGCTCCTCCACAGAGTCAACTCTCTGTGTCTCTCTGTGGAAATAAAGAACATTTATTTTCTTTATCATTTCATGTTTGAAAGATTCAGAATAAGAAACATTTATTAAACCAGAGTTTCTCTTTTCTCTAACATAAAACAGTAAAATATTCAGCTGCTGCTGCCTCAAAGTGTGGAGACAGGAGAAAAAACTCAACTGTGATTTTTGAAGGTCGAGAGATTTTCTCTGACAGTTTCAAACATTTTTTAACAATCAGATCTAAAGGTCTAATAACAGACAGATGCTCTGAATGAGTTTTTATTTCTCAGGATTTATTTCTTCTTTGGTCTTCTGGTATTTTCTGACCCACAGACTGTTTTCTGGGGTCTATACACCACAGTCCAAAGACTAACAGGCTCAAAACGTCCCAAACACAGGAACCAAATCAGAAAATACAAGAGGTCAGGATCCTTTTCAAATGCTGTTTTATACCACCTTCATTTTTATTAACATCAGGAATAATAAGTAAATCTGAGCTCAGTGACTTTGTCTTTACCAGACCTTTATCCAGGTTGGAGGTTCAACATCAGCTGTTGTTGTTTGAGAGTTTGGAGGGTGAAAAGTGTTTCTCTTACTGTGAATCTGAGGGTCCTGGTTCTTTACTGAAGTCAGGAGGTTCACCTTTAGACCGGTCACTCTTCAGAGACAGACAGTCGGAGATAACAGACTCTTCGCTGTCCTCCTCTGATGGTCTTGGTTTTTTACGGAAGCCAAAAGGAGGATCTTTAGAGCGGTCACTCTTCATAGACAGACAGTCGGACATGTCAGACTTTTGCTCTGCCCTCCTCTTCCTCGACACCATCTTCTCGATCTTATGTTGTGCAAATTTATGGAAGATGAAACCGAGATACAACCTGAGGACAAAGTAGACAAACAGGTGAGACACAAACAGGAAGAGAGAGTTTCAAAATAAAAGAGGAATCAGAAAGGAAGTACAGAGTCTGAAAACAGCTTCATGCCCCTCTTTAAGAGTTTTACAGGTTTAATCATAGATATATGTATATAAACCTTTCTTATATATGTCTATGGGTTTAATATCCAAGACCTTCTGATGTCTCCCCACCCTGCAGGGCCTCTCTCTGATCCTGGTCTGATTCATGGTCCAAACAAAATCAGCTGTGAGGTCCCTGAACTCTCAGAAAAACTTAAGGAGACTGGATTAAATTTGAAATGAGAGGCTAAAAAGATTCTGATTTTAGTTTTTACCACAAAGACAAGTCTGAACAAAGAGGAGGAAGAACTGCACGTACACAGTTTCCTGTATGAAGAACTGATCCAGCTCTTTGTCTGCTCAGGTTTCTTTGTTTTACAGTTTTTAAGTGTTTTAGTCAGTAAATCATTTTTCATTAACAGATAAAACAGATAAAGAGTTTGACATTAAAACTAAAACAGAGTAAACACTCACCCTGTCTCCTCGTCCTCTCCTCTCTCTTCTTTTCTCAAAATGGAGTCTGTTTTTCAGCTCACATACTTTCACTTTCACTCTGACTGTTTTCACTGAAACCTGAACCACCAGATCACAGATTCTTCTCCTCATTTACTGACAGTTTTTCATCATCTTTTAAGTTCAGTATTCTTGACAATCATCCTCCTCTCCTGAGTCTGAATTAAAAGTTCAGTAAATACAGAAACATGTTTGTTTGGTTGAGTCTCAGTTTATTATTAATGCAGCAGCTCCACCTGCTGGTTAAACCAACAAACTACAGATGATAACTCCTCTTCTCATACAATGTGAATATTTGGTTGAACAGGTTTTTATTTTTGCACACAGTGTGATTGTGTTGTCACACAAACTCCTCCTTCACCTCACTTTACAAAGATCACTGTCCAACATCATATTCAGTGAAGGAGACAAATACGTTGATGTGATACCATTATATAAGATAGATGTATATAAACACTAGATGTCTTACGCACAATGTTAGCCAATGGAAACCGACGCCCGCGCATGTCGGCCATCTTGCTACGGTCAGCTCTCTAACTCCTAACATTCTAGTCTAAAGTTCATGTCACATTTAAATAACCATAGATTGATTAATTTTAAACCGATTTTCAAACAGTTTAGTTTGAAACAAACCTCAGAGTTTTAGTTATGTACCTGTATACTGAAGAATAATTTTAACCATGGATTTATATAAATAAACAAACAGATAGGTAGAACAACAGCTATAGACCTACACACACAAGGCAGTTATATTAAATCATTTATATATAAATATATATATATATATATATATATATATATATATATATATATATATATATATATATATATATATATATATATATACATTAAGATAGGATATATGTATATATATATATATATATATATATATATATATATATATATATATATACATATATCCTATCTTAATATTTGACCTTTTTTTGTTAGATGTTTGGATTTGTCCTCCACATACTTTGAATGAACAATAACCTCAGAGAGAATATCATAAACGAAAACACATAAAACAACTGTGCTGCATGATTAAGTTTTCCCAAAGAAAGGCTTCAATTTCAACATGTCCAAACATCTCAGAGCCACAGTCACTCTGCTGTGAGACGGAAGTCTTCAAACCTGACGGGGATCACAGACTTTATCTTTGAGTCCAACAGGAAGTTTGATTTCCAAGAAAAGACGATCAAATCAAAGTTCAGTAAATACAGAAACATGTTTGTTTGGTTGAGTCTCAGTTTATTGTTAATGCAGCAGCTCCACCTGCTGGTCAAACCAACAAACTACAGATGATAACTCCTCTTCTCATACAATGTGAATATTTGGTTAAACAGGTTTTTATTTTTGCACACAGTGTGATTGTGTTGTCACACAAACTCCTCCTTCATCTCACTTTACAAAGATCACTGTCCAACATCATATTCAGTGAAGGAGACAAATACGTTGATGTGATACCATTATATAAGATAGATGTATATAAACACTAGATGTCTTACGCACAATGTTAGCCAATGGAAACCGACGCCCGCGCATGGCGGCCATCTTGCTACGGTCAGCTCTCTAACTCCTAACATTCTAGTCTAAAGTTCATGTCACATTTAAATAACCATAGATTGATTAATTTTAAACCGATTTTCAAACAGTTTAGTTTGAAACAAACCTCAGAGTTTTAGTTATGTACCTGTATACTGAAGAATAATTTTAACCATGGATTTATATAAATAAACAAACAGATAGGTAGAACAACAGCTATAGACCTACACACACAAGGCAGTTATATTAAATCATTTATATATAAATATATATATATATATATATATATATATATATATATATATATATATATATATATATATATATATATATATATATATACATTAAGATAGGATATATGTATATATATATATATATATATATATATATATATATATATATATATACATATATCCTATCTTAATATTTGACCTTTTTTTGTTAGATGTTTGGATTTGTCCTCCACATACTTTGAATGAACAATAACCTCAGAGAGAATATCATAAACGAAAACACATAAAACAACTGTGCTGCATGATTAAGTTTTCCCAAAGAAAGGCTTCAATTTCAACATGTCCAAACATCTCAGAGCCACAGTCACTCTGCTGTGAGACGGAAGTCTTCAAACCTGACGGGGATCACAGACTTTATCTTTGAGTCCAACAGGAAGTTTGATTTCCAAGAAAAGACGATCAAATCAAAGTTCCTGTTTAATAAAAACTAAGACCAACTAAACACACCGACTTTCCTTCACGCAGCGTCCTCCAGCCTCAGCTGAATCAAGACTTTGAGTCTCTATGATCCACTACCGTATTGACCTGAATATAGGAGCACCCTGATGAGAAAACCTTCCTCCACTTTTCAGACTCACTTTGAGGACTTTTTAAAGACCAAATCTAGTTTTTGTTTGAAGGAAAAATGATGATAAATCAATTGGACACAGTGACTGAAACAAGCTGAGTTGATGTTTTTAACATGTTTTGGTTCAAATAAAGTTTTTATTATCTTTAAATGACATTGTTACAGTGAAATGAAATCAAAAATGATCTGGTGTAAATGAAGAACCAACATAGTGTTACACAGACAGAGCATAGATCTATTGATACTAGATAAGATGATCAGAACAAATCTGTTCACAATAGTGAACAAAGAATTCTGTAGTATGAGCAGACTGTGACATGAGCTGTCCTGACTTCTGATTGGACCTTCACAGGTCGTCTGATGGCAGATACAGCCTCTGATTGGCTAACAACAGAAATGACACTTTGTTACTGAAATGAATCCATAATCCATCAGATTATTTTCATTTTGGAGGGATGGGATCAGGAAGGTCTCTGAAAACACACCGATCTTCTCTGTGGGATAGAAAAGCTTTGAAGTGTCACAGAAACACAAACTGATCTCCTGAAAGCTGACGGTCTCACAAAGCCAGTGGATTTTACAGGAAGTCACTCCACTGTAGCATCAATTAATGAAGCTGAGATTGTAATCAACAACACTGAGTTTATAAAACAGCATCGACCACGTTAATGACTTCACCCTGAATAGATGCTGATCTCACTTTTTCCAGACTCCGGTCAATACGGTTATTTTTGTCTGTCAGAGGAAAACTTCTCCATCATTATAAAGTAAAAATAATGTTTTTTATTGTTCAAGAATCTTTCCTTTGACTGATTATATTTCACACATTTTACTCTCAGGTCTCATTTATGGTTTAATAATTGTGTTTGTTCATCCAAACTGGAGGGAATCGATTATTGATGAGCACAAAGATGATATGAGAACAAAAACATGTAAAGAAAAAGAAAATAATGTCTAATAATATAAAATAAGGTCAATTTACGTCCAATCAATGTTTACAATAATCTCAGAAACTGAAGAAGAAAGGAAGGATTAAAAATAATCAAGTGAAAGAATAAAGCTTCAGATTTTTGTTAAAACCCCAAACCCTGTCCTCCTCCTCCTCCTCCCTTCACCTCCATCTCTCCTCACTTCTCTTCCTCTCCCTTCAGTTTATATTCGGTCTCTAACGGTGCAAAGGAAAGAAAAAACCTTTGGGTTTAATCTGAACTTCTGACTGATCTACTCTCACACATGGTATCAACTCCTGCTGCAGAAATATGTGGGAATAAATCAACTCCACCTCTTTATATTTCCACTAGGTGGCGCTGCATCATGGTAAAAACAAAGTAATCCAATCAAAGTGTAAATTTATGATCATGTTTCCATCAACAAAACAAACCTGTTCAGACTGTTTGATCCCAGAATATGAGGGAAAAGATCAAATATCCAGAGTCCAGGTCCTGAGCTGATCTCAGAGCAGGTCAAAGTGCAGCTCCCAGAGTCCTCTCCGCCTGCTGTGATTGGTCAGTCAGTCTCTCAGTCAGAGACTCACCTCACCCTCACTGCTGCTGCCTCCACCTCTCTGATCATCAGGAAACACATGATCCTCTTCTTAATCACTCTGACAGATGTTAACTCCATCTGAGGAGAGAAAAAAAGACGTTCAGTGTTTCCACTCTGAGACTCACTTCATCAGCTGGACTGAAGAACATCCAGTTTACAGACCAGCAGGTCTCAGTCCTGCTCAGAGCAGAAGTGATGGTGTAAAGCAGCAGGTTTCCTCACAAATAAACCAACATCATCAAAATAAAGAAATCCTTCCTGTCAAATGTGTTAAAGCTGATCGAACAAACCTGCTGTGAAAATAACAAGTATAAAGAACAGCTGTCTGTTTTCAGACTTAGAGCTCAAAATCAACAAGTTAGCAGAGAAATAAAGTCTGTGTTGAATACAGAGAACTATAAACTGGACTTCAGAGCAGAAACTGAACATTTCTGTTTCATTATGTCTCATTTCTACATTTGATCTGAAATATAGAGACGAGGAGACACTTTTTTCATCACTGACACTCTTACACTCCTGGTTTGATGATTTCTGTTCTCACAGCTTCACTAAAGAAAGAATCCTCTGAGAGGGTCGAAGAGTCAGCAGGAAATACTGAATATCTGCTGTGATACTGTGTGGAGAGGAACAGGAGAGATCAGCACAGACTAACTCCAACTCTATACTGACCCCAGATCCTCCAGTCTGTAGTCTGGACTCTTCTGAAGATCACACAGCAGCTTCACGTCTGAATCCTGCAGCTTGTTGTTATTCAGGTCCAGAGTTTTCAGATGGGAGGGGTTGGACTTCAGAGCTGAGGCCAGAGAAGAACAGCTGATCTTTGTCAAACTGCAGCTCATTAACCTAAATAAAGAGAAAATAATGAGATTTTAGAGAAAAATGATCCAGTTTGAAACCTGATGTCTTAAATCTGTAGAGTTCAGGGGAAAGGTTTGGAAAGTCTGAATCAGAGAAAAGTGACGCTCCAAAGAGCTGAACCAAACAGGAAGTCAGTTTGAAACAGTGAATTCAAAAACACATTAAATAGAGAGATAAAAAACTCAGAGACTTTTTTACTGATTGTAGATGCAGATCAATATTTTTAGAAAATGTCAGCGACTTCAGGACGGATGGGAAATAAAGGATGTTCAGAATATTTTCACTTCTTCGTCTTTGAGAGGTAAATATTTCAGTCTAAACACAGCAAGGCTTCAGAAAAGTGCAGATAAACCATAAAATTCAGATTTTCACACAAAGATTCAAAAACAAAATTCAAAGTAACAGAGCTGGACTTTCATCAGAGTCAGAAACTAAACTCTGAGTTTTTTCTATTCCCTGATCTTGTCCTGAACAAAAGTTTGAATGGTTCTCGTCTGACAAATCTCCCCCTGCTTCTGTTTTCTGTCTGAATGAGCTTCTCACTGTGAACTCTACAAAGAGTTTTCTTCTTGGGTTCAGGTTTTAATTCACTGGAGCTCAGCAGTGATCGAACTGGAGTCAATCAAATAATCCACTGATGCAGAAAATCTACTCTGGACTGAAGGTGTTCAGTCTGGGTCAGTGTTTCAGTCCTGAGTCAGCAGTTTAGTGTCATCATCACAAACAAATCATGATAATGTTTGAATGGAGGAAAAAAGTCTGACCTCAGAGTCTCCAGTTTACAGTTTGGACTCTGCAGAAAGTCACACAGCAGCTTCACTCCTGAATCCTGCAGCTTGTTGTCACTCAGGTCCAGATGTCTCAGATGGGAGGGGTTGGACTTCAGAGCAGAGACCAGAGAAGAACAGCTGATCTCTGTCAACCTGCAGCCCCACAGTCTGTAAAAAGGAAAAAAAATCATTAAACCACTGAAGAAACTTTTAATGATTCAATGTTCTTGAACACTGAAGGACATGGAAGAAGAACTTTTTCAGAGTTGATCTTGAGGAACTTTGTAAAATCCTCTCTAAACTTTTGAAGATCTTGAGGAATTTTTTAGTTGAGAAAATTTTAAAGAACCAGAAAACTTTATTGAGATCCTGAGAAACTCATGTGAGAAATCTCAAAGGTTTTTTTGTAGTCCTGAATTCTTCATGAAGATGAAAATAGTCAGGAGTTTATTCAGGGGTCTGTCCGTCTGCTGTCAACAACTGCCAAACTACTCTTAAATAAACCAACAGATCATTGATCAGAGAGGTTTTTATGGACCAACTGGACAAGATGATGTTCATGTTCAACAAACTGAAGTGAAAACTGCAGAAAAATCTGGATCTGGTTTTTACATTTGAACACGACTGAGCAAAGAAGAAATTCAAGTTTTCAAGAGTTTCCAAATGAAATATCCAGAGTTGGATTAACTTTGTTCTTCAGGTTTCAATCTGCAGCTCATCATTTCTCTGACACTTCATTCATTCATTAGTGATCACATTAACTGTGGATCAGTTCAGTATCAGCCTTTAGTCTGTGCTGCTCCTGCCCTCTACAAGCATGTGTAATATTTGTGGGACTGATTTTCTCCTGCTTCCTTTCTACATCCATCGTTCTCCTCAAAGTCAACTCTGAAATGTCGGATTTTTCTTCCTGTGTTGAAGTTTTAAAACGACAAATTCAAACTGCTCGACCAAAGTTGATGGAAAAACCACAGAGAAAAATCTCAGGCAGCAGCTGTCACATCTTATTGTTAGATCAGGAGGAAATGGTGTCTGACCTCAGAGTCTCCAGTCTGCAGTTTGGACTCTCCAGTCCTGCAGAGAGAAGCTTCACTCCTGAATCCTGCAGATAGTTTCCTCTCAGGTTCAGATATCTCAGATGGGAGGGGTTGGACTTCAGAGCTGAGGCCACAACTTCAAAGTGAGTCTCTGAGAGTCCACAGAACCAAAGTCTGTAACAACATAAATATCCAACAATATTTCATTAAAGGGTAATTTGATGTTTCTCTTCACCAAAAACAAACATGATCTTTGGTTTGACAGACGGCCTGTTTTTAACCAGACAGATACTAATATCAGGACCACAGCCATGAGAGAAGACAGGAAGTCCAAGTTTAGAAGAAAAAAAAACTGTTCAGATGTTCAAGACGAATGACTCCATGACTTATTTTAGTCCTTCTGTTCTCTAACAGTGTTGTCTTCATGTTAGTGCAGCTGGATCATTATGACTGAGTGAATTCTTGAGTTCTGGTTGGAGAAGGGGACTGAGAACCAGGTTTTTGGTCCTGGTATGTGATTGGTTAGTATCCAAAGTACCTCTTGGAGGATCAGTGCTCCTCTCAGTGTTTAATGTTGACATCCTGCTGTAATGTAAGTCTGTCCATAGACACTGACTGTTGACCAATCAGAGGACGACTCACTAAATCACAGCAGCTCCTTTTTCTCTGATTGGTTCAGATAAAATTGTTTTTTAAGGGGTTAAGGTCCTTAAGGTCCTTACACACCGGCGAATTTGCGGAGCGAAGCGAAAAAGCAAGACGAAAATTGCGAATATTCGCCGGTCCGAAAAATCGCTTTCGCCTATACACACCGGCCGCGAAGCGAATATGCGTATATTTTTTGCAAAGCGAATTAATAAAGTCGCTTTGCGGCACGGAGGAGAGGAGATGTGGGGTGGTTCTGTACCGCAATGACCAGCCTCTCTCCCATCGTTGCTCTTGGTGCCAGTGATGGTGTGTGTCGTGTGAATGGCTGCTGATTGACATGTCTAGCATTATGAGTGAGGGCGAAAGAGGAGGAAAAGCTGTGAGAGACGCCGCAGCAGCCAGGAGAGGCGAGGGCTGAGCAGTGATCCTTCAAGTTGTCTGGTCATTCTGTTGGCCCTGTAGCTGCAGATCATCGGTATGTCAAACAGCTGAGAGGGAGAATCAGGCATGATGAGGCGGTCACCCTGTGAAGTGTGCATGACATCTGTCTTCTAAGGAAGACAAGAGAGTGTCATCTTGTGAGAAAACTACTTCATTAGTAATTAGAAAGAGTTTTGGATGCACCTCAGCTGTCTTTGTCTGCGTTTTCATAATCTCAAACTTCTCCCTCTCCTCCAGCCGTATGGGTCTGTGACGTCATCAACAACATGACTTTTGATTGGCCAGAGGTCTAGCAGGTCCAGATATTCACCTGCGAATATCCGAAAAATTCGACACAAGAGTGAAAAAATAAAAGCGGCTTTTCGCCCCGCGGAAAAATCGCCGCCGGTGTGGAAACTTGCATTGACTTTAAGCTGTTTTAAAAAAAGGCGAATAATTCGCCTGGCGAATTCGCGCCCGGTGTGTAAGGACCTTTAGAGCTGGTTTGACTCTGAACATTTGAAGAGTTGAAGACCCCTCCCCCCCCTTCTCTCGCTCTCTCTCTCTCTCTCTCTCTCTCTCTCTCTACCTGCATTAATTACATTAATTCACCCTAATCACAGCCACACTAGTTATGGTCAAAAACAGACTTTTCTGCTCCCTAAAAAAGTCTGTCTTGTTAGTCCTTTAGACCTGGTCCAGTCTCTCAGACTCAGACCTGGATCAAACCCCAGTCTGCTGCAGTGTTTGTTTAAAGGCTGTTTCAGCAGAAGGCAGCAGTCTGACCAATTTACATCAACATCTGAAACAGAGGCGTGCAGCCGAGTTACAGCCCACCAACACCTCAACATTAGAGGAATCATCTTCACTCTGCATCACCATGACAACAAAGGGACACCATGGAAAACTGATGATGATGATGACGCAGTCACACTGCTTCTCCTGAGAGACATGGTGTCCATATATACTGTGGAAGAGCACGGCTGTTTCCACATGCTATGAGGTGATATGAGGCAGACTAGTGTCAGAGAGAGAGAGAGAGAGAGAGAGAGAGAGAGAGGGGGGGGGGGGGGGGGAGAGAGAGAGAGAGGGGGGGGGGAGAGAGAGAGAGAGAGAGAGAGAGAGAGAGAGAGAGAGAGAGAGAGAGAGAGAGAGAGAGAGAGACAGAGAGAGAGTGAGAGAGAGAGAGAGAGAGACAGAGAGAGAGAGAGGAAGAGAGAGAGAGAGAGAGAGAGAGAGAGAGAGAGAGAGAGAGAGTGAGAGAGAGAGAGAGAGAGAGAGAGAGAGAGAGTGAGAGAGAGAGAGAGAGAGAGAGAGAGAGAGAGAGAGAGAGAGAGAGAGAGAGAGAGAGAGAGAGAGAGACAGAGAGAGAGTGAGAGAGAGAGAGAGAGAGACATTAACATCCTATCTCCACCATTGTTTTCAGACTCAAGGAGCTGCTGTCCAAATACCTCCTGTGTTCTCATCATTCATATGTTCTAGTCCAGCAGATAATCTCCAGTGAGTGGTGGAAAATGATGTTAGTTTTCATGGTTGTATTGATGATGAATATTGAATGATGAACATGATGGTACAGAGACAGTTCTGCCACTGTGTAGAAAATGATCCAGTTCTATTTTCACCATCAATGCTGTCAACACCCTCATTTACAACAGATTCATCATTTCCAACCTGAAAACCAGCAGGAAGAAGCTGCAGACACCTTCTTCAAACTCAAGTTCACCACAACTGACTGAGATGTTGATCTGGACTGATACCATCATCAGAAGACCTCTGTGTGTCCTCAGATATGGTCGCTGATTTGTCCTCAAAGTTCCACTTTATTCATTACAGACACGATTCAAAACAAAGAGGTCCTCCACAATCAGGACAAGTTCTCAGGGGTCCACAGGTAGACCTCATCCTGGGCTAACAGGACTTTAGACACCAGGATCATGTTTCTGCTAAAGAAACCCCCTCCCTGATATTTGAGTGGATTTCTATTTGAAGAAGAACATCATCAGTAACGTGGACATTAGAAGAACTACAGGGATCATTTACACTATTCTGAGAATAAAACCTGGACTTACAGAGCCGTTCTGCAGTTCCTCACAGCTGGGATCAGTCTCAGTCGTCCCTGGTCTGATGTGTTATACTTATTTAAGTCCAACTCATCCAGAACCTCCTCTGACATCTGCAGCATGTAGGCCAGAGCAGAGCAGTGGATCTCTGAGAGTTCCTTCTCTGATCTGTTCTCTGACTTCAGGAACTCTTGAATCTCCTGATGAACTGACAGATCGTTCATCTCCATCAGACAGTGGAAGATGTTGATGCTTCTGTCAGGAGAGATATCTTCACTGTTCATCTCCTTCAGGTTCTTCATGACTCTTTGGATCATTTCTGGACTGTTGTCTGTGTGACCCAGCAGAACTCCTAAGAGTCTCTGGAACTTTTTTCGAAGGTTGTCTGTGTGACCCAGCAGACCTCCTAAGAGTCTCTGGTTTGACTCCAGAGAGAGTCCATGAAGGAAGCGAACAAACAGGTCCAGGTGACCGTTTTTACTAAGAAGGGATTTCATCATGACACTCTTCAGGAAGACATCCAGAGAAGAGAAACAGTCATCCAGGTTTTTGTTGTCTCTTAGGAAAGTCTTCAGATCTTCTATGTTTAGGAAAGTCTTCAGAGCTTCTTTGTTCCTCTTTGTGAAACTGTGGATCACGTAGACTGCAGACAGAAACTCCTGAACGCTCAGATGAACGAAACAGTAAACAGTTTTCTGGAAGATCACACTCTCTCTTCTGAAGATCTCTGTACAAACTCCTGAGTACACCGAGGCCTCTGAGACATCCAGACCACACCGCTCCAGGTCTTCTTGGTAGAACATGATGTCTCCTTTCTCCAGATGTTCAAAGGCCAGCCTCCCCAGCTTCAGGAGGACTTCACTGTCAGCCTCAGTCAGCTCCTGAGGACTTGTCTCATGTCCTCCTTCATACTTCTGCTTCTTCCTCTTAGTCTGGACCAGCAGGAAGTGTGAGTACATGTCAGTCAGGGTCTTGGGCAGCTCTCCTCTCTGCTCTCTGCTCATCATGTCCTCCAGAACTGTCGCAGTGATCCAGCAGAAGACCGGGATCTGACACATGATGTGGAGGCTCCTGGAGGACTTGATGTGTGAGATGACTCTTCTGGACAGATCTTCATCTCTGAACCTCTTCCTGAAGTACTCCTCCTTCTGGGCGTCAGTGAAGCCTCGTACTTCTGTTACCCTGTCCACACGTGAAGGAGGGATCTGATTGGCTGCTGCAGGTCGAGAAGTTATCCAGATGAGAGCTGAGGGGAGCAGGTTCCCCTTGATGAGGTTTGTTAACAGAACGTTCAGTGAAGACTTCTGTGTGACGTCAGACACCACCTCAGAGTCTGTGAAATCCAGAGACAGTCTGCTTTCATCCAGACCGTCAAAGATGAACAGAAGTTTACAGACAGCCAGCGTCTCTGCTGTGACCTTCTCTAGTGTTGGATGGAAAACATGGAGCAGACTCAGAAGACTGAAGCGCTCATCTCTGATCAGGTTCAGCTCCCTGAATGAAAGCAGGACCACCAGATGGAGGTCTTGGTTCTCCAAACCCTCTGCCCAGTCCAGAGTGAACTTCTGCACTGAGAAGGTTTTTCCAACACCAGCCACGCCGTTGGTCAGAACCACTCTGATGACCTTCTTCTGTTGGTCAGGTAAGGTTTGAAAGATCTCATGACACCTGATGGGCGTGTCATGGAGGGTCTTCATCTTTGAAGTAGTCTCCAGCTGTCTCACCTCATGTTGGGTGTTCACCTCTTCACTCAGTCCCTCTGTGATGTAGAGCTCAGTGAAGATCCTGTTGAGGAGGGTTTGACTTCCTGTTTCTTCACTTCCTTCATTCACACGTTCACATATCCTCTTCAGACTGATCTTATGTTCATCTAAAACCTCCTGCAGACCGCCATCTTCTGAAAGAGAAGAACAATAAAATGAACCAAACTTCTCAACACTGAAACGTCTTTGTGAAAATCAGTCAGCTGAGTTTTCATCCACAGACTTTTCCTCACAGTCTGTCGGCGCTGACACCTTTACACCGGCGCTCTTTAAATTACCGTAACTGTGGGAAAGTTTGTGCTGTCAGAAAAACTCCAACGGTTTCTGGAAGCTGAGAAGTTTCACCAGACAGACAATATTCAGTTATTACGGTAATTTCACTCCTGCTGTTCAGAGAGAAAATCTGTCTCTCCGTCAAAGAAAGCAGCAGACAGACACACAACAGAGCGGAGAAACGGAGCAAAAAGAGAGAAAGGTGAGAAAAAAGTGATTATTTCAAAGGAAAATGACTGAAATACAAACATCCTGAGTGAGAAAACCTCCACTGAGGTTTACAGAAGATTTTAGGACCGATGGAGAAGTTTTCAGAGCAACTTCAGACAGAGAAAGGTAAAGACTGAGCGGCTGATTTTCTGTGTTGGTTTCTGGATGAATGAAGCTCTCTGTGTCGTTTTTATTTATTTACGTTATTTTATATCAACACTTATAACCTGTAGTGACTTTATTAGAAAACCATGATAAGGCAGTCAGTTTGTACAACATACGCCTGTTTGTACTTTGTTTACCTGTGACTCCTAAATACGGTGTATTTGTATAATTTGGTGACTTTTTTAGTGTCGTGTAGTTCAGTTTTTTTCTCATTAAAACTCAAAAAATCTTATTTCGTTTTTGTTTTTCTTTATCTTAAAATGTTAAAGTACTCTTTTAACAGGCAGTAAATTATAAATGACAGTCAGATTTTGAAAGTTCAAAGTGTTCTGGAAAAATGGGTAAAAACACTCAAAGGACATTTTCTGCCAATTTTATGGCTAAAATAATCAAAATAATCCAGGTGGAAATTGTGTAATTTAGGGTTTAAAGGACAGATGTTCAGACTTACTTCCATCAGAGCTGAGATATCTGGACAGCTGCTTCTCCACAGAGTCAAATCTCTGTGTCTCTCTGTGGAAATAAAGAACATTTATTTTCTTTATCATTTCATGTTTGAAAGATTCAGAATAAGAAACATTTATTAAACCAGAGTTTCTCTTTTCTCTAACATAAAACAGTAAAATATTCAGCTGCTGCTGCCTCAAAGTGTGGAGACAGGAGAAAAAACTCAACTGTGATTTTTGAAGGTCGAGAGATTTTCTCTGACAGTTTCAAACATTTTTTAACAATCAGATCTAAAGGTCTAATAACAGACAGATGCTCTGAATGAGTTTTTATTTCTCAGGATTTATTTCTTCTTTGGTCTTCTGGTATTTTCTGACCCACAGACTGTTTTCTGGGGTCTATACACCACAGTCCAAAGACTAACAGGCTCAAAACGTCCCAAACACAGGAACCAAATCAGAAAATACAAGAGGTCAGGATCCTTTTCTAATGCTGTTTTATACCACCTTCATTTTTATCAACATCAGGAATAATAAGTAAATCTGAGCTCAGTGACTTTTTCTTTACCAGACCTTTATCCAGGTTGGAGGTTCAACATCAGCTGTTGTTGTTTGAGAGTTTGGAGGGTGAAAAGTGTTTCTCTTACTGTGAATCTGAGGGTCCTGGTTCTTTACTGAATTCAGGTGGAAGACCTTTAGACCCGTCACTTTCCATAGACAGACAGTCGGAGATAACAGACTCTTCTCTGTCCTCCTCTGATGGTCCTGGTTTTTTACTGAATTTTAGAGGATTATCTTTAGACCGGTCACTCTTCATAGACAGACAGTCGGACATGTCAGACTTTTGCTCTGCCCTCCTCTTCCTCGACACCATCTTCTCGATCTTCTGTTGTGCAAATTTATGGAAGATGAAACCGAGATACAACCTGAGGACAAAGTAGACAAACAGGTGAGACACAAACAGGAAGAGAGAGTTTCAAAATAAAAGAGGAATCAGAAAGGAAGTAGAGAGTCTGAAAACAGCTTCATCCCCCTCTTTAAGAGTTTTAAAGGTTTAATCATAGATATATGTATATAAACCTTTCTTATATATGTCTATGGGTTTAATATCAAAGACCTTCTGATGTCTCCCCACCCTGCAGGGCCTCTCTCTGATCCTTGTCTGATTCATGGTCCAAACAAAATCAGCTGTGAGGTCCCTGAACTCTCAGAAAAACTTAAGGAGACTGGATTAAATTTGAAATGAGAGGCTAAAAAGATTCTGATTTTAGTTTTTACCACAAAGACAAGTCTGAACAAAGAGGAGGAAGAACTGCACGTACACAGTTTCCTGTATGAAGAACTGATCCAGCTCTTTGTCTGCTCAGGTTTCTTTGTTTTACAGTTTTTAAGTGTTTTAGTCAGTAAATCATTTTTCATTAACAGATAAAACAGATAAAGAGTTTGACATTAAAACCAAAACAGAGTAAACACTCACCCTGTCTCCTCGTCCTCTCCTCTCTCTTCTTTTCTCAAAATGGAGTCTGTTTTTCAGCTCAAATACTTTCACTTTCACTCTGACTGTTTTCACTGAAACCTAAACCACCAGATCACAGATTCTTCTCCTCATTTACTGACAGTTTTTCATCATCTTTTAAGTTCAGTATTCTTGACAAACATCTTCCTCTCCTGAGTCTAAATTCAAAGTTCAGTAAATACAGGAACTTGTTTGTTTGTTTGGGTCTCAGTTTATTGTTAATGCAGCAGCTCCACCTGCTGGTCAAACCAACAAACTACAGATGATAACTCCTCTTCTCATACAATGTGAATATTTGGTTGAACAGGTTTTTATTTTTGCACACAGTGTGATTGTGTTGTCACACAAACTCCTCCTTCACCTCACTTTACAAAGATCACTGTCCAACATCATATTCAGTGAAGGAGACAAATATGTTGATGTGACGACAGAAAATAAGATAGATGTATATAAACGCTAGATGTCTTACGCACGCTGTTAGCGATGGTGACCGACGTCCCCGCATGGCGGCCATCTTGCTACGGTAAGCTCGCCCTCTCCTAACATTCCAGTCTAAAGGTCATGTAACATTTAAATAACCATAGATATAACCATAGAAACCTCAGTTTTAGTTATGTTCCTGCATACTCAAGAATTATTTTATACATGGACTTTCATAAACAAACATTAAACATCCTGACTCATAGTCACGTTATTAAGGTCTGTAATAAACTAAACCATTTGTAAATCTGTCAAGATTTCAGCGAGTTTAGAGTATTTTTGATCATGTAGATTACTCACCTCCCGTCAGCTACAATAGAGCGAACCAGGATGATATACTGCAGTAAGATGGCCGCCGGTGACTCCGCCTCATAGAGTCATCTAGCTTTTTTTATATCTATGCTGTGGACCTTCGAGTTGTTTGGTTCCGCCGATAAAGCGGAAGTGGATTTTCTCCACGGAACTTTTTGGTGACGTACCGTCCGCCATGTAGGACAGCAGTTGATGTAAAACATCCGGAAGATAAAGTTGATCAGTTTGAAGTCCAGCTGACTCTGATCGATAATCAATATCCGTTCATAAAGATGATCAAAGAGCTGGCGGACATATCGAGCTGAGTTCCGGTTCCGTCTGATGTAAAATGGAGGCGAAGTTCGGCAGTGAAGTGGCCTCGGTCGTGGAGGTCTCTCTCCGGGCCGTCGTGTCCGTGTTCCGGAGTCTGTGGCAGAAAGAGGCGCCAGACCCAGACCCGGACCTGGAGGAGGAGAAGTTCGGGGAGGTTCGGCAGATAGAGAAGAGTCTGGTGGTTCAGATCCACAGAGTGTTCACGGAGGTGTCCTCGGAACTGCTGGAGGAGAATGAGGTTCTGCGGGCCAAAGTGGACCAGCTGGAGGACCTGCTGCAGAGGAAAGCCGGGCAGCTGGAGCGGGACCTGCAGGTCCGGGTGGGTCAGCTGGGGAAGGAGATGGAGCAGCTGGAGCAGGAGCTGAAGAGCATCAGTGAGGGGAGCAGCAAGACCCACGGAGGAGGTCCGGAACACGAACAGCTGCAGGACGGCTCAGTGACGAGTGAGAGACGGTCCAGTCAGCCTCATAACAGAACCAGAACCAAGACTACTACTATTATTATAATTATTATTATCATTATAATCGTTATTATTATTATTATCATTATCATCATCATTATTATCATTATTATTATTATCAAAAATAAATGTAATATTATTATTTATTTATTATTATTATACTTCTTATTATTATCAGTTGTAATTGTAGTGGTGGAGTAAGTATATGTATTATTTTTGACAGTATAAGTATAATTTTTATATTTAAGATTATTATTATTATTATAAGTATTTTAAGTATTATTAGTATTATTATATTCAATATTATTAGTTTTTTATTATAACATTTAATATTAGTAGTATAATGTTTTATTTAATATTATAAAATATATAATATTATCAGTATTGTTATAATTATATTCAGTTATTTAAGTTTAATTTTTATATTTAATATTATATGATTATATTTAATACATCAGTATTATTAGTATTATATTTTACATTTAGTATTATATTATGTTTATTATTTAATATAATTTAAATAATATTTAATATAATATAATTAGTATAATTTTTATATTTAATATTATATAATTATATATTAAATATTATCATTATTATATTCAATAATAGTATGACTTTTATATTTAATATTTCTAGTATTATTGTTTTATTATTATATCTAAGTATTTATATTATGTCTATTATTATTATATATATATAGTATTATTAGTATAACTTCAATATTTAATATTATTATTAGTATTATTATAGGTAGTAGTAGTAGTATTATTTTTTATAATATCAATTGTGTTATTATTTCTATTATTATATCTAATATTATTAGTATTTATAATAATAATAGTTTGACATGATGTCTGTATTAGTCTCAAAAATATTATGTTTTTTATTATATATATAAAATTGCATAATTTTAATATTTAATATAATTATTAGTTTTATTATTATTTGTAGTAGTAGTATTATATTTAATATTAGTATTATTATTACATGTAATATAATTAGTGTTATTATTACTATTATATTTAATATTATTAGTATAATTTTTATATTTAATATTATAATTAGTAGTTGTAGTATTTCTAATATTAGTATTATTATTATATATAATATCATTAGTGTTAGTATTACCATTATTATATTTAATATTATGAGTATTTATAATAATAATAGTTTGACATGACGTCTGTATTTGTCTCAAAAATAGGTCCACCTGGAGTGTCCGTCTGCACCAGTCCTGTTGACCCCCAGGTTTCCTCGGACCCGCCTCTGTCTGCTGATGAAAACGATGACCCTGTTTCTGACCCTAATCCTGCTGGGAAGGTCGGCTCGGTCCCCGCGGTGCTGGTAGTGGGTCACAGCCAGGCCAACAGTCAGCCGCCGTCCTCTTCCACGTCCGTCCCTGAGAGGACAGGAACGATGCAGCTCTCCCTCAAACCCGCCCCTTCGCCGGACTCCACCCCTCAAGACGTCCCCAGTCCAGAATCCAGCAGTGGTGTCGACACAGCACAGGAGAAGGTCAGAGAACTTTACTGTGTCTGTTAAATCTTAAATTCAAAACTTCAGAAGGATTTAATCTCAATATCTAATGATTCAGAAACTTCTCAGCAGCAAGTCCAGAATTTATTACATTTAGGAAAAAAACAATCAAAACTTCAAAACCGTCACCTTTATGAGCAGAGCGCAAAGGATGATGGTCTCTGTAGTTCCCCTTTCCTCCACTCTGCCGCTCCACTTTCATACGGTCACAGGAGGTTGAGGAAACGTCACGTCTCTATAAATCTAAGTTTAGATGTTAAAGGTTATGTTCAGTCCGAGTGTCAGACTTAGCAGCATCCCAGTAAAACAGATGAGTTACAGTTACAGTTACTCACTGTCTGGGTTCAGTAGTGAGGTGTTTTTGACGCGTTTCTAGTACAATCCAATGTCCAATCCAAGGTTGTTGTTGAGTTATAATTTTGCAATTTATAGATTAAATGAAAAACAAACAAACAAAGACAGATGCGTCCAACTTACGACGATGGTCTTCGTGATGAGGGTGAGAGTGGGTGTCGGAGATAAGCGGTAAAAACCGTGAGCTCTCCCCGTTCCCCAGATCACTGCTTCACCTGTGTCTCTTTGGTAGAATTTACCTGCTCATCCACCTGAAGTGTCCTTTGTGGTGATTGTACGAATAACAAAACCCAAAAAAATAATATAGATAAAATGGCTCATTCACTAATGATCCCATGTCAGATTTTCTTATACTAAGTTGAGCTGAATTTATGTGACTGACAGAATTTAAAGGAATGGACTTTCTGTTGCTTCACAGAAATCTGTGGAGGAGGTTCCTTTGGGGAGATCCAGGAGAACCAGGAGACCAACTTCTAAAATTCTGGAAGGTATGATGATCATATCTCTCACAGTTGTTTTTTGGATTACGGCCACACTGAAATGAGAGAATATTACTGAAGTACCAATTCTCAAACTGTTCTAAACTCAGTGTTTGTTTCTTCCTCACGTTTCCAGCTTCCATGGGGAACATCTTTGAGGAGAACAAATCCAGACCCGGTGACGTGCAGGAAAGACGGCTGACAAAGAGCGAGACCCAGACGGTGAAGCGGTTCCCCTGTGATCTTTGTAACGCCAGTTTCCATTGGAAAGGTGAACTGAAGAAACACGTGAAGGTCCATAAGCAGCCGTTTCCCTGTGAGCAGTGCGGGAAAAGTTTCCTGGAAAGGAAGTCTCTGGAAAATCACCTTCTGCGTCATGAAACGGTCAAAGCTCCTCTGCCTTTCCCCTGTCCCCAATGTAAGAGGTCGTACCGTAAAGAACAGTCGCTGCTGAACCACCTGCAGCGTCACCAGAGGCTGAACCCTCCAAAACCATTCGCCTGCGATCAGTGTGGGAAAACATTCAGGCTGCAGCAGTCTCTGGAAAACCACCTCCAGCGCCACGAGAAGTGGAAGCAGATGTTGAAGTGCCAGCTTTGTGATAAAACCTTCAAGACGCCGGTGCATCTGAGATGTCACAAGGCCGTGCACTCCGAAGAGAGACCGTTCAGCTGTGCCACATGTGGGAAGGAGTTCAAGAGCAAAGACACCCTTCGTTTCCATCAGATGGTCCACACAAACTCCAAGAAGTACAAATGTTCAATGTGTGAGGAGACTTTCAAATACGCCCACTCTCTGACTGTGCACAAGAGGAAACACACCGGCGTCTCCCCGTTCACCTGCACCATCTGCAACAAGTCCTACAGAACCGGCACCGCTCTGAAGAGACACAGCCTGGTCCACACTGGAGAGAAACCCTTCACCTGTCACATCTGCGGCGCCAGATTCAGCCTGAATAACAACCTGAAGAGGCACCTTCGTCTGCACACGGGAGAGAAACCCTTCACCTGTCAGGAGTGTGGGAAGAGCTTCTCAGACAACACGAAGCTGAAGTCTCACATGCTCATCCACGGCGCCAGGAAACCTTTCATGTGTGACCTGTGCGGGAAGACCTTCCTCTTCAACTGCAGGCTGCTCATACATCAGAAGTACGTGCATGCCGACATGAACGAGGAGGCTGACGGCACAGAAAGTGTCTCACAGAACAGAAAACGAAACAAGTCGCTGGTCAAACCGTTCAGCTGTAAGATCTGTCTGAAAGGTTTCAGCGCCGCGTGCTCGCTCAAACTTCACGAAAGAGGTCACAGTGAGCACAAGGAGTTCAACTGCGGCATCTGTGGAAAGTCTTTCCACAACAAATACTCCTTCGGCTATCATCAGAGGAGCCACTCGGGGGAGAAGCCGTTTGTCTGCGACGTGTGCGGGAAGAGGTTCTTCCACGCCGGGAGTCTGAAGCAGCATGAGCGGATCCACACCGGGGAAAAACCGTACAAATGTGACCAGTGCGGCAAAGCCTTCAGAACAGACGGAAACTTCTACAGACACCTGAGGATCCACACAGGAGAGAAGCCCTTTGAGTGTCTGTACTGTCACAGGAAGTTCCACCAGTCGAACCAGCTCAAGTCTCACCTGCAGGTCCACACCGGCCAGAAGCTCTACTCCTGTCAGCAGTGTGGCCGCGGCTACTCCGACTCCAGGCAGCTCAAGAAGCACAGCTGTGACGGCTCGTAGTTCACCAAACACCTCCGATTCACGAATGAAACTGATAAATAATAGAAGAGTTAGATCTCTACAGCTGTCAAAGCTAAACCTCGCAAAAAATACTAAAGATTGGCTGCTGACGAGAGCTGTTTGTTTGCTCAGAACAATCCAGAAATGTAATCCACTTTGGTTTAAAATATGTTGCAGTCAGTCAGTAAAAACATTGATGATAGTTTCACTGCAGCAGACGGGGGCAGGTTTGTCTTTCCAGTTTAGACTGAGCGCTCCTCTCTTGGCTGCAGGTCAGAGAATAAGTTTAGACATTTAAGGTCCAGAAAGTTCTCCATCATCATCGCGGCTTATTTGCTAGAATTAGAGAATAAATAAAGAGATTGAAGTAGTCACAGCGCAGCTCATTAAAATTTTTCTGTTAACTCTGAAAATCTGCTTTATGAACTTTAACAGAAGGGCAAGTGAGATGTAACTGTTTCTCAAAATACGATATAAATGATGAAATGGCTTTCTATTTCAAAGGTCTGTGTGATACTGTTATATTTTCTCAGTTTGTTGTAATAAAAAAAAAACTTTGCAAGTAACTTTTAGGAGTTTTATTTTGAAGTGGGATTTTACTCAGTGATGTTTCCATTTCCGGTGTCTGTCTGAAATGCTGTTTTTGTTCGCTGTTTCTTCCGTCAGTTGTTCCTTTAAAGAGATAAAATGAGAGATAATTTAGTGTTTAACTCAGAAACAAAGACCATCCTGGTCACAGTCATTCGGACCACCATCGATGTCATTAAAAATGTAAAAGACGGAACCAGACCAGAGGAGCCGAACCGAACCTCAGAGGTGAGCGAACTGTTAACAGGTTTACCGCCAAAGTAAACGCGGATCACCGTTTATTTAATGTCCCGGAGACAGTAAACGGCGGAGAGTGGACCATGACGAAGAATCCATGTAACGTTACAGCGGCAGGCAGCGCGGGGCCCGGGAAAAACAAAGATGGCGGACTCTGTAAACGCTGTAGCTACTGAATATCAGGATAAAGTTACGAGAGGGAAAGAATAAAAACACTGAACTGGTTTTAAAAACTGTGAAGTTTTCACCGACTTCATGTTAACTCCTATAAAGAGTAAGGATGACATAACTTAACCCTAGAACACTATCGCTAAAATTAGTAACACCATCACTATCGGGTGATTTTTACCCGAAATAATATACCCAAGAAAAAGTACCTGTCATTAAAATATATCAAAATAGGACAAACATGACAAATTAAAGTAAGTTTCTTTTAGTTTTAACTGTGCAACGTTCAAAGGGGGGAAATAGTGCCATGAGAGGACCAAAAATACAACAAAATAACTGAAATTAGGCATTCATGAACAAAATTCCTAAAGATTACTAATAATATCTGTAAACTTATTTTCTTTTCCACCCATTCCTGGGGTATGTGAGTCTTCTCAGGGTCCTCGGCACAATAACAGCTGCAGGAGAGAGAACCAAAATCTGTCAGATTGGAGTAAAAATGATTAAAGCTGACTCAAATATTTCCTATCACCGTATTAATTCCCCTGAAAATCAACTACTTTGTGATAGTTATTTATAACCACTGTGTTAAATAAAGATAGCATGTAAATTCCAGGACCGCTCTGACTGACCTTATTCCCTACATGCAGCGATCAAACCCACCCAAACCTCCTTTACCCTCCATCACTAAAAGCAGCCTGTGAACACGAGTCTGTAGGAAAAAACAGGTTTTGGATCAGAGAAACAGAGATGTCTTCAAAGATGTCAAAGGAAATGCTGAAGATACCCAGACAAACACAACATCATGAAGATCAGCTAAAAACATGTTTGGTTGGGTGAAAATCACCCAGTGATAGTCTTCTAGGGTTAATCTAATAGGTGTTTGATATACACACCAGTGGAAAACATCCAATTCAGGTCAGAACCACTTTCCTCCCTCTCAGTTATGATCTGCTTTAATTTGAAAACTAAAGGGATTAAGTGTTCGGGAGCACTTACAAACAGCTGACTGGGTTTTCTATCTTGGCAGCAGGATTTACCGTGCACCTTGGAAATGTTGGCAGAGGAGGCAACAAGAAAGATCACCGCCGTCTTCTCTCAACTGTCCTCAAAGCTGTTACACGAAAACATGACGCTGGAGGCCAGCGTGATCCAGCTGCAGAGCGACATGGAGACTTTGAGCCGAGACTTTGAAAATGCAAGACTGTGGAGAGAAAACGTTCTGAATGGCTGCCCCGTCCTGTTCGAGCAGAGCGGCTTGGTCTACACCCTGAAGCCATTTGGAAAGTTAAAACTAAAGACAGGTGAACTGACCGAGGGCGTCGCTGAATCATCACCTCCTGCTGCTGACGGGCCTGGTAAGTTCTCATCCAAATATCCAAAACAGATCAAGTAGAGGAGACACCTGCTGTTTGTTTTATCCCACAGAAACTCTCAGTAACCGTGGCTCATGTTTTTTTTTCTATTCTGCTATAAATTTCTTTTTCAGACAGTGGAGAGAGAGCAGAGGAGACGAACTCTGAATCTGTGTCCTCAGCTAGAAGACAGGATGAGATTTTAAACGGTAAATGTAGGAGAAAAAAACAAACTATTAGTGATTTCAACAGCAGGAACTTCCTTCAGGAACTAAAGACTATAAGAGGAACTCTGTGTGTTTCTTTGTGAACTAGGACCACAGGAATTTAGTTCTGGGGAGAAAGATCTACCCCTCACTATGTATTTGTGTTTTTATTTTTAAATATCCAGTTTCTGTCTGTTTTCATTAAATTCTGACTAATATCTTCAATCTAACTCTAATTCTTTTAAGACGCCACAGAAGATTATATCCTGAAGAGCACGGAGGAATCTAGGAGCGCGCAGAAAGTCGACGTCGGGAGGAAAAGCAAAGTGTTTGTGTGTGAAGTCTGTAACAAGAGCTTCAACCGGCAGTTTCATTTGATGAAACACATGAATACTCACAAAGATCAGAGGCCCTTCACCTGCAACCAGTGCCCGAGGAAATTCAGGAACACTGCCACCTATGAATACCACCTGCTGCGGCACGAGGAGAAGAAGTTCGCCACCTTCAAGTGTGAAATCTGTGAGAAGACGTTTAAAACCAAAATGTACCTGAAGACCCATCAGCTCGTTCACACGGACACGAGGCCGTTTGTCTGCTCCACCTGCGGGAAGGGCTTCAAGACCAAACACAGCCTTCAGGCTCATCAGGTCGTTCACTCCGTGGAGAAGCCGCACAAGTGCTCCGAGTGTGGTGAGAGCTTCAGGTACGCCATCACGCTGCAGTGCCACAAAAGCACTCACTCGGGCGAGCATCCGTACAAATGTGCAGTGTGTGGCAAAGCTTTTGTGAAGCGGAGATCGCTTCGCACACACCAGTCGGTCCACAGAGGGAAAATCTTCACGTGTGAGACATGTGGAGCGGGGTTCACTCTGCAACACAACCTGAAGAGACACATCCGAATCCACACAGGAGAGAAACCCTTCAAATGTAAAGTCTGTGGGAAGAGTTTCATTCAGGACAACAAGCTGAAGGTTCACATGCTGCTTCATGGAGCCTCCAAATCCTTCATGTGTGATCTGTGTGGGAAAACGTTCCTTTACAACTGCCAGCTACAGAAACACCAGAGGATGACTCACGATGAATCACGGGGGCAGATCACGAGCAGGCGAGCTCGAGAACCAGGAAATCGCAGAGTCATCTACCGACGAGACAGAACCACAGTGGACGTGACTCCTTTCAGCTGCAAGACCTGCCGCAAGGGCTTCGACACGGCCAACGCGCTGAAGAGACACGAGGTCATTCACTCGGGTCAGATGCAGTACAACTGCGACACATGCGGGAAGTCGTTTTTCTATAAAGCCACGTTTGACTACCATCAACGGATCCACTCAGGAGAGCGACCGTTCGGCTGCGATGTGTGTGGGAAGAGGTTCATCATCCTGCAAGCTCTAAAGTCCCACAAACTGCAGCACTCTGGGGAGAAACCACACAAATGTGAGCAGTGCGGCAAAACCTTCAGGATCTACACAAACTACCTGAGACACTTACGGATCCACACAGGAGAGAAACCCTATGAGTGCGAGGTTTGTGGAGCAAGGTTCAGGCAGCTGGGACACGTCAAGTTTCACATGCAGGTCCACACAGGAGAGAGACCGTACTCCTGCAGCAGCTGTGGGCTCGGGTTTTCAGACTCCAGGCTGCTGAAGAAACACAACTGTAGTGAGAAATACCAGAAAGTTCTGGGAAACACAGTCAGTACGGCTCACAGTTAAAGCTTCAAATCAAGTTTATAGATTTTTTAATGAGGAAAGATTCTGTAATTCCTCGGATGTGTTTTTTTTTAAACATAAAAAATAAATGTTATGAAGTCGATAAAAGAATGAAGAGGAAATGTCTCTTCAGAAAGAAGAGCCTGTTATTCATTTTTAATTGTAGACTAGAATTTTCGATTTTATTGTAAACACCGATTTTAATTTGGAAGAAACCGGATTTACTCTGAGTCATTATTCCTCTGAGACCACCAAAGGGAGGCAGAGATATAATCGATGATGAGCCCCACACTTCTTTTTGGAACGTCATAAAAATACATCTATGTGAGCAAATTTTAAGTGAAAAGACTTTTATAAAAACCTCTTTTGTATGAGAAAACATTTGCTTTATCATTGGAAGTGCTTCCACGTCATAAATCAGCTAAAACTTTGTAGCGGTGCAGTGATTGGTGGAGCAGAAACGAAGCCTCTGGATTAACTAACACGACCTTTAAAAACTTCTCTGAGATTTATCTTTTCACCAGTTTTTCTTCTTTTTATCATACCGATCCTGATTTTATCCAATAGTTAGTTATTTGTGTTTCCACCATAGACTGTATATAGTACAGACAGCGTGACTCTGCCTCCTGTCGTCTTACAAATTTAAAGCCAAATTTCTCTCAGTATTTCCGTGACTTTGTCTGTTTCCTGAAACTGCCACTTGTGCAGTAACGTTCGAGTCACTGTCATGACGCTGTGCTTAATCAGTGTTTCGCCCAGATGACATAGACAATCCCTGAACGCCCATAGGCTGTATCAGGTGTCAATCATAGAAAACATGAACCCCCTAATAACTTTTAAAAATGGAGCTGTACAGAAAAAAGAGGACTTGAACACAAACCAGTCTGACAGTAACTACATGTCAACATCACAACCAGGGGGGAGAAACATTTATATTCTGTGTCATTCATTTATAAAGTTTGTCCACAGCTCCATAAGGAGGCGGGGTTTATGACCTATACTGCAGCCTGTCACCAGAGGGTGCTGTTCTCGCAGAGGCTTCACCCAGCTAGGAGGCAGAAAATGTTTATCCTACATACAGTCTACGGTTTCAATATTACATTTCAAAATCTCAAAGCACCGCCATCTTAATTATTTGATGCGCTGCTGCAGTAACTCACTTTGGCCACTGTGTGGCGGGAAGCTTCACACATAGAAAGTATTTCTGGTTTGGTGCTTAAAAAAAAAAATTACTTACAAATGCGATTTTAACTACAAAATCATACGGCCAAAACCCACAGGATCCGGAATGGCTCCGCTCCGACACGCAGGATTTTTTTTTTGGTAGGATAGTAGGGGAAGGTCCTGCCCTCCTTCGCCTCTGATTGGCTAGAAGTGCTGGGCTCCGATTGGTTATTCCTTATGGCTGTGAAACGTCATCGTCTGGTGGGTTAGGAGAACCAACTTGCGATAATAATGTTCTGTTTGATTGCTGCGTTCGAGTTACCTCTGAAGTCAGATGTCGGAGCTGAAGATGACGTTGCACCCGAGTTCCCAGCGTTTCAGTTACCAAGTCGTAAAAAGTAAAATCGCAGACCTGACACAAGATGGCTACATCTACGAAAGTTATTTTAGCGCTTGCCTTATCCTTGCTTATATTACGACAAAAGGAATGACCAATCAGAGCCCAGCATTTCTAGCCAATCAGAGGCAAAGGAGGCGGGACCTTCCCCTATCACAAGCATTAGACTATATATATTTATCAGGATTTGTAATTTTTGCTACATGTACTGATTCTCTGAAGGTAACTGATGAAAAATTCAAATTACAAACCACTCTCAGGATGCTTCCAAGTTGGCGCTCAGGCATCACTTCTTCTGGAGGTTTACGTGCTTTTATTTTGAAGTGAAACCGGAAGAAGCAGTTCGAAGTTCTGCTGACGCTGATGCGAGTATGTGTTTTACAACAATGATAATGTTGTAGCACATGAAGGCAAATGTTATGACATTAGACGCTGAAATTCAACCATCTTTTATTCCTTAAACATTATTTGTCGGTATGTCAGACCCAGATACGGAAATTAGCGCCACTCTGGAAATGTTGGTCAACGCGACCGTCACAGAAATGAGCAAAGTTCTCGGTGTTTCTGACCCGAGACCAGAAGGAGAACCTTCAGCAGCTGAAGACACAGAGGATGATCCTGACCAAAAGGTAAAAGTATATATTAGTGTCTTCGCTGACAGTTTCAGTCTCAAATTCTCCGGTTTAGACTCTCCGGACTTTAACGAGCAGCCGGTCATAGAAATAGAAGAACTAGCTCGCTGCTATAGTTCGCTTTAGTGATTAATCTCACAGAACCGTTCACCATCAGACTGAGATGCAGATAAAAGTGTGTTTACAGGTTAAATAAGAGGGAACCATCTGTGTATGTTTGATAAAGCTGAAGCTACAATAGGAAGAATCCATCTTTGATCGCCATTTTGAGCTGAGCTGCAGGTTCAGGCCCATCTATGTGCTGTAGGTCTACGGAGGGTTTAAACTCCAACTAAATACTAAACCGGAAATACACAATCCACGGCTAACCTTAGATTCTCCACTACAGTCAATTAAATATCTTAATTATAACTGATGTCTGAGTTTTAACATCACTCTTAATAAATCTTACGGAGATGGTCATCAGTTTATGGAGTCAGTGAAGGTTCGAAGCTCATGGGTGAAGAAGAGGTTAGACATTTAAAGTGAATTTAGTCTTTAGTCTTTAGTTTGATTAGAAATAAAGATCATTTTAAAAGAGTTTTATCATCAACTGTGGTTTCTCTGAGCTCCAACAGGAGGTCAGAAACCTCAAAGTCCACCATTTAATCTTGGAGGACTAATAAAGTCCTCATAGTAGTTCAGGGGGAACAGAGACAGTAAAGGAGTCTGAGGAGAGGATCAGAGTTTACCTTCAGACTGTTGAAACTTCTTCTCTTCATAAATACAGATCTGTGGATGTTCTCAGTCACTTTCTTAGTTATATGTAATAATAATAAACAGAATGATTGTTCCAGTTAAATAGAGTAAAATAGATAAAAATACACATGAATGTGAAGAAGTGACTGTTATTGAGGGAGAGAGAAGGTGAGGGGTAAGTTGACCATAGGAGACCACTGTTTTTGTCCTGCTATATTCTGAAGATGACAGTTCTGTTTACACTCATTCTGATGAACAACATCCTGAAATATCTGCAGAGACACGAGTTAGAGACTAAACTAGGACTGACTTGATGTAGTGATCATCTTACCCCACTCTCTCCGTATGAAAACAGTCAGAAATATGTGAGTGTTCGTGTTTATTTAGAAAACTTTCTGTGACACAGATTTTCAGCTCCAAAATAAGAAGACTGATGACTCGTGTTGTTGCCTTCAGGTGATCCAGTTCAGCATCTTCATGGCGTCTCTGGCTCGTGAAGCGATGGAGAAGATCTGCCAGCTTTTCCACGAGAGTTCGTCTCTGCTGCAGCTTGAGGTTCGTGTTGGTATTGAATGAATGAATGAAACTTTATTTAACCAGAAAAAAACTCCTTGAGGTTAAAAATCTCATTTTCAAGAGTTTCCTGGCCAAGACAGGCAGCAGTATATTTACAGAGTTACAGACATAAACAGTTACAGACATATGAGACATAACAACCAGCTAAGTCAAAGTCGCAGAGCAGAACTTTTTTAGTCGAAGCACTTACAGCCCGCTTCATCTTCCTCTAGGACCTTTAATCTACAGTTAAAGAGATTTAAGGAGACCCGCTCTCTAAGACACAGGTTTTCTTGGAGCAGATTCCAGTTTCTGCAGGAGCAGCAGATCTAAAACTACTTTTGCCCGTTTCAAGACGAACTTTGGGGACAGATAGCTAAAGTAGATTTTATGTCTGAGTTGCAGATTGAAGGCTGTATCTTCCAGGACTTTAGACATGAATATAATCACACAGGTTTGGTGGAAGCAGGCGGAGTACAGCCGTGTAAATCAGGATGTGCCGATGGATCAGTCTACGCATGGTCAGAGAGGGAGACCCAACTTGTTCATACAGAGTACAACGATGAGTTAAAGATTTGAGGTTTGTTATGAACCGTAGAGCGCCGTGATGAACAGTTTCATTTGTTTCCTCTCTTCAGGTGACACGAGGCGTTACAGAGATTGAGGAGCTGAAAACCAGACTGGAGACGGCAGAGACAGAGCTAAAGCAGGTGCTGGAGGGCAGCAGAGGCCAAGAGGAGGTGGAGGAGGTGGAGGAGGTGACGGTGAGCCGGGGACCTCCACCCAACAGAGCAGAAATGGTGAAGAGCGTTCGTCCAGGGAGGAGGGGTCTCAGAGGTGAGGGGTTCATCTTCTCACATTAAAAACATCAACTTTGACTAAAAACAGACACTTCCTTCTCTCAGTTTATGTTTAATGGGTTTAAGTGTTTAAATACTTATGACCCAAAAACAAATGTGACATTTTTCAGCTGTGGCTGCGGATCACGCTGGAGGGAAGAGGTCTTCAATAATTCACCTGTGGCAGGGCAGGATGTACGAGGTAAATCTGTCCTGTTTTTTCAGCTTGGTGAGGTTAATGTGGGTTTTATTCTGCTCCTTCTTCCTCACTTCTTGTTCTCGGCCTCCCTCTATCAGAGAACTCACATTATATAGACTTCGATTATTGTTTTTAAATAATCATGTGGCTTTACGAGCTCTAATTCAGAGGACATTGTCTTTATTTTGACCTTGTTCATCCTCTTTCCATCAGGCCAATGTCCAGACTGTAGTTATAAAGGAGGAAGAAGTGGACATCTTTGCTGACCAGGTGTCCTCAGATTCTGGTCAGTACAGAGACCAGGAGGACGGTGAGGACCCAGACTATCAGGTAAACATTAAAAGCATTCTGTCCATCTCTGCTTTATTCCAGGATGTGATTTTTACAGATTAACCAGGAGTTCCAGATTTTGGGACCTGAGACGTGACTCAGTCAGAGTGCAGCTGTATAAGTGATATAAAGACCGGCCTCTAATTCGAGCCTGTTTCATTCCAGGGCCTGGTTCCTTCCATGTTGATGTGAGTTTAGAGGTCTGTTTGTGTTTACAGTATGAGCTTCATCCATGAACAGAAACTTCTTCTTCCTGGCTGCTGGATGTCCACAGTTTCCTGCTCAGAGACAAAAGCAAAAGAGTCGATTAAAAGATCTTGATTTTTGCTCTTCTGTCAGCTGGAACCAGGAGACCCAGATGATGGTGATCCAGGACTCACTTCTAGACCCAAACGTGTCATCAAGTCCAGGTCCAATCGGGGGGGAGCAAAGAGGGACAGTCAGAGTCGCAAACATGGCAAGAGGACTTTCCCCAAACTGCAGCGGCTCATTAGTCAACATGCTGGAAACAAGGCCAATGCAGAGAAACCTTTCCACTGCTCCCAGTGTGGAAAAAGCTTCTCATTCCAGAGGAGCCTCTCCGCACACATGCTGCTTCACACAGGTGAGGCTTTTAATGGAGTCTGCTTATTGCCTCTGTTGTATTTAAGGTCAATGTTCACTCACAGTGGGTGGTCAGTCTTTTCACCAGGTATTCACCTACTGAACTAATGCAGTTTAGAACAGGACAGGTAGTGTACAAAGAGAGTTACATTTATTTGTTTTTTAAGTTTATTAAAGGAGGGACCCTTGAGATATAGCATCTCATTTTCAAGGGGGTCTCCAAACAAACATACACAGAACTCAGGACACATTACAATACATTAACATACATAACATATAACAAATACAGACACCTTACTCCCACACACAATCCCAACCAACACACGCCTAAAATCTTACTAAGGAGGATAAATAATGTGAACATAAATGCAGAAAAGAGATGAGAGTACAGTGCCATTCTGAAGGGATAAAAGAAGTAAGAGAACACAAAGAAAGAGGTCGTTTATTCTAATCTGATGAGGCTTTATACTGAAATGATCTTTTACCAACTTCTTTAAAGATTCTAGGAACAAAGAAAAATGGGAAGTTCATCTGTCTAAGAGAGTACGGGGAGTTATATGGGATCAAGAGTTCTTTTAAATATGAAGGTCAATGGAGATAAACACGTTTAAAGAGGAAATGAAGTCAATGAAATTATCGTCTTGATTTGGGTTATAACCAGTTCAGTGAGTCAAACATAAAGCAGTGATGAGTCAAACCAAATCTACATAAGGAGTTAAACAGTCAGAGGTCTGAGATGAGAGTCAGAGGTGTTATGGTAAACTATATCAGCATAATCAATAAGTGGTAATATCAGCTGTGATATTAGTCTTTTTCTGACATTTAAAGTAAAACTATTAATTGATCGATACAGTGATGGAGGACGACCATATGACTTTTTGACGGTGTAATCAATATGAGGTTTGAAGGTCAGTTCTGGATCAATCCAAAGTCTGAGATATTTAAATGAATCAACTTTGTCAACACCAGCACTAGTCTTATCTTTCAACTGAGCGAGGAACACGTCATTGGGCATGATTTTATTAAAGGGAAAGAGGTCAGAGAAAGAACCATGTAAGGAACTGAAAGTCCAATAAGAGTCAAAGTGATAAGAGCTCGAGATGGAAGAGAAATGATGATTAAAGTCATTTGAAATAAGAGATGGATCAGAGATACGCCCATTGTCAAACTGAATCTCATTTAAAGCTTTTTTGTTATTTCTCTTAAGACTGTCTTGGATTATAAACATTTTGGGACAAACCATCTTTATAGTAATTTACTCTCTGATGATACACATTTCTCTCGTGCACAGGTGAGAGACCACACACCTGTGATGTTTGTGGGAAGGGTTTTACCCTGAAACAGCTTCTGAGGAACCACCAGCGTCTGCATGCTGATGTCCGACCGTTTCAGTGTGAACACTGTGGAAAGAGCTTCTACCGAGCTCACGGCCTGAAGATACATCAGAGGGTCCACACAGGGGAGCGGGCTTACATCTGCGAATACTGCAACAAAAAATTCACAATCCCAGGCAACCTGCAGCGACACCTGCGCATCCACACGGGGGAGAAACCGTACAGGTGTGAGACCTGCGGCAAAAGCTTCAACCAAGCAGACACCCTTAAAGGGCATCAGCGGATTCACACAGGTGAGCGTCCCTTCAGCTGTGAGACCTGTGGAAAAAGCTTCATCCAGAGGAACGTTTTGAAGATGCACCAGAGGACTTCTCATGCAGGAGAGAACATCCTGGCATGTGTAGCGTGCGGCGCTAAGATGGCGTGTGTGGATTCTCTTCGCAAACACATCCAGACACATGCAGCAACCATCCCGTGTACGTGTGTGCTCTGCGGTCAGCGGCTCAGCTCCATCACAGACCTGCGCTCACACCAGCAGCACCACACGGTGGTCCGGCCTCACACCTGCAGCCTCTGCTGGAAGAGCTTTAAGACGTCCAGTTACCTGAAGATTCACCTGAAGGTGCACAGCGGGGAGAGGCCCTTCTCCTGTGACATCTGCGGTCGCATGTTTACCCAACTGAGCAGCCTTAAATCTCATAAGGTAGGTTAGAAACCTTTAAGTGTTTTTGGACTTAAAGGGATTTTCTGGTGTAAAATTAATTTAGGGTCAAACCCACCGTAACACCGAGTTAGACCCCCCCTCCAGAGATGAATGTTTCCGACCGCTTGCTTCTCTAGTTATACCAACTTTAGTAACTAGTTACCAAAAAATACTCAAATAATAAACGTTTGCAGTGAAACTCCAAACAAAGTGACATTAGCCTGATAACACCTTTGTGATGGTTACAGATGAAACAGAGCGCTCTCTCTTTGAGCTGCTACATTTGTTGGTTTTTATGAAGGATCTGACTTCTTCTCATGAAGACTAATGACAGTTTTCTCTCACCTGTCCAAAGGTGGTTCACACAGGAGAGAAACCTTTCAGCTGCGACACATGTGGGAAATGTTTCAGCAACGCAGGCAACCTGAGCAGACACCAGCGTATCCACACGGGGGAGAAACCCTTCAGCTGCGACATATGTGGACGCAGCTTTAACCAGGGAAACAGCCTGAAAGCGCACCAGCAGATACACACAGGGGAGAAACAGTACATGTGCGACAAGTGTGGGAAGAGTTTTGCCTACCGGAGGAACCTGAAGGATCACAAGTGTATTTATGTCTGAGTTCAGACTGAGATGGGACGGAGAAATCAAGTTTTTACCTGCCTGTCCAGGAATTAAAGAACTGATGGAGAAGTTCATGTTCGCCTGTTCTTAAGAACTGTGAGACGGTCACTGTGTGTACTACTGTGGTTCAAAGTCAAACCTAAAAAAGCCATCTAGTAGTTTGATCCTGTGGAGTTAAAGATCTTTTAGACTAAAACAGGTTAACTTATTTTATGTGTGCAGCGCCGACGAGTTTCAAACGACTGTATTTCAGTTGTAATCGGCGGATTTTAGCATCTAAAAAAGGTGCTTTCTTTTTTTAAAGTGGAGTTTCTGTTCCCACAGGTGAATAAAACACAAACTGTGAGTTTCACAAATAAAGTTGCTGTTTGTCTGAAGAGCTCAGAAATTTAAGGTTGTGCTTTTTAAACTATTTTATCTGTAACTTACACCTGTGAGAAATGAACAGAGTACTGCTAACTATGTTTTCCTCTACACATCGATAAAATGTTCTCCTTTTTCAGACGGCAAATAATGCAAGAAAAAAAAATTGTGTGGATTTTTTAATGTCCAGTTTATAAAAAGGTAACAGTCATTTAACAGTGAGAATGGAGACTGAAACGCTCCCTTGCTCACCCCTCCTGTTGATGAAACTTCTGAAAGGATGAAAAGCTCCTGCGTTGAGAACAGTTCTGCACTCCTGAAGTTTTACTATTAATACAAATCCGTTTGCACGCGGTGGCAGCTCATTGGGGGAAATTTGGATGTACAAAATATTTTGGGGAGGAACTCAGTGCATAGATGGTTTAGATTTTCATTTCAACATTTAAGACGTACCAAGTTGGTAAAAAGAATTTTTAAGAGGTTGTGATTTATAATAATAAAAATAATCATAATAATTAAAAATATTATGATTATGATTCTTCTTCTTCCTCTTCTTCTTCTTCTTCTTCTTCTTCTTATTATTATTATTATTATTATCATTATTATTATTATTAATAATAATAATGTATTTTGTTTCAATTTATTATATTTTATTTTATTTATTTCAACATCTAAGAAGTAGCAAGTTGGTTAAAAGAATTTTAAGAGGTCATGATTTATAATAATAAAAATAAAAGTAATTATTGCTAGTATTTAATAATAATAATAAAAATAATAATAATAATAAAAATAATAATAATAATAATAATAATAATTGATTTTGTTTTATTTTATTGTATTTTAGTTTTATTTTATTTCAACATCTTAAAAGTACCAAGTTTGTAAAATGAATTTCAACAGGTTGTGACTTATTATTATTTTTATTATTATTATTAATTTAGGTTGTTTCATTTTATTGTATTTTATTTTTATTTTTCCTTAGTACAGAATTGATGATGACAGCCTGACTCACACTCCATGAGTCAGTAGGTGGCGGTAATGCGCCTGATCGCCGTTTACAAACCGCCTAAAAAACTAAAGAAGAAGACGAAGAGGCGGCAGTTTGGAGTTTTGCTAACGCTAGTGTGAGTTCGGTTTTTACGAGAAATGAGAAGGTTATAGCACCAAAAAGCATATTTTATAAAAGAGGACCGCTGAAATTTAATCATCTTTTATTCCTTAAACATTATTTGTCAGCATGTCAGACCCAGAAACGGAGATTATCGCCATTTTGGAAGTTTTGGCGAACACGACAATCATAGAAATGAGCAAAGTTCTTGGTGTTTCTGACCCGAGATCAGAAGGAGAACCTTCAGCAGCTGTTCTTGAAGACACAGAGGATGATCCTGACCAAAAGGTAAAAGTATATATTAGTGTCTTCGCTGACAGTTTCAGTCTCAAATTCTACGGTTTAGACTCTCCGGACTTAAACGAGCAGCCGGTCATAGAAATAGAAGAACTAGCTCGCTGCTATAGTTCGCTTTAGTGATTCAACTCACAGAACCGTTCACCATCAGACTGAGATGCAGATAAAAGTGTGTTTAGAGGTTAAATAAGAGGGAACCATCTGTGTACGTTTGATAAAGCTGAAGCTACAATTGGAAGAATCCATCTTTGATCGCCATTTTGAGCTGAGCTGCAGGTTCAGGCCCATCTATGTGCTGTAGGTCTACGGAGGGTTTAATCTCCAACTAAATACTAAACCGGAAATACACAATCAACAGCTAACCTTAGATTCTCCACTACAGACAATTAAATATCTCAATTATAACTGATGTCTGAGTTTTAACATCACTCTTAATAAATCTCTATCTGGCAGACAGAACCATAGATAAATATATATAAACGTTAGATGTCTTACGCACGCTGTAAAGCCACACGGCGGCCATTTTGCTACGGTCAGCTCTCCCACTCCTAACATTCCAGTCTACGGTTCATGTAACATTTAAATAACCATAGATTGATTAATTTTAAACCGATTTTCAAACAGTTTGGTTTGTAACAAACCTCAGAGTTTTAATTATCTTCCTGCATACTCAAGAATAATTTTAACCATGGATTTACATAAATAACCATTAAACAGATAGGTAGATCAATAGCTATAGGCCTACACACACAAGGCAGTTATATTAAATCATTTATATATAAAACATTTAATCAACCCATGTTTGTTATATTAGTAATATTTCTATTATAGGGATAACTATACTAACATATAACAACAACATATATAAATATTTATTTTCTATATAAATTTCTGCCTCATGTTTCCATATTAGATGTTTTTAACAAACCAAACAGTTTGGAAATCATGAACGACTTCAGTTATGTTGAATCTAAAGAGCATTTCTGCCTCTTTAACTGATTTAAAACTACTGGGTCAAATATGTACTTGGTCTTAGTTAGCTAAGTTAGACAGCTGATAAACAGCGAGTTAAGAGGATTTTTGTTCATGCAGATTTCTCACCTCCCATCAGCTACCATAGAGCGGACCAGAATGGTATACTGGAGTAAGATGGCCACCTGTAGGGACGCCTGTGACTCTGCCCCATAGAGTCATCTAGCCTTTCTTATAGATATCTACAGACAGAACTATGTAAGCCTTGCTGGTTGTGTGTCCCGTCCCGCTCCTCTGTCTTCCGGGGTTCCACAGAGCTCAATCCTAGGGCCCTTGCTGTTCTCTCTTTATCTACTACCTCTGGGTTCCATTCTTAGAAAGCATGGTGTCTCTTTTCAGTGTTATGCTGATGACAGCCAATAAAAAAGAAAGAAGCCACTTCTTGCAGGAGAGCACTTTGCGACAGACTAATCCACGCCTTCATCACGTCTCGGCTGGATTACTGTAGCGCACTTTATTATGGGGTCAGTCAGTCTTCACTCGCACGTCTCCAGTTGGTCCAGAATGCGGACGCTCGTCACTTAACTGCGTAACGGGGAGAACATCACTCCTATTCTGGCCTCCCTCCGCTGGCTGCCCGTGCATTTTCGAGTCATTTTAAGATTCTTTTATTTGTTTTTAAAACCTTAAATGGTCTGACTGTCTGGCCCCATCATACCTCTCTGAGCTGCTTCACCCCTACGCTCCTGCCTGGTGCTTACGGTCAGATACCAAGGTCTAAGCGGAGGCTCAGAGGAGACAGAGCTTTTTCTGTTGCTGCTCCTATTTTATGGAATGACTTACCTCTCCACATTAGAGAAACTCCCTCACTGTCCATTTTTGTAAACCCTTCTTAAAACCACTTTTATTCCTTAGCTTTTGACCCAACATGAGACGGCATTAGTTTTATTGTTTTTATTATTTATTTTTGTTTTATATTTTTATGTTATTATGTACAGCACTTATGTCAGCATTAGCTGTATTTAAAGTGCTCTAGATAAATAAAGTTGAGTTGAGTTAATAAATTATGGAGATCACTTGAATCAATGTGATTATTTTTTTCACAGTGTATGAAAACAGTCAGAAATACACGAGCGTTCATGTTTATTTAGAAAACTTAATATGACACAGATTTTCAGCTCCAAAATAAGAAGACTGATGACTCGTGTTGTTGCCTTCAGCTGATCCAGTTCAGCATCTTCATGGCGTCTCTGGCTCGTGAAGCGATGGAGAAGATCTGCAAGCTTTTCCTCGAGAGTTCGTCTCTGCTGCAGCTTGAGGTGTGTGTTGGTATTGAACATTATGTGTTTGTGTTGCATTTGTTTGTCATCTTGGGTGAAAATCAATGTGAGTTTATCAAAAAGAGAGCTCTGGCTGTAAACCTGACAGCTACAGGATCTAATCCAACATTTACCATGTTTTTATTTTTCTCTCTTTTTTAAAGTCATTTGTTTCCTCTCTTCAGGTGACACGAGGCGTTACAGAGATTAAGGAGCTGAAAACCAGACTGGAGACGGCAGAGACAGAGCTAAAGCAGGTGCTGGAGGGCGGCAGAGGCCAAGAGGAGATGGAGGAGGTGGAGGAGGTGACGGTGAGCCGGGGACCTCCACCCAACAGAGCAGAAATGGTGAAGAGCGTTCGTCCAGGGAGGAGGGGTCTCAGAGGTGAGGGGTTCATCTTCTCACATTAAAAACATCAACTTTGACTAAAAACAGACACTTCCTTCTCTCAGTTTATGTTTAATGGGTTTAATTGTTTAAATACTTATGACCCAAAAACAAATGTGACATTTTTCAGCTGTGGCTGCGGATCACGCTGGAGGGAAGAGGTCTTCAATAATTCACCTGTGGCAGGGCAGGATGTACGAGGTAAATCTGTCCTGTTTTTCAGCTTGGTGAAGTTAATGTGGGTTTTATTCTGCTCCTTCTTCCTCACTTCTTGTTCTCTGCCTCCCTCTATCAGAGAACTCACATTATATAGACTTCGATTATTGTTCTAAATAATCATGTGGCTTTACGATCTCTAATTCAGAGGACATTGTCTTTATTTTGACCTTCTTCATCCTCTTTCCATCAGGCCAATGTCCAGACTGTAGTTATAAAGGAGGAAGAAGTGGACATCTTTGCTGACCAGGTGTCCTCAGATTCTGGTCAGTACAGAGACCAGGAGGACGGTGAGGACCCAGACTATCAGGTAAACATTAAATGCAGATGCAGAAAAAGCTTTCGACAGAGTTACTGGTCAGTCCTCATCACCACCCTCCACAGCTTTGGCTCTGGGGAATCATTTATTAACTGGGTCAGAACACTTCACACTTCACCGACAGCCACAGTCATCACTCACAGACAAACTTCTCCAAGCTTCACTCTGCACAGGGGGATTATGTGGCATTGTGTTATTATTTTTTATTGTCATAATGATAATTATTATTATTAATTTTATTATTATAACTAAGATTACTATTGTTGTTGTCGGTTGTTACAACATCACCATCATTACCCTTGTTTTATTATCTTATTATTATTATTTTATTTTATATATTTATTATTATTATTATTGTTATTATTATTTTAAATGGATAAATAATTTATTTATTGATTGATTGATTAATTTTTTGATTTAATTTTTTGATGATTTTCACTACTTCAGTTGTGATATTATAATTTCACCTTCATTATGAGTATTATGTCAGTTATCTCTATTTTATTGTCATTATGCCATTTCATATAAGTTGAATTAATATTTAGATATTATTTTATTAGTCAAACCATTATCGTAGCATTTATTCATTTTTATTTTTTTCTCAGTCATCCGTTTAGTTTTCATTTACTATTTATTTTACAAATTTGTATATATATATATATATAGATATAGATATAGATATAGATATAGATATATTTTTTTTAATTTATTTTTTTCTAAATTTCTTCCTGGCTGCTGGATGTCCAGAGTTTCCTGCTCAGAGACAAAAGCAAAAGATGATCTTGATTTTTGCTCTTCTGTCAGCTGGAACCAGCAGATCCAGATGATGGTGATCCAGGACTCACTTCTAGTGTCACCAAGTCCAGGTCCAATCGGGGGGCAGCAAAGAGGGACAGTCAGAGTCAGCAGCCTCTGAGCCGCAAACACGGCAAGAGGACTTTCACTGCTCAACATGCTGGAAACAAGGCCAACGCAGAGAAACCTTTCCACTGCTCTCAGTGTGGAAAAAGCTTCTCATTCCAGAGAAGCCTCTCCGCACACATGATGCTTCACACAGGTGAGGCTTTTAATGGAGTCTGCTTATTGCCTCTGTTAAATTTAAGGTCAATGTTCACTCACAGTGGGTGGTCAGTCTTTTCACCAGGTATTCACCTACTGAACTAATGCAGTTTAGTACAGGACAGGTAGTGTACAAAGAGAGTTAACCAGACCAGGTTCACTGTACAGGTTCCTAAACTCAACATGATGAGCTAAAAGAGGCTGAAAACCTGAGCAGGATGTTTCATTTCACCTGTGGAGCAGAGTTCTGTTTATACACTCTGATGATACACATTTCTCTCATGCACAGGTGAGAGACCACACACCTGTGATGTTTGTGGGAAGGGTTTTACCCTGAAACAGCTTCTAAGGTGCCACCAGCGTCTGCATGCTGATGTCCGACCGTTTCAGTGTGAACACTGTGGAAAGAGCTTCTACCTCGCACGCGGCCTTAAAATACATCAGAGGGTCCACACGGGGGAGCGGGCTTACACCTGTGAATACTGCAACAAAAAATTCGCAATCTCAGGCAACCTGCAGCGACACCTGCGCATCCACACAGGGGAGAAACCGTACAGATGTGAGACCTGCGGCAAAAGCTTCAACCAGTTGGACACTCTGAAAGTCCATCAGCGGATCCACACAGGTGAGCGTCCCTTCAGCTGTGAGATCTGTGGAAAAAGCTTCGTCCAGAGGAACGTTTGGAAGGTGCACCAGAGGACTTGTCACGCAGGAAAGAACATCCTGTCATGTGTAGCGTGCGGCGCTGAGGTGGCTGGTGTGGATTCGCTTCGCAAACACATCCAGACACATGCAGCAACCATCCCGTGTACGTGTGTGCTCTGCGGTCAGCGGCTCAGCTCCATCACAGACCTGCGCTCACACCAGCAGCACCACACGGTGGTCCGGCCTCACACCTGCAGCCTCTGCTGGAAGAGCTTTAAATCGTCCAGTTACCTGAAGATTCACCTGAAGGTGCACAGCGGGGAGAGGCCCTTCTCCTGTGACATCTGCGGTCGCATGTTTACCCAACTGAGCAGCCTTAAATCTCATAAGGTAGGTTAGAAACCTTTAAGTGTTTTTGGACTTAAAGGGATTTTCTGGTGTAAAATTAATGTAGGGTCAAACACACCGTAACACTGAGTTAGACCCCCCCTCCAGAGATGAATGTTTCCGACTGCTTGCTTCTCTAGTTATACCAACTTTAGTAACTAGTTACCAAAAAATACTCAAAATTTAAACGTTTGCAGTTAAACTCCAAACAAAGTGACATTAGCCTGATAACACCTTTGTGATGGTTACAGATGAAACAGAGCGCTCTCTCTTTGAGCTGCTACATTTGTTGGTTTTTATGAAGGATCTGACTTCTTCTCATGAAGACTAATGACAGTTTTCTCTCACCTGTCCAAAGGTGGTTCACACAGGAGAGAAACCTTTCAGCTGCGACACATGTGGGAAATGTTTCAGCAACGCAGGCAACCTGAGCAGACACCAGCGTATCCACACGGGGGAGAAACCCTTCAGCTGCGACATATGTGGACGCAGCTTTAACCAGGGAAACAGCCTGAAAGCGCACCAGCAGATACACACAGGGGAGAAACAGTACATGTGCGACAAGTGTGGGAAGAGTTTTGCCTACCGGAGGAACCTGAAGGATCACAAGTGTATTTATGTCTGAGTTCAGACTGAGATGGGACGGAGAAATCACGTTTTTACCTGCCTGTCCAGGAATTAAAGACCTGATGGAGAAGTTCATGTTCACCTGTTCTTAAGAACTGTGAGACGGTCACTGTGTGTACTACTGTGGTTCAAAGTCAAACCTAAAAAAGCCATCTAGTAGTTTGATCCTGTGGAGTTAAAGATCTTTTAGACTAAAACAGGTTAACTTATTTTATGTGTGCAGCGCCGACGAGTTTCAAACGACTGTATTTCAGTTGTAATTGACGGATTTTAGCATCTAAAAAAGGTGCTTTCTTTTTTTAAAGTGGAGTTTCTGTTCCTACAGGTGAATAAAACACAAACTGTGAGTTTCACAAATAAAGTTGCTGTTTGTCTGAAGAGCTCAGAAATTTAAGGTTGTGCTTTTTAAACTATTTTATCTGTAACTTACACCTGTGAGAAATGAACAGAGTACTGCTAACTATGTTTTCCTCTACACATCGATAAAATGTTCTTTTTCAGACGGCAAATAATGCAAGAAAAAAAAATTGTGTGGATTTTTTAATGTCCAGTTTATAAAAAGGGAACAGTCATTTAACAGTGAGAATGGAGACTGAAACGCTCCCTTGCTCACCCCTCCTGTTGATGAAACTTCTGAAAGGATGAAAAGCTCCTGCGTTGAGTACGGTTCTGCACTCCTGAAGTTTTACTATTAATACAAATCCGTTTGCACGCGGTGGCAGCTCATTGGGGGAAATTTGGATGTACAAAATATTTTGGGGAGGAACTCAGTGCATAGATGGTTTAGATTTTCATTTCAACATTTAAGAAGTACCAAGTTGGTAAAAAGAATTTTTAAGAGGTTGTGATTTATAATAATAATAATAATAATCATAATAATTAAATATATTATGATTATGATTCTTCTTCTTCTTCTTCTTCTTCTTCTTCTTATTATTATTATTATTATTAATGTATTTTGTTTCAATTTATTATATTTTATTTTATTTATTTCAACATCTAAGAAGTAGCAAGTTGGTTAAAAGAATTTTAAGAGGTCATGATTTATAATAATAAAAATAAAAGTAATTATTGCTAGTATTTAATAATAATAATAATAAAATAAAATTAAAAAAAATAATAATAATAATTGATTTTGTTTTATTTTATTGTATTTTAGTTTTATTTTATTTCAACATCTTAAAAGTACCAAGTTTGTAAAATGAATTTCAACAGGTTGTGACTTATTATTATTTTTATTATTATTAATTTAGGTTGTTTCATTTTATTGTATTTTATTTTTATTTTACCTTAGTACAGAATTGATGATGACAGCCTGACTCACACTCCATGAGTCAGTAGGTGGCAGTAATGCGCCTGATCGCCGTTTACTAACCGCCTAAAAAACTAAAGAAGAAGACGAAGAGGCGGCAGTTTGGAGTTTTGCTAACGCTAGTGTGAGTTCGGGTTTTACGAGAAATGAGAAGGTTATAGCACCAAAAAGCATATTTTATAAAAGAAGACCGCTGAAATTTAATCATCTTTTATTCCTTAAACATTATTTGTCAGCATGTCAGACCCAGAAACGGAGATTATCGCCATTTTGGAAGTTTTGGCGAACACGACAATCATAGAAATGAGCAAAGTTCTTGGTGTTTCTGACCCGAGACCAGAAGGAGAACCTTCAGCAGCTGTTCTTGAAAACACAGAGGATGATCCTGACCAAAAGGTAAAAGTATATATTAGTGTCTTTGCTGACAGTTTCAGTCTCAAATTCTACGGTTTAGACTCTCCGGACTTAAACGAGCAGCCGGTCATAGAAATAGAAGAACTAGCTCGCTGCTATAGTTCGCTTTAGTGATTAAACTCACAGAACCGTTCACCATCAGAGTGAGATGCAGATAAAAGTGTGTTTACAGGTTAAATAAGAGGGAACCATCTGTGTATGTTTGATAAAGCTGAAGCTACAATAGGAAGAATCCATCTTTGATCGCCATTTTGAGCTGAGCTGCAGGTTCAGGCCCATCTATGTGTTGTAGGTCTACGGAGGGTTTAAACTCCAACTAAATACTAAACCGGAAATACACAATCAACAGCTAACCTTAGATTCTCCAATTAAATATCTCAATTATAACTGATGTCTGAGTTTTAACATCACTCTTAATAAATCTCTATCTGGCAGACAGAACCATAGATAAATATATATAAACGTTAGATGTCTTACGCACGCTGTTAGCCAATGGAGACCGACCTCTGCACACGGCGGCCATTTTGCTACGGTCAGCTTTCCCACTCCTAACATTCCAGTCTACGGTTCATGTAACATTTAAATAACCATAGATTGATTAATTTTAAACCGATTTTCAAACAGTTTGGTTTGTAACAAACCTCAGAGTTTTAGTTATGTCCCTGCGTACTGAAGAATAATTTTAACCATGGATTTACATAAATAAACATTAAACAGATAGGTAGATCAATAGCTATAGGCCTACACACACAAGGCAGTTATATTAAATCATTTATATATAAAACATTTAATCAACCCATGTTTGTTATATTAGTAATATTTCTATTATAGGGATAACTATACTAACATGTAACAACAACATATATAAATATTTATTTTCTATATAAATTTCTGCCTCATGTTTCCATTTTAGATGTTTTTAACAAACCAAACAGTTTGGAAATCATGAACAACTTCAGTTATGTTGAATCTAAAGAGCATTTCTGCCTTTTTAACTGATGTAAAACTACTGGGTCAAATATGTACTTGGTCTTAGTTAGCCAAGTTAGACAGCTGATAAACAGCGAGTTAAGAGGATTTTTGATCATGTAGATTACTCACCTCCCATCAGCTACCATAGAGCGGACCAGAATGGTATACTGGAGTAAGATGGCCGCCTGTCAGGACGCCTGTGACTCTGCCCCATAGAGTCATCTAGCCTTTCTTATAGATATCTGTAGACAGAACTATGTAAGCCTTGCTGGTTGTGAGTCTCGCCCCGCTCCTCTGTCTTCCGGGGTTCCACAGAGCTCAATCCTAGGGCCCTTGCTGTTCTCTCTTTATCTACTACCTCTGGGTTCCATTCTTAGAAAGCATGGTGTCTCTTTTCAGTGTTATGCTGATGACAGCCAATAAAAAAGAAAGAAGCCACTTCTTGCAGGAGAGCACTTTGCGACAGACTAATCCACGCCTTCATCACGTCTCGGCTGGATTACTGTAGCGCACTTTATTATGGGGTCAGTCAGTCTTCACTCGCACGTCTCCAGTTGGTCCAGAATGCAGACGCTCATCATTTAACTGCGTAACGGGTAGAACATCACTCCTATTCTGGCCTCCCTCCACTGGCTGCCCGTGCATTTTAGAGTCATTTTAAGATTCTTTTATTTGTTTTGAAAACCTTAAATGGTCTGACTGTCTGGCCCCATCATACCTCTCTGAGCTGCTTCACCCCTACGCTCCTGCCTGGTGCTTACGGTCAGATACCAAGGTCTAAGACTCTAAGCGGAGGCTCAGAGGAGACAGAGCTTTTTCTGTTGCTGCTTCTATTTTATGGAATGACTTACCTCTCCACATTGGAGAAACTCCCTCACTGTCCATTCTTAAAAACCCGTCTAAAAACCACTTTTATTCCTTGGCTTCTGACCCAGCATGAGACGGCATTAGTTTTATTGTTTTTATTATTTATTTTTGTTTTATATTTTTATGTTAATATGTACAGCACTTATGTCAGCATTAGTTGTATTTAAAGTGCTCTAGATAAATAAAGTTGAGTTGAGTTAATAAATTATGGAGATCACTTTAATCAATGTGATTATTTTTTTTCACAGTGTATGAAAACAGTCAGAAATACATGAGCGTTCATGTTTATTTAGAAAACTTAATATGACACAGATTTTCAGCTCCAAAATAAGAAGACTGATGACTCGTGTTGTTGCCTTCAGCTGATCCAGTTCAGCATCTTCATGGCGTCTCTGGCTCGTGAAGCGATGGAGAAGATCTGCAAGCTTTTCCTCGAGAGTTCGTCTCTGCTGCAGCTTGAGGTGTGTGTTGGTATTAAACATTGTGTGTTTGTGTTGCATTTGTTTGTCATCTTGGGTGAAAATCAATGTGAGTTTATCAAAAAGAGAGCTCTGGCTGTAAACCTGACAGCTACAGGATCTAATCCAACATTTACCATGTTTTTATTTTTCTCTCTTTTTTAAAGTCATTTGTTTCCTCTCTTCAGGTGACACGAGGCGTTACAGAGATTAAGGAGCTGAAAACCAGACTGGAGACGGCAGAGACAGAGCTAAAGCAGGTGCTGGAGGGCAGCAGAGGCCAAGAGGAGATGGAGGTGGAGGAGGTGACGGTGAGCCGGGGACCTCCACCCAACAGAGCAGAAATGGTGAAGAGCGTTCGTCCAGGGAGGAGGGGTCTCAGAGGTGAGGGGTTCATCTTCTCACATTAAAAACATCAACTTTGACTAAAAACAGACACTTCCTTCTCTCAGTTTATGTTTAATGGGTTTAATTGTTTAAATACTTATGACCCAAAAACAAATGTGACATTTTTCAGCTGTGGCTGCGGATCACGCTGGAGGGAAGAGGTCTTCAATAATTCACCTGTGGCAGGGCAGGATGTACGAGGTAAATCTGTCCTGTTTTTTCAGCTTGGTGAGGTTAATGTGGGTTTTATTCTGCTCCTTCTTCCTCACTTCTTGTTCTCGGCCTCCCTCTATTAGAGAACTCACATTATATAGACTTTGATTATTGTTCTAAATAATCATGTGGCTTTACGAGCTCTAATTCAGAGGACATTGTCTTTATTTTGACCTTGTTCATCCTCTTTCCATCAGGCCAATGTCCAGACTGTAGTTATAAAGGAGGAAGAAGTGGACATCTTTGCTGACCAGGTGTCCTCAGATTCTGGTCAGTACAGAGACCAGGAGGACGGTGAGGACCCAGACTATCAGGTAAACATTAAATGCAGATGCAGAAAAAGCTTTCGACAGAGTTACTGGTCAGTCCTCATCACCACCCTCCACAGCTTTGGCTCTGGGGAATCATTTATTAACTGGGTCAGAACACTTCACACTTCACCGACAGCCACAGTCATCACTCACAGACAAACTTCTCCAAGCTTCACTCTGCACAGGGGGATTATGTGGCATTGTATTATTATTTTTATTGTCATAATAATAATTATTATTATTAATTTTATTATTATAACTAAGATTACTATTGTTGTTGTCGGTTGTTACAACATCACCATCATTACCCTTGTTTTATTATCTTATTATTATTATTTTATTTTATATATTTATTATTATTATTATTGTTATTATTATTTTAAATGGATAAATAATTTATTGATTGATTGATTGATAAATTTTTTGATTTAATTTTTTTGATGATTTTCACTACTTCAGTTGTGATATTATAATTTCACCTTCATTATGAGTATTATGTCAGTTATCTCTATTTTATTGTCATTATGCCATTTCATATAAGTTAAATTAATATTTAGATATTATTTTATTAGTCAAACCATTATCGTAGCATTTATTCATTTTTATTTTTTTCTCAGTCATCCGTTTAGTTTTCATTTACTATTTATTTTACAAATGTGTACATATATATATAGATATAGATATAGATATATTTTTTTTAATTTATTTTTTTCTAAATTTCTTCCTGGCTGCTGGATGTCCACAGTTTCCTGCTCAGAGACAAAAGCAAAAGATGATCTTGATTTTTGCTCTTCTGTCAGCTGGAACCAGCAGATCCAGATGATGGTGATCCAGGACTCACTTCTAGTGTCACCAAGTCCAGGTCCAATCGGGGGGCAGCAAAGAGGGACAGTCAGAGTCAGCAGCCTCTGAGCCGCAAACACGGCAAGAGGACTTTCACTGCTCAACATGCTGGAAACAAGGCCAACGCAGAGAAACCTTTCCACTGCTCTCAGTGTGGAAAAAGCTTCTCATTCCAGAGAAGCCTCTCCGCACACATGATGCTTCACACAGGTGAGGCTTTTAATGGAGTCTGCTTATTGCCTCTGTTATATTTAAGGTCAATGTTCACTCACAGTGGGTGGTCAGTCTTTTCACCAGGTATTCACCTACTGAACTAATGCAGTTTAGTACAGGACAGGTAGTGTACAAAGAGAGTTAACCAGACCAGGTTCACTGTACAGGTTCCTAAACTCAACATGATGAGCTAAAAGAGGCTGAAAACCTGAGCAGGATGTTTCATTTCACCTGTGGGGCAGAGTTCTGTTTATACACTCTGATGATCCACATTTCTCTCATGCACAGGTGAGAGACCACACACCTGTGATGTTTGTGGGAAGGGTTTTACCCTGAAACAGCTTCTAAGGTGCCACCAGCGTCTGCATGCTGATGTCCGACCGTTTCAGTGTGAACACTGTGGAAAGAGCTTCTACCTCGCACGCGGCCTTAAAATACATCAGAGGGTCCACACGGGGGAGCGGGCTTACACCTGTGAATACTGCAACAAAAAATTCGCAATCTCAGGCAACCTGCAGCGACACCTGCGCATCCACACGGGGGAGAAACCGTACAGGTGTGAGACCTGCGGCAAAAGCTTCAACCAGTTGGACACTCTGAAAGTCCATCAGCGGATCCACACAGGTGAGCGTCCCTTCAGCTGTGAGATCTGTGGAAAAAGCTTCGTCCAGAGGAACGTTTGGAAGGTGCACCAGAGGACTTGTCACGCAGGAGAGAACATCCTGTCATGTGTAGCGTGCGGCGCTGAGGTGGCTGGTGTGGATTCTCTTCGCAAACACATCCAGACACATGCAGCAACCATCCCGTGTACGTGTGTGCTCTGCAGTCAGCAGCTCAGCTCCATCACAGACCTGCGCTCACACCAGCAGCACCACACGGTGGTCCGGCCTCACACCTGCAGCCTCTGCTGGAAGAGCTTTAAGACGTCCAGTTACCTGAAGATTCACCTGAAGGTGCACAGCGGGGAGAGGCCCTTCTCCTGTGACATCTGCGGTCACTTGTTCACCCAACTGAGCAGCCTTAAATCTCATGAGGTAGGTTAGACACCTTTAAGTGTTTTTGGACTTTAAGGTTTGAAGAGATATTACCAAATGTGTCCCTGTTTGTTTCTAACGTCTGTATCTGTGCAGCCGATGAAAAGCTCAAGCTAGTTACCAAAAAAATACTCAAATAATAAACGTTTGCAGTGAAACTCCAAACAAAGTGACATTAGCCTGATAACACCTTTGTGATGGTTACAGATGAAACCGAGCGCTCTCTCTTTGAGCTGCTACATCTGTTGGTTTTTATGAAGGATCTGACTTCTTCTCATGAAGACTAATGACAGTTTTCTCTCACCTGTCCAAAGGTGGTTCACACAGGAGAGAAACCTTTCAGCTGCGACACATGTGGGAAATGTTTCAGCAACGCAGGCAACCTGAGCAGACACCGGCGTATCCACACGGGGGTGAAGCCATACAGCTGCGACATATGTGGACGCAGCTTTAACCAGGGAAACAGCCTGAAAGCGCACCAGCAGATACACACAGGGGAGAAACCTTTCATGTGCGACAAGTGTGGGAAGAGTTTTGCCTACCGGAGGAACCTGAAGGATCACAAGTGTATTTATGTCTGAGTTCAGACTGAGATGGGACGGAGAAATCAAGTTTTACCTGCCTGTCCAGGAATTAAAGAACTGATGGAGAAGTTCATGTTCGCCTGTTCTTAAGAACTGTGAGACGGTCACTGTGTGTACTACTGTGGTTCAAAGTTGAACAGGCTTTTATGGGGCTAAAAAAGGCTTCCCTGATATTTGCTGTGAGGATTTTCACTTCCATTTTTTCCTATTTTCTTCATATATACACAAGGAGCCTTGAAGTTATTCTCCTGAAACCTGTAAAATCAGAAATCACAGATTAAAGTTTTCAAAAACATCTCAAACAAATGAATCACAACAGGCTGTCAGCTTTATTGTTATTATTGTTATTATTATTATTATTATTATTTACATTTTATACCTAAAAGAAGTCATTTAAACTGAGTGTGGGTAGTTGGATACTTTGGAGTCTAAAACAGGTCAACTCATTGTATGTTTCGTATTTTATCTGTAATTGACGGGTTTTACCAGCTAAAAAAAAGTGCTTTCTTTTCTTTAAAATTGAGTTTCTGTTCATTCCTGCAGATTAATAAAACACAACTATGTTTTCCTCTACAAACTCTGTCCTGATGAATCTGCAGTATAAAAACACAACGACAGCTGAGTGTTGCATAAAAAACAAACACTACAGCTGCTGAAAACATCAACAACACGATCAGGAACAGAAAAGCCTGAAGCTCGGGGCCAACAACACAACCACCAGAGGGGCGGACCTACAAGTTTATGAATAAAAACACACAAACACACAGTGACTCTGTGTCTCTTCATTTTTTTCATGCCATACTATGACATTTTAATCACACTACATTAGAATTTTAAATATACATACTACTATGACAGTTTAATAATACTATACTTTTATCATACTATACAATGACATTTGAACATATTTTACTATGATTTTTTATTATACTGTCTACTTTTATTATACTATTATTTTTTATCACACTATTCTTTGTTTTTTTGTCATACTATACTGTGACATTTTTTTATCATACTATCTATGAAATATTGTTATACTGTACTATGAATTTTTTTTAATCATATATTTATCATACTATACTAGGATTTTTTAAATCACATTATACTATGACATTTTTATCATATAATACTGACAATTTTTATCATACTAATATATGACATTTTGGTCAAACTTTACCATTACATATTTAATGTACTATACTATACCAGAACGTCTTTTATCATAATATACTATGACATTTTTTATCATACTATACAAATATATTTTTTGTCATACTAAACTATCACAATTTTATCGTACTGTATTAAGTGAATTGTTATCATACTATACTATGGCATTTTTACCATACTACATGACACATTTTTCATCACAGTATCCTGTGACATTTTTTATCATACTATACAATGACATTTATTTCATAGTATACTTTAACATTTTTACCATACTATACAATGACATTTATTTCATAGTATACTTTAACATTTTTATCATACTGTACTATGACATTTATTTCATAGTATACTTTAACATTTTTATCATACTGTACTATGACATTTCTTGACATTTTTATCATATGTATCAGACATCTTTTGTTCTGCTACACTATGACATTTCTATCATACTATACTATGACTTTTTTATCATATCATACATACAATTTTTATCATACTATTCTATGAAATTTTGGTCATACTTTACCATGACATATTTATAGTACTATACTATGACATTATTGAACATACTACAATAAAAAAAAAAATTATGCTATACCATGACATCTTTATCATACTTTACTACGACATTTTCAATGAACTTTACAATGACACCAAACCAAGACATTTTTTATCATACTATTATATGACATTTTTATCATTCTATAGAATGACATTTTATCATACTTAAATTAGATTTTTTTTAAATAAAAAGTTTTTAACATACTATACTATTACATTTTTATCATACAAAACTATGACATTTTTTTCACACTGAAATATGAATTTATTTTTTACACATATATAAAAAATTTTCACATACTATACAATGTCTTTCTAAACTAAAATCAGATTTTTTTGCACAAAAATATAACATTTTAACATACTATGCTGTGACATTTTTGTAAGTATATAGTATGACATTTTTTTCTTTCTATAATGATAATTTTTTAACAACTGAAATAATATTTTTTTTATCATACTTTACTGACATTTTTTTCAAACTTAAATATTAATTTCTTTTATACCAAAATATGAAACTTTTAAGAAACTATTATATGACATTTATTTCATAATAAAACCAGACAATTGTTTTACACTAAGATATGACATTTTTTAACATACTATACTATGACATTTTTTTCAACCCAAAATGTGATTTTTTTTTCTACTGAAATATTTAACCTTTATTATACTATACTATGACATTTTTACACTAAAATATGATTTTTTTTTCATAAAAGATATGACATTTTAATAATACTATACAATGCCTTTTATATCATACTATACTTTGAAATTTCTCATACTATCCTATGACACGATCATTTTATGCAATGACATTTTTATCATACTTAACTAAAACTTTTTTTTCATACTAAAATATGACATATTTATCATTCTACAAAAATGACATTTTTATCATACTGAACTATGAGTTTTTTTTTAACTCTAAAATGTAAATTTTTTGATACAAAAAGTTGTTACTATTGACATTATGTACTATGACATTTTTATTGTACTATACTATGACATTTTTGTCATCATAGAATATGATTTTTTATATACTTAAATATGAAATTGTTATCATTTGATACTTTGACTTTTTTTTACATTTTAATTTATGATTTTCTTTCATACTAAAATATTAGATTTTTAACATGCTATTCTATGACATTTTTATCATACTATACTATTACATTTTTATCTTACAAAACTACAACATTTTTTTCACACTTAAATATGAATTTATTTTTTACACTAAAATATAATTTTTTTTACATACTATACTTTGCCTTTTTTAATAAAATCAGATTTTTCTGCACTAATACATGAAATTTTATCATACTATGCTATGACAATTTTATAAAACTAAAGTATGAAATTTTTTTGTTCTAAATATATATATTTTTTCTACTGAAACACGATTTTTTTTTATCATACTCTATTGTGCCAGTTTTATAATACTATACAATGACATTTATTTTCATACCAAAATGTGATTTTTTCTATTGACATATCAAATCTTTATCATACACACAATGACACTGTTACGTTATGAATTTTTTTTATCATACTATACTATGAAATCTTTCTTTCACACTAAAATATGATTTTTCATACTGAAATATGACATTTTTACCATACTATGCTATGAAATTTTTTTTGGTACTAAAAGGATTTTTGTTTTTTCAATTTTTTTTCAAACTCTTTTGTGCCATTTTTATCATCCTATACTGTGACATTTTTTTCACACTTAATAATTAATTTTTTTCATACCAAAATTTGAAACCTTTAACGCGCTACTATGACATTATTATCATACTGAAAATGGAAATTTTTTTTACACTAAAATATTAAATTTTTTAACATACTATACTTTGACATTTTTATCATATGATACAATAAAAAAATTTTCATAACCAAAATGAGATTTTTTTATTCTACCTGAAATATAAAATCTTTATCATACACACAATGACATTGTTATGTTAGGAATTTTTTTATCATACTATCCTATGACATTCTTTATTTTACAAAATAAAACAACAAAAACTCCTTCTTCTGTGAATGAAATCCTTAAAATCAGAGTTACTTTAAATACTCCAGTCTGACTCACTTAGTCCAGGATCAGATTATCCCAGCACCGATTTTCTCTGGATTAATTCTGACTGCATTTTTATTTCACTTAAAATACTCAAGGTTCTGTTAAACAAAGGCAGGAAGTAAAACAGGTTGGTGGTCATAACCTTTCTACGAAGGATGTCAGACTGAGCTGAGGGCTGCGAGACAAACTGAGAGCAGAATCAGCAGCTCTGCGGGAAACAAACACTTTGCAGCAGCGGCGCCGCAAACATCCTGCAGCGACAGAGCGACCTCAGAGAGAGGCGTCTCCTCACTGAAGGGTGAAGACGATGCAGAGAGGAAGCATGTGGGCCGGTCTCCCAGTTTGTCACCGTGAATGTTCACCCACCCGCTGATGTAGAGAATTTCTGTACAGGTACAGTCCCACAGATTATCTGACAGATACACAACCTTCAGGTTCATTAACGGCTCCAAAGTCCCATTTTTTAAGGCTCTCAGCTGGTTCGACCTCAAACTTAATTTCTGGAGGTTTAAAAGTCCCTGAAAAACATGCGGCTGTAGATGATCCAGCTCATTCTCCTCCAAGTCAAGTTCTGTCAGCTTTGAAAGTCCGTTGAAGAGCTGAGGGTGCAGATCATCCAGGCTGTTGTTTTTCAGCAGAAGCTCACGGAGGTTTTGGAGGGGAGAGAAGCTGTTGGAGGAGATGTCATGGAGCTCGTTGTTGCTGAGTTTGAGCTCTTTGAGACGACTCAACCCTCTGAAGACATCAGGAGACAGCTCTGAGATCCGGTTGCTGATAAGGTCAAGAACTGTCAGATGTCTTAGATTCATGAACAAGTCTGAGGAAAGGTTACGAATTTGGTTTCCATTGAGTCTCAACTCTTTGAGACTGACCAGGTCTCTGAACTGGTCTGGGTGCAGTGAGGTCAGCTGATTGTCAGAGAGACTCAGTGAATGTAAGTCCCCCAAACCCTCAAACACCGAAGGATGGAGGGACCTGATGTGGTTGTTATCCAGGTGTATCTCCTTCAGGTTACTCATCTTGTGGAAAAGGGTTTCAGGGAGGTGCTTCAGAGAGTTGCTCTCTAGGTACAGGGTCTGCAGCGACTTCAGCTCGGCAAACAGAGCGTGGTCAAGCTCCTGGATGTGGTTGTTGGACAGCTGTAGCTCCTTGAGTTTGGACAGCGAGTCAAACACCCCAACCTGCACGTCACTGATCTGATTGGCCTCCAGCTGAAGCTCCCGCAGGTTCTTCAGCTGACTGAACACGTCCAGAGGGAGAGACTGAAGGCGGTTCTTGTACAAATCGAGTGACTCCATGTTGGTGAGGTCACTGAAGATCTGTGAGGGCAGTGAAAGGATGTTGTTGGCGCTGAGGTCAAGTTCGCGCAGGCTGCTCAGACCTCTCAGCGATCCCTCTGACAGGTCGGTCAGTGTGTTGTAGCTCAAGTCCAGATGAACCAGCGAGCTCAGCGTGGAGAAGCAGTCCTCCTGGAGGCTGGTGAGGTTGTTCTTCTGAAGGTAAACCCACTTCAGCTCTCTTAGTTCTCTCAGCGCCCCGGAGGGAACAGTGACCAGAAAGTTATCACTCAGGTCAAGATGTTGGAGTTCCCTAACTCCTGTGAAGCTGCTGCTGTCCACATCTGAGATCCTGTTTCTGGATAAAACCAGTTTCTTTACTGCTTGACACTCAATGAACATACGGCCATCTATGCGTCCTAGATAATTATGGCTCAGGGAGATTTCAGTAAGGGAATATTTCCCCAAAAATGTTAAAGGCTCGATCCTGAAAATGTAGTTAAAGTTCAGATTTAGTATCTCCAATTTATGTAATCCTGATAGAGTCCCATATTCTAGAGACTTAATCTGGTTCTCACTCAGGTCCAGGTGGGTAAGAGCAGGGAAGCCCAAGAACGCATTCTGTGGAATAAACTCGATGTTATTTCTGCGGAGGAAGAGTTTAGAGAGCTTCTTCACAGGAGGATAAACCAGGAAGAGGTCCACCGAGTCATTCAGCTGATTCTCAGTCAGATCCAGAACCTAAAAACCGTCCAGGAGCCAGAGAGGGAAAAGATGAGTCAGGCAGAGAAAAATCCTTTTATTATAATCTTTATGTGTCTTATCACCATTTATCCTTATTACATTAGTTTATCATACTGGATTCTGTGAGAACTTCTAGTATTGTACCGCATCCCAACATAACGTATGACATCTATTATTTTTATTAGACAATTATTTCATTTTCCTGCAGAGAAAGTGTCGGACGAGCAGGTCTGTGGTAAAGTGAAGGATGAACCCTTCACATGAAGAGAGTTCAGATCAGAGCTGGGTGATAAAACCATAACGATATATATCAGAAATTAATTTCCCTCAATATCAATATAAAACATGATCAATATCTTTTTCAATAGTCGTCATTCTGACATGTTTTGGTCGACTATAACGAACAGCCAATGAAAAGGGGAGTTTCTCCGGGTCTGAACCAATCATGTTCTGAATTAGAACCAAGTATCAACCAACTGCAGCGTCGTAGCAGACAGCAGCTCCACCCAACCATAGCACTTTAACAGGTGAAGCCGACAGCACTGTTGGTGAGAAACAAAGAAAATGAGTGCTACCCCCGACAGAAATGACCATGAAGGCTCAACAGATGACCACATCAATGTCAACCACAACACTGGCGTTAGGAAAACGTCGGTGGTGTGGAGGTATTTTGGTTTTTGGAGGTCGGACATGAAGCAGAGTAATGTGGACTGTAAATTATGTCGAGTACATGTTCTCACAAAGTCGGGGAATACCTCAAATCTTTTTCACCACCTGAAGCAGCGCCACGCCGCAGAGCACGCGCAACGCCAAAGGTTACAAACCCCGAGAGGAGCGAGGAGCCCATGGCGCCTGAAACAGACGACCATTCAGTCGTCTTTCTCTAGAGCGACGCCTTACGACAAAACGCCAAAGAGACACAAAGACCTCACAGATGCAGGAGATTATTGTGTTGGAAAAGACATGAGACCAAGAAACTCTGTTAATCGTGATAAACTTTTTCCCGTATCGCCCGGCCCGAGTTCAGATCAAAGACACTGAGGAGCCGGAGGATCACCTGGAAGTTCATGTCTCAGACTTGGCGGTGATGAGATACGTTTATGTGTTACAGAGGAGACGAGGTCATGAAACTAGTTCAGACAAAGACAGGGTCTGATCCCACCTGTGTGGTTTTAGGTCTACCTGCTAACTAAACCGGAAAAACTGAAGTCCGGGACTTTCCAAAGCATCAAAGTTTCAGGATGTTCTCGTCATACCTCCAGATTCTGCAGCTCGCTCCAGGGTACTTCCTGTATCTTGTTGTATGCGACAAAAAGCTTTACAGTATCCGGAGGAAGATCGGGGATCTGGGTTAGTCCACCTTCCTGACACACCACAGTGAACGGGTCGTGGTCACACCGGCAGGCAGAGGGGCAGAGATCAGAGGTCCAGACCAGGACACTCAGGGAGGCCAGAGTCAGCGCCGCCAACATGTTCAGCTCTGAGACAAACACAAAAACACCACTGTCACTTTTCTGTTTCCTGAGTCTGACCGGGACTGAAAGCTTTGAGGTCGTTGGATCTTAAAAACGAGATCTGACTGCTTCTTAAATGAATCTTTCCAAAACCACGACGATAAAAATCCAGAGGAGTTTCTGTATCAAGAGATAATTCAGTCCACAGAACAGAGACAGCTCATTTCATCGACACGCTTATAGAGACAGAGGCACCCGGGCCCCCCTCTGAAAGTGCCCATGATGATAAGAATCTAAGAAACAGTTTTAGTTTTATCCATTAAATCTTTTCTTCAACCAGAAAATCATCCCTGAATTATTTGTTCATGTCGACGTATTTATAAGTGGGGCTCCTGTCAGCCCAGGGCATCGAAAAAAACAGAGAAGGGACTGAATATTTAATGATAAAGAATAAAAAGAAACTCGACAGTGATTATTTTTCAGATCAATATTCTGACTCACCTGAGGAAAGAAGGCAGAGCGGAGGTGAAGATGAAGATGAAGATGAAGATGAAGACTGTGTGAGATTCGTGTTTTTGGCTGCAGAGGAAGACGAGGTTTTGAAAGTTCCTGAGAACACAGAAACCAGGTTTGAGTCCACCAATGAGGTTCTCGGTCCGCATGAAAAAACTGTGTTACATCAGACAGACACACAGACAGACACACACACAGACAGTACAGACACAAAGACAGACGGACAGACAGACAGACAGACTCCCTCCTTGAAGGAAAACCACATGCGTAGTTTCTTCTGAAAATCTGCTGTTTTCAGAGAAACTCAAACTCAGTCAGAGATGATCGTTCTCACCCACATCCTGAACTTCAACCAGAACCTCTGCCCATAGAAAGACTCCGGTGAGGACTTTATCTCAGTTAGAGGAGACGGAGGAGAAGACAATCCTGATCACAGAGGGTTTGAGAGGATTTCCTTCTCTGTCTCTGAAGAGTTTGACTCTTACAGACATTCAGAATTACAGATGTTTTCTGTTTTTACATGAAACAACAAGAGAAACACAAAAACGACCCAAAGTGAGAGTTTCCTGGTTGAAACTGTCCGTCACAGTTTCACAGGTGGAGGTTCTGTGTGATTTTATAGTTTCCCTCGATGAGAAGAGTCGAAGATCTCAGTTACTGCAGGTTTTTATCCAGCTGAGAAAACTGGTCTGAGAGTCCTCATCGCAGAGGGGGTCAGGATGAAATACTGAGAGCAAAATCATGAAAGGACAGAAATCAACCATGAAGAGGTGAAGAGGAGAAAGAGCGTCCTCACTCCGACATTCGTCACACGGGGGTTGGGATGTATGTGGGGGTATATATGAGGGTCTTTAGATGAAGACACAGCTCCAAGTTTTACGGAGCTTCCTCTGCGGATGATTTTAGATGTTTGAAGTTTGAACCCTTTCAGGCGTCGTGCAAAGTTTGCAGGCAGCTGTACTTCTGCTGCTTCTCCAGCCCACCGACACGTTTCCTGTCTCACTGAAGGTCACAACATTTTTTTAAAGTTTTGATTCCTTAAAGTCTGAAACTTGAACAGGCGGCTTTTTATCGACCCCACAGCCCAGAGAGTCAGCGTCCAAACTTTGGTTTAAGTCAGTATCATCTATTGATCATGATCATAACTTCAGATTAGTTAGCTCATGGAGTAATATTACAGAGGTATTTTAAGTAACAGCTCTGAGTAAAACGTAAAAATGTTAAGAGACAATTATTATTCTTTACACGGAGGATCCCACACAGAGCAGAAATGACATCAGTAGAAGAGCGACGCTGTTTCTGAAAAACTCATCACGTAAGCTTCGAGGTAAAGGCACAATGACAGTTTATTGATTTCTTATAACAGGCTGTAAAAAAGTCAGAGGAATACACCTGAAGGCTGTTACCTGTGGATCACCTTCAGAGGAGACATGAGAATCACCGAGAGCAGAAGTATAAATACAACATGATATCACCGAGAGACTCAAAGATGTTTGGGCAACTTGAGTTTACTCTGATAACAAAGAAAAGAAACAGAATAAAAAGAAGATAATAATACGTATTAAAAACAGAATTAAAGACTTAAATAGAGATTCACTCTGAAGAAAGAGCTGTAAACAATATTCATCAACGGTTATGTTTCATTCAGACACACCAGACAGCAGACATGACCGTGTCTGACCTCCTGCTCACGGCGTCTTCTCTTCTGTGACGTGGACTTTGGTCTGAACCCTCGTTTATCAACCCGACTGAAGACTCAAAGATCTTTGGTTGTAAACTTCATGATCTGACCCAAAGTCTCCACCACCTCAGATGTTGGTGAGCACTGTGCTGGTTACTATGACGACAGTGATGGTTCCAGAGAGGTCGCTGTCTCTGCTGTCGCCTCTTCCCCTCAGATGGAGCGTTTGCTGGAAACTACCTTGCTCAGCGGGGATGGTCACCTGACCCAGGAAGGAATCCATCAGCAGGTTGTGGTTGTAGATCTGAGAGAGAGAGAGAGAGAGAGAGAGAGAGAGAGAGAGAGAGAGAGAGAGACAGAGAGAGAGAGAGAGAGAGAGAGAGAGAGAGAGAGAGAGAGAGAGAGAGAGAGAGAGAGAGAGAGAGAGAGAGAGAGAGAGAGACAGAGAGAGAGAGAGAGAGAGAGAGAGAGAGAGAGAGAGAGAGAGAGAGGGAGAGAGAGAGAGAGAGAGAGAGACAGAGAGAGAGAGAGAGAGAGAGAGAGAGAGAGACAGAGAGAGAGACAGAGAGAGAGACAGAGAGAGACAGAGAGAGAGAGAGAGACAGAGAGAGAGAGAGAGAGAGAGAGAGACAGAGAGACAGAGAGAGAGAGAGAGACAGAGAGAGAGAGAGAGAGAGAGAGACAGAGAGAGAGACAGAGAGAGAGAGAGAGAGAGAGAGAGAGAGAGAGAGAGAGAGAGAGACAGAGAGAAGAGAGAGAGAGAGAGAGACAGAGAGACAGAGAGAGACAGAGAGACAGAGAGACAGAGAGAGAGAGAGAGAGAGAGAGACAGAGAGAGAGAGAGACAGAGAGAGAGAGAGAGAGAGACAGAGAGAGAGAGACAGAGAGAGAGAGACAGAGAGAGACAGAGAGACAGAGACAGAGAGAGAGAGAGAGATTTTTTTGATTTTTCAAAACAACTTTATTCAAGTCATTTTTTCAACAACAACAATCAGCATCATATATATATATATATATGTATATATATATATATATATATATATATACATATTTTAAATAAAAACAATAAATAAAACCAGATCAGACCAGCTGATCTGAAAACTCCAGTCCACCATCTTTAACTGAGCACAGTACTCCACCATGGGTCCATGTTTGATAAAACCGCAGCATGTTCTGCATTTCTCTATAGTACTTGAAGTCAATCAGAATCCTCGCTTTGATGGTTCTGCTCAGCAGCAGCACCGGGTCACAGTCCACACCGTCCTCCACTTTCAACTTCCTGCTCATGTAGATCGCCAATTTTGATTGTCCCAGCACAAAGTTCAACATTTGGCATTTTTCTTTTTGAGCTCTTTTGTATTTAAAACCAAGAATGAATGTCTTAAAAGAAAACACCTCGTCTGCTCTCCTGAACACACAGTCCATCAGTTCGAACAGAGGAGCGAGGCGAGGACACTCAGTGAAGCAGTGGATGATGGTCTCCACTGCTCCACAGAACGGACAGTTGTTCTGGACTGATGAGTTCATGATGGAAATAAAAGAGTTTACAGCTAAAATCCCATAAATTAGTCTCCACTGGAGGTCAGCCACCCTCTTGGAGAGTGGAGGCTTGTACAGGCTCCTCCACTCAGCCTGGACCTTGTCCCCCAGGACCAGCCGAGCCCTCCAGGGGGACCGGATGTGTTGCTGCAGTCTCTCTCGGTTTATCGTCCTCACCATTAGAGCCGAGAGAACCTTTCCCTCGGCCTTCTCCAGGCTCACCTCCTGCTGCAGGTCTGGTCCCGGACGGATGATGAGGGGGGGGAACGGTAGGTTGGGACAGGGGGCAGTCTGTTCCTGTCGCTGTTCTCCCAGCAGTTGCCGGTCTCGTCCCGTCAGGCAGGTCCTCCAGTGGCTCAGCAGTCGGCTCATGTTCCTCCTCGATCTCCAGCCCAAGCGCCTCGCCAGCTCCTCCGTCTCCTGCAGGTCGGGTCCGGTGATGTCCAGCAGGGTCCCCAGCGTGGTGATCCCCGCTGTCCTCAGGTCCTCGGCCACCGCTGCTCCTGCCCAGGGGGGATTGCTCAGCAGGCCTCCACGGCCCAGCGGCTCCTTCAGCAGCCAGCAGCAGGTTTGGTGCTGTACCCTCTGGCTCCACAGCAGCTTCCACACGCTGAACACACCTCGGTAAAACACTGGCAGGGATAAAAAACTCACAGTCTTAAAATCCAATAAAAACACAGACTCCTGTAGGCCGAGGCCGCCCACGCTCCGCAAAATCAGCCGAGCCAGGGGCCTCCACACCAGGTCCTGGGGCCCGTACAGCAGCCGCTGGATAAACTGTAGTCTAAACGCTGCCCCCCTGCTGGCCAGGTGCACCAGCCCCTGACCTCCCTCTTCCACAGGGAGGAACAGCACCGCCTGTGGGAGCCAGTGGAGCTTGTCCCAGAAAAAGTCAATTAAAACAGTCTGGACCGTGGAGAGCAGGTTAGGGGGAGGGTCTACAACAGCCAACCTGTGCCACAGGAAGGACGACACCAGGTTGTTAATGATCAGGGTCCTCCCCCTGTACGACATGGACGGCCGCAACCACCTCCACCTCTTCAGTCGGCCCTCAACCGCCTCCAGGACCCCCTCCCAGTTTCTCTTTAAAAACTGTTCATCCCCTAAAAACACCCCAAGATATTTAAGCCCCCCCACTGTCCACTGGAGCCCCCCAGGAAGAACCAGCCCCCCCAAGGAGTCCCTGTTTGTGGTGAAGGCCACACTCTTGGCCCAGTTGACCCTGGCTGAAGACAGTTTGTTAAAAAGATTTACTTTGTCCTCTAAAACCTGAATGTCCTTCTGTGTATTTAAAACCACCATGATGTCGTCAGCGTATGCAGTCAGTTTTATCGCTGAAGGACATCCTGGGAACAGAACTCCTGTCAGAGTCCTCCTCATTCTTTCTAATAGTGGTTCTATCGCTAGAGAATAGAGCATTCCTGATAAGGAGCAACCCTGTCGAACCCCTCTTTGAACGCAGAAGGGAGCAGCCAGACCACCATTAATCTTGAGTATGCTCGCAACGTCACGGTACATAACCCGAACCCTGGCTATAAAATCTGGGCTGAACCCGAAGGCGGCGAGCGTCTTCCACAGGTACTGGTGTTCAACCCGATCAAAAGCCTTTTCCTGGTCTATGGAAATCAGACCAGTGTCAACGCCTAAAGAGCTAGAGACGTCCAAAACATGCCGAATCAGAGTGATGTTATCACTGATCAGTCTGCCGGGCACACAGTAAGTCTGGTCTACATGAATCACCTCCGCCATCACCTCTCGCAGCCGTAGAGCCAGGGCTTTGGAGAGGACCTTATAGTCCCCGCAGAGCAGTGAGACCGGTCTCCAGTTCTTCAGTTCTTGGAGGTCCCCCTTCTTAGGGAGCAGGGTTATGACAGCCCTCCTGCAGCTCTGCGGTAGCAGTCCTGTTCTCAAACTCTCCTGAAATACTTCCAATAAGTCCTCGCCCACCACGGGCCAGAAAGTCTTATAGAAATCCACTGGGATCCCGTCGATGCCTGGGGCCTTTCCGTTGGCCAAGCTCATGAGGGCCACATGCAGTTCCTCCAGAGTCAGGTCCGCTGTCAGGAGAGAGTTCCCCGACTGTCCCACCTGAGGGAGGTCAGACAGAAATTCTGCCTCCAGCTGTGGATCCTCCACCAGTTCACTTTTAAAAAGGTCTCTATAAAAACATGTGGCATGCCTGCGGATCTCTGAGGCCCCAGTGATGGTTGATCCGTCAGTGGCGCGCAGGCTGTGGATCACCTTCCTCTGTCCGTTCTTTGACTCCAGGCTGAAGAAAAACTTTGATGGGGCGTCCATCATGGAGGCGTTCATGTAGCGGGAGCGCACCAGCGCCCCCTGTGCTGTAGTGCCCAGCAGGTTGGCTATGGCAGCCTTCTTCTTTTGGAGGGCCTCAACATGCCTCCCTTCTCCTGTACAGTCCAACAGGTTCTGTACCTCAGTCTCCAGGACCTGGAGGGATCTGGTGATGTACTTGGTGACGTTGCGAGTATACTGCTGACAGAACTGCTGAATTAAAACCTTCCCATAGTCCCACCATCTCTGCACTGATAAAAACTCTGCCCTCCTGTCCCTGTGTGAAGCCCATAAAAACCTAAAAGCATCTTTAAAAGCACAGTCTTCTAAAAGAGCCGTGTTAAAATGCCAGTAGGCGCTGGATGTCTTCACATTCTGAATAAAAAAGTCACACTGGACTAAAAAGTGGTCAGACACACCCACAGGGACAATAAGACATTTCCTAAAAATACTGAAATGGTGTTTAAAACAATAAAATCTGTCCAGTCTGGCAAGAGACAAGCTGTTGTCTTTGCAGTGGGACCAGGTGTACTGCCTGGTGGAGCCATTCAACCCTCTCCACACGTCCTTCAGGTCATGAGTTTCTATCAGCCTTTTTAGCCGAGTGGATGAGGCAGGATGAGGCTCCAGGTGATTCCTGTCCATCACTGCATCAGCAGTGCAGTTAAAATCACCCCCCAGGAATAAAAAACCCTCCTCCACACCCCCCACCACATCACACAGAGTATTTAAAAACAGCATTCTGTCTCTGCCCAGCACTGGAGCATAAACACACACAAAAACAAATTTAAAATCCTCATACTGAGCCTTAACCATTAAAATGTGTCCATCCATCACCTGGTGCACCTGCACAGTGTGAGGGTTAAAGAACCTGGAGAACAGGATCCCCACCCCAGCACTGTTGGACACTTTGTGACTCAGATAGACCTGGCCTGGCCACTCCCTT